CAAATTAGTAAATTTTCCTTAAAATATTGCTAATATAAAAATAATTCATTTACATTTTAATTCCAATTTAGACATAATTTGACTTTTTTTTTGATTAGTTAATTATTGATTCAATAACTTTCTATTAATATTTGTCTCTTTTAGAGTTTAAGTTTTGTTATTAAATAAATTCTATGGTTATAGCACTATAAATAATTAAGGAATAAAGATAAGAATAAAATACACATTCCACGATTAAATTCTATTAATTGTTGAAAAACCAAACACTAGTTGTGTAAACTGTAATAGTAAACGATGAAAAATATATCGTTCTCTAAAAAGCAATCAAAAACTAATATTTGGTTAAGATGTTTAATAAAGGGACATAATAAAAGAGGAGTTCATTTAGTTCGTTAAATCCCTGTAGTATTGCATCAGTATTATGGTAGATTAATAATTCATTAAAGAGACCTAAATTATAATAACCCAAATTAATTACATCTTTCATAGACTAATCTAACTTTAAGGGATTAGATCATGTTTTTGAAAAAAGTTTGTTTATTTACATTTTCATACTTTACTTTTTGAAAGTAACTAAATTCTTGGAGTAACGCAATTTACAAATGTTACCCTTAATGACTCTTTAACAATGTTTGGTTTTCAAAAATCAAATTTAATGTTAAATGTGGTTTATCAAACAATTTTTAAACGAAATTCAAAGAGTAAGTATTTGCATCAAATAAGAGAGTTATTTTTGCCAAAGAAAATAGTAATTTCATATGATTAGTCATGTAGGTGTTATTTTGCATTATTTTGCAAGCCTAACTTCCCAAAATTATTACAATAGGAGGTGCAGCATGATGCTCCTCCTAAACCTTTTTGTTCGAAAGTTAGGAAGAAATTGGGTTGATTATTTTATTTAAAGACTAAACTTAAGAATTTGACACGTAATTTGACTCAGAAAATAATTAAGTGAATTATTGTAAAGATTTCTTCAAGTAGGCTCTTAAATCATCATCATTATCTTGATCAAAGATTAATTTAAAATGGTTCTATATTTCTGTCTGATGAATAATAGAACTAGAATAAGAAAATAGTTATTCAGTGTAAAAAAATAGTGATTATTTTGATTTTTCAAAATTTTTAATAAATTCTAATGCTTTTGGTTAGATGTTATATTTATATCCTAAAGTGATATTAAATTACAAAAAGGGTTCCAAATAATTATAAATAAATTCTTCGCTTTCAAAAGTGCTCTACTATTGGAGTGATTATTAATTAACATAATATGCTGCATCTTCATGATTTAGGAGACAAGAATAGTAATGAATTTAATGTAGTTATTCCAAATCCATCAGATGAAGAAAATTAATAGATGATTTTTGATTAAATTTGCTTTCATCTACAATATCTGATTTTTTATAATTTGCTTCTCTTACTAATAAAATATATTCTGCATTTAAGTGTTTTTCAAACTCAGGATCTAATTCAAATAACATATAGAGTCTTTGAGTATGATGATGAATTTGAAAATCAACTAACTTAAATGAGCAAAGCTTCTAATTGATTTAAACAACATAAGCTGAAATATTTCTAAAATAAATATATATATTTACTAAACGTTATTTACACAAATGAATTCAAATCCAAAAGCTTTAGCTATTTAAATTTGTTTTTCATCCAATAAGTTAACTTAGACATTTTTAATTTTTTCTTCTCCCGTTTAAGTATATCTAAGTTTGGAATATGAAATGTGATTCAATGCTAATTATAGCAAAATAATGTTATTAAAATCATCTTCGCTTGTAAGTATTTTGATTAAGTCATTTAAATAAATTGATTTTCTGTCAATTCTGCTATCTTTCAAAGATAGCTACTTGGCACTTTTACTGTTTATAGATAATTGAACTCTATTGATGCTGGATTTTTGCTGGTAATCACTTTTATCTGGATTAATGCTTTAATGTTACTCAAGTGCATTAAATTCTTATTAAGTATTATCGTTGTTTGTAAAGTTGCTAATGAGTCTAAAACCAACAGTTTAAGGCATATTAAGAACCATTTCTTCTTAAGCTTCGTAACTAAATATTTCTTCTTCTAAATATCTACCAGAATTTTATGTATTATTTTATTATTTAGAATTCTATATTTAATGACTATAAGATGCTTATATATCAACAATTTTAGAATCCTCCTTAGAATCAACAGTCTTAAAAATATTTTGACTCGATATTGATGAAGCATATACTTGAGCTTGTTGAAATAATTCTTATTCTCTACAATGACAAATGCGATAGTTGCAAATTATCGCTCTTAATTCAAATGTGCCTTCTAATATTGAATCTAAATTCAATGTCAAACGCTTGTATTATTGATAATATTCTGGATGAAATGCTTTTATCTACTTCATATCCATTTAGCTGATCTTATATATAATGCGTTATTAGAATAATTAAATTAGATTATAATAAAATCTGAAACTATGTGGAAGTAAAAATAACAAGTTAAGCAAGTTTGTAAATAATAAGGATATGATATCTAAATATTCATTAACATATTTGTTCTAATAGGTGATGACGTAAGTTAACTCTAATAGATTATTCAAAATTTACAATTAAAAAAGCAAAATAAAGAAAAATCATTGAGATAAGTAATCTTTATGAATAATTTGGAACTTAAGGTCTAATTTCAAATTACTTATAGCAACGACAATTCAATCCAACTTAGATAACAATCCCAATGACCCAAGGCGTATTTAATAGTTTTTCTTGAGCAAAAATAAAATTTTCATCTTCAATAACTTTTGATTATGGATCTTTTTTGAGTTAGAAATATCCTGAAAGATTGTTTTTTGTTTCATTTAATTGAATATTGCCGGTAAAAGACTTTTTGAATAGAACTAAATTATGAGAGTCAACTAAAGATTTAATAATTTTTATCTTTTTTACATTTATTTTACACTAAAGGTTTTCTCATGGCTGTGTCTGAATACTCACATAATTGATTTGAAATGGCAAAGTTTTCATCATTACAATACAAAACAAGTATGTCACAAGAAGCAATTTGATTTCTTTCAACAATAATAACATCTCCTAATTTAATTTCTGCCGCAGTAATGGATTTAATGAGATCCATTCTATCTGTAGTATTAATGGTTTTAGAATCAATAATCTTTTTTGATCTTGAAGTATTTTTCTCAAAAATACGAGGTACTTATTGCATAAATTTTCTAATTGCTGGATCCTAGACCAATTTGATTTTTAATTCGTTTTTTATAATCATATCTTCATGAATGAGTGGACTCATCAATGAGGCTCTTGATCCCATCCGATCAAATCTATCTTATCTTGGGGATCCTGCAGGCCGGCCTTAATTGATTGATTGCCTTGAAAATTGAGATTAAACTATTGAAACTAAAGTTGAAATTAATACTTCCAGAAGACCTGCTTTTTTAACTCAATTGACGCTATATTTGATCATTTTTTATACTGTGATCAAGTTTTAATGGTATAGAGCGATCCTTTTCTTTAATTTCTTCATTCTTGGGTTTTTAAGATGCTTTTTATTTTATTCGCTTTAAAATTTCCTTATTACTTATGCATTCATCCCATTATTTCAATATTTTATTCTCTTGATTGTTTAATTTAATATCCAGGCCATTAATTTTGAATTTATTGTACAACTCAACACTTATGTGGGCGAAAAGTTAGAAAGAGAAGATGAAATAAAATTCATATTATTGCTAATCTCTATGATAGTTTTAAATTTACATGAACCAAATAGAAGCAAGTAAAACCAAAGAAATTATAGACAGAGTGAAATAAATGATGTTGTTCCTTGCAATTCTAAAAGGAGCAAATAAAACAATTGAAAAAATGGACGATGTTCTATTTATGCGATTGGAATAAGTAGAGTATCCGTCGAGCTTGATGACCTCGCCATTCCTGAAATGCAGCTGAAATTTAGGATGAATATTGCACTTAATAGGTTTTTCTTTTGAATTCGTCGTAATGCTGTAAGAGTTTTTGCATTTAATTTAAAATAATTTTAATAATTTTTATTAAACCTATCAAATTCCTGTGATTAGATAAAATGTTCTAGGAATCAGATATTGAATAATTCCCCATCTCTGTTCAATTAAGTGATCACTTATTAGAATTCTAGCATAATACTCAGTCAAATATAATGTGATCATCACAGAGGTTCCTATATACATCAAAACCCAAAATAGAATGTTAAACCAGCCCTTCCATAATGAATATAAATACCGATTTAAAGACTTCCTTGGCTTAGATGAATAAAATTCCTGGGCCAGTAAATAAAATAAAACATATTGGATAAAAGAAGCCCAAAGCAAAAGTAAGAATGATTTCATGAATGACTGCTGAACATCCAAAAGTGATCAGTTGTCTAAAGAGCCTACTTCTTTTGCCTTAACTTAATTTCTCACTGTCCAAATAGACATAATAATAAAGGAATTCATGAACGATAACATTCCATTTTCTATAATACTATCCAAATTCTGAGGCTGTCCACCAATCATGATAAAATGTTCTGTCTGGAAATCTCAGTAGTTCTGCCCATCCATTAAACCAACTGTGAAGTAGTCCAAAAAAAACCAGAACGAGTGAAAAAGTAGATGGCATCATTAACTTATACAAAGTAACAATGAAATTCATCAAAGTCAAGTTCTCTCTAAAAATAAATGATAATAATACCTTAATTAAAGTATTGGTTCTTTACAGAAAGATCTGAAGAGAATAAACCCATAATAAATGCACAAAAAGAAATTTGCGAATTCTATCACAACCTTTTTCTTTGAGTAATTGGGAGCCTTGACGTAATAGTCTCTGTATAACAAAGTTGGTGCCAGGAAGAAGTAAGTGTACCTCTTGAGTTCTTAAGAAAGGGATTGAATATTGATGTCAGGAAGCAAAGCATTTTGTTTAGTGATTCCCTTCCTTTCAAATGATTAAAGGATGAAATATTTGTATTTATTCTCTGTGCCATATAACATCTTGTTACGAGCATAAGAATAGGTTTTCATCATCATTCTGACTGCTTCACACATTACAATCATCCTTGAACCAAATCCATTCTATATTAAATTAACTTTTTTACCACCCAAGCAGTTGTCATATAACAAGCTGCCAAAATGCTTATTATCTAATGAAGACTGAATACAAGAATAGCTGTAAATGGCTTGATCTTATTTGAGTAACAGTAGGTCACCCAATACACAGTCAAATAACTGGATAACACTAAAGCAAACAAAATTTCTGCTACTAACAAAGGAGTCTAAAAGCACCAGAAGAATGTATCCATATCAAATATGATACCTCTCTCCAAATAGTCCTATATCCATAGATTGCCCATCAAAATAAACATGCTTGCCATCATCATGTGGTAAAGAGTTTTATAATCAGACTATTTCAACATCTCAGACAAAAGAGACGGTTTATATCTATATAATAATCTTTACATTCCTACCTGAACACTTTCTCCATTTATCTTTCTTGATGTTATACTGAACATACTTTTTGGTCAAATCGATCATCTCTTAATTCATTGATAGTTTTAGATATCTGTTATTCAAAATGTTCCATCTCCTCCCTTATAGAGTCCTCTAATTTCTTTTAAGAATGCAATATTCTATTTTCTATGTGGTTGATCATCTTAGATTTGTACTCAAGTAGATCATTCTCCAAATCCTTATTGACAAATTCTTTTAAATATTAGCTGATATTGTTACTTTTTTAAGAGGCTATAGCTGTAGTGGGTTAAGAAGAATCATTCTCTTTTGCAGCTTTTTTCAATTGTTACTTCTTTCTCATAAAAATATAATTTATGATAACCAATAATAAACTTGACCCTTAGAATAGAATTAAAAAGAAACGGCTAACACATACATGTTTCTGATACTTTCTATCAATTTTGCCTATACCTAACACTATTAGGATTATCTAAGATTCCTAAATGTGCACAATCAAAGAATGGCCTCACACATTTCAAGATTCGTTGAATTGTAGACTAATAAGTAAAACAAGAGCAAGCTGTCTTAATTTTCAAATTAAATATTAGCTTATAGTGTACCCAAAGTTACAATTCTATAATTTATTTGCAGTAGAGATTTTAATTTTTTTAATTTATCAAATTATTATTAATATATTTTATTTAAAGTTGATTATAATTGTTAAATACAAAACAATCACTTTGCTAACCACTTTTCTAATTCCTTAATGTTCAATTACACTTCTTTACATATACTGTGATTGGGTCCTAGGACCTTTTGATAATGTTCTAATGACATCTAAAAGTATTTCTTTGCTTAGACAAATTTATCCTAAGTTCCATACAACACTCCGAAATTGTTGTAGATATCTCCTAACGTAATCAAATCTGACGCAGATTTACTATTAGCAATTAAACTTGCTGCAGTTTAATAAAACTACTCAGCAGATTTAAAATCTTTAGTCTTTCTGTAAACTAATCCCATATTATAGTATATTTTTGCCATTCTTGTACTTTCGTTATCATTTCTCTTCATAAGAAACTCTATTCCTTCTCTATAATGCTCCAAAGCTTTATCATATTTCTAAATTCCCATATAAGATGCACCCAAATTTTTTAGTATATCAGCCATACTATCAAATCTCTCATCGACAGTACATTTTACTAAATTATCAAGGTAAAATTATTTTAGTTAATTGTAGTGTTACAGTGCTTCTTCATATCTACCTTCTTCAAGAAAGCTTTGAGATAGTAATTCCTAACTTTTCACAGTCTATTTAGCATACTATCCATAAATTTGTTTCCTTAAATTGTAGGATTCTTGAGCTGCTTTTATGGTTTCAGCCGATCTACCAATTTTCTAGAAACACAAGGCTATTTCAAATAGAGTATCAGATAATCTCTATTAATTGGATTATTGATGCTTTCTATAGATTTCAGCTGTAATTGAATAAAATGAGATTGCCATATCAAATTATTATTTTTCATAATAAACTCTCGCCAAATTATCATAAGTTGAACAAAGGATTGGGCTGCGATCTCCACATAATAATTTCTTGATTTACAAGGCACTTTTGAAATATTTAATAGCTTGATCGTAGTTCTTCAATTTCTTATGTGCCATTGCAATGTTTTATAAAATGACTGCTCCTCCTAAATTGTTTTCTCCAAATATCTACTCTTTAATTTGATAAGCTTATTCATAATGTTTAATTGCCTTTTCAAATTCTCCTTTTTTTCTTTTAACAATCCCCAAATTGTTATATCCATCTGCTACAGAAGAATGTTTATCACCATTTAACTTTTTGTATAGAGCAACAGATTCACAAAAGTTCTTTTCAGCTTCATCATACTGCTCCAAATCACAATTGACAGTTCCTAAACTATTCATAATATCTGCCTTAGCACTGTCTTTGGATAGTTTGATAGCATATTTCAAAGCTAATTCATAATGAGATTTTGCATGTTCAGGTAAATTCAACTTTTCATAGGCCTCTGCTAGTTTGACTTCTCTCATCATTAGATCCTATGGACTCAAATTCTAATAATAATTAACATCAACTTACTTTTTTATCTTATTATGTTTTCAAACAGTTGACGAATACATCTTCATTAGGTTTCTTAAATAAGTCTTTATAAGTGGAAATGAGTTATAACAATTCTTCAAAAGAAACCCGCTTCTGATCATCATATTCTAACATTTTAATCAGTATCTATTCAAAAATAGATGGCGATTTCAATTTCCTTAGCATTTCAACTTCAATTTTCAATGATTCTCTATCTAATCTTGGAATTAATTTGCGCATTAACAAGAATGTGATTCCAACTGAATAGACATCAGATGAGTATGGATCATAGTTTAAATGTTATTTACCAACAAAGAAACGACCTTCCTTGTCCTTTTGTAAATCACAAAAAAAATAAATCTCAGCTAAAGGAAATAATATATTATTAAATACGAGCCCAATAAGCTGGAGATCCACGAACTGTATTTAATTAAGCTTATTTTGGCTTCAGAAATTTGGCACCTCCTAAATCTGCAATTTTATAAGATTTATCTGCTTAACAATATAGAATATTTTAAGGTTTTATATCACGATGAGTGACATTATGTTTCTTCATAATTACAAAACCTTCAACCAACTAATATAAAATGTACAGCAATTCTTCATCAGTCCATTTTGTTTTATTCTCTTCTATTCTTACCTAGAAATATGAAGTGAATGTACCTTTAGGAGCTCCATTAGATTACAATCACACAATTCCATTACGATCACTAGATATTTGTTATCATCCTTTATGCATGGATAAATATCATATATCTTAAGCAACCCTTGACAATTAGTTTATGATAATGTCTGCATAATGACAATTTCTCTGACAGCTGCCTTAAATTCAGGATCCTAATCGCTTTCGTCATCATAGCCGATAAATTTTAGAGCGTATTTCTTCCCTGTCTTTTAATCCAACGATGCAAATACTTATCCAAAGGTACCTGCTCCAATTTCCTTAGTTATGTTACCTATCTTACCTGCTTGATATCAAAGATTTCCCAATTATAATTTTTATTAGCTGCTTTGTCCTTTATCTATTCGATCTATAGCTTCATTGCTGATTATAAATCTGATGGCTCTAAGACTACAATAATTTGATTCTGATTCATTCTAATCGTCATCTTCTCATCCTTCCCTCTATGTTTTAGAGATTTAGTTTCAAAGTTATTTGATTCCATTAAAAATTATATATAATGCAATACTAATAACAACGCATTTCAACTACTCAAGAGTATAAATATACTTCACAAACAAAAAGCGCCAGGACTAACACTCCTAAAACTCATCATAGTCCTTATGAGTTTTCTTTGGATTCAATTAGATCACCTCAAGAAAATAGATCATCTAAACTAACTCCTGAAATTAGTCAATTCTTAATGGCTTGTGAAATTGAAAGACTCTCTGCTGAAAATGAAAAACTAAAATTTAGAATCAAAGAAATGTAAGACAATGCATAAGATAAGTATCATTTAGAACTATAAATCATTGATTTAACTCATAGATTAAATGACATGTCAAAGATTATTGAAATATAGAAATATGATAAATCTGAGTTAATTATGCAAACTACAACATTATAAAAGGAAATCTAACATTAGAAATAATAACAAACAGATTTTTATGAAAGTCGAATATCTAATCTCTTAAATGAAGTTGATAATCTTACGACCTAATTAAGAGAATTTGACACTCTTAAATTTGATGAAATCTAAATATTAAGAAATGAATTAGAATTTGCAATGAAGACTGAAATTGTAACATATAATCTAAAGTAAATTAGGAAAAGAAAAAACAGAAACAAGAACTCAATTCTTAAATTTAAAGAGAATTTTTAGAAGGAGAGTTGAAAAAGTGGAAAGAAATGTGCAATCAAAAATAATCAGAAAATGATGATCTCAAAAATACAATCTTTTAGAAGGAACTCAGTAAGTAAAGAGAACTAGAACATTAATTATTGTCATATAAAAATGAAACAGAAAGGATGAATAAAGTATTAGTCTCCAAATAAGAAGATATTGAGATTTGGAAATAAAAATATTTAAAACTTCAAAATATCAATGAAGATTACAAAAAATTACAAATTGAAAATCAATAATTTCTTGATAAATTTAAAGCTTAAGAAGAAAGGAATACACTTCTTACTAGTTAATTAAATTAATACCGTTAATAAATTGAAAATGCAAATGCTCGTAATCTGTTGAGTTTTATTCTTAGTCATATTGGCTGAAAAAAACAAAACTAGTTAAATATTTACTTAATTAGCCGAGACGGACAAAAAGAAATCTGAATTTGAGAATAGATACAAAAACCTTTTGCTTGAAGTTGATAAACTAAATGAAATTAACAAAACTAAGGAACAACTTGCAATAACTCAAAATATTAAGTAAGATTATCTCCTATATATTCAAGGATTGAAGAATTTCAACATTCACTCATCTAGTACCGTTCTTTAAATGAAGAAAAAGCATAGGAAGTAGATACTCTTCGCAAATTTATAATTCAGTTATAATAATAAATTGTGTAATTAGAAGAATAAATTGATTAACTTAAAAGATTCTAAGAGAATGTAAAAATATTTCTATCTTTAGTGTCGAGTCTTGTCTATTGAAATTGATAGACTTAATGAAGAAAACAAGGCGTAAGATCTAGAATTGAGATAATGGAGAATGCAATATGCTGATCAGGGATTCCTTATAAAGAAACTTTAAGATTAACTTTGTGTGATAGTGGTGTTAGTAAGTGAAATTGAGAGCCTAAGATCAAGATTATTAGAAAAAGATTTAGAAGTAGAAGATGCTAGAAGATCTAGTCTTGCTCCTTATAAAATGTGAATCTTAAGTATCTTAATTGAAATATAAAAATAATTACATATTTAATTCATTATTCAAAAATGAAAGTTGTTCAAGCACTCAAATCCACCAAGTTTCCCTTCGCTTCATTTACTAACAGAGATGTTAAGTCTGATTTTCATCTCTTGAAACCTCACTTTGAAAACTTAGTCCCAGATGAGTACTTATAGAAAAGATTAAAATTGCCAACCAATAAAATTATGAGAAAGAGAAGAATGATGAATTATCATATAGAATTTGATAAAGATGGAAACATTACTAGATTCCATGAGGAATACCGTCTTGATAATTATGATGAAACTAAGTGCTTACAACATGCAAATGTTTATGAGGAATTAACGAAGGAGATGAAATAAGATCAAATATATAAAGATTTTCTCTATAACACTCTTCAAATCACTTGGCAACTAAAATAGTTTCAAAAAGCATAAATCTCAGTTCATGCTGTTAGAACTGTATCATAATGTAAAATATTAGATATCCTACGTTGATTAACCTGCTTCCACTACACCAGAAGGTCCAAATAGAGATGGGAATGATTTAGAAATTATTGGTGTAATCAATAAAGTCAATTGTTAAGGAGCAGAAAGTTAGATTTACAGTTCTGATAAATCAAAATTATTGTTTGAAATGAGCCTAGAACCAGGAGAAGGTTATATAATTGATGATAAATCTTTGTGGAACTATGCAACATCACACAAACCTATTGATGAATCTCAACATGGCATAAGGGACATTTTAGGTTTTGTGCTCAAAATTGATCATTGAATAAGCATTAAATTAACATTTTATAATGAATTAGAGTAATAATATTGAAATCAGAAAAATAACCTATTTTATTAATAAGAAACGAAAACCAGTGATCATGATTAAATCTAAATGTTTTGATATCTTTTTCCGTTGGCAAGCAAATTTGTTAAATGTTCTATTTCAATTTCATCAACATCTTCAAAAAGAGTATCCTTGTAATCAAACTGATTTGCGCTTTGAATTAAAAGTTATTAAAGTTCCTCAATTTTAATATCATCCCTTATAAAGTGGACCTTACTTTTATTATAATTCAAATGATGAAATGCCTTTACTAGATTTTCTTTGTCATGAATTTAGTCTTGGCTCAATTAAAAATTAGTAACAAAAATGTCTATTAAGTTTGAAAATTTTTTAAAGTGTTGGGCATCTTCCAAAAAATATTCTTTCATATTGATTATTTATTCAAAATTAACAACCAAATACAATCTTTATATATCATTGATATTTTATTTGTAGTATATAGTCAATTAATATATTGTTTCTTCTATTTATTCTTTAGAAACATCTTTTTCAATAGAAAAAGGGGAATTCACTAAATCTAAATTATTACCAATTGAAAATTCTTAAAACTAGTCAATATCTAATTTAATTGCTTAACTCTTAATGTTTTTTTCGGCTACTAGATTAAATATTTTTGTTTTTTCTTCACCAGAAGTTCCAATCAAAATTAATTTTTTTCTATTTCGCTTATTTTATCGTGAATTACAAATTTAAAACAGAAAAAGTATCGTTGCCATAATTGCTAAAAAGAAAATGGCAATTAAAATCTATTTCTATTAGCAATCGCTAATCTCTGTAAAGATATTCTATAATTGCAGTACTGCATATTGCATTTTATTAAGAATAATAATATGTATAAATAAAAATGCAAAAAACTTAGAACTTCATATTCTATATTTTTTTATTGATAAATGTAACTATTACATTATTCGATTACCTTCCTATTAATCATATCCTTCAAAAATTGTATTTCTTGGATGAAATTCTCCCTTCATACTCACTTATTAGGCAGCATTTAAAAATTATTCATTCAAAAGATCTGAATCTGTATTCTTATTTACTAAGATTATTCTCTTGTCAGCTTGTACAAATATTTACAAAGCATTGTAAAGTTCATCAGAACTATTTTTTTGATCATCAGCTTTTTCAAATGAAGTAATAACAATTATAATCAAATCTCTATACTAGTGGAACCATTTAATACAACTTAACAAATTGGCTTTTATTATGTCGGTCCTATCATATTCAGTAACTATATATAAACATTTAATTTAGCTTTTAAGCAAAGCTTCCCTTCTAAAGAATTTTTAATATTCTTCAATGCACTTTTCTCGTTCATCTATTGTGTCTGTCAATGTTAAGAAAGGACATGAAACAACATAAAAATTTTTGTTTTACTTTGAATTCCATAATTTATGAGATTAAAAATTATTTTGCTTGAAATTTGAACTTGTGTTCTGTAGCTTTATAAATAGTGTTGGAGAATAATTTATTCCCAAAATTAGTGCTAATTAATGTTGAGTGCCAAATATTTTCCGAAAACATCCTACAGCTTTAAGGAAAATCTCAAAGACTAAATTAACTACGTATTTTATAAAGGTTGTCAAGATTGACATTATATATAATAATGTTTGTTTATCTAGTAAACAAAGATAGAGTATTGATTAATTCTATTAAACCTTAACAATAATTTTATAAATAATCCTATTTGTGTTTTTTCTAATTTAATTACATAATTTCAAAAAAAGCTGTTATTATTCAAAACTACCCATGGTCCAAAAACAAAAATATTAGGTATTTTTTATAGATTTAGAAAATGATTAAAACATAATAAATTCAAATTTTCTTACCATCCAACCACTCTCCTGTTTGTTTGTTGCCACTTGGATCGATGACTTCACCTTTACCATGTTACTTTCCATCTTTCCAATACCCTTTATAGATTTTTCCGTCTTGCCAATAAAATTCACCATATCCACACTTTTTATCTTCTTTATAATCTCCTAAAATATTTTATAAAATCTACATACCTAGATATTTCTTACCATCAGGCCAAACAAAGATGCCTTTTCCATCCATTTTATTTTCCTTCCACTCTCCTTGATATCTTCTTTTATCAGCCCATGTGTATTCTCCTTAGCCATGAATTTAGTTATCAAGAAACTATCCTTGATATTTGGCACCATCACTCCAAGTAAAAATACCATTTCCGTTCTTTTTACCTTATTTATACTATCCTTCAAAATATGAATTATCTGGCCAATACTCTTTACCTTCACCTTCTTGTTGATTATCAACCCATTATCCTTCATATCGAGCCCCATCAAAATGATAATATATTCCAAATCCCTTTGCACCTCCATTCATCCAAAACCCTTCATATGCATCTCCATCTGCATAAATTATTCTACCATGTCCACAAATCATGTCACTTTACCATTAACCTTCATAAATGGACCCGTCCAACCAAAATTATTTACCATAACCTTCTCTCTTTATACCTTCCCAATTTCCTATATATATGACTTCCCCCTTTATTTAATAAGGAAGCTGAGCTTAACCACTGTGTTACACCTATTAGATCGGAATATATTTTCCAATTCTTTCGAGAGTTCTCTTGATGTTATTATTAGTAATTTCAATTGTTTATTCATATAGCCTCAAATCAGGATGTTGAAGTTATTATGGAACCTCGGTCAGTTATTAAACATCTTGTTTTTGTGATTGCTGTTAGAGGGATTTGAAAATATTTGGATCTTCGTCGCTCTTCCTTTGTTCCAACTCCTGCTTCTTTTCATCTGTTATTTCTGCAGAAACTTCTTAGGCTAATATTTTCTAATTGTCTATAGTGATATATTGTAACTATTCAACAAATGCAGGAGTTTGAGAATTGCTGATAACTTGATGATTCAGTATTGGTTGTTGAGCACAACATTTTGCTCCCATGTATATATTAATTTTAATTTATAAAATAGATGAGTTAGAGGAAATTGTTCAGATACTACATCGATCAAAGCATTCAATAGTAAAATGAATAGAAATTGTTTCTGACAAGAGTCAATAGGTGGAGATTCAACACTTTGGACAAATCAAATTGTATAAAATATTATGAATCTGTGATTAGTCTTGAAATCCACTAGGCCCATCAAACCCATACTATTTGGTTTAGCTTGTTTGGCAGTTTATGGTACTGTAAATCTCTATAAGTAGATTGGACATACGGCTTTTATCGTATTGATGAACATCATTGATTTATTATTAACAATAAATATATAATTATAACAATATGTCTACTCACGTCAATCAAGCATAACAGAATTTAACCAATTCGCAACAAGAAACCAAGTAATTCCCTTATTATATATAGTCTCAGGAATCGCATCAGATCGAGAAAATTGTTCATATCAACAATTATTAAATTCTTCTTTGCTGTAATGCTATTTTTACTGCTCAGTCTCCAGATCTAATATCACCTGGATGTTATTTCCATTTTTGTACTTTTTCTAATATACCATCTCACTGACTTTTTGAATGCCCTATACTATCATTTTAAGATGAAAAAATTGTAAATACGATTGTAAATATTCTTATTTATACAGCAAGAAGAAAAAGTTATTGGGCTATGTTGGAGCCACATTATTTGATTTCTTTTATTTAACATGCTTATTGTTGCTAAAAAAAGTCGGATACCAATATTTTGTTTACAGTAATGTATTTTTAGTTATTGCAATTTTAATGAACTTCTACTCACTCTATCAAGATAGAGCTTTATTAGAATCACTAAAAATGTTGAATCAAATATCTTTATTGACAAGAATTTATGTAGCGATATGTTCACTATTTATAACTTTGAAAATAGATAAAGTCATAATTTGGAATTGGACTCCAACATTATGGGGTGTTTGGGTCGGTTTGATTTGTTTTATTGGTATTAGTGCAGGTTCTCTAATAGTAACATTTAGCAAGATAATATAATATCTGTTTGACAGATAAAATTTATAGAGATCAGAATGTATTTGTTCCTATAACAACTTTTAGTAATTTCCTACATCTGGTTAACTCAACTGCTCATATTTGGGAGTGTTTCCATATCATTAAGTTCTTTGGGATATTTAGAGTATTTAGAAAATCAACCAAATTATTCTCACAATTTCGTTGTGCAAGAATATTTCATAATTGCTGAATTTTTCATCATTTTAATTTATTCCTTTATATTTTCGTATAGATATCTGTGAATAAATATACATAACACTCTTAAGATGATGAACCTGTTAACTAATAATAATTTTCTGTTAACATACAAGGAAACAACTAAACTTTGTAATAAATCAATCCGACTTCCTCAAGAACTTAGATTCCTTAGGTTGTGTAAAAAATATCAAAAGCCTATTTTGGAATACCCTCTTTGATCAAGAAGGAAGGGGGTGATTAAGATTCAATTAGTGGGTCTCCAGTTCTTAAGAAATCATCAAAAGGGCACAAAAGAGCATTTTCCAGCTAAGGAGTCGCTTCATAGATGTTTTAAGAATTGGATTATATAGTTATTGATAAGCAACCTCCTAATGCTTTAAATAAGACTACTTCTAATGAATTAAAATTTTAAATTGATAAAAAGAGATGTAATTCTCATTTAGTAACAGTAAATTATTATTGTTTAATATTAGATTGCTCATGATGACAGTATTTAAAATAAAAAACAGGAAATGAGTATGAGTTAGACCAGCAACATTTGTATAGTGTGTTATGAAAGGGGACCGAATGCTGTTTTTATGAATTGTGGTCATGGAGGAACATGTTATCAATGTGCTATAGACATTTGGAAATAAAAAACAGTTTGTTACTTATGTAGGAATGTAATATTTAGTAATTAATCAAAATTAGAAAATTGAATACATTTTAAAGGTTGATTTGGAGGATAGATATGGAGATTTATTTAAAGTTGTTTCTACTGCTTAAATGATAGATTAATTTAATAAATGAAAAGCATGCGTGTTAATTATATAAAATTTTCTATGACTATACTAATCATTGTCTTGGTTATACATTTACTTTGATTTCACAATTGTATTTTTATTCTTGAGGATTTTAAAAATTTAATAAGATAACATAGTTTGATTTTGACTTCATCTCAAAATTAGCTATTTTGTCTTTCAAAGTTAAATTTTCGTTTTGTACAATTAAGAGGTTATTCAGTTTTAACTCGCACTCTACCTTTCTTATATTATTAGATTGGTTAACAAAATGTAATAAAACTCCTAAAATACAAATAAATAGTATACCTTTTTTGTTCTCCATAATAAAAATTTTTAGATTTTGAATTTCAATGAATTGCACATCCTATTTAAAATATATATATTCAAAAACTGAAGGCTTAATTTTAAAGTCTACTTAACATTTAAAGCGAATTACTGGAGACTAAAGTAAAGTTCTGGGGTCAAATTTGTAAAGCAATAACATATATTCTTTTGGGGGTATCGAAACCTTTCTGAAGGTTTCCATTTATTAGGTTTCATAATTGATTAAATTTTCATGTATATTAAACTAAAGATACTCTTCGAAATGTAAATCTCCATGATTCTCATAATATATGTACATAAATCCAATAGTATTATCCATAGTCATCTATACCTGTGGAAATCCTTCTTTTTATAATTTACCAATATTTTATCTGTTTGCTTTTGATGTTTATCTGATAATTGCTACCATTAGTTCTTTTAATTTTCCCTCACTTTATTCGCTTTAATCAAAATTTTATGGTGGTTTCAATCCTTAGATTTACAATTTTAATACTTTTTATTAATTTTACAATTCTTGAGATAGCAATTCAAGATTATAGAATTCTGCTTGGCAGAGCAAAGTGTATTTTCCTTTTTCTAATTCTGTTCTATGATAAAGATTTTGATTGAAATCATTAGTGTCAGAAATTAACTAATAGCTTTTCTTATGATTCTTAAATAATAAAAATCTTATCAATCCATATTTTATTTCTTATTATTATTTCAATGAATTAAAGTTTTAATCTCTCTAACAAATTGAGATCCAATAAGTGTCTTTCTTATTAATTTGAAAATTATAAATGTATGTATGTTCAATAAATTACAATTTTCTTTCCATAGGCTATTGCATTGTAAAGGTATAAATTTGAGAATTTTTATTTAAATGGACTTAAAACAAAGGGTATTATTGAAATTCATTCCAACTGAAAAGGAATTTGGAATCATTTTATTTCACACCTGCATCGCAAATTGATTCTTAGTTAATGGCTTATAATTCAACTTAATTTTCTTTTATTGATAATATTACGTATGCATTATTTCTCTATTTGTAGTTAACTTCAATATAAAAAATCGAGCTTTTTTACTCTAATAGAGTTCGCAATTCTTCAATCCTATTCATTTAAATTTGTGTAATTGGTTAACCAATCAAAAGCTTAAAATATACAACGTCAAATTACATATACAAACGATTATATCGATTGAGTTACTAAATGATTATATACATTGTAACTATTGCCTAGTAATTTAGCAACAGCTTTTTCAATTATTATAGCCCATTAATAAGTGCATTTGAACAGTGTTTCATCACTATTCTTAAGACAAAGCACTTAATCATCTACAATCGATATTTTCCATTCACCTTGGTCACAAAGCCAAACAGCAAAGGGGTTCTCTCTAATCTCATAAATATTCCTCATAAGTTCAATTTCTGATTGCAGCACATTAAAAGCATTGATAAGAGCAAAATGATCATAATATTTTGAAATCTAAAACGATAAGCAAGCGCGTAATGAATTTGGTATATCGATATCATCTATGGATTTAATTGAAATATTTGGAAAATTATTCAAGTTTAATTAGAAACCTGGAGCTTTATTTTGGCTATCTTAATATAAAGCAATAGTTTATTTTCCTTTTCTATAAGCACTTAATATTCTGTCTTACATTTAATTATAAATTATATTCTATTATTTAACCAATATTCACATCTCTTTCATCAACAAACTCTCAACTATTTTACTTGGCTTATAGCATTTTTACATGATCTAACTCTAAAGTAGAGATACTTTTATGATTGCAAATTTGTAATAAGTTTCTAACAAAATAATAAAGCCAATAGTCAACTACGTATTAAATCCTATTTTTGTTTGCTTAAATAAGCTAAAGGTTTTTCAATATATGGATATGCTAAATTTTTAATTTTGAAAAGCAAAATCTATGATTTTATTATCATGAGATAGTTTATTTTTATTACTATTCTCTTTGTACGGATAGAGGAGTGCAATCTATTTATATGTACGGCTTTATCTACCAGCATATTTTTGTCAGCAACTTTTTTTAAGTAGAGTTTGTTTTATAAATTCATAAAAGAACTACTTAAATCTGCTAGTATGAATAGTCATCCAGATATTTTCGATTCATAGTAAGAACTTTCAATCAATAGGAGAATGTTTCTTTTTGATTTGTTCTTTTTTATTTTTATATGAGACATCACTTTATTATATACTGTCTTTTATAATACTTAGAGTCATTTATAATCATGAACATGCTTACTATTACAATCTTAAGTTTCTCAAAATTAGGTCCAAAATTGCTTAAGAGATTTCTGTTTCTTAAATCTACGACATTACAATTAAATCAAAGCATTATTAAATTCTTTTTTACAGCATTTTAATTTTTTCATGGACGACTCTTTCGAATTAGATATTCTGTGTAAATAGAACCCTAACAACTTATTTCTGTAAAAAGAAACTGAGATTGTTAATTATCTTAGATCTTTGGGAATCAAAATGAAAACTGATCCTACAATCAAATAGGAATTATTCCACTCTAAACGAAAACAACAATTCACAAAGTCAAACACAACCTAATTTGACATCATTAGCATTAAGCAATTGGAAATTTCATCAAATTCAATTAAATCTCGCAGAACACCCTCCCATACACCTCAAAGTTCCCCCTTAATGATTAATTAAGAAAATGTTGGGCAAACTAGAAAGTCAATCTTCTCTATCAGATTAGATGGTTTTGGAGATGAAAATTTAGAAGATGAGGTAGGAGACTATTTTACTAATATGTGATTAATCAATATCATTATCTATATACATCATAAACACTTTTGTTCAGCATATGTTAGGGAACTGGCTCATTTTTAAGTAGTTTTGATACAATTGACATCATCTTTTGTTGGTTGTTGAATTTCTAAACTTAATTATAAAATTAAATACATTTTTAATCTCCTTCACTTCTTCATAAATTGAGGAATTTAAAGCGTTTGTGCATGATGGATCATCACATTTCACATTGTAAGAATTCATCCCAAAACCTTCATTATCTTCTTCCAACATCTTTTAAGTTTTCTAATATTTCTACATCACTAATTTGATGCAATAACAAAGTGCATATACAAATCTAACATTCTCAGAATTGTTAGCCAATTAAATAAGCATTTTTACAAAGGAACCTGTAACTTCTTATGAAAAATGTCTTTTCCTTATGAATGCACTGTCTAATATTCTCAAGATCAAGCTCTCTTCCTCCTCAGTGATTTTTATTTTTTTGTTTGTCCACATGTCCAATAAACAAACATAAAATCTTTACATTGTCTCCTTGTCATCTACCCCAAAAACAGATGCTGGTCCATCCATTATAGATTACAGAGCAAATATGGTTTTTAATCTTAAGTTAATATATTTCAACAAATTATCCTTTTTCTATCTAAGTATGTTAGTCGAAGATAATAAGCATTCAAAGATTCCTTAGATTAATTCAATGTTTATCAAATGAACATATTGCAAAATTCCATTTAAAGCAGATTCATAATATTTTGATACTCTAGGTAATTTGAGTACTTTAAAATAGATATAAAATATTTTTGAAAGAATCTCTCCATTCTAAAGCATAAATATAAATATATTACATTTTTAGCCAAAGTCTTTTTATCTAAGTCTCCTTATGCTTCTTATAATTCGTCCTAAACCTCTTTTAACAATTTCTTTTATTTAGCCATTTCTTCCTTAGTCAATTTTTATTTCTTTTTATCCTTCTCTTTCTAACTGAAGTATTCTCTTTTCTTTTGCTTTACTGCCCTCTTCTTTTCCTTCTCTTATTTCTCTAATTCCTGAGGTAAAAACTTAGTGTCTATCTATATTTAATTAACTAAGTCAACAAGATTATCTGGTAATTGATCTTCATGTTTAGTCTGATAAAGCTTTTGTATTTGTGTTAATATTTAGAGTTTGGACTCATGTAAAGAATGCTTCTTGTTTCTTAAAATATTAGCGAGAGAATTGTAACATATTTCATTACAAGTCAATAAACCATAAGTAACATATTGAACCAATTCTCTATTGTAATTAAAATGGAATAATGAATTCAACAATTTGCAGAGACTATGGATAAATATGATAAATACCTCTGATAGCAGGTTTCCACAAGAGGTCCTTAAGATATTAATTTAACAAATGTAAATTGAGCTTTAATAAATTGATAATAATTTTTTATTAGACTCAATTCAAAGTTAAGTACTTATTTCTCTTCTTTTTTGATAAACTTAGTGACTTTAAATTCGTGAGCCTATTAATCAATTTTGTATAATGGTGCGATGTCAATAAACAAGTCTGTTAATGCCATAATTGTCATTTGAACGATGAACACATTTTCATGTTTGAGTAATTCAATTAATTAAGGCAACTCTGAAATCCTCTAATCTGGGTTTGCCTGAATTTCTGTTACCTTTTCCTCAATCATATGAGTAAGCTAAGTGAGAGTCATTGTTCTTTGATTTTCAGACATTGATTAAATTATTAAATTAATTTATAATGTTATTGTCATTCTTTCTGAATAAAGTAATACTATTATAATTTTATATTAAGAAATCTAATATGTTTAATTAAGTGACACGAATATAGTGTTTTCTTGATTGAATTCAAAATAAGAAACTAATTTTATTAAATTAATAATGTCCAAATATTCTGTAATTCTGCCAACCTATAATGAAAGGGAGAATTTACCAATCATTACCTATTTGATATTTGAAATGGCTAAAAAGAAGTACTCTTGAATATAATGCAAGCAATCTGGATTTTGAGATTATCATTATAGAAGACAACTCCCCTGATGGTACTCTGTAAGTAGCACAAGAGTTAAAGAAAGTATATGGGGATAAATTGATCATCCATTTCAGAGAGAAAAAGTTGGGTTTGGGATCTGCTTATATGGATGGGATCAAACTTTGTCATGGCAATTATGTTGTCATTATGGATGCAGATTTGTCACATCATCCAAAATATTTGGTGGACTTCATCCAAAAATAGAAAAATACCAATTGCGACATTGTTACAGGATCTAGATACATCAATAAAGGAGGAGTCATGAATTGGGGATTCGATAGAAAACTCACATCCAGAGGTGCCAATTTTCTGGCATCAACAATGTTGGGGGTGAAGTGTTCTGATCTAACAGGAAGCTTCAGACTCTACAAAAGAGAAGTCCTAGAAAAAGTAATTAAAGATGTAGTTTCAAGAGGATATGCCTTTCAAATGGAAATAATCATCAGAGCAAGATAATATGGATATACAGTAGAGGAAGTATATATTAAAGTAAATAATTATAGGTACCAATTGTTTTTGTTGAAAGAATCTTTGGAGAATCGAAATTAGGGGCATCTGAATTTCAAATATACTTAAAGGGATTGTGGAAGTTGCTCTGGACATTTTGATATATGAATATAAATATTTACATAGACATATATATAAAATAACTCAGAGCTTCTTAGACTTTGTTATTAACCAATCGACCACTTACGTTATATTGTTTCCAGTCAAAGCACTGCACATTGCAACTGCCCAAGCATTAGATGTTATGTAATCCAAATTTAGACCTTTTAATCTAATTGATAACTGTACCTTCTATCATTTACTTTTCATTCAAATGTGGATTTACATCTATTTTATTTCCAATCACTAATAGTGGAATATTACGCAAAGATTTATTATCTAATAAATTGTGCAATTCCTTCTTTGATGTTCCCAGAGTGGCTTGCTTTATTTTTAATTTATTATGTTTACATTTGAAGTATCAACAAGAAATATTATTGCATCACAACCTTGAGCATAATTACCCCACTCTGGTCTATATTAAACTTGTCCTCCAATATCCCAAATCTTTTAATCGATGTGTATTCATACTTTCATTGTCACTCCTCCTTTTTTTACAGTCCTGACATTCAATCCCACTGTAGGTACTGTGAATGAAGGATCCCCCATAGAAAGTTAATTCAACATAGTAGTTTTTCCTACATTTTCCAATCCAACCATGCATACTTCAAGTTTTGAAGTTGAAAAAAATGATTTTAGTTTCTCAATTAAATTGCCCATAAGAAAATATAAAAATCGAACAAATATTTCTTATTAAAAATTCAATCCTATGCTAAGTTAAAATTACTTAATTATTTCAACTTCGAGTTGCTAAAAAAATTGTGATTGCTTTAAAAATCCTTAATTTTCAGAGTTATTTTCAGTAACACTTATTTTCATAACTATTTCAAGTCAAATTAAAAGAAAAATCTATTTTAATTTAATTCTCAATTTATAAATTGATAATAGCGTTATAGTACATTAATTATTAAATTGCTTTGTTTTAGGATGAAACAATTGAAGATGATATGACAAAACAATTAAATTAGTTTAAAATCTTAACCTTTTATATTTTTAATAGCATAATTTTTCTAGAATCAGAAATTTTTAAATTTTAGATTTAATTTTGATTTTATTACTAAGAGAATTTAAATCCATTTTAATTGATTTAAATCAATGAATGTGTTTTATTAATTAAATTCTAGTCCTCCATGAAAAAAAGCATTTTATCAAATTATGAAACCTATTCTAGCTTCAAAAGGAAATAATCTTAACCTTTGGCAACCGCAAGACAAAATTAATCCCAAACACATTTAATTTAAGCTGAATGTAAAACTCCAGAAAAAACAAGCTTCTTGAGATAAAAAACTCCATCAACCAAAACCAAAGTAAAATCTTAGAACACTGATAACAAAGAGAACGAAAACAGGACGGTCAATAGAAATAGTTCTTCGAAGAAATCCTATAGATAAACATAGGAAAAATAAACAAGCAATTTGATGAAGTAGATTAATGAAATGTTAAATCAAAAATCACTCTCAGTCCCTGAGATTTTATAAGAGACAAAAGAAGACAATGAAATCAATCAGTTTGAATAAACATAATTCTAAAGAGCATTTGCTTAGAATAAAGTCATTAAGATATAAGATTTGTTTAGTTAAAATTAAATTACAATAAAAGAATTAGAAAAAAATTGGTAAGCGCAATTGAGTCAAGAGTCTGAATTAATCAAATCACTATAACATCATGAAAGCATTTAGTAAATTAGAAGTGATTCTAAAGAGAACCTATTAAATTCTTTGATTCCCTTGGAAAATTCGACAGTCCATTAACCATTAATATATGTTATTGATTTAGCATTATTATGAAAAATGTTTAATTTAGTAATTATTGATCATTAGATTTTCTTTAATTTTTTCTCTTTCTTTACAGCTTTTTACATTTCCTTTTAAATTATAAGTTTATATTTAAAATTTGTCACTTCCAATTAATGTAATTAAGCCTAATATAATTGAGATTGTTTATAATTAGGCATTAATTTATCATTTAAATGAGTCATGTTTTCTACTATTTTTTCCATGTTTTGTATCTCTTTTTTAATTATTTCCATATAGTCTGACAGATACAATGCTTTTTCTTCAATAATGTTTCTTTAGAAATGCAAAGAATCAATCAGTTCAATTAAATTTGCAAAATCTTTGTTTAGCTCTTTTTCATGTACACTTACTACTTTCTCTAAAGTATCTGTAAGGAAGGTCTTATATGTTTTATTAAAAAACATAATGAGTTAGTCGTAGTTATGTTTCGCAAGATACTCTGTAAAGATGCTAAATAATCTAGAATTTCTGGTTTTATTACTTGATAAAAATTTCTGAAATTTCACTTTAGATGTTTTGTGTGGTCAAAAGTGTTTAATCGAATATTTTACTGTAATACACATCTTTCAAATAGTCTGTGATCTTTTTGGATTGAAAACACTCAATAATTTCTTTATTAAAAATAATGTATTCATTTTCGAATTGATCGATTTTGGTTAAGAATTACGAGTATTTCAACTTGAAATAAGAGAGTTCTTTAAACATATGCATATCTTCAAAAACATTTTCCTATATCTTCATCCTTTCTTGAAATAGCAATTGATAAATTTCAATAGAAGGTAAAATAGGTATAATTGATTTTTAGATGTTGTCCTCATATTGTGTCTAGAACTCTCCAAGTTAATCATCAATGATTTATTCAAAAACCTTATTGTAAATCACATCCTTAATGACATCATTAATTTTTTAGTAATTTGACACAAATTCTGCCAAAACTTCTGCCAATTTAAAGAAGCATCTACAATTTAGATTAAATCCTCTCCATTTTTTCAGAGGAATAAGGCGAGAACTAAATAAACTAATATCTTATTTACTTGACTTGCTTGTAATCATAATATTACCATTGAAGATCTATCAAATTTGAGGGGAATTTTTTAGAGTATGATACAAAATCACAAATTGTTTTCAATTCGTTGATCTATTGAATATCTAATTCATCTTATTCTATCTCTACTATGTTGAGAGATTAAAGTCTTGAACCAACTTATTTGAATAGTGTAAGGAAAGTATTAAATTATTGGATAGTTTGACAAGTAATGAACAATTCATCAGCTAATAATATGGAATAATTAATTAGTTTAATATTTTATTAATTGATATCACCAGTTATATAGCATTCGAGTAGTAGTACATCAGAATTATAAGTTTAGGCAATATCTTTAGAGATCCATACTCCTAATAAATCTTCTGATTAATCTAACTTGATATTTAGGAAAATAGAAATTTAACTTTGATTGTTAATTTCGTTTGCCTAAAAATATTTTCCAAAAGCATTACTAAAATGGTTTTGTTTTTCATTTCAAAATGTTCATTACATAATTAAATATAGTCCCCATTCATACATCTATATTAAATCTGTTAGGAAATAATAGTATTGTGACTGAAAGGAGCATTTTGATTATCGATTTCCTCAAAATATTTAGGTCTGTCCTTCTAGTTGATTTAACTGGTGTTTGTAGCTTATCCTGTATAGGATGAGAAATCAGACTCAATTGAATCTTTCCTACGTGATCTAGTTGGGGTTAATTAATATAAATATCTATTCCTCATTTATAATATTAATCACATTTAGGCATTAGGATGATGAACCCAGGGTAACAAAGTTCCAAAAACAGCTTACAATAATCCTTGATTTGCATTAAGAGGATTGAAATTGGCTGGAAGTTATTGTTGAGGCTGCTATTATTAGGCACCAATATTCTCTGCAAAAATATTATTGAAATCAAGTCTATTTTTATTTATTTTTTTGTTACCTTTCTGGATTCTCTAAAAAATGACTTTTCGATAATTCCTTATATCTTCTGTATTGGAAAGGAAGTTCATTATAAATTGGCGCTCCTTCTTTGACAACAGTCAGATCTTCATAAAAAGATCCAAGGTCTAATTTTTGGCTTTTAATGTGATTCACAATCAATCCCAAAGCACTAAAGATATATCTATTATAAATTACCCTTTTATCCATTTAAGAATTTCATTTGTCTTCCATTAGGATTTACTTTTTTCAACAAAGATGCTTATTGATTTTAAGAATCCTTCATTATCATCTTCAGCATCAATTTACAAGAACCAATGTAGATAAGTTTCTCTTTGTAGAAATTCTTCGGTCAATAATTCTTTAAATGGTTTCCTTTAATTATCAACAAAGCTCTCTAGGTTTCCAACATTTTGTTTGACAAATTCATTTGCTTCTGCTAATTGCTTGATGATAATTGGATATAAAAGAATAGCTTAAATTATGAGAACTTAATGGGACGCTTGTAAAGGATGAGGACCGAAATTGTTAATAGCTTCGGTTATATTTTGATCATTAAAAGAGTAATGATGGTTTTCCCCTTTTTCTAAGAATTTAGCTAATGCACAATTGTATAGAAGATTAGGCATAAAAACAATAGAAGATCTATTGCTTTTGTAGACACTTCTCGCAAAATTGGAAGTAAAATTGATTAAAAATTCATAGTTTTAAGCCTTGAGTGCATTACAATCTACAAGAAATAGTGCACCACATGGATCTCTTGTTGGACAAAATTTCAATAGAATTTTTGAAAACCTGAATATAATTATATATAGAATACTCTAAAGCTGCTTTATAACACCCTTTCCTTGTTAAGACATCTGTAAATTTGAATAAGGACATTAAAAATACTTTGCTATGAGCATTTTCTTCAACCTCAAGGTTGATTGAAGCATCCTCAAAGAATTTATTGAATCCATAACCTAGACTGCATTCATAGATGTAAAGCAATCTCTCTAGAAGTTCATTGGCTTATTTATAATCTCCCTTTAATCTAAAGTATTCACTCACATCAAATTAGGCTTCACAATGATAGGGATTCATCTATAAGAAATTGAAAATAGCTTATGGATCATAATAACCCTTAACAATTGTGTAATCTTATTAAAGTCTTTCATATTATTAAGATGCAACAAAACTGAATAATTACAAACCTTATTCATTTAAATTTCCGAATTTTACATTAAATTTATCAGGTAATGGAATATTAATTTCTGGATTGTAGGTAAGATAAGATTATTTGGCATTTTTATGTCCTTTCTTTTATTAGCCACCTGCAATTTTAGCATTTTTGAAGTGTTACTGCAATTCTTTATTGTAATTTAATTTTTTGATATTAATAGCTAAAGGACCATTTTCCTATGATTCTTGGAATTATATCATTTATGATTATTATTGCTGTTGTTGTGTTTATTCTGCTTAGACCTTATCGAGGAATTCAAAATCATCATCTTAATTTTGTTCTGGTTTTTGACTAGTTTCTTATTATTATTTTTTTTCCTTCTTCTTTTTATTTTTATTCTTCTTTTTCTTCTGATTGTTGTTGTTTTGATCATTTTATGGTTAGGTGGTTTGATCTGATTATTGAGTTTGAGTTTCTTCATTTTTTTATTCTGATTGCTATTCATCTTCCGAATCTGACATTTCCATCATTTAAAAGACTTATTTTTATTTTTTCTATTGCTCTACTTGATGAACTTGCTTTACTAATTGTTCATCCACAACTTCCTTAGGTTCATTTTGCTCCATAAGTTTTTTCATCTATCTCCTCATGTTTATTCTTTAATAATTATGTATTAAAATAATAAATATAATTCAATCATCTACAGCGTAAATTAGTCTGAAAAAGTAAAATTTGAAACATAGAATCAAAGCTAAGTTGAATGATATTATTGGAACAGCTATTAAAGTTGTTTGCTTGTTCTTTTTCATGAAACTATGAATAGTATTGTATATTAAAATTACTCCCATAAATTCACCAGCAGAAATATGGTGCTGTTCGCGAGTCCACACATCAAAAAGAACCATTAGGCTTCATTGTAGGGGATTATGCACAAAACCAGGACAAACATATAAACACTCAATGAATAGCCGTACATACAGACTATTTCAAAGACTCCCAATTCACTTTTTAGGATATATTTCATTATCACTCCTAATATTATAGGTATTATAAATGCCATAGCATACACTATAAGCACAGCCACATACATATAATTATATTCGTATTTAAAATGTCTCTTATCCTCTTCCAATAAGAAGCGAGATAGATTTCCTCCGGCAAATAAGATGAAGATAATTGTGGTTGAAATCCATAAAGGTCCCCATAAATCAGGGTTTTTTCCAACGCATTAATAGAACTCAGGTTTCCAAGATAACAGAGAACAACGAATTCTCATGTATACATCTCTTTATTCAATATCAAAGAACTGCTAATAGTATTCAACTGTGCAGATGGGACAGGTAGAAGGTTTTGGTTTGGGTTCAAATTTCACTTTGATCTTAGGTTAATCAGTCATGACATGTCCTTTCTCGTCCAAGTCATTCTAGTTTAGATAAGTAATACATTAGATCCAAAGTTTTGCATTATTAATTTAAAATATATATATATATGCTTTTCTTGGTTTCATTAATTGGAATTGTATATTCGACATAATTAACACTTGTGGAACCTTCTTTAACAATCCCATCTACAAAGAATGCTTCAATGCCAGTCAATGTGGCTGATTTTGGATATGTTCCATATGGGAGAACAGTGGGTGGAAATTTAACATACGTTGAAAATACTTGCAATCCACTCAACATAACTTTGAATTCAAATATTGTACTGACGATGGGAGCAACTTGCAAATTTTTAGCTTAAGCCATGAATGTCCAATCAGCAGGGGGGAAGATGCTTGTCATCATCTACAATCACGAGGAAGACATTAGTAACTTTTTATTAATTGCTGAATATGGATCATAATAATCATTTATACCAACCATGATGATTAACAAAGCTGATGGAGAATTTTTAATAGAAAAATTGGAATCCATGACTATTTATGCTTAAGTCTCTTTTGAGTTGAAACAATAAGAGATTGTAGATCTATAATACTTTTTATCATCTTTTGATGTATTATCATATTTGTTTTTGGATGAGTTCCTCCCTTTTGCCAAATAGATGATAAATAAAATAACATTTGATCCAATCTACATCTAATTTTATTGTAAAGAATGCGAAAAGACTGGCTATAAGGCCACCAATCAAAATTGTATAAGTGGTGGTAGATATTGCGGATAAGATCCAGATTAAAATGGTCCCTTGACTGGTAGAGATGTTATTTTAGAAGATCTAAGATAAATATGTATTCTATAGAAATATGATCTCATCACATGGTGGAATTACATGATACTGTTCAATGAGTTGTGCTTCAATAATTATCAAGAATGTCCATCCAAAATAATGAAGTCCATTTCCATCAATGAAACCATAGTAAATGATTGTATGACATCTTCATTCGTTGGAAAAAACACATTATTAGATGACAATACTATCTTGAAAGAGTAAAGATATAAGATCATGAGAAATCATTAAGTCTATTGGCCCTCCTTATATATTAATGGCGAATTTTATAAGGGAGATTTATATTTAAATAATGCTGATGAAAGTACTGTCTTCGATGTTGATGACTTTGCAGTTTTGGAAGCTATTTGCGATGGATTTTTGGATGATTCTAGACCTACTCTTTGTAATGCAACAGGATTCTTTTCCATAAAGGATGGAGAACTCTAAGATTGTAAATATAATTAATTTATCTTTTAGAAACAAGTTCCTTGATAATTATTCTGATTTGGGTAGGAATTTCTATGCTTGTATTATTTTTGTTGCTGATCTCCTTCCTTTTTATACGTAGGATGATGTTAAAAAAGGTTAGGGATGATGTAGGTTCTTAAGTGGATAACTATCTAAAAAATTATTATAAGATGCCAGAAGCTTAATGAATTATTTTATTAATAAAATATCATAATTAATTAATTCTTATCACTTTATTATTGAGAATTATTAAAAAATTAAATCTCCTCTCAATTAATTCAACATTATTATAATTTCTTAGTTCAATATGCTTAAATTGAATTGCAATATTTCCGAAAAGCAAGAGAAAATACTTTTAATAGATTTGTAAAAATAGAGTTCAAATTTCGAATGAATATTTTAGTTTATTTATTTGAATATTATAATATAGACCTTTAGTATCAAAATTTGATATCAACAATCGACTTAGGTTTTTATGTATCACATGTTTTTATCCAATTTGAAATCAATATTACAGATGTTTCAGAGTCACATAAATCCTCGTCTCTCTATACTTAATCTTGTTTCTAAGGGTTTGAAAACATTGAAATGATTCTATCTGAATTTTAAATTTAGTTTGATTCTTTGAACGAGTTACTATGTGTAATTGATGCTGTATACTGCAATGTAGGAGAACATTTTTCTAAATTTAAAATTTCCTTAAATAATGATTTCAAGTAATCATAATTAGGCATTTGAGTCTCAGGTAATCCATCAATATAATTCTTAAATGCTGTAAATTGAGATGGAAATCTTTGCATTAGATTCATAGAGTTAAATACAGCTTCCTTAATTTCCCCGATTTTTCGAATTTCTAACTGTTAGGATTAATATTGTTAGACCGTCTGCCATGGAAGCGTCTCTAAATATTCGAAATAATAACTTACTGTTCCTTAGGTACACTAATACATATAGGAGACTTTCCAAATCATCTTTATAATGCAACTAATTTCCTTTGTGAGCCTATCTACTTGCATATCTTAGTGAACCCACAAAAACCTTATTTTAAGAAATCGATTATCCAGCCTTCTGTGACAATCCAAAATCTATTAAATGAACAAATCCAGGTTTGGCAATTTCCTCTATTGGGACATTTATGTGAGAGGATGTAATCATGATATTTTCTGGTTTTATATCGAGGTGCAGAATATGTTTTTTATGAACTTATTCCAAAACCCTTAAAATACTTAATCCAATGGTTAGTATCTATGGAATTGTCATCGAGTTGTCTTTTAGTATTTCTTAAAGGTTTCTTTTCAAGATGGGTGTGATCAAGTAGCTTCTAAGATAAATAAGTGAACAAAAATACCGAGAATCTTTGGTTTTACCAGAATCAATCAATTAAGGGACACCATCTAGGCCCTTGAGCTGTTTTAGCCTTGAGATTTCTGTTTCAATTTGACCTAATTAAGGACCTTTTTCAATTTTCATAGCTAAAATTTGAGAAGTTGAGTTGTGTTAAACTTTCATGACTTAATGACCAGAGCCAGAACCTAAATTAGAGAGCACACGATATTCTGAGGATGAAAAATTCATTTACTATAATTAAATAATCAAAACCAAACTCCAATTGAGTTTATCTATTTGTTATAGCATATTAATCCTTTAAATTAACACAGATAATCGTTTAAATAAATTCATCACAGAATGCACCAAACAGTCATTTATGATAGATTTTATATTGTAAAAATTTCATAGCAATTTATAAAAGTTTTTAAAAAGATTCAAATCTAATCAAAAATTCATTAAAATGAAATGAGACTTCTTCCCACCTAAACTTCCATTCCTCTCTAGATCTACAACCTTTCAGATCTTATTAAATGCAAGGTTCCAAATTTTGAGTGATTATCAAATAAATACACTTTCTTTTCTTGTACCATCAACCTGGCATGGTTTCGACTGACAGAGATATCATTTACCCTGATATCTGTATCAGTTGATCTTCCAAGCTTTAATTCTTGCACATTCGAAAACTTTAAGATGTAAATACCAGAACTGTTATTCCACTCCAACTACTGTCCCTAGAATTAGTTATGTGAAGAATTTACTTATTTGTTTGTGAATTCCATCATCAAATAAGGGTAATCATTTGGTTTACTTAATTCGACTAGATCATAATATGCATCATCACTCTTAAACTTTGGAGGATAATTAAATTTGCATAATTCACATTCCAAATTCTTCCACAAATACACAATGCAATTGTCACTTTGTCTATTTTCTAATTTCATTCTTAACCAAGTTTTTAGGCATTCCAAGTGTATGTACTTGATTGATCCACTACATTTGCAAGGATTCAAAAGTGGGTTTTTAATGCTCTTTTGAGAGGAACAACAAATTCTGCACATAATTTATTCTGATGAATTAGACTGTGACGATTCATATTCAGATTTCTACTCCTATGGTTTAATTTGTAATGCTATCTGACGAATAGTGAATTTCACTCTCCCCAATTTTATAACATCTCCTTCTTGTAAAAGTACTCCACTTTCATGAATCACTTTCCAAATCTTATTCCCAAACTTGTCAGACACAGTTCTTAGAATATATATTATTATAACTTGTTTACTATATTATGTGATTCCTCATTCTCTTAGATTGATTACTTTTTGTCATCATTTTGAAAATGTGGATTTACAATAAAATAGTTTTCATTTTTTTTCTTTATTTTACACAGTTAATCCTTAATTATAGATTCGTTCTCAATCCATTCTACTTAGTTACGCCCAACCAAATAGCCCTCGTTACCTATCTAAAGGTGTAATTTAAAGATTATTACAATAAATTTTTATTCCTATACATTAGCTGCATTCTCGTAATCAAACAATGAAAATGCATCCTTCTGCCAAGTTTTTACTAGAATAATCAATTTTGTGCAATCAACGTTATTTGCTTAACTAAGACTCTTCTAATAACATTATCCTTAACAATTTCCCATATTAATTTTATTAAATTTTATGATATGTTAACTAACTTAATTTAGTTCTCATTCCTAACTTTCCTTCCCAAACTTCTAAAGAATATAATAAATTCTAAATTGAAATTAATCTACAAACACTTTTTACTTAAGACAATTAAATTAATTCTTGTTTCTGGAATCATATCGATGGTTACTCCAAATTAAATTTATATAATCTTCTTCTATTTGTATGTCGACAAGTCATGAATCAATCCCCAGCCATTTTCAAATTTAAAAATTGATAAGTAAGAATCTTATAATAACTTTCAATATATTGGCGATATCCTTAAATTCTACACTTAGATTAAGTTCTCGATCATTTCGAGAGATGTAGATCTTAGGATTAAAGATAAAGCTTAAATTTAAATAGAAATTAAGTAATATTTAATACCAGGCTTGTATAATTAATTAATAAAAATAAATTAAATTCATTCCCAGTAATCTAATTAGTTAGTTCTATTAAATTGAAGATAAATACAGTTATAAATAATATACTATCCAATTAGGACAACTTGTAGTTCCCATTTATAAATATTTAGTAGATTTTCTAATAATTAAAAATTTTAACCACCTAACCCTAGATCCAGAAACAGAAAATAATAATGATGAGACTGTTTGATATAAAGCGTTTGATAAGTATATTGTTAATTTATTATATTATTCTTCCTTATTATTGAAATAGCAAAACATTAAAATAAGAATCATTTGTTTTCTAAAGCCTTTTTGAATTTATCTTCGATTATATCGCAAATTTATGATAAGCATTTCAATCCGTCATTCATTATTTTCTCTTTTGTTTCATTTACAGTTTATAATCGCATGTTCATCTTATTTTCACTTGGATGAGGTAAACTATAACCGCAAAATTCGACATTTGGTTAATTTGCCAAAATATAACGTAAGGAGTTTCCTAATGTATGATCTTCATCAAAAAACACAAAGGTGCCATTGAATGGATCTGAATGTTCCTGTTTTTCATAATGGTATTGAAAAGTACTTGAATTTCCATTCCTTTAGTTGCTTAGGCAAGGATGATGGGCTTGCTCAATTCTTCTTCCTCAATATTCACATCTTATTCTTCTGATTCGCTAGAATTCATAGATTAATTTTTATTATTAGATTAATTTTTTTTCCATTAACTCAATATATTTATAATGTCGGACGGAATATTTGTCTCTATTATGTTGCCTGCTTTTATAGTAAAACACGAGAATTAAATTGTAAATTTAACTTATATTGACAAAGGATCAACTTTTAAAACAAACACTTTGCATCTCCTCTTAATCATATGAAATATTTGAAATTCCATCAAAGTTTGGCAAAGAGTTTGGAGTTAAGTTAACACAAAATTGTAACAGTTACTACAAAATTAATTAGCATTAAATCTTCGAGATATAGAAGAATTGATAGAGGAGAATAGACAGCTCCATGCATCATATTAAAAATGCAAAGAATCCTTGTAAACTCTAAATTGCGAATTTGAAAAAATCGTAAATGATCCCCTCATTCAATCTGAATCCGATAAAATGAAATATCAAATCAAAAAGTTGAAAAAAGTGAAAGAAGAAAACAAAAGACTTCGACAACTTTTAAAGTACAAAAAGTATAAATATTTTAGATCTTATCTTGACAATAGTGATAACAGAAGAATGGAGACACATGCCAAAGTAGAGTTACTTAAGGATGAACTTAATTCACTAGTAAAAGTAAATTTTAGTATCGATATCATAAGGAATTTGCACAGCAAGAACAACAAAAGAAATAAAATGATATTTTAATATCAAATTGATTTACAATTGAATCTTTTCTTTTTTTGATTCATTTGAATATTATTGTCATATTTTCTCAATTATTGTCTAATATATTTAAAAATAACAGAAATGGAGAATGATAAATAATCTTAATTCGAAGATCACATATTATAGAGATTCACACTTCTGGAATTCAAGGGCAAAGGTGCATATGGAGTAGTATGGAAAGCACATGATAAATAAACTAAATCAATTGTTGCTTTAAAAAAAGTGTTTAAATAATGTAATCGCTTAGGTATTTGATGCATTTCACAATAAAACTGACTCTTAAAGAACATTCAGAGAAGTAATCTTTTTGGAACAAGTATCAAAAAATGCGAATATCATTAAATTACTTCAAGTGATAAAAGCATAAAATAATAAGGACTTGTACATGGTCTTTGAATACATGGAAACTGACTTGCATAAAGTAAATGGAGTAAATATAGCTAGGCTATCAGGGCGAATATATTAGAACCAATCCATAAAAAATTTGTCGTCTACTAATTATTAAAGGCAATTAAATTCTTGCATTCTGGAGACATTATCCACAGAGATCTAAAACCTGCAAATCTATTGATCAATGCTGATTGCATAGTAAAACTGGCAGACTTTGGATTGGCGAGAACAGTGAATTCTTCTAGTGAAGATGATGGTAAATATAAAATTAGAATTTTACTAGTTCCCATATTAACCGAATATGTGGCTACTAGATGGTATAGAGCACCAGAAATACTTTTAGGTTCATAGAAATACTCAAAAGCTGTTGACATGTGGAGTATAGGTTGTATATTGGGAGAAATGATAATGGGTAAGGCAATATTTCCAGGAACTTCAACAATGAATCAAGTTGAAATGATACTCGAAATTTTGGGTACTCCAACAGAAGAAGACATCAAATCGATAGCAGCACCTTTGGCAAAGCATGTCTTAGATAGCTTTTAATATGTGAAACCTAAAAATTTCAAGACTGTATTTAGTTAAGAAAGCGAGGACACCTTAAGTTTCCTTAAACATTTGCTAGTCTTTAATCCTCAAAAAAGGTTGACTGTAGAATAAGCATTAGCTCATCCCTATATGGCAGAGTTTGCCGGTTCGGAGGAAGAAACAGTGATAGGTAAATTGCTTAAGTAATATTATACTAGATTTCCCTGTCCAAACATTTATGGATGACAATGTCTAATATAGCATAGAAGAATATATGACGGCACTTTATTAGCATATTAATTAAAAGACGCAATAAATTCAACATTAAAATTGGTTTAGTTCTCATCAATCTCCAACAAATGCCAGCAAACCTTCGAGTACTATTTAGTAATCGACTACTCCTACTAGTGTTTAAGATAAAAGGAAGAAGAAGGTGGATTCCATAGAGGGTTCAAATAACAATTCAGAAAACAAATAGATCATTAGGTAGGAAGTCAAGAAAAAGTTAAGTGAGGACAATCAAAATTAGAAGATGAGTGCTCTCGAAAAGTTTAAATCAATTGAGAATATGATTAAAATGTAAAAGGCCAAATTGGGAACAAGCAATGGCTAAATAACGGTTTAAACTAGTTCTAAATTGTAATATGGCAATAAATCAGTCAATATAACAAGGGCTGATAGTTAAAAAAAGAAGGAAGCCTCTTGTGTATGTTTTTTGATTGATTTTATAGGAAATCTTGATTCCAAGTCCAGCTGCGAAGTCGAAGATTTAAAAAATTGTTAGTTAAAATACGTTTAAAGATCCACAAAAAGTGTCAACTATTAAGTCTCAATCAAAATTACCGAAACATGAAAGTCAACATGATAAATTCTTGAACAAGAAAACTTATTTATAATATATTTTGAGTGGGAAAGCTAAACTGTAAAAATGATTTTATAATTTTCATTTTATGATAATGGTTATTTTATTTGTAATTATTTTTGGAGTTTATTTATTTAGATTTAAGTTAAATAATTTTAATATATGATAGCTTCAAATTCTTCAAGGTAATAGAGAATTAACTGATTTAGGCTAATAAGTCCCCAATAAAAATTTTAATTAAAATACACCAAGAGTATCTCCAAAGAAACAAAATATCGGCTTAGAACAGCCAGACATAATTAAATAGAAAGATTTATTTTATAAAAACATCACCCGGATGAAATTAAAAAATGTAGCACAAGTTGTCATTGTGATTTTTGTGGAAAAATGAGTGCGTTTTAAATCAAGGTTTGGAGATAAATACCTCAATATGAATCTGTGTAAAATCAAAAATTCAATTGATTGATTATAGTTTTTCTAGACGAAAAAGAGTTTTCAAACGTTTAAGAATAGCAGGCTATGCTGTGTAGTTCTTGGTTTTCTACAGGACTGAATAGATAAAAAGATAAAACAGATAAAGGCAAATGTAATAATTCCTTAGAAATCCTTTGATATCTACTAAAAGGGGCGCACTGGTAGTTCAATCAGCCAAATCTAACCGATCTCCAAAATCTCCTACACCTTCAGAAAATAAAATCAGGTTAGACTCAATATTTATTTGGTAGAAGAAATGCCACAGATTACTTTGAAATCGATTCTATCAAAGAAAAAATGTCATTCAATGACCACTGCAGTACTTTAATAGTGTGTTAAAATCAAAGTATAAAAAAGAGACAAGTCTCTTTGTACATGGAAGAGATGTTGAAAAATATTACTACAAAATAGAGTATTGCTATGAGTCTTACTCCTCTCTCAATAATTGTACTATGTTTTAATATGTTTTCATAGGATAAAAAACTAAAGAAGAACAAATCAATTCCTTGTATAACAGAATAAATTTCTCCAAAATATAGTCTAGACAATCTATAGCTTGAAAAGTTATTGACTCCTTTGAATCTTCTACAAAGGGGTAAAAGAAATCAATCTAATATACATATATTTCATAATGAATATTCAAATAACAACAAAGAAGTTATAAAAATGATTGATAATCTTAAGATAAAGCACAGAAAATTAAAAAGAAAAAATTGATTTTATACTCTTTCTTGTTAATCATTTTAAATTTTTAATTTCAGACACAAGATCAAATTCTCCATTCAGTAATTTACTTCTGAATTCTGCATTTCTATCAATCAATTTAACGACTGATTTAACTCTATCCATATACTCCTAAACAGATGATTTGTGAAGATCAAATATTGCTTATTCTATTTTTTTTGACCATTCCCCCTCCTCTTTTTGTGTCTACTAATAGAAATATTTCTTCAATCCTTCAACAGCCTTTTTTCTTTTTTCTTCATCAACAGGTTCACCCTTCCCATTTTAACTATCATTATTTTATAACTTGGTATGATGTGAATTTCCATTTTTATGCTAAATTGGTTTGATCTCTTTTTTCTCTTATTCTTATCTCACTTTCTTTTAGATTATAGGTTCTTCAACTTTCGATGGTTTTTATTTTTACACAATTCTTTACAACTCCTTCTTGGGCTCTTCTTTTTTGATATGATCTGTGGCGGCTTAATCATTTGTTAAAATAAGTTATTTCCATTATTTCACTAACTTCCTACAAATTTTGATGGCCTTGGCATATTTCTCCTCATCGTCTTCTGTATATTTTTTCTGTCCTATACGTACAATGCTTTTTGTTATCTCACTATCAATTAATGCTTGGGTTTCAATATTGCCCTTATAAATTTAAGCTATTAATTTATAAGATTTGGAAATCGGGGTTGAAGAGAATTTCTTGAGTTCCTATTTAATTTCAGATAACTATTGTGCATTTAGCTCCATTTAATTAAATATTTATTTGATTTCGTTGTAACAAAATAAGTATAAATATACGTGTTATTATATTAATTTTTATGAGCAAAAACAACAACATTCTCTAAAAGAATTTGGAAGAAGAAAACATTTTAAAATAGGATGAGCTATTCGAGAAAGTACAACAATTGAAACATGTATCCTTAAACATCCAAACCTATCTCAAGAATGAGAAGCCTTCTCTAGATAAGCTGAATAATGATTATGATAAATCTATCGATATGGTAAAAAAATCAATAAGTGGAATTGGCAGTATCAATAATTACTAATATTCTAGAATTATTAAAATCATCATTTGGATAGAACACTTGCTTTCTGATTTGTGTTGTTTTTATGGCGATATTCATACTTTATTTATTGTGAATTAATAAGTTGATATTATTATATTAATAAATGATTAACATACTTTTTTGGTGTTATTTTAATTAATCTTTCCATTTTCATAAGCTATTTGAAAGAATAATATATACAATATATATACTAAAGAATAGTTGATTGTGAGAATTAATTAAAGCATCCATCTAAAATATAAAATTTATGAATCCTTTATATAAAAATCATAAATAAATAAATGTTTAAATTAATCCAAAGAGCTTGCTTCAGATACGCAGTGGCTAGCGGCAAGGCTGAGGCTGAAATCAAATCAGTAGCAGGTATTAAGCATTGAAAGGTCTAGGACATAAACCACCCTCTTTCGAAGATACCGTCTAAGGAAAATATGCTGGAGTGCTTTTCTCTACTGCATCTTAAAGGGAAGCTCTTCATTTGGTACTTTAAGATATGAAGTACTTCAAAGAGTTGGCTGAAAAGAGTCCAGTATTTGCAGGCTTCTTATTAAACTCTGCATATAAGAGAAATCAATAAAGAAATGTTATATAAGCATTAACAAAAGTAAAGCGATTTTGATATAAGTGTAGGAAGGATTTCACGAGGTCACAGTAAATTTGTTAAATACTATGATTGATAGTCAAAGAATCTCATATTTGAGTAAGACTGCTGAGAAATATATCGAATATTATAGAATCTTTAACAAAGAAGAAAATATTACAATAATATCAGCAGAATCATTATCTGAAGAATAAAGGTATTCTAGTTTGCAAATGATGTAGAGCCCAAGTTGTTGGAGCCTTGAAGGAATCTAGTCCTAATGTTCAATTCTCTGTATAATATAAAGTGGACCCATCCATTTTGGGAGGTTTGTAAATGTATTCTGGCAACAAATTCTTGGATTGCTCATTGTTGTCAAGAGTGAATAAATTGAGATCAGAGTTGTAGAAGTTGAGCATTTGATTAAGAATAAGCAATAAAATAATAATTATATTATTAATCTAAAATATGGACAGTCTAAAGGATCCCGCGAATGACAGATATGTAAAAACACTGAAGCCACCTCCTCATCGTCCACTGGCTAAAAATTTGATGTTTCCTGATAAATTGAAGAGTATGACAATTAAGTAAATGATTAGATAAACCTGATTGGAAGTTATTGAAAGATCATCTTCAAAAGGAGGGAAGAGTTGCAAAAGAGGAATTATTCAAATTGGTAGCAGATTGCAATAAATTATTGAGTAAATTGATGAAATGATTATTAGAAAATGAAGGAAATGTAATTTATTTGTAAGATCCACTTACTGTTGTTGGTGATATTCATGGGTATTTATAATATTAAATGAAGTCAATATTATGATTTGTTAAAATTACTTGAACCAAAGGTTGGAGGAAACCCTGAAACAACGAAGTAAAAGAATATTACCAAAAATTTAGATATTTATTTCTCGGAGATTTCGTTGACAGAGGATCATATTCAATCGAAGTAGTGATTTTACTTTATGCAATAAAAATAAATTATCCAAATACTGTATACTTTTTACGTGGAAATCATGAATGCAGATAACTGACTGCTTTTTTCAATTTCAAAGATGAATGTACATTTAATGTAAGCTTTAGGTTTGTATAAATATGATTAAGAAACTTATGAGATGCTTATGGATTCTTTTGATTTGTTTCCTTTATCATGCATAATAAATTCAAAATTCATAGCTGTTCATGGTGGTATATCACCTGATTTAAAATCTGTAACTCATTTTACCAACCTAAAAGATAGAAGACTTAAAAAAATTGGACAGATATCATGAACCACCAAGAAGTGGTTTATTTTGTGATATTCTGTGGAGTGATCCTGTTGATTAAGATTAAGGCAATTTGGATGGACAATGGAAAGGAAACGAAGTCAGAGGATGTAGTTGGTTTTTTGGAAATGAAGCAAGCAATAAATTTCTATAAAGAAACAATCTAATAAGTATTATAAGAGCTCATGAGGTTCAATATAATATTAAAATCATAGGCTCAACTTGATGGCTACAAGATGCACAGATGGAATGGAGGCCAGGATTTCCCAGTTGTTATTACAATATTTAGTGCTCCAAATTATTGTGATGTTTATAATAATAGAGGTGCTGTTATTAAATTTGAAGTAAATCCGATTTATTAAATTTAGAATAATACTTTGAACATTCAACAATTTTAGTATACTCCTCACCCATATTTACTGCCAAATTTTATGGATATTTTTACTTGGTCCATTCCATTTGTAGCTGAAAAAATCACAGAAATGTTATATAATTTAATTTAAGCAGGAGATTAAGGAGATGATGATGAGGATATCAATCAAGAAGATATTGAACAATTTAAAATATTAACCTAACAAAATAAATAATTCAATAAGCAACAATCTACTGGAAGCACAGGAAAAAGTATGTGTATTTTTAATACAAGGCACTGAGAAATTAAAAAACAAATTGAAGTTTGTAGCAACAATGATGAAGATGTAAAAAACACTGAGAGAACAAAGTGAAAGCATTATGAAATTAAAAGGGGCATGTCCTGATAAAAGATTACCTAAAGGAATATTATCAGCTGGTAAAACAGCAATTACTGATGGTATCAAATGTGGTTCTATCTTTTTAAGCTCTTGCTGATTTTAATATTGCAAAAACTGCTGACATAGTTAATGAGAAAATGCCTTCGCAAGCTTAAGTTCCTCAACAATCTGTATCAATAAAGAAACCGAGTAATACTGTCCAAAATAAAAAGAAATGAGATGGTTTTCTGGTAAATATATATAAAATATACAAATATTCATTGTTTATACCAAATATTTTTAATTAATAAAATTATAATGTAAGACAAATAAATTATTCAGCTTTTTGAAAAATACTCTAAGCTTAATGATCCAAAATTAGTGTTCTAGACAAGTGAATAAATTTTAGAAAGAGTAAAAGAAGATGATATAACCTTTGTATTATCAAAAATTATGAATTGTTTGCAATCAACAGATTTTGACACTACAATCAATTATGCCTTACTATTAAAACAACTAATTTAGAAGTATTCATCTAAACATCAAAAATTACAACCCAAAGCTATTTTCGATAATTTACAATAAACTTTAAGCAAAAAGAACTCATATGGTAAAAGTGAGTTTAAACATTTCATGCTGACCAAATATTTGGTCTATTCGTACTTAGATTTTTAGAACCTTTTAAATATTACACTTGAAGATCGAAAAACTGAAGATTCAGAATACTTAACCTATGTCCTATTGAAGCAGCTGTATTATTTATCGATTATCTAGTAAACCTGAAAATGTGAAGTAAGTTAGCAATGCAATAAAAAATGACCTCTAAAATTTAACACCAAGGGTTTTTTGTATTTTAGTTAAGCTCCAATAGCTCAGTCAAAAAGGATAGTTCTAATGGGATAAATATCTTCAAGAATAGGTATTTGACAGACAGAAGTTCCACAAGCTTTTAGAATAAGCAAATGACCAATTCCCAAAGAAACAACTCTTCTATTAATACTTAGCCATATAAATGGGGAAGGTTAGATATCTCATTTATAATTATAGTTTAGTCAATCATAAGATAACTAAAAAATATATACTGAGTTCTGGGAATACCTATTCTAATAAGAGGACTTAAGAAAATTAAACTATATCATTTTATCAATTTTTAAACATTTCCTAAAATCAACTACTGTCCCACTTTCTCTAATTAGAAATTAATAATTGGTTGAATTATGGTACAGGTAATTTGGAAATTCTAATTCTGTTATGAAAAGATTAGCAAATAAGATTGAATAATACTTGACTTAAAGAGATATTTCCTTTGAAGATATCGTTTACCTGAGAAATATCTATGGGTATAGAATTCATCCAAAAAATGGCATTGCATAAAAAATATTGGCAAAGTTCACAGAAGATGAAATAGATCAATACTTTGAGAATATGAAATAATAAGAACAATCTTCTACCGATCCAATCAATAAACTCTATTACTTAAATGAAATCTATGTTCTTGCTACTGTAGCTAACACAAACGTTAAAGTCTTAACATCTATGATAAAATATATTTATGAAATCGGCTGCATAAACTTTGAATAGATTTATGAGCAATTAGATGAAGAATCTAAGGAAGCCTACCAGTTTGAAGAGATTAAGAAAAAGTTTTTAGATTAATGTCAGAGTTTCTTTTACTCACTTGTTGGAAAAGTAGCTGCTGTAAATATTTTATATGATAATTAGAATGTGTAAGAATTTGATGAATTAACAAAGTCCTTATTGAAATAACTTAAAAAATCGGATTTAAGTAAATAGTATAAATTGATTACTGGCAAATAACCTAAAGAATGTATCAAACATCTAGTCAATACAATCCTTATGTTTTCATTTCTCAATTAAGAAGAAGGATTATAAATCTTGGAAGAGTTTCAACATATTGCAGGCGATATTTAAGAGGAGGAACCTCAAACTAAAAAAAAAGTAAAGACTAATCCAGAGAAGGCAAAAGTTGTCTTAACTGAAGTATTTATTTAATTGTTAACAAAATCCCCATGTATTTTATGTAATCTATATAATATAGAATTCTTGAGAGATGCTGTTAATTAGTGCTGCAAATCACTTGAGTTTACAACAGAATGCTTAGAAATTCTATTGGATGTTTTATTGAAGGAAGATCATGAATATATTGCTGAGATGCAACAATAAGAATTAGATGATGAGGAAGGTGGAGATGAAAGCTTAGAAGAAGAAGAAGAGGAAAATTAATGATGTTCATATATTAGTTGTTTGTACAATAATTATACAATACATTTAATTGATTTAGTCAAATAAGCAATAAGACTTTTCAAATTTATACTAATATTTTTAATTTTTGAGTATATTTTTATACTAAAAGGGATTATTTAATTTCTTAAAGAAAATAAATAAATCAGAGAGGAAGATTAAGAATCTTAGTTTTGTAAATTAATTATGAATGAAATCGAAAATATTATCAGCACTTTCAAATGAGGAGAAGAATTAGAAAAGATTGATAAAATAGTTAATGACAAATGAAATAAAATTTTACAATACATTCATTGTCAATTGGTTTATTAGTACTTTGCTTATAAATCTCTTTTCAATAGAATTGTTTTAAATAAATCGCCCCATAATTTAATTAATTCTTTTTTTTTATTAATTTTGTTCTTTTCAGCTATTTCAATTTTGTATTATTCATAAAGTGCAATAATTTTATCATAATCTTCATTGAGTATCAAATAGCCACATTTTTAAGCAAACATTCTTCCGTTCTAGGAATCAAATCCATCAACAGCTTCAATAAATTTGATATTATTTTTAGCCAACAAATGCTTGATTCCTTGCATTCTAACAAGTCTAGTACCTTTTGGAGGTGGAAAAGAAAACGTCTAATGATTTATCATTGTATTATACTTCGTAATTTCCATAAGCATTAGATGGTAAGTTTCCACCATTTTCTTCCAAGGATACTTTAATATCATTGGTCTACCAAATGGCATATAGAGCAGTGGTCTTAGTCTTATCAAATTTCTAGCTGACTTCTTTGATAGGTTATACATCTAGTTTAACTTCTCTTAAATATTCTCTCCATTTATCTCTGGAATGAAGAATGATGGCATCACTTTGTAAATAAATATCTTCATCCTTGAATTTGATTCCAATAGGTTTGGCATCTGGATGTATCATCTAATATTATGAAAGCTATGATGCCAGAGCATAGTATTAACTATATTTAAATTCCTTCTCATTTGTATAATCTTATGGTGCTGGTATTATAACATTTGCACTAACTGGTTCATTAACTAATTATTACAGTCCTTTGTAGATTAATTCTAAAATAAATTATTCAAATACTTGCATTGTAAGCTAATTGATTGAACCATCTTTCAAGAGACAATTGGCATCTTTGAATTTAATAATAGTGTGAATATTTTTATGTTACATCAACAAAATGAGTATTATCGAATAACCTATTTAAACGAAAATTGGGATCCTTAAATGTCAAGTCTTGAGCAGCAATAATAAAATGACTGAAGCTATTTTATAGTTTGGTTTTCAGAATATTGATATCCAATAATACAAGCTTATCTGATATAGGATCGAATGGAATCCATGAGTTCTAATTAGAATCATAAAATTCAACCCAAATATTCTAATTATAAGTTTGAATATCCTAATTAATCTATCTTTCATTTGGTTATTTTTTATTATCCTTCTTTTTTGGTTTTTTTAATTCCTACTAGATATCCATTAAACTTCTACTCTCATTCTATTATTATTTTCTTTGGAATTCTTGTGATACTTTTAATCCTTTATCTTTTTAGTTAGGTTTTTAATAAATAAATTAATTCAAAGACTCAACCTTTTCTGATTAAGTCATGAATTATGAATTTAAATCAAAAATAGTTTTCGTATTTTATTCGACCTCCTCATTCTCTTATTCATTTTTCTTTATTGTGCGAATCTTAAATTTTAATTCTAAACCCAAAAATCCTATATCAAATGCTCTTACCAACCTGACATTCAATCCATAGTACTTACATAATTAACCAAAAGTTATGATATACTCTTATGGACTCAAATGAGTGATTTTGAATTCTTTGAAGAATTGAGTTTTTAATGAATAAGTTAAAGCAAATCCTTAGTAGAGTGCGAACACTTTCTCTTATAGAGTTTTGGCCTAATTTAGTTTCATTTCTATCATTTCAATATTTGAGAATGTGAAATTAGACAACTTGAATGCAAATTCAGATAAATTGTTCATAGTTTTATGATCTTAAAACAACTTAAACAGCTGTATGATGATTGTTGTACGGATTTAATTAACTGGAACATAACTCTTCTTTTTAGGTTTTTAATCAATCTTTTTTTAATCTTTCCTTAAAATTTTTTCCTATAATTCAACTAAATCATCAGGCAATCCTTCTTCGATTATTTCATAGTCTTCTTATTTATTTGGTACAATTTTTTTTAATTAATTTACTCTTTCAACAAAGTCATCTTCATCTTGTATAGATTCCTATGACATTTGCTCAGATTCTTGATTTACTTCAAAAGAATCGTCCATTTATTAGTAAATTGTAAATTAATTATAATAAAATTTTGGCTCTTTTTTTTCAAAATGACAAGCATCAAGAATATTAAATCTATAAGTTAAATAAAATAATATAATCCAAAACAAATATGAATTGTACTCAGAGAATCAAGTCAAGATTTTAACCAAATATTATTTCCATAACTTAATTAATAACATGGGAAATAAACCATCAGTAAATTAAAGTAAATTTCAGAAACAATTGACAATTAATGATAAGCAATTTAAAAAAGACTAAAGCTAATCGAATGTTATTGCTCCTTACAGAGAGGGAACAACTTTAGCTGTGGAAAGTAAATTGAAGGTATATTTAAGAAATGCTAATGATGGTGAAGACCTTGATGATGACAATCAAGGAGGAAGGAATAAATTATAATAATTTAAAGAAGACTAACATAATGTTGAAAATATTTAAAAGGAAATTATCCATTTAGAAGAAACAGTGTTTTCAAAAGAAAAATTATAAAGAGTTCGAGAAGACTTTGAATCCTATTCTAAAGAGAATAAAATGAGCAGAAAGAAGTTACTTGAATATTTTGGGATGGCAGAACTCGACAATAAAAGGTTAGGAAACAGGATTTTCTAATGTGTTAAATCAACTTTCTCCTAGAAAAAAACAGGGTATATAAAATAATATAGTGTTATTTAGACCTTTTCTAGATTATGCTAAGTTTTTAAAGGCCATATCCATGCTATCTTAATAAAATGACGAAGGAAGATTGAGGTTTTTATACTCCATGTTTGATATGAATTTAGAAGGTAGTATAGAGAAAGATGAGATGTATAATTTAATGATGATGTTTCTAGAAGTAATTTAGGATATTATAATTTAGGGCATGATGTCGATTAATTATGAAAATTAAGATTTGAACGATTTAAAGTAAAGAATAAGTGAATCACATGACAGGCAGATTGAACTTGCTCTAGAGGAAATTGTAAATGAAATTTACTAAAATCATGCATCCAAACAAAATGTATTAAGCTATGATGATTGGAGAAATTGGCTGATGGAATAGGAAGGAATTTAAGAAATTTTACAATTTAATCCTCATACTGATTTTTAGGATTGAGTTATATTGATATTGAATTTTATTATGATTGTATATATGATTCAATCATAGAATTTGATATTCTAAAACGTTATTTTACAATAAAATCTATAAAACAAATTTAAACAAAATAATTTCATTTAAACTTTGATTTAGTAGCGTTGAATTGTTTCACTGTTGAATTTGATTTGATCACAAAAGTTTCAGTCTTTTTTCTTGATGATCGCATTTACCTTTAAAAGGCTGCTTTTAAGCTACCATCATCTTAGTTTTTATCATCATCAGGAGACTATGTCTAGAATTTCTCATATTGATTTATATTCTTGGAACTGTAAGAAGGTCCAATTAATTTTTCAGTGTGATACTAAGGGATTTTTAAAGGAAAATCTTAATTTTATTGCAAATTTTGATCTCTAGGACTCTAAATAGAAACTTGACTTCTAGGAGAGGAAGGACTAAAGGTCAAGGTCTTAGACTGTTTAATTCTTCTATTAAAATGTCGGTTTGAAAAAATAGTTGGTCTTTTCATTTACAGCTACATTAATTTAGCTAATTGTTCCTAAACAAACCATTAATGATTTAGACACTGATGAGAGGTCAATCGTTCTTCAGGATTAGGTTAAAACGTGCCAGTAATAAAATCGAGACCAAGTGGACTCAGGTTTAAGGAACTGAGATCAACTTCGCCCTCAGCATTTTACTACAATCTTGTATCAGTGTTTCCTTCAAAAGGTAGAGTTCCAGTCGTTAAAATATAAAGTATAACTCCAATGCTGAATACATCAACTTTTAAATCATAATTTTGATGATGCAAGATTTCTGGTGCAATAAAACCAGGCGTATCACTACGTATTTAATCATAATTCGATTCTGAATCATAGAAATCAGCCTATGAGAATTTTCTTAGACAGAGTGTCTCAATGTTATCATCAATTCTAAAAACAATATTATCAGGTTTTAAGTCCCTATAAATTATGTTCTTTGAATGCAAATAACATATTGTTTTGACTAATCTAAAAATGATTTTTGCAGCTCTATCTTCTGGGAAACAGATTTCTTTGGCAATGAAGTCCATTAAATTACAACTCTTAATTAATTCAAGAATGATAAAGACTTGTTCACTGTTTTCAAAGATCTCATAAAATTTGATGGCAAATTCAGATTAAACTCTTCTGTGAATAGAAGTTCGTTTTATTAATGCAACTCTATAAGCCTCGTCTATGAAAGATTTTTTTTGATATATTTTTACTGCATATTCATTTCCATCATATTTGTTTACGGCTTTAAAAACCTATTAGGGAAATATAGAAGTTCATACTTATGACGATTAACCTTTCCCAATTATCTTTTTCATATAATATGTAGCGTCGAAATCACATTGTATTGTATAGCTTTTAAGATACCCAAGCCATGATTTAGCATCGCAAAATATTTCAATAACATCGAAACATTTTATGAGTCTCAAGGCTGAACCAAATTTTGGGTGATAAAAAAGTTCTATTATAGCGTTCTCAATGTCAATCCATTTAGTTCTACCCTAAATAAAAAGTAAAGTGAATATGCTACTTTTTTTGTCTGGTAAAATAAATAGTTGGCGACACTGGATAATGTTTTAGACTTTACTACTGCTTACTGATTTACAAATTTAACTTCATCAGAAATTGTCTGGTTTGCTATTGATATAGGAATTGTGGACTTGGACCATTGCATTGTTGAGTAGGAGATCTAGAAGAATGACTTACTGTGTTTATATTCACAACTAAGGACAGTTTGAAAAATAAATTTACCTTGGATTAAGATCCTTTATCATTCCAGATGCTTCTTTACTAAATTAATTAACTAAATTTGATGATATTTAAACTGAGATTTGATAATTTTACATACTGTGAAGTGAATAAATAATAATGAATTGATTATTAATACTATTAAAGAACAACAAAATAATATTGTCTTACTAAAGTTTTGCAATAAATTTATAAATCAATTTAATAGGAAATTATCCAATTTGAAAATTGATTAATTGCATATTCGTTGAATGTCATTTAGACTATTTTAATGTGAAGAGACATGAAGAATACTTTGTTCCTTTAATGACTCTCTTGAGTACTATATGTTATAAAATAAATTAATTAAAATATAGAATAAGGATGGACGTATTTTTAATAATAATCTCCTGTATAATAGCCGTTCTGCTGCTGGGAATCAACATTTATATACTAGCCTTATATTGTCATCGTATCGCATTCATATGAATTAATTTTAGCATCTGATTCTGGATTTGGAGCTTCTTTATTTTGTAAAATATTAGTAGTACTTGGCTTCACATTGGCATGGGGACAAATCTTATTAGTATCAGCAGATATATCAGCATCTAAGTATTATGATGAATCATTTAGGGGTGTCTTTACAACCGAAGGAGATGCAATGATGATTGTGTGGTATGTTATATATTGCACTATTCTGGGAATGGTGGCATTTTTAATCCCATGCGCTCAGTTTTATTATGAAAGTGATGAGGATAAGCCATTAATGAAACGACTATTAGAGGTTATGTGCTATGAATTCATATTACTGGGTGTACTTTTAACCTTATTGTTGGTTGGATTTACATATCTTGGAACCGCAAGGATACCTGTTCATACAATCACTTAGACTTTTGATAGTTAGATTTCAGCTACATTCCCAATTGTGTTGAGCAATTATGCTTTCAATTAGGTATCAAATGCTTTGCAATTAGATTGAAAGTGATACCAATGTAGAGATTTCAGTATCCTTTCCTGTGTTTTTGATGGGGTTCTTGGCATTTATTGGATGGTTTTTGTTAGTGTTGTTTGGTGGAGTTGGTCTTTCTGCACTGCCTATAGATTTAATTTAGGAATACATCAGCAGACCTAAAATAATGAAATCGTCTGAGGCTATGGAAAAAAAGATGAGATTAAAGAAATAAGCAGTTGAGTTGATATAATTTGGTTAATAAATTCAAGAGGAAGAAAAAGAGTTGGCTTTAGTAAATGGATTTATGGCAGAAAGAAAAGTGAAAAATCAAATTAAATAAAAAGCTAAGAAGTTTTAGGCTGCAACTGAAGCACTTACAAATGAACATGAAATATTTAAAATGGAATTAGAATATTAGAATGTCAATCCTGTGGTTTGGGTTTTCAAACTCATTTTAGGAATTATATTCATAATTTTATCTTTGTTATGGATTTTATAAATGTATTACATTTTATTATCATAAATTAGATTGTTGTATATGCTCATTAAAATCAATGGATTCCCAGCTTATAGTTTTTTAAACAAGATGTTCATTTATTTAGAAGGAACTGTGATGTCATTTATTGGTACAATTTTATTGGCTCTCTTTACCTTGTATTTATTGGGTTGCACTTATAAGGGCAACTTGAAATTCGGACTCAGAATTCCCTTTCTCTTTACAATATATCCAATGAAAGTGAATGAGACATTTATGAACAGTTTCCTTTTCAACGCAAATCTATTACTAATTACTTCAGTCGCTGTTACTCAATTTAGCATACAAGCCTTTTCAGAATACACTTAAAATTCACAAATCGCTTTGATGTTCTTAGGCTAGATCTAATATTTATATTTCTTCACTTGGTTCTTTGATTATAATGTGTTTGTAATAGCACTACTTTCCTGGACTGGGATAGTTTTAATCTATTTGCTTGTACGGAAACCACCTAAGCCTTATGCATTAGTAGAAATCGAAAAAAGGAAGACCTAAGATTTTGAATTATAAAAAAAATGAATAGTATAACACTGCTTAGATAATAGCTGTCTAAATTACTAAATATAATGAATCCAATTGCAATATTATATTAAATTTCAATTTCTTCTTCATTCTATATACCTAAATGACCATCAAATGTCTGATGTAGAACTTATACACTGTGTGTTTTATGCAAATATTCGTATGAAATTAAGGGTACAAATTTATTTATAAATTTTAGTACCTCAACTGAATTAATAAATTTTCCTTTTGTAATAATACATAATGGAGAATAAATAATTTTAGTTGTGATTTATATATAAATTTCCCAAATAATTCTAGCAATAGATGTTGAGAATCTAATATAAAAATTCAGATATTAAAAAAATGAAAAATTAGAATAAATTAGAGACTCTTTCTATATATCCCAACGATAGTGATTCTTAAGAGATATATCCCTTATATGACATAGAGATAGCAAGAATTTTTGACACCGAAGACTTTTTATAATAAACATTGTACACTATAATTCGACAATGCTATGGGTATAGGAATTTAACAAGGATGTGGCCTAAATTATCATAATAATAGTTAACTAAAGGTAAGTATGAGAACTATTATCAAAAAATAATCAATAATCGAATTTCGAGATTTCCCTAATTAAATTTATAAGGCATTCAATAGATAGAAGGGAAGCGCTATAAGATAGTATTATATTCAGAATTGATGTTCAAATTGCATCCTTAAAAAATGTTATGTTGCATTTGTGAAAAAGAAATATTACTTAGCATTGTTGAGGAGCATTCTTAATTGTGTCTTAAAAAACACATGCTAAACAAGGACATTTACGCATTGTAGGATAAGATTTAGGAGTTATCGGAGGAAATTAACAATAAGGAGATTGAACTTATAACTAAAATAAATTTGTATAGTAAATAAAGGATGTCAGAGAAAAATTTAAGCCATTAAAACAGTCCAGTAATGAGCAGAAGCAAATAACAAATTACTCTTTCAAAGTTTGCTCAATAGAGTGATTAGAGATAAAGAGGAATTTAAAGAGCAAAAACCATTAACATTTCAGAAGACAATAGCATTAGTGAGTTCCCAACATTTCATTAAAGAAAGCCAGGTAGGAATTTCACTCGCTTGGAGTCGTCTATGAGCATGAGTCCAGATAGCCAAAAATAAATAAAATGTGCTATATCTTTACTGAAAGTCACTCAACAATATTGCTAAAAAATATTAAAATAGGATAATTCATTTGGTTTAGACATAGATGCCAAATTTTAATCTTTGATCAAATTAGGATTACCTGAGATTAACCATTTGAGCGATGTAAGCGAATTAATGAAGAGATCCTTAAGTTTAATTACACAACGATTGGAATTAAATAAGTAAGTCAATAAGATTGATGCTGCTTAAGTATAATTGTAATGTGGATCTATTGAAAAATTAAAGAAAATCTTCCAAAAAGGATTATCAAACTCTTATAAATAAGCAGGAACCTCATTAATTAGTAGAAATAAAAAAGGAGTTAATACTGGAGGCAAAGTGAGAATTATGGATTTAGTGAAACCTCTTAAATCTAAATTCAATCAAAGATAGTTTAAGGAGGATTAGGAAGAATGTTTATATCAACATTAATAAACTCCAATTTAAGAATAGAAAATTGATTCTTTAGAATTCATCACGTTTTCTCCTTCTGAAGAGAATGTAAATTAGAATACAAACAAATAATAATAATTAAACATTCACATTTATTCTCAATAAGAAGATGATGACAGTGATGATGTTCAATAGAATCTGTTCATTAGAGGGTATTATTCTGATTCTGGAATCACATTGCGGATTCCATAATATACTAAAAAGATGTAATTTATTTTATAATATCATTAATTCTAGAATGACAGTAGGATTAAAAGATTTTGAATTTTAAGAGGTATTAGGAGTGGGAGCATATGGAGCTGTTTGGAAGGTTAGAAAATTAAAAACTAATGATGTTTATGCTATGAAAGTGATTGACACTCAATAATAATCTAGTCAGAACTTTTTAGAAACCCTTAAGGCTGAAAGTACTATCTTTTCAGTTCTTGAAGGAGATTTCGTTGCAAAAGCTTACTATTCCTTTAGTCATTCAGATTGTTTATTTTATGTCCTGGAATATGTAAAAGGAGGCGATTTTGATAAGATTCTTAGAAAATATGGTGCCTTGGATGAACCAATTGCCAAATTCTACATTGGAGAATTGCTCTTGGCCATTGAGGCTTTACACAAAAAGCAAATCATTCACAGAGATTTGAAACCACAAAATATATTGATAGATGGGAAAGGTCACCTAAAATTAACTGATTTTGGATTGTCGGAGATAGGAATGAAATTATACATGTAGCATTCTGAACCTAGCCAAGCTCTTAAATTACAATAATAATTGGATAATAACATTAAGGATTTGGTAAGCAGCGAGCCAAAGTCTCCAAGATTTGATCATTGCATTTCAATTAAGGCCAGCAATCATAATAAACATAGAGTTGTTGGCACTCCAGATTACATAGCTCCTGAAGTAATTAGAGGAGAATCTATAAGCAACGAATCCCTTGATCAATGGAGTTTAGGTGTAATCACTTATGAATTCTTGGTGGGTATCCCTCCTTTTAATGATGATACCCCAGAGAAGATCTTTGAAAATATCTTACAAAGGAACATTACCTGGCCAGAAATTGGAGATGGAGAAAATTAATTGAGTTTAAATGCATAGGACTTTATTGAGAGATTATTGGATCCTAATTATAAGACAAGGATGACAGTTGAAGAAGCCAAAAAACATCCCTTTTTTAAGGGTTGTAAATTTATTTCCTATTTTAGATATCAATTTCGATACACTTCGTAAATAACCAGCTCCAATCATACCAGATAATGCACCTGACGATCAACCTTTATTATTAATAAAGAAATAGAGAGAGAAAGAAAAATTAACAAAACTACTTCGTGATACTTCTAGCGAAAACTCTACCATTTCAAAACTAGGCGTAGATAACTTATTAAGGCTTGATTTACTTGTAGAAATGAACTAATAAAAGGCTCATTAACTAAGAAAAAAATATCATTGAAGTGTTGACAAATTTCTACATAATTGTTTTAAAGTGTTTAATTTAGTGTATTTAAATTAATTATTTGATAACTTATAAACTAATTAAATATATGAGTTCTGAACATTTGGTCTTAATACATTACTGTTGTAAAATCTTAAAAGTATCGGCAATATTATAAAAGTAAAAATCTAATTACAAAACAGGAGATGTAAATATTAACATAATCTAATTTTTTTTAATAGAATGAAAATCTAGACACTTAGAAAACAATTTATTCATTTAGATTCCATACTGTAATTTAAATAGTGTGCTATATATAATTAATTTTCTATAATATCATTATATTAGAATAATTAAGTATTTTATCCAATAAATCTTACCTTTGTGAAATTATTTTTATACTTTAAACATGTATAAACTGAATGCGAAGAATAGATATGCATTAGATTTAGATATTATTTCTATCAATTGTGATAAATGGATATTGCATAAATGCTTTAATCTAGATAAATGTATAAAAGGATAGATTTTAAGATTCTAAGATAAATACTAATTATTGTTCTTATCTTTTTTAATAATAAAATAAAAATTGAAAATAAGATGTAAATAACAATTGTCTAGTTTATATTTTTGATTCAATTCAATTCAATTTGCATAGTATCTAAAAATTAAAAAGTATCTAATTATTCCAAGTCTTATTGATACAAAATGATACTTTTGATAGCCTCCTACATCTCCGAAAATGTTAGATTTCCTATTTAAGTAATCATATTGAATTGAACTAATTTCTCTATAATTTTTTTGTAAATTGATTCTAAAATGACCTCCTGTTTTAAAAGAGTGTAACTGATTTTGACATTAGCAATATAATTCTTATAATTTTCCAAGTATTATTTATTTTAAACTCTATTCTAAGAAGTGCATATGACTTAGGCTTCTGATTTTTCCTTGTCAATTATAATTAATGCTGAGACTGCCTCATAAGTTTTTAAAATTATAGCATACTGGAATTACATCAAAACTTCCTCACTCATATTGTTTCTATCTTCATGGCATACAATGACTGGGCAATTTTGATGAGATTCTAAAATGATAAATTAATTATCAATTCTACTTAAATAATTGATTGATTAACCCAGCAATTATACAAATCGACTTAGTAATTATGTGCTTGGATCCAGTATTTGATTCTTATCTTTGTTATTGATTGTTAGATAGTAATTCAAGTAGTCCTCTTCTAATTCCAATATTTCAAATCTTTCTTCAATTTTCTTCAAGTCTTTTAAATCGTTTTCGAATGTAGTATAATCTTCCAATTTTTTAGTTAGGGTAGCATATTCCTGATAAACTTAAAAATAATACTTGTAGAAGATTCTGAGTTCCTGATTGAGGTAAATGATCTAAATTGATTTCCTTCACTTTTTTTCTCATTTCATAGTATTCTGCCAAAGAGGATTAATAATCTTCTATCATTTCTTTAAAGCTCTCCTTTAATTTGAAATAGGATTGTAGATCCTCCTCAATGTCTTACAATTTTTGCTAGAGCTTTTGGCTTTACTCAAATTTTTCCTTTAATTAATTAGACTAATCCAATATTTTCTATAATGACTCGGTCACATCCTTAATTCTATCTCCAACTTGGAGTAATTTGTGGTAATTAAATTAAAGAAGTGATTATAAATCCTATTGGATGCTTTCTTTAGAATGAATGTTGCTCCTGTTGTGGAATTGATGTGGGTGGTGCTGGTATTATTGCATTAGATATGTACAGTCGATTTAGAAGTATGCCATTTAATTGAAAAATAAAATATTAAAAAGGAAGCGAATTCAATTTGAGCCTGATTAGGGCTATGTTTTCATAGAAATAAATTTTTTATATAAATTTGTTAAAGCCTAATAAAATTAATAATACAAGATATTATGACAGGATATTGTATATTATTATAAATTTATGTTAAAATAATCTTTCTAAATCTATAAATAAATTAAATATGCTTAGATTCATAGCAAGAAATCTCAATAATGTTTATAAATTTTCCGAATTGTAAAAGTTCGGAGCCTCTTTTCTTGGTTCTGGAAACGCTGAGTATTTGGAAAATCTATTTGATTAATGGTATTTGGACAATAAATCAGTCCCTGCCACTTGGGATGCATATTTCAGACAAGTTCTGGAAACGAATAATTTTGATTTCACTCCTGAACCTTAGAAGGGTTAAGCAGTTTCAGCTAGATTGGATGTATGAATAATCTATAAACCACTAGGGGTAATCGGGATTAAGGAAATTACTGAGTGATCACTTTAGAGTGTTGTTGCTAATAAACAAATACAGACATAGAGGACATGAGAAGTCATAGGTGGATCCATTGGATTTAGAGCACATTTAGTAAATAGGCAAGGTGAAAGGATATACTAAATTGGATTATCGTGAATTTTTCGCAGAAGAGGATTTGGACAGAGAATTTTATATACACGCTGTAGGAAGCACAGGAATAACAAAGGACAAATAAAGTAAGGGATTTCAATAGTAATTAGTGATGAAACTGAGAGACCTAATAAATTATTTAGAAAAGGCCTATTGCGGAAAAATATCATATGAGTATATGCACATTCAATCAAACGAGGAAAGAGATTGGTTTAGACATCAAATAGAGAAATATGATGAATTTATGCCGAGTAAAGAGTAGAAATTGAAGACTTTTGAGAGGTATAGATTAGTTTGACCATAACAAATAGATTAGGGTAGGAGCATGCATTTAGTACATTTTTGTAGAAGAAATTCAATACATCAAAGAGATTTGGAATAGAAGGATGTGATTCTATGATTTCTGGGTTGTAATCTTTGATAGATGAAGCAGCAAGTGCAGGGGCAGAACATGTAGTATTTGGAATGGCACATAGAGGAAGATTAAATACTCTTTACAATGTGTTTTAGAAATCAGCAGAAGAAATCATGGTTGAATTCTAGGATTTGAAGAGTACATTTAATGAAGATATTTGGGGTAATTCTGGAGATGTGAAATATCATTTGGGTTCAGTTCATAATGTGCTATTTGGAGATAAGAAATTAAGATTGGAAATGTTGCCTAATCCATCTCATTTAGAAACTGTGGATCCTTGTGTTTATGGAAAGGTCAGGGCTATCTAGGATTATTTCTAAGATTCAAAGAGAGAAAAGGCTTTTGGAGTATTGATTCATGGAGATGCTGCCGTTTCAGGTTAAGGAATAGTTTATGAAGCATTACAAATGGCAGATTTAGAAGGTTATAAGTCTGGTGGTATCATACATGTGGTATCCAACAATTAAATTGGATTCACTACTGTTCCTAAGGACAGCAGATCTGGATTGTATTGCACAGATATTGCTCATGCTATTTAAGCACCAGTCATTCATGTCAATGCTGATGAACCTGAACTAGTTGACAAAGTGTTTAAGATTGCGACTGAATACAGATACAAATTTAAGAGAGACATTTTTATTGATTTAGTTGGATATAGAAGATATGGACATAATGAGTAAGATCAGCCTAAATTCACTTAACCTATTATGTATGAGAAGATTGACAAGACTCCTCCTGTTTTTATTAAATATAGTGACAAATTGATTGCTCAAGGTATCGTGACCAAAGAACAAGTGGACACTTTGATGAAGACTCATGAAGACAATCTTGAACTGGCTTATCAGAAATCTAGAAAAATGGATTACAATCTCAAGGATTGGCAACCAGTGCCATGGGAAATGATCAAGGTTCCAGTCCTTTGGGGAAGAATCAAAGATACCGGTGTTCCTTTGAATGTGTTAAAAACATTAGGGGAAAAAATCAATAAGATACCTAATGAATTCCATGCTCATCCTTAGATCAGAAAATTTTATGAAGAGAGATTGTCATGGATTCAAAAAGATCAACCTATTGATTTTGCTACTGCTGAAGCTTTGGCATTTGGAACTCTTCTTCATGAGGGATTCAATCTAAGACTGTCCGGAGAGGATGTTTAAAGGGCAACTTTCTCTCACAGACATGCCGTTATACATGATTAAAAGGATCCTAACGGTTAAGATTATGTCCCATTGCATAATGCTATTCCCAAGGGATAAGAACAAAGACTCAGTATTTACAATTCTCATTTATCTGAATATGGAGTTCTTGGGTTCGATTATGGTTACTCTATCACAAATCCAAATACGTTAGTGTTGTGGGAGGCATAATTTGGTGATTTTGCAAATGGAGCATAAATTATTATTGATAATTATATAGCAAGTGCAGAATCCAAATGGGATGTCGATAGTGGATTGGTTATGTTGTTACCAAATGGTATGGATGGACAAGGTCCAGAACATAGTTCAGGGAGAGTTGAAAGATTTTTGTAGTTGAGTGATGATGACCCTGCCGTTTTTGAAAAAAATCTCGGAGGTAATCTAATTATTTATATCTACTAGTCAGATTAACTAGATAGATGAGAAATTCAAATATGCAAATTGTGTAATGCACTACTCCTGCCAATTACTTCCATGCTCTCAGAAGACAATTAAGAAGAGATTTCAGAAAACCTTTGATTGCCATGACGTCCAAAAGACTTTTAAGATTGCAAGCAGCCAAATCTAAACTTACTGAACTTACTACTCAATTCAATCAAGTTTATGATGAAGCTCTTCCTGAATTCCTTGTTCAACCCAATTAAGTCAAAAGAGTTATATTATGCTCAGGATAAATTTATTATGATTTACTCAAAAAAAGAGAAGACCTCAAACAAAATGTAATTCTATTTCATTTATTTTCCTTAGAATGTTGCTATTCTCAGAATTGAACAGTTGGCTCCATTCCCTTATGAGTTCTTATAAAAAATCATTGGCAAATACAATCAAGCAGAATTCGTCTGGGTCTAAGAAGAACATATGAATTATGGTCCTTGGGCATTTGTCAGACCAAGAATCTAAAGTGTACTAGCCAAGACTACAAATATTTCTAATTCACCTATCCAGTATATTGGCAGAAGACCAAGTGGATCACCAGCTACTGGTTTTCATTAATTGCATGATAAGGAAATCTAGACCCTTTTATAGAAGGCCTTTGAAATTTGATCAATTATGTTATTATTCAATTCTTGTATTTTATTTTTCGATATTTATCAATCCACTAAATCACTTAAATGAAATATCAAAGACAAAAAAGCATTCCATAATTTTATTATTTTTAATGCTAACAGAAGATGTTGTATTCTACTCAATTGCTACTACCATCCTTTTCATCTATGTCGTCTATTTGATATGGGAATATTCAGCAAAGGATGTGCCCTTATACATCAAGATTTTAACCTTCATTTCTTGGATGTTGACCTTTTCAATTGTGTTAGTCTTACCAATTGACATTGCCAATGTTATTATAAGATTTTAAGATTTTAGTCGACCAAATAGCTCAATGAGGAGTAGTAACAAGAGACCATGGGGAATATCAAAATATTATGGAGAATTATGTATTGGGGGAATTTCTTCTTGGCTTGGTAAAATTTGTATTTATACAGGTTGGTCTTACCATTTTTTTAAGATTATGAAAGCTCTGGAGATTTTGATATCCGAGGCAAAATTCGATACTCTTTGAAAAAAAATTTAACAATATATGGAGTAGGAACAGTGATAATTGTTGGACTGGCCATCTATTTATTGATTAAGGACAATTTTGATTCAGCTCATGTTGAAGGGGTTTTGATTGGTGTGAGCAACTTTTTGTAAGCGATCTTTATTAATCATCTAGTGGATTGCTTTTGGTTGTCATCCTATTGGGATAAGGCTTAGTAGCAATTCCAAAATTATACTACAGAGAACATAAAGAGGAAGAAGTCTTGGAATAATGCTATTAATAGGCTGTCCTATTGGATGAATAGAGAACTGAGAAAACCTACGAGCTCGAAGACATTTGTAGGGTTGTAATATATTCAAAATAACTAGACTCTTCAACTGTTGCAGAATGAATATTCTGACAGCGAATTCAGTCGATATTTGATGATCATTCTACAAAGGATTCCTTAAGAATTTCAAAAGACCATCAGGCAAACTCTGTAAAAGTATAATGCTTCCAACATACCTGATAAATACAAGCCATTGAATCTAGAAGTCTTGGCTTCGATACACAAATATGTAAAATGCCTTATGTTTGATTTACAAAGAATTCAAACTAAACTAAATATTGTTAATTAGAAGGCATTGAAGTTCGAAAGGAAGGACCTAGCAGATGATGAGACATAGTTCGAAACCAAGTGGTCTAAGATGATTTATAAGATTTCTATCATTTGGAATCTAAAGCTCAGGAAATATTACTGTGTGATTTTGGCCATAACCTATGCACTTCTTAGTTTATTCATACTATTTTGCGAGATGATTACTTTTGTTGCCAAAACAAACAAGAATTTGAATCCCTATTACTTATTATTGTCCTCCATCAATAGGTATTATTTAACAGAACTTGTTTTGCTCTTGCCTTTGCTTTACATGATGTTTTGCACCTATTATGGTTTATTTGCAATGAAAATATCAGGGCTAATTTCATTTAACAAACATCATCATACAGATGCAGCCAGCCTCATGTTTGGGTCCATGTATTGATATTTTATAATTTTTGCAAGTAACTTTGCTAGAGTAAGTTTCCCCTTGTGTTTCAATTTCATTCAAATTACAGAGATTTTGGAAGATTAAGCAACTTCCTTTAGTGAGACCGTAGGTAATCTGGCAGAATCTCTTTTTGTATAGAGTTACAAGACAATACTTCCTTTGATGCTATTGATTATGTGCTTTTTCAATTTATTCAATATTGGAGATAAGTTAATGAGGACTATAGGTTTAGGACAATATGCTTAACAGGAGAGAATATCTGGAATGAGTTTAGAAGGCAAAAAAATCATAGAAAAGGGTATATTATATACATAAGAATATAAATAGAGAGAGAATAGAGGAAGAAGAACAATCTTAATGAGAGCAATTCTCAGATAGTATTTTAAGAATTGTAAATAATGCCAAAAAGTAAAATTCAGGATGAGGAAGAAACTTAAAGAAAGAACTCAAATTAAGGAATAAGAAATTTTGATTAAATTCTAAGTATTTGAATTATTATTATTGTTACTTGTAATTTAATATATGGACTCTATTTGGTTAGATTTTTCAGTTAACAATAATTGAGATATGGAGGTGTTTCTTGAGTACACTGAATTTATTTTGTATTATAATTCTTATAAATTGAAAAATTCATGATTATGCCAACTAGTTTCTTTTAATGGTTGCTTGTTGTAAAGATGATTGATGTTCTTGGTAATTAGTGGGAAAGACTACATATGGAAATAAATGTTTACATTGTCCATTTGTTAAATTGATTCTCAGTAATTGTAATATAACTTTATTGCCTGGATTAACCTCATATTAATGGATGATGTAAAAGTTTCCAAAGCATACAGCTCCTTCCATGTCTTGGACTGGTGTGAATACTTCAGAAACGCCTTCCCTTCTTGTGGGGATTAAAAATTATTCTGGTGGTTCTAAAGAAAAGATTTCATTCTTCTTAATTTCTCCATTGGCCCAATCAAAAGTATAGATTTCCCTTTTCATAATGTATTCAAATTTAAGGAATTCACCAGATAAGATTAACTGATTGTAACCATAATAAGGAGCAGAAAAGACTGGAGAACTCAAAACATTCTTTTGATATTCATCATCTTTTTTAACTGAAAAATGAACGTCAAAACATTATTTTCCTATAAATTTTTCATCTTTGCATTGAAAGATTTAACCCTAGTTTTATTGTTAGCACCGATAGGCAACTAAACCATCAGGATCGTGTTGAATTCCTCCAAAAATGACCAATAATTTTGAAAATTACGGATGAGTTGCAACAAAGAAACTACCACCAAATCTTGGGATTAAATTGTACATCAGTACTTACCATGGTGTTTATTATCTCATGACATAAGCTTTGTTATACAATTCATCTAAAATTTGTTGATCTTTTGTTTTTTTCTGTCCCTAGCCATAAAACACATAGACATTGCTAAAACAATACTGCTTATTGATTACTTATTATAATGAGTTCCCATGAAATTGTATCCTTCTTAAGGTAGGGGAGGCAATTCTTCCATAACAGCAGATTTTCCATCTTAAAAAGGATCGTTAGAGAATGTAACTTTGAGCACTTAATTACTTTGCACAAATCTATCTTCAGTTTTTCCTGCGATGATATAAATAAACTTTTGATTATTGGCCTCTCCTTTAATATACAAAGCCTATTCCTTCTACAGATAGGGTTTCCCTTTCAGAATAAGAGGAAACTCATGCCACACTCCGTAATTTATAAAGTAGACAATAAGCTGCTTGAATAATAGAATAATTACAGTGGATTCGCTGATTTCCTGCCTTTATCTTCTCTTGAGAGCAAAGATAAAGTCATTGGTCAAATTATTTTAGGTCAAAGTAATCAATTTCATGGCATTTCTAAAGACTTGTTATAATTCTTGGGCTCTTTTCTTAACTTTCTATTACAAATCTTGAACTTTCAAGTTATTTTCTTTGGCTTGTTTGTAGATTTTATTATTAGTATATTGCTGCAGCTTAACACTTGTATAGGACATTTCGTCAGAGATGGTCTTTTAGGTTGGGTTCAATGAATTGGTTTCTTCAAGCTTTCTTTGAATCCCAAGAATGGGTGTAATTCCTGGCAGTTAATATTTAATGGCTGATGCTGCTTGGTTCTTAGGCACTTTATTCTATGCAAAATAACCTGGGTTGGTTGGCTAAGTAGATTAGAATAATTTGTCCTTATCAAACTTCACTCCAGGATACTTCTTTTATAATAGTTTAAATGATTCTAGTGCGTGATAGAGTTTAAAGTCAATTCCGTAGTCATCGTACAAGTGAAACACTTTGCAGCCAGGACACGAAAATCCACTTAATAATAATTAGAATATGGTTACTGTCCATCCCTGTTGTTAGTTTAGTAATATTCCAACCAGGAATCCAGATCGAATAAACATGCAACATATTAGATAGAATTGTGTCTTACAGGGATGGTCACAGGCATACTTGAAAGCTAGCATTTCAATAGGATTTCCACTAGATTACTCTAGATGTTTTTCTCAATTAATTCATTCATAAAGTGACTCACATTGTTTTTAAAGATATTCTCCTTGTACTCTTTTAAAGGTAACATTTGAGCTAATTATAAATAATATTGTTTATGATATCTCCAATTAAAATATCTCTAAAATTCATTTTTATAATAAGGACTGAGAATTAAATAAATTATAAATGAAGAAAAACAGTTTGTGTGATAATAGCAAGTGCAACAAAACAACAATCTTTCAAAAGTAGATGGCACCTGTTAAATGTTCGAAATGCAATAGCGGTACATATTGTTGTCAAGCATGTTTGAAGGAAGATGAGTAACAATAAAAATATTTTAAGAGATCATGTCTGCAATTCAGATCATTTGGATCTTGATAATACGACCCAGATTAATTCATCTGTTAATGAAACCCTCTTGTAAATCCAATAAAAGAAGAGAACTCTCGACGATTACGAATTCATTAATGGAGACAAAGGAATGTTAGGAAGAGGAGCATTTGGAGAAGTGAGATTAGCTATAGATATTGAATTGCAATAGGAAATGGCTATTAAGATTTTAAATAAGAAGAAAATGCTTAGGAATTGCAATCTTCAACAACTAAAAAATGAAATCAAATTATAAAGGAGTCTAAACCATCCAAACATAATCTAATTATATCATGCATTTGAAGACAGAGAAAACATATACTTTGCCTTGGAATATGCTTCCAATGGTTCCCTCTATAAATACTTGAGAAAACTTAAAGTCATGCCTGAACCTGAGGCTTTTGTGTACTTTTTCTAAACTTGTCTAGCCGTAGATTACTTACACAAGAAAAATGTGATTCATAGAGATTTAAAACCAGAGAATATCTTATTGGATGAGTAAGGCAATGTAAAACTGTGTGATTTTGGATGGAGTGCTGAAAGCGTTGAGATGAGAAGCACTTTTTGTGGAACATTCGATTACATGGCACCTGAAATGTTACACAATAAACCTCATGATTATAGAGTAGATATATGGGCCTTAGGAATATTGCTATATGAACTTCTCCATGGAAATGCACCTTTTACCAAAGCTCATTTCGCCAAAGAAAACATTTCAAATCTAACCATCAAATTCTCATAGTCTGTAAGTTCTTAAGCTAAAAATCTAATTACTTCCATATTATAACATGATCCAAAAAAGAGAATGAGTATGGATTAAATATTCGCACATCAATGGCTGAAATCTAATTCTGAAGAATTTGGAATGGACATTGGTGAGTATATATATGTTCCAAAATCATAAAGAATGAATGACTCCTCCATCAATCAAACATTCGAACAATCAAAATAGTTAAATGAATCCAAACTTAAACAACCCAATCCAAATAGAAGTTCAATTAAAAAACCAGATTTCTTGAACAGTTCATAATAACAACCATCATAAAAATAGGAAGTCTAAAAAGTTTAATAAAATTATTAAGAAAATAAAAAAACAGCCAATAGTTCCTTTCACCAAGCGAACAATCAATCACATATCTCAAAAATCTCTGAGAATTTGCAAGATTCAGCAAGATCTTCCTCAGATTGCTCAGATATCTAGAGTAGAGCATCTAATATTAGATAGTCATTTGCCAAAGACCTATCTAAGAAAGGATTAAGCTAAAATAATAATAGTTTCCACGCATAAGAAAACAAACACTTATTTACAAACGATGCAAGCATCCTAAATTAAGAGGAAATTGAAAGACTCCTTAGATAATAATTAAAATAAGCCGAAACCAAATCAGATGACATCAAACTATCATTAAATTCATTCCAAAATGTCTAATCAAATCAATAGTAAAATAAGTCTCTCTCTTCCATTTTGGTTGAAGACAATAAAAACTTTAGTCAATAATTATATTCTAATTAAGGCAGCACTCTCAAATAGAGACATGTTTAATTCTTATCGCCTAAAGAAAGCATGAATGAATCATCTTAAAAGACTCAATAATAAGTAGAAGAATCTCCATATTTTAATCCTACCTAAGTAAGGGAATCAATTGCTGACGATGAAGTCAAAGAAAAATTCAGTTTTGGTAGCCTTTCAAACTCTAAACATGATTAGAATTAACAAGAAATATCACAACCTGAAGAGTAATAAGGATTTAATAAAAAGGATAAAGTATTGAAAGAAACTAGATTGTCTAAATTATCTGTAATAGAATCGGATGAGAGTGAATGCAAAAGTGATGGAGATGATTAAAGGAATTATCAACTTTAATAAATAACCTAGGCTGTTCGCTCCTACTCTGCTAATACCGTGTAACCTAAAGATACCAGCAATTCAAGAATTCCTTAAGAAATTGAATTATAATCACAATTTTTGTACCAAAATAATGTGCTTTAGGATACTAAATCACAGACTTCAAAAACATCAAAGAAATCTAAATTATCTAAATAGTCAAAACTATCAACCAACACCAAGGTTAGTTCTGAATAAAGTAGAGCACAATAATAGTTAATTATGTAAAAGAAGAAATATTCACAGAATATGGTTGATTATAGAAATTTTAATATGAAGGAGATTTCTAAGGAAGACAGAAATAGATATTAAGATTATAAGGATTCTACCAAGCAATTGGAAATTAGATCTAGAGAGCTTCAAGCGTTATCTCTATTCTTAGGATAATTAATTTGCTTAAAGAAGAAGCATTAAGTAAAATAATGCCACCAAAGAGGAATTGGGCTTTTTTGGAAAAATACAATTGGCATTTGGTTGTTTAGGATAAAGATGAACGTCGCTTTTGAATATATTAATTATTTTTATTAAATGGATGAATACTAAGTATTTTTTAGGCTAAATGTCTTGAAAAACAAAAACAAAAAATCGATATCTCCAGAGAGGAAATGATGATAGAAGTATCAGAAATTTGGGAATAATTTAAAACAGAAAATGATTCAAAACAAATCAAAGGCAATGAACTATTATATTTTCAAATTCTGATTTTCTGCTAACAAGTCAACAAAAAGAATATGAAAGATAAAAATTAGATTCAACTAATTAACCAGCATCTCAATCACATTATTAAAAAAAAACAAAATTTAAGCTCCAGCTATTCAAATTTCATATTGTACTAGTGAGCCTAAATTTGTAAATGAAGCCAGGAACTTGTTGGCTATGGAAATAATCAGAGAATTCAAAGTCAACATTATCAAAAGCCAAATACATCATTCATCTAAAAATATTTCAGTGGTATTGTATTAAGACCCCAAAAATATTGAATTATGGTCTTATTTAAGAGATGGCCCCTTAGATTATAAAAAAATATTTCATTTAATTGCAAATTATATTTAACGATAATAAACTTTTGTATTTTCTCATTCATACATCTATTTTACTAATATCCTTAGAAATGTATCTTGTTGTCTAGAATGTCCGTTCTGAATAATTATGATATCTTTGAGAGAATAAACTTAATTCAATCTCTTGAGTTAATAAAAAATCTTAACAATTTTAGAGTATTTATTTTTCAAATTTGTAAATGGTGGTTTAATATAATATTATTTTATTAAATAGTTTAATTAATTATTTTTGTTGAATTTAATATTTAAAATTCATAATTTTGGAAACTCTGCCTTGCTTTTTGTGATTAGAGCTGTAATTCCAGTAGGCATATCATTTGTAAAACCCAGAGACATATTGGTTCTTGCCATAACCTCTAATTATGAATCTAAATTTGATTCCCTTGTCAAGATGCTTTTAATTGTATAAATTCCAACTGGAGACTTAGCAGCAATAACCTCAGCAAGCTTAATAATTTCATCATTTAGCTGGTCATTCTTAACTACTTTGCTTACTAAACCTAGATGTAATGCTTCCTAGGCATCAAAAATTCTTCCAGTATAGGCCAATTCCCTGAAGAGTGAGGTATTGGCATTTTATTAACCCAATCTTTGAAGTGTTCCTATATCAGCAGCCCTATAAATATAATGGATGTGAATATACATTCCAATATCAATTTCTTTGATTGAGAATTTAGAATCTTCAGAGCAATATTTGATGTCAGCAGAAGTAATCAGATCAATAGCACCTCCAAAACAGCATCCTTAGATGCCAACTATGACTGGGACTCTGATTCTGGATAATGATGTCATGGATAATTGCCAATCTTTAATTAAATTATAAATTCTGATTGACTTTCTTGCTTAATCCAATTCGTCTGGAGTCTCAGAAACAATATATCTTTAAAAAGTACTTAGAACATTGATGGAGCCTCTTTGAGGTCAAGACCAGCACAGAAATGCTTTCCTCTTCCTGTGAAAACTACAACTCTAACATCGTCAGTCTGATTAATAATATCGACTGCAGCCTTCAAATCTTGAAATAGCTGTTTTGACATGGTATTCCTAGAATTAGCAACAGGATATACAGTTGTTTGGGTCTGTTGATTTCGAGATGATAAATTTATCCTTTTTTGGTTCCAACAAGAGTTTACATATTATGAAAATTAATATTGAAAATACTTGGTTTAATTTTATTTGTATTTATTTTTGATGATATAAATGAATTTTGAAAATATATATCCCAAAATAAATAAATTAATATGAATCATCTTACAGGAATTGACGCTGTTCTTAATGTAGCTTAAGCAAGCACTCCAGCTCCATCAAACATAGATTCCACATGGGTTTTGATTACATCCTTTAGTGCTTTATTAACAATATTGGGATTCGCCTTCATCAGTTCAGGAGCGGTGAGATACAAATCTGTGCAATCAGCAGTTATCACAGTCTTATTGGGAGCAGTGATCACCATATTATTTTTCTGGCTTGTAAGAAATATAAAATAACATTTCGATTAGTTAGGATATGGATTTGCATTTGGAGATGATAAGGGAAACAAGTTCATTGGTTTGAGTAGATTCGCTGGAGCTGGATATGGAGTGGATGCATCAAGAGATGATTATACAAATTTAAGTAAGCTAATAATCTCTAATTTTTAACTAGTTTTCTAGAGTGTTGGAGCAATAATAGTATCATCTTTGTTTGGATTGGGAACATTGGAAAGATCCAGATTTTTCTCAGTCAGTGTCTGTCTAGCTGTTATTTCAGGCTTCTTATATCCAACTGCATTGCATTGGGTTCAACCAACAGGTTGGCTAAGTAAATTTGGATTCATCGATTTTGCTGGATCCAGTTACATCCACTTTTTCGGTGGAGTGACAGCATTGGTTGTTTCAATCTTCTTGAAGGAAAGAAGAGATTAAGCAGGAAATGTTCACCCAGGTATCTTCCCACATCATTCCCCAATCAACATTGGTTATGGATCAATAATCTTAAGTGTTGCCACACTCATTTTCATTAATGGTGCAAATCAAGAGGGCAAAACAGATAAATATGAACAAGGATTAATAGCAGTTAATACTTTAATCGCAGCTACCTTCTCAGCCTTGACAAGTTTTGTTGCTTAATATTTGAAAACCCACAAAACAAGTTTAATTGCTATTGCAAGAGGAAGTGTTGCTGGTATTGTTGCCATCTCAGCAATTGCCAATGACGTTAGAATTTGGGAATCTGCATTAACTGGTACCCTCGCTGGTTTAGTGTATATTGTACTTATTCTTGTCATCAAGAGATCTCATGTTGATGATCCTGCTTATACTTTAGCTACTCATCTTGTAATATATATATAATTTATCAATCTATAGGGACCAGGATTATTGGGTACTCTTTTGGTTGGAGTCTTGACACTCAGCAATGGATTCGTAACTGGACATGGATTTAAATAATTTGGATTATAACTTGTAGGTGTTTTGGCATTATTAGGATGGGGATTGTTGATTGCTTTATTCGTTATCCCATTGAAGGGAACTGGAGTCTTTAAGATCAATCCCTTCTAAGAATCCAAAGGAATTGATACCAGTTATGGTAATTATTTTTCATAATAATATTTTAGCTGAAGGAGAAGCTATTTAATTCATTGATGAATAACCAGAACCATCTCTTTTAAGTAGTATTCCAAAAAAGGGAATCTTCCAATGATTAATAAGTCATTAAATTTTCATGCATTAAGATAAAACAATTTCTTTATTTACTTTATATGTAAATTATTTTCTTCTACTTTTTGAATTATACAAAATAAACCAAGATCATTGCAAAATCATTGATTGAGATCCCATCACTCTATAGGTTCGATAACAGTTATGATTATTTTCAGGTTTAAAGGATTAGTACAACTATTTAAGTACAGATTAAGAAGAACTTGAAAATGATCAACTATTAACTCGGTAAAAGCCAAAAACTTTTTTCCTGACTTAAATTATATCTAATAATTTTATTTCTTTTAAATTAAACTCAATAAACTTTTGACATCTTAAATCAATTGTGGGCCTGTAATAAAATATTATCTATTATTCTTTATTTTTATGCAAAGACTCTAAAATCTATTGCTTAATTTAAGATAAAGTTGGCCAATATATTTTTATTAAAATAATAATGTAAATTTACAAATATAATAAATGAAATTACTTGGAATCGAACCAAGGTTTTGAGGGTCAAAACTTCACGTAAGAGTTGATTGTCAATTAAGATATTGAATTATTAATTAGCTATAGATATGATATTAATCCACCACTTAAAAAATAAACATGATATTTCACAGATATTCATTTTATCTATCAGGTAATTGTTATAAATTCTTCTAAGCCACCTCTCTTGAATTAGAGGACTCTTGATATGGGAGAGCGAAAACTAGAATCATCATAAATGATTACATAATCCATTGGTTAAATTGATTTTCAGCAATTAAGTCGTAATTTTTTGAACTTTTTCTTATTAACTTTGTTCAATCTCGTATTGATGAATCACATAAAAGAATCCATAGGCTATTGCACCTTGAGGATCCTGGACAGGGGAAAATATATCATAACCAGTTACTTTTCTTCTATAAGGAGTGAAGATTTATTCAGGTGGTTCCAATGAGAATAATTCATTTATTCTAATTTCTGCACTCGCCCAATCAAATGTATAAATTTCTCTTTATTCATTATTTTTATATTTCAAACATTCTCCTGATAGAATCAATTAGTTGTTTCCATAATATGGACAACTGAAAACTGGAGAAGCTAAAAGAGATTTATGATATGCATCTTATCCGGCATAATTGATATTAAAATCTTATTTTTAATTTCCCAAAAACTTTTCATCTTTGCAAACAAAGATCTATCCTAAATGTTATTATTAACTTCTATAATTAGGTACACCATCAGGATCTTTGGTTATGCCACCAAATAACACAATCAATTTATCGAATTATTCATGAGTTATGGTAAAGAAACTACCATCAAATCTGTCAACTAACTTATTCTTCATTTATTCCCATTTTTAATTAAACGCATTCTTTCTTAGAACATATTAAGAATTTAATAATTGGTATTTGATTTGATTATCACTGTTTTTGGTCTGTCTCTATCCATAAAATACAAAGAGGTTTCTAGGCATAATCAAAAGAATATCGTTACCCTTTGTATGATGTTCCCATGAAATTATATCCCTCCAATGGATAATCTGGCAATGCTACGATTTTGACTTATTCCTCAACGACTTAGAAGGGGTTTCTTGGAAAGGTAAGTTATAGACACTAGTTTGATTGGGAGAATCTATCTTGTTTCTAGCCTCCAATGATGTAAATTGTGTTCTTCTAGGCATCACTTTCACCTTTAATGTATAAGGCTTGCTCCAGTTGAACATAAGGTTGGCCATTAAAAATGAGATCGTACTCATACCAAATACCATATTGAACTAGATAAACGATCAACTAATAGATAGTGATAAGTGAATACAATCGAATGCATTTGGTTGTTGGAAGCAATCTTTTTTAGAGCAAAAACATAATCGTCATTTAATGACTTTCTTCCTAATGAAATAACTTTCAAGGACTTGGCTAGTTGCTGTTTGCATTAATGCTTTTATGTAGCTACTTTGTCTTGCAATTATTTAAAGGTGACATTAGCATTTATTTTGAAGATCTTGTACAATTTGCTGAATAGAAGTTGTTGTAATTTCACAATGGTTTAGCTAATTTCATCAAGAATTCTTTTTTAGGTTTCATTTTAATGCTAATTGCTAATTTGTTGTTATCTTCGAGACACACCAAAGATTGGAACACAACCTGGAAGTGGGTATCTTTAGGCTACCATTTTTATTTTAGAGTTAGCACTATTGGTAACTTTTGTTTCCACGTAATAAATATTCTTGCTTGGTTGATAGATTAATTAAGACTCATTTAATTTAATTTGGTTATTTTTCAATTTAAATAGTCTTAGCTCTTCTAAAACATGATAAAAAGTATAATCAACTCCATAATCCTTAAAATTCGTATATCTCTTGCATCCTGGACAGGCAAATCCTCTATTTTTTATGAATACTATATTACGTCGGCTCAACTTTATATTGCATTTGTTTGTAATGCTCCATCCAACAGTCTAGATCAAACAAACAATGGATATAAGTAATTGATGTATGTCTAATTGGAATTGTTACAGAGATCTTGGACAATTAGCATTTTGTGGTCAGCACTATTTCCTCCCCTCCTATTTTCTCTTGTAGAAGTCTTTAATACCAATTGCTTACATTGTTGGACAACAGCTATTCTTAGTATGATTATAATTGCATTTCAATAAAATAAATATTTGATTATTTTTGTTTAATGTATTATTATAAATACAGAGTATTTCTAACATAAGGAACAAAAGGATGTAATAGAATAAGAAATGGAAACTTATTTATCTTTAGAAACGTGTTATAGAATTATTCCTTATCTTTATTTTTATGATCTATATGATTAATAGAATTCAATTGATGTGTGTGTCTAAATTTCCCTCAATTCCTATAGTGGAGCTCACCTAAATCCTACTTGATTGTTAGTAATTTATAAAGTTCATAGTTCATAAATATTCTAAAAAAAAAACAAGGTTTTTAAGCATATATTATTGAGGGAGGATAGATTTTATGATAGTCATAATAGAATTGAAGTCACCAAAGCTACTTTGATTTAAGTAAGTTTGGATAGTAAACTATCAGAATTAAAGTTGAATAAATTTTATATATATATATATATTTAATGTCGAAATAGCCACCTTAATAGTCTGACCCGGATTCATTAGTGTACTTTGTTTTCAATAGTGTATTTTAGAGAGGCATACGAGTAATTGCAAAGCAAGATGGCACATAGCAATTATGATGTGGTTGATCAAATTGGATAGATTTGCTAAAGTGTTATGTGGGGAGATAAGAACAATGACACCTTTTTTGAGTAAGCATCCATCTAAAAGCAATTTAGTTACTTTTGTGATCAGAAGACGATGTCATTGTACTTAGATTTGGTGCATACTGGATAGAGGGAAGTTGTAGTGGCAGTAATTAAAGCAATTACGATGCTATTGCAAAATATACAAAGACCAGTTAGCATAAATTACATATTAAGTCATAGTGCATTGAATGGCATAATCATAGCAGATTATAACTTTAGGGATGATGAAATCATAGCTTATTACATAAATTTGTTAAAATGTGTTTCAATTAGGATTGACGAGCAGAGTTTGCAATTGTTCTATAATTTGGTATGTAATTCCAATCTCCATAGAAATTTAGCACATTTCCAATGTTAATGAAGGCCATCTGTTTCTACAAGCACAAGGAGAACCTAATCAGAACAAGTGTGAGGAACATAGTTTTAGGAACAACCAAAATCAACCTACCATAATTGCGTAGATATGTGAGATCCTTCCCATTCACATTGTTTTATGTTCAATTTAGTTGTTACATGAGAGATGCTCTCTTTTACATTGGAGGTCTCATTCAGGAGGGCAGACATGAGTCACACAAAATAATCAAATTGTTGTTGGATGACCAATTGGACATACTGTACTTTTTGGAAGACCTCCTAAAAACCAATGTCGATGCTTTGCCAATCATTGTGAATTCAATAATGGTCTATGGTTTTGTTCCAACGATAATAATGGGAGTTATTAAGAGTGGTTAGCAATCCATCAAACTCAATCAATAGCCATAGAGATAATCAATGAATCATCAATAATCTCAAAAGTATTAACACAATCGTGGATAATCCTTAGGCAATTTCACATTTACTAATATATTTTAATCCTCCCAATAAACAAACAACTAATAATAATAATAATAATAGGTTATTGATATTAAGTTTTGTCTATTCATTTTAATCCAAATCTACAAGAGTTTTAGTTTCAGCTAATTTTTGGATTTATTGACTCTATTCATTTTGGGAAAGGATCCAGAGATCATTGATTTCATAACATAATTAAGTAAGTTCATATTAATGTTAGATTCGAATTCCAAGTTAAATTCATATGAAAAGGATGTAAGCATGAGTGAGACATGGGTAATTAAGGAGAAAACCTTCATTCAGGCCTACTCTTAGTTCATTTACAAAGATTGTGAAATCAGCGAAGATGTCAATGTAAATGACAAAGAGGAATTGTTGAAAGGGGTTTCATCATACGAAACATAATCAGTGAAGCGAGAATGTATAGTTATTTGATTATATTAAAAAGTGAATTGTGAACACTTTAAATCATTAATAGGTGATCCTAAGAGATATGAGGATCTACTGAGCATTACTGACATGTGTGATATTACTATAGTGAAATCATAAAATAAAAGCAAAGTATCAGCATTGAGTTTCTTGGAAAGAAATGAACAAAACAAAGTAAATGGAAATACAAATACAAATATAAACAATACTCAAACACCATTTTATGCTTTGATGAAACATCTAGAAAGTAATGATGACACTGTTGTATTTATGGTGTTATTATTCATAAAAACACTTAGACACTCAAAGAATATCTCTCATTCAGTTTTAGAATAGGTTGGTTTCATCACTCCAGATAAAAATATGGAATTGTATAAAAACTGCTCGGAAACTTCTTCTTTTATGCAAGATAAGTTGTTAGGTATCTTGGAAACAGGATTACCACCTTACAGATTAGGCACTTACATCCTATCAATTTAGATGTTGATTGACTTTTGCAGAACGGATCTTGAGAGTTATGATCTACGCAACAAGGATAGATTTAGAAAGATAGTGTTGAATCATATCAATAAGATAAATGAATACATCAGAAATCCCCTAGAGGTTCATTATGTCATTGAATTCTTCTACACGGAATATAAAATCTTGAAGTAATACAGGTGTATATCTTTCTAGCAAGACATCCATATCGATCTGGCCACAAACACATATATAATTGTTGTATGAGATGACTCCCAAAGGGGTTTGTTAGATTGACATCAAACACAACGAGAGTGTTTACTTTATGGAGCCTGCAAATCAATAGGACAAAGTCAGGAAAGACATGCTGATTTTGTTGATATTGAAATACACAGCATCAGTTCTTTGTGGATTTGAAGAGCAAGAACAAAAAATACTCGATAATCCCAAACCTTTTGGGGATGGTCCTACTTTGAAATACGTGTCAGGGAACATCTATAATCTGTAAGATGAGCCTTACTGCTAATTCAGTTAACATTAATGCAAATATCAAAACATTGATTGCTGCATTTTAGAGGATTCTCACAATTTAGTCGTGATGGACTTGACTCAAGGTTAGAGTGCAGCTAAATGCGTTGTCGCACACAGTTTCAAGTATACAGATGAGATGGTGGAGAGACTCAATTTGAAAATGTTGCATGTGACATATAGGTTTGAGAATTAGAATAATGTGTTTGATTTGGAATTCCCGAACAAACAGTGTTGTTAGGCAGCTAAGAAAATGACAGAATAGAAGAAGAGTAGTTTGAGGAAGGATGAGTTGGATACTGTCACATCATATTTATAGGCACTCACAAATACAATGAATTATAATAAATGATAATTGTTAAATAAAATGATGATCTCACTATTATCTCCTAAGACAATGTGATACTTCTCAAGTCTGCTGACGAGCTGACCCTTGAAGCTAAATTCAAATTCCTAAAGGGCAGCATCCAAAGGATCAATTAGCAATGTTTCCTCTTTAACCATCGATATTTAATGGAGCTCAATGATAAGACTATTGAGTATTAGCAAGAGGCTCAGAGTGCCGCAATTCAAAATGGCAAGTCACTCATCATCACTAATAACAATACAGTCTAATTCCACAAGGCCAAGAAACTTCAATGGGAATGCAAATTCACAGATCTCATTCCCATTGATTAGATTGACACTTGTGCTTTGTCTCGCTCTATCATCTTGCATATTCATAGCAGTATCATTTTCTTATCCGAAGATAAGCAGATACAGGAAATCATCTAATTGGAGCAGGAGGTGCACTCCATATATGCCCTGAATGATTTTAATGTTATCGGATTGTTCTCAATTACCAATGATCAATTTTCAATATTCAACACAAAACTAGTGCAGAATTACGAATTCTTCTCATAGCAATGCATTCAATTTGATGTCAGCATCAGTTTTCAACCCTATCGTTTAAATTGCTTCTAAGATTAGAGCACACTTCATTTCGTGCTAATTCGCAATCTAGAACACGTTAAACACTATTATAAGTAGATCTAGTGTGTGGATATTGTGAGCATCAACAAATGCAGAAACAGATTGCTCATCATAACGAAACAGTAAGTATTGTCCATATTTATATCAGAAATTGAGAACACAACCTCAGAAGAACAATATCTTAATGGTTTACAGTTAAGATTGATGAATTACTGTAGTTCAATATTTGAGGGGCAATATTATTTCAGTAATGATTCATATTTATTCAGTTTCTGCAATGATGAAGTCAAATATTATAAATTAGTTTAGAATCAAAAGAATTAAATCACTAAGATCAAATTCTAGGAGAAAATCCTTTATTACGAATACGTCAATGATTAATTGGTCATCTACTCTCAGCAACAATCAAAATGCTATTTGACTGTCTACAATCAACAGTTTGAGATAATAAACAGATATGAATTCAATAAGCTACATGAGAGAATTAAGTATTGTCCGTACTACCCTGGAATAGCAATCTACGAATAGAAAGTGCAATATCAGGATAAGGAACCAAATAACAATTACATTCTGTAGACTGAAACCCTTCAAAAGACATTTCTGCAATTGATCGACTTTCGAACTCAGACCTACCAAAACAATAACCAAAATAATACTGAATAGCCAACCATATAGAGTTATTTGTTATATGGTAAGAGTAACAATAAGATTAGTTGTGGATTTATGTTGGATTATTCGATTGTAAACATCTAAAACATCTGGAACAATCGTTTTATTATCACAAGCACTTATAAATTAAAAATAGTTGAGATCTACAACAGTACTTACGAGATGCAACACATCTTTGAGTTCAGTATTCTGAATCAGTAGTTACTAACATTTAGAAACAGTTTGCCTCTGGAAGACCTGGAAAGAATCAACTTTCTGAAATAAACTGATTAAAGAATTCTGTTCACTCATTTCGGATAATCAACTCCAGGGGAATCTAAGATGAACGGTATAATCCACAGTTTTTATGGCATCAAATGGGTGAGTATCAATAAGGACAACGTTAACATTATCTAGTTGTAACAGAAACAAGAAATACAAAAAATTTAACGTGTTTTGTAGGAGGGTAGTAATTATTTTTATGTTTTATCCAATGATGAAGAAATCTATAAAATCACTCCTGATGAAGTTAAGCTAATCTATGTTTCTGGGTCGAAATTATTATCGTATGTGAGTAATCACAATAATGAATCCATCATCTTGAAGTGTAATAATGAGTTGTTAGTGACTGAGTTGGAAAACGCGTAGAAGATTAAATATAATTTGATTTTATGATACATTCTAAATTATTATATATATATAATAATATCAATTATAGAAGAATGCAATTATGGATGCAACTGTTATCAACGATTAATATAGGCTAGTCTCTACCTCAATTACATCTGAAAGAGTGTTGATAGAAATTTCAGTTTCTATTCCTTCTTCACACATCAAAGTATTTGAGTTCCAATGGCAATCAGTGCTTCTTTACTTGCATTATTCCATCTGTAATTTAGTACAAATTTATTTGCATTACGAATCAACGTACACACATCTATCACTTGCTAACTCACATTGAGTCTGATACATATTTAAGCATAAATTTGATAGACACCCACTGCTTGGATTGTAATAGCAATAATTTCCCATATTCATACAAGTACAAGCATCAGTGATTTCATTGCATGCAGTACATTGATTGTTTGGGAGCAAGACACACAATTGGGATTGGATTTCAGCCCCATTGCAATTGTTGGCACTTGAACCGAATTGTAAACACAATTAGGAAATACAAGAATATTTATTACTGAAAGATTGAATCTATAACCAATAGCATTATTTCCCAGCAATTGATTGTTGATTACAAGCTGTTTCTTAAGTATCTGAATTAACATATTGAATGAACTCTTCACATGAAGTTACACCAACGCATAAATTATCATACCAAATACATTGCTCATCATTGAAATAACCCGTGCATTCATCCTTCTTCAAATACTTACAGAGTTTAAGTTGACATTCATAATAAGACCACATGCAATTGCCACCGCATTGGTCTTAAGTGAAGTGGATACAACTTTAATCAATACAGTGATTACTATTGTAGATGTCGATATTACACTTCTTATTACCGATTTTAAATTTAGTGCAATCAGTTACATTGAATAAATCAGAGCATTTACTTGCAGGTTGACATTGTGACTTATTCTTAAAGCATTAATATTGATTAATCTTGGTAGAGTCACACAGATCTGAAGAGATGTCATTGCAAACCTTGTTCCTGCATTTGCCTTATTGCATATCATAAATGCATTAAGAAGCAGTGCATTTATCTCTAGTGTAGAGTGTACAATCAATAATTTCATACACTGAAACCAGTCCAGAACAGATGCATTCAGAATTGATATACTTACAATTCTACAATTGTGTGCATCCTATTTGGTTAATGCCTGGAGCATCGCATGTATCATTCGAATATACATCGACACAACCCCTGGAGAGGTAACTAAACTTGCACCCTTAGGTATTTAAGGCCTTACATACATTTTGATTCACATTCACTAAATTGTTACACACTGTAATGCTCCCATCATAATACTAGCATTTGTAATCCACAAATTGACACTTTTCATTCTCTACTAAAATACATCCTAATCGATTGAGTCCTGTTGTTTTGCAAGTATCGACTCTAGAATCAAAGAGACTTGTGCATTAGCCATCTGATAGATATTTGCATACAACATCATCCACATCAATTAATGAACAAGAAACTGGATTAACATTCTTTAATTGATTACATTGAGTAACTCCATTAATTATTGTATTGAATTAACACTCTTCGTTCAACCATATGGTTGGCTATTAAGTGATACTTAGACAAGCTAATCTATTCAAACCATTTAAGGTACTCACAAAATTTTAAAACACTTAAGTTGTTTCAACAAAGGTTTTACAAGATAGGGTTGAACTATCATGGTAGCACTTAAGATTCTTAGAACTAATTTAGGAGCATACTTTAGGTGACACTGTTTGATACTCTTCACAAGTTGAGTATTCATTGGTGTTACTGTAACTGACACATTTATTACTAACCCAATCACATCTGTCTGCCTTGGTCTTCAAACATCCAAAATAATTCAATCCTGGAGTGCTGCATAAATCAGTTTCATTATCTGCATTCACACATATAAAGTTAGTGTTATCATATTTAACAGAAACATTATCCAAATTCTATACTACACTATCTTTTATTGTATATGCTCTTCTGCAGACGTGTTGATTGATTAAGATGTGATAATCTATTTCAAATTAATAATCAGAATCTTCCAATTAGCTACATTATTGACCCAACCATTTACAAAACTCTCCTTCTTTAATCACATTTACACAACCATATATGTTGAGATGATCTGAACAAGAAATCGTTGAATTGTCAATATATTGGCATTTACTACCTTTGTAGATACATTTCTCATTTTCTTTTGCCACTGCCAAACATCCATATAATGATAATTCAGAAGTGCAACTGACTTCATAAGTGTCAGCACTTCTGCATTAGTTGCTGGTCCAATGGCAAATTTATCCTTCATTGATCGGAGAAACACAGAATCTTTTTTAGGAGTACTTGAACAATGGACAAGTCATGTCTTTGGCCAACGTCTCATCAGCCAATTAGAGACACTTTCCTACGATAATATTCCAATAGCAATTTAATGATGTATTATTCTAACAGCCTAGTGGACTGAATGATTGGGTGCACACAGATTATGCGGTTTCAAGATAACATGAGGATCCATTATGTGCACAATAGTCTGTTGAAAAGAAGTAACAAATTCCTGGAGATATGAGAGCATCTACATAAGCAGAACACGATTTCATATCACCAGTATACGTCAAACACTGATGATTTGTGGAATCCCATTTGCAAGCTGTAGAAACATTATGTAAACAAGTGTATTTTGATGTTATTTCTGGACAACTCCTAAATATAGAGGCTGGCGCTATATTCATACACGAACCATTATTCCATATGCAATTATTTTCTATATATTTACATCCAATCACATTAACAAAGTCATTACAAACACTTCCTGAGATTGTACTACTGCATTTTTATTCAACTGGTTTGAATTGACAGGGATCTGTGAGTGTTGACTTTTGACAAAACACATTATTTTTGGGACTGATGGAATTCATTTAATCACATGAAGTATTGCTATCATCTACAGGCACACATTGATTAGCAGTGTCTAATCTACATCCAGTAAAATTAGCACAGTATCCTCTACTGACTTCATTTTATCCTACTCCTGGACAATTGAGAGGTAGATTCTTGGTGTCCATATTTTTGCATGCCTGCTCATTTGAATCCCAGTAACAACTGTTGATGTTGTTGAGACATCCAATTTTATTCATTTTATTTTAGCATTATGAATTGGTCCCTGTTAATTAACATCCATAATGATTAGGATTTTCAGCACAACCCACATCTGTAACAATAACACAATAGATTTCTGATAAGGATGAGTATTTCAAGGCACTACAAGAGGTAATCTAGCCTGGGATGCATTTTAAATTAGTTTCATCATACATACAAAAGTCATCTTAAGTAATACAACCTGCGGCATTCAGATTTTCTTCACATCCCTGAGACTTAGACACTGGAGAACACATCAAATTGATTGAATCCCAACTACAGGGTTGTAATATCCATAAACAAGCTGTCTTATTAATGGCTTCTTGGCATCTGGCATTTTGGGAGGATAACGATGTGCATGTAGTAGAGTAAGTACAATAATCTCCAACTTGTTAGAGACAACAATATTTGGAGAAATTAGCCATGCTATTACAAGTGCTTTGATAACTGGATCCTACACACTTATTCGATTACCATTGACAACATTTTGTAGTATGTGCTTTGCATGCATTTTCATTTAAGTTGCTTGTGCAATCTAAATTCGAATAATCGGTGACTTGCATACACATCCCATTTTGGTAATAACAATATGCTGTGGTATATGCAACACATGCTAACTTATTCATTCCTTTGTCGCAATTAGCTGATGCAACTGTTACAGCTTGACAGGAATTGGCATTCCAAGTACAGGGGATATCAGTAGTCTATGAGCAAACACCAGGATTCACTTGAGAATAGGTCAAACAGTTGTTGCTTACAGTGACTGAGGAACAAACATTACTAGCCCATTGACAAGATTATCCATTGTATAATTTTAGACATCCATTCTGATTCGATGGATCACTGCATTAAGAGGATGTAACATCATTTGTCAAAACATCAAGACATAGGTTATTAGTAAAGATGCAATTCCCTGAGAGTGCACCTGCACAAGCCTTTTGGTTGGCTCCCATTGAATTGCAATTTGGTGCATTACCAGTGACACATCCATTATTCCAATAACATGGTTCAGTCAATATGGAAGCACATACTTATGGGGAATATACATTTGAAGCATATGTATTGCATAGATCTGTTGATTGAGTGGTAATGGATGTGCAAGATCCATTATTCCATTGACATAGCTATTTTGGAGTTTGGATTCGAACACATGCAGATTAAGTAAATGCATATTCACCTGTGCATTGAGCATCATAAGGAGAAGTAGTTATGTCAATACAAATTTAATAATAATAACACGAATTCACCGTGTTATTAATACAAGCTATTTAGTTTAGGCCATCACATGGTTACATTGTATTGGCAGGTATCACACATTGGGATGATAATCCATTGTCTTAAAATTAGCATGATTGACTCTCATAATTGTTTTACATACAAGCATATGAATTTACATTGGTTAATGTTGAACAATCATCGTTCGGTGTGATGTATACACATTCATTATTCTACCATTTGCATGCAACTACTCTGCTGTTAACACATTATTTAAATGACACTGCACTTGGACATGGGAAGTCTGTTGATGTGATTACACTACAAGTGTAGGATGAGAATTCACAGGTTTATGTAGTAACATAAGTCAAACAATAGACGGAATTTATACTAGCGTTAGAATTACAAAGTGATAGAGGTGTAGTTCCAACTATACAAATATGATTGACTGCATCATAAACACATGATGAGTCAGAATTAGCGTATTTGCATGTTTTACTATTCACTGTTTACTTGTTTGAGTCTGAATAACTTGAACAACTAAAATTCATTAGAGTGCTCTCAGATATTTCACTGCATTGTTAAGTTTGTTTGTCAAATTAGCATGCTACTTTTTACACATTCACACATGCATCTTCATTCAAAAAGTCAAAGTCCCCAGTTACCACTGCCATGTCAGGTATGGATTAGCATGAATTCTATCTGTATCCACAATAAGATCCTTTTGTTTTCTAGACACAAGCTAACAAATTCAATCCAGGTTTATTGCAAGGATTATTATCAGTAGTGATTGTGATGCATACTTTATTTACATTATCATAACCGCAACTTGATGATTAGATCTAAGAACAAATCATTTAGTTGAACTTACCTCCTGATGCAATGTTAAATTAATTACACTATGAATTCTCGTCTACTTTTACACTTACACAAGTACTATTGAACCAACCACAAGTAGATGTATTTACTCCTATGCAAGTAGAATCTGAATTTTTGTTATTACAATCATTTTATGGTGGTGATGGTCTTGATTAGCACAAGTATTCATGAGTATTGAAAGTGTCACAACTGGAATTCAATTCGCAAGCCGCTTAATTCTAACCAACTTTGCAGCTTGAATTCATTTAAATTGAATCACAATGAAAGGTACCAGAATTGTATTCGCACATTTCATTTGATGTGGTGACCATAGCACACACTATTGCGTTGTACTATTGAGTATTCAAAGAAGCACAAGTGGCTGTATCATAAGTAATATCAGTAACATTCTAGCATTATTTATTGGGTTAGTCCCAATAACAAGCCTCTTTTGATGAAGCCAAACATCCAAATTAATTTACTGAGTCTTTGCAACCAATTCTTTTTGCATTATCATTCGTTACTGTTGAACATTTAAAGGCTTACTTATCAAAATAGCATGCTCCAGTTGTATTGCTAATGCAAGCCTATTCATTAAGTCCACTTGCCTCACAAGATAAATTATTAACTGAATTGTTAACTACTACACAGTTCTTAGTGTTAGGATCGAATCTACAACTTGAGACTGATTTAGTACTAGCACAAGTGTTGGAATTGACTATTTCATTCAAATAACTGCTGCATTCAGATCCAGTGGTAAGCAATTTGCATTTGATATCTTAAGCGGTTGAAACCCATATACAATATTACCCAGATGTATTTATGCTTGAACATAAGCTCTTACCGCATTATTTGCATAATAACGAACTCAGTAATGGATCATTGGGGGCAGTTATTTATAAACACTTTAAGGATGTAGTGTTGAAATAGCAATTCATTGATTTGTTTGAAAACTTAAGGCAAGCATGCAAATTGATATCTAAAGTGCTTCCACAATCAGCCCAATCAGTAGCACTCGTATAGAGTGAACATTGTTTAGTAGTACCATTGTAAGTGCAGTAATTCGAATCGCCTACCCATTTGGACTGACTGATTTCATAAGCTAGGCAAAACAATTTGTTAACATTTTTGTATTGTGAACATTCATTAGAGACTGGAAATGTTTATAATTAACAGATGGAGTCAATTGAGTTCCAAATACAATATTATCCCTGTAATGAGATGGACAGACAAGTTGATTTGGATGGAAAATTTGTGTCGCATTTGATGTTGGTGAAATCAGTAGCAGTTGTACATTATTAATTGGTTGTATCAAAGTAACATGACTATTTTAAGTAGGCACATGCATATGGATTTAAACCAGAAGCAGTACATGAAGCGCTGGGGTCGACAGAGGCAGAACAGCTTTGAACATTTGGATCATATCTGCATTTTTCAACTACTTATTGAACCATTGCACAGGTTTTGGAGGTAACACTTTATAGTGAAGAACATGTAACAGCACCACCTAGACTTTCAACAGTGGCACATTGATTGGACAACCATCGACAACTTAATGATGAGTTGGTGACACTGGAACAACCCTTTTGGTTCATTCCACTGGTGTCACAACGGATGCTGTTAGTCATAACAAAAGTCTCACAATTGTTGGAATCTGAATTATATTTACATAATTGTGCTTAGAGATTGACGATATGATTAACCATCCTACAAGCAACAGCATTCACTAATTTTAGAGTAGAACACTCATCAGTTCTCTGGATTTTAATCGACATGCACATTCCAGAGAATTCATTCCATTTACAGGATGACATTGTGCTATTCAAACAACCCAATCTATTGAGTCCCTCTTATTCACAAGCCAAGGAACCATCAGTTGTTTTGCATTTGCCATTACTCCAGTAACAGGCTTCAGTGGTCACCTTACGACAAGCATTGGGATTATGAGATGTAAGATCTGCACACATGGTTTCAGGAGTCACTTAAAAGATTTTACATTATGATCCATTGTAATTGCAAACTTAACTCGGATTTTTTAAATTCAAACAACTTATCTTATTTAAACCACTCGTACATTTCAGTTGATCTAGTGACTTGATTTTTAAACATTATCCATCAATAAATTAACAATTTTAAATAGCTTCATTGCATGACAGTTTGTTCTATCCCAATTTTCCACATTCTTAATTATCATCAAATAGACACCCATTATCATCACTCCAGTAACAGCCAGAAGAACTCTATCGACAACTAGTCTCCGTTCTCATATTGCTTTGTGATTTGCACATTGAATTACACTTCTTAGTTTATGAATCGAAAAAGCAGGAAATACTAGATACATTTGCACAAACACTTGGAGATACTTACATATCAAAAGAGCAATCATCGTTGGCTTTCACTGATTTGTATTAGCATTATCCTGCAGACCAATAGCAGGTCTCTGTGAAATTAGTTACTGAGAGACATGCCAATTAATTCAGAGCATCCGAGCATTTAAGTTATCCAGTAGAATTAACTTATTAACATTTCCCATCCACGAAGATGCAACTCTCAGTTTATATTTTTATACATCCTAACTTATTTAAACCTGCCGAAGAACACCCCAGATACTAGTAGACTACTTCAGGAGGCTTTACGCAACCGGGAATCAGCATCAATTCTTTATATGTGTTCGCCTGATTACTCAAGATGTATGTCTTATAAAGGGTGGTTAAAACTAGATGGGCTCCGGATTGATGAACAACTTAACTCGTTATTCTTATTCATTACCTGCTGATGCCGTTATCAAGCGACAAATCTTCACACTCACCAACTGAATTGAATCCGATGCACTCCAAGCTATACTGTTGGCTTCCGATTCAGAAATGGTTTAACAACTATCATTCCAAAAACAATAGTCGTCTTGTACTGCCAAACAAGCTGCCCTGGAGAGATTCTTCGAACAATTGCTTAATAAGGTGGTCACCTTACGACAGTATCCGCTAAAAATGCCTATGGTTTTCATCAATTTTCAATTACATTCTGCCATTGTTCCATCTGGATAATAGGTTTAGGCAATGCAAGTTTGGGAGCTGAGTAAATTGGAGCATCCAAAATTGACTCCGTCTGTATACAAACACTGACTTGTTATTTCATTCCATCTGCATTTAGAATTGCCATTTTGGATACAATCTATTTCCGACTAGTAATAATCGCAAGACAAACTAGCCCTAGACATTAAAACCAATAAGAGTATTATAACATATTTCATTTTATTATTAAGTAAAACAATTAATCGAATAGAAATCAATTATTAAATATATTTTGCATAAGATTCCATCTTACGACTACCTATTCCCAATACGGAATTTACTTCTCTGCCATTATCTTGTTCAATTGAGTTAGAAATTGCTTATCCGATATTGTGTTCCTCTTGTCCTGCTTACTCTGCTCCTCTTATGGCAAATCCAAATCTATATACATGTCTCTGAATGTGCCATTGGTCTGTACATCATTATTCACGATCACAATTTGCGGTTATTCGTCATCTGATAGATCGTTTATTTGTTCCTAGAATAAACATCTGATCTCAAAAAATAGACATTCAAATTTAGATTATTTTTATAAATCTCTCAAATTTTTTTCCAAATCGTCCTGCTACAATGCACATTGAATCATGTTCAATAATAAGTTGAGATTCTTCACACTTGTGTAATAGGAATTGTTTCTGGATGCCAATTGTATTACCGACACCACATTCTCCACCTTCAATTTCTATATTATTGCTTCGTTCTTGCTTTATCCCAAATGATCATTGACTATTAATAGGCATTCCACAAATATCTCCAATAAATCCTACTCTATTGTCTCCTGAGGTTTTCCCATTCTCTATGCCACCAGACTCACGTTCCCCCTATTTTCGAGGATTGTGTGCCACAGTTCTCGCTTTTCATATAGGGTCAACTACGGCCTGAAGAGTTCTTCTCTCTCTCTCTTACACATGTACATAAATATTTTAATTGCAAAATAACATCATGATTCCTAGAAATGGTTTAATAAAAAATCATTTTTATTTTTAATCGTTATAAATTTGAAATTTCTATGGCTTCATCAGTCCTTCGTTCTCAAATTCCCTTAGGAGGAATATGCGATGTAGAGTCTGCAAAACATGTTGCAAGGCGTCTCTTTGAATCTTACGACAGAGACAGAAACGGAATCTTGGATCAAGGAGAAGTGGCACCCATGATGGTTGATGCCTACAAAGGAATGTCCAAAGGATTCAACCCAAGCAAATCGGACATTGACACCTATCTGAGAATCCTCGATAGAAATGGAGATGGCAAAATCACAATCCAAGACATCGAAGCCTTAGCCATCAAATACCTAGTTGGCATCACTGGAGAGTCTCCAAAAAGACCCAAAAGACAATACTCCAAATTCGTTGAAGAGCGTCTTGATGTTGCAAGGAGACTCTTTCGTAAATTTGATTAAGATGGTTCCGGATTCATCACTGAAAATGAAGTAAATTGATTATTCCTAACATCCCTTAGGTTCCTTAATTATTAATTGAAACCTATAAGTCTATGGGCATCCACTACAATCCCACTCTAAGAAGATGTCAAATCATGGATGAGAATGACTGACCTTAATGATGATGGCTAAGTTTCACTTGAAGAATACGAAGACTTAGTTATTAGATCACTTCAACATGCAGGAATCCAACTTGAATGATATATATATATATAAATACAATTATATAAATAAATTCAAAATTCCCCTTCTCAAAATACTTTGATATCATTTGCTTTGTCTCATCCCCATCATACACTTTAAATTGCTAGAAGAATCTCTTCATCTTTGTACTAGTTTTCTCAAATTTGTGATATTAAATCATCGATTTGTGCATATTCTCTGATAGGAGATGGCTACCCAATTTGGGATTTCTCAATATTTTCATTTTGAGTCTTCAATTAGAACTCTTTTAATCTTACTCCAAAAATTAAACACTTGATTTTTAATATTGTTTCTCTACATTAAGAAACAAATTCATTATTATTGCTATGATTACATAGCGTAATATAATCCATTGATTTTGTAGATATTAATGCACTCTTGTAATTTTTAAATTGAGAATTCAAAAGAATACTGCCTTGTCTTCTACTCCGGGTGCCTAATCTTTTTTAAATGTTCTTTTGCTTGTTGAATATTGGGGTTTATGGGTTCTTCTTGATTAAAGGATTCAAAGGAAGCCTGCCGACCTTTCCTAATCCTTCTGATCTCATTTTCTTAAATTCAACCAAAGAATTCTCTTATTCAAAGTATATATAATTATCTTCAGGATTATGAAACGGCATTGGTTTCCAAACTGTTTTTTCTGTAAACTTACCTCTAGCTTATTTGAAATCACTTCACCTAACCATTTCTCTCTTTAAGTCAGTTTCCAATTTGGTCTATAAACCATTGTCAGATTTCGTGATGTGTGATCAATTTAATTTGAGTTTTTCCCTGTTCTTGCAATCTTTTATTCTCAGTCCTGGGGTTCTTACCAATCGTTAGAGGTATTTTTTCTTTAGCCAATATCTTATACCTCATATTCAAAGGTAGTTTCACATTTGGACCTGCCTTTAATTGTCCACTCAGAAACTCATCTTAACCTGCTTATGCTTTCTCTCTTTCTGATTTATAATGAAATGGAGTTCTCTGATGGGTCCTGTCTACAAATTATGTAGATCGGGATTTAGCAAAGGTACGCTTTCACTTTTTATACCTGTTATTTAATTTTCAGTATTATACTCTTTAAAAAGCTTGAGTTATGATTCGAATTGATTCTCTTAGAGGTTTAAGCAGTAAATTAAACACATTGTTTTAAATGCTTTTATTAAGTTTCAGAATAATATAATTATTCACACAAATTTTGATCATTAGTACAATTAAGTAATAAAAGGATATAACATGTGATAACTCCATAAAAATATTTCCAATAAATATCTTTCATTTTTTCTATGAATATAAGTACAATTATCCTTACCAACATTATTAAAAGTTTAATGATCCAAATATTTAAAGAAAAACTAATCGAAAGTAAAATTTGAATTAATATTTACTTTAGTTCATTAAATGCTAAAAATAAAGTTGATTAAATTTATTAAAAATAAATTTTATTAAAACTCTTCTTCCATATCTTAATAATATCATTCAAGAATTCAAAATCTAGAATGAAATTGAAAACTTGTTGGAAGACTGTAAAATATTATACTAAACTTGCACCTAACAGAATTTGATATAAAATTAATGTGAATAATTAAACATCGTTCGAGACAATAAGATTTTTTTTCCTATAAATTACACATATTGAATCCATTAAGGAGAAAGCATTAAAATTAAGATAATTTATGTTATAAGAATAGAGTAAGTAAGCATTGCAAAGTTTATTATACATGAAAGGACTAATTTAATTTGTTAATCTAAAAATAAACTAGGACTGTAGCCTAGCAATAATACACATTTAAATATTAATGAGAATATATATAAATATTAATATCTTAATTAATGAACAACTCGGGTTAATTACCATAGAGTCCTTAAGAATAATTAGAGGAGCGGATAAAGGCATTATCACTAAAGTATAAAGAGCGGATCGATGAAACCTAGATTTTCAAAATGTTCATAAGTGATCAGGATGATTAATTTGCAATATGGAAAAATGCAGAAAGTCAAGTAAAATCAGTTTGTGGAGCTGATGTAAAAAGTGGAGAACTGACATTCTAATGTTTCACTTGTGCCCCTGATCCTCATCATATGTACTGCTAGAAGTGCTTTGATCCCGATGTACATCTGAGTATGTTTTTTAAATTGAATAGATCATAAATGCATCATTAAGCATATGATTGGCGGTGCTTGTGATTGTGGTGATGAATAAACAATCGTACCATCCGGGTTTTGCTCAAAACATCAAGGAGTCTCAAAGTTTGATAAAGACTAGGAGTTAAAAAAAATTTCAGATCAACTTAAAAAGAATATAGAAATCTTCATAAAAGCTGTGTGTAAAATATACTTACAACTTATGAGAAGAATAAAGTCAGATCATGACATGTATAATCCCGCAATCCTAAAGCTTTATCACCTAAGCGAAAAGTGGTTGATTGTTCCTATCAAATAGGTTATAGATTCTGAATATGATTTGGAGGAATATTATAGAATATTTTAGTAGGCATTATATTTGAACTCAATACTTTTTATAATGTGTGATTGGTTCACAGAATCAAGACTATGTTTCATAATTTTGGTTTCTTAAATATTTTAGTCCCAATTAACACCAGAATCCAATCAAACACTATTTGAAGATTTAATGGAAGTTCAAGTATTACTTGAAGTTTTGGGACCATAGCCAGCCTAAAAAATAGAAAGTTTATTATTTAGGCTTTACGCAGACTATCAATTTAAATAGTTCTTATAGGTTTGTTACTTAAAGAAATATTCGTCGATGTGGTTATAGACTAAGTCTAAAGTGACTCAGTACGACAAATAGATGCAGGATTCTATAATCCAATTGTCAACTATAAATAATTAGCACATAGTTACGGCTCAACGCGAAGTCTTAGTGAAAATGGCTTAGAAAGTGAAACTCTATATTGAAAGTTATAAAAAATCAACTGAAATTACAACAGGTTTGCATGTCTCTGAAATTCATGAATAGCATACTTAATATGTGGCAGAAAAATTGCAAGAGATATTCCTAAATCATAAATATCTCTAAAATCTCAATGATTAAATTAGAGAGGTTTTGAATTTAATCTACTCCCACCAACCAATTGCAACAACATCTCATCTATCTTTTTCAATAATTTTCAAATTAAGGTACGACTATAGTTTTTTCTACAAACTTGGCTTTTAGCAACTGCAGCATGTCCTTGGGGATTAATATTAACAATTTTTTACTAGTAACACCAGCAAGGAAACTATTAGAAATTTTAAGTATGATTAATTCACAATTACCTCTTATTTAAACATTTATAATTCAATTAAGGCTCAACATTTAGACATACAAAACGATCATTTAACCATTTTCATATAAGATACGTATGATGGGTTTTATTTTCTAATTTGTTAAGGTTAGGCTGTTTAAGTGGTTTAAACAGGAATTTAAAAGCTATTTGCTTCTTAATTTAGTACACCAGAATTTTAAGAGAACCTTACCAAAGTATTGTTAGTATAATCCTATTAAATTTTGAAAAAGAAAAGTAAAGGTATATCGGTAGATGATTAATTGAATGAGGCATATAAAAAATACATTGAAAATCAAGATTTGGGCGACGCTGAATTATTTGACAGATTAGCAAAAATTTATTTTTTGTTGATAAAAAGCATAACCGTAGTTGAAAGAGTATTTACTTTTCTCCTGTCGCAACTATATTGTTTGAAGAATTTTTCATCTGGAAAGGAATTCGAATCCTACCTACTTGATGTTTTAGAGGAAGACAAAAATGAATTAAAAAAGATCTTTTATGAAGTCTTATCAAAATGCTTATAGATGTACGTTACAGTCTAGTTTTGTGACAATCAGTATTTACAGTAAATTTATTTGGGTTTGAATGATTAATAAGAAATTGGGGCTTCTGAATCTTATGATAGTTCATTTTTGAGAATTTATTTGTTCTTATTTGAAAATGAAGGCTTTTAGGATTTAATTCAAATTATGAATAATCGAAGAGTGCCAAAATAGTTAGGTAGTGAAAGGATTCTTTGGTATATTTATATATTTTATATAATAGTTCCTTGCTATTAAGAATTTTTAGTTCTGATCTTGATATGTATAATATTTGTAGCTCAACACTGAAAGAACTACCAAAAGACTTGAAATTATCTTTAGCAAAGGCAATCTAAAATTTTTACAATCTTTCAACATATCTCTCTTTTACTGACATTGAGGCTAAGTTAAAACGCATGGGCATTCAAATTTGTTCTAATCTCCCAGATCATGTTCTTTAGATTTGTGAAGTTGACCATGCATTAAAACAATTGAAATTAAAACCAGATTACAGAGTAATTTATGAACCAGCCATTTTTTACATTAATACTTCTATTAATAGTCAGATTGTCGAAAAATTAGTAGAATAAAATAAATCAGAGACTGAGATACATTTGGGTAATGGAATATCTTGGGATGTTGAACTATTTTCAAAAAACAATTATAGAACCATCCTTTACAATATTTTGAAACATTACTGCTAGAGAGAATACATTTACTAAAATATTGAGTTACTAAAAACAAAAGGATTTGCTCTAATATAAGCTTATTAGTTGCTTTATATTTAAATAGTAGCAGCCAATTATTTTGTGTAATAAGAATTTAAATCTTATGCTCCTTTCATAATTAATGAACTTGAATAAATTCTTAAGGTAACTTAACGAAAAGATGACATTCAAAGAATTTAAGTACTGAGAGCAGAAATCGTCAAACTTATCACAGTAGTTTAACCAGTTGTTTAGAAATAACCCCAAGATAACAAAGTTAATTTATAAAATAAGAAGAATCAATTCAAGCAGAAGTATAACAAATTGCAAAACTCAGAATTTATACAAAATATGCTGGAAAGTAACAATGTTAAGGAAAACAAGGATGAAAATGATTAAAAAGTGTGTTCATCCTGTAAATTACCTTTGAGTTAAGAGGCTAGTGTAGCCTTAATGTTATTGATCAAAAAACCTTAAACTTCCAATTTTTCTATCATATCTAAGGAGGGATTAGAATGTTTCAAAAACGAAAAATATAATTTGATTGATTTAGGAATAGCAACATGTCAACATTATTTCCATTATACTTGTTTAATAGAGAGGTTTGAATAGGATTAACAATATCGAAGATAAAATGCTCCAGATTGGGTTAAGATTGGATGTCCAGTCTGTAAATTGCCTTGCACAATTACTTTACCAATACAAAAGTAATTTACCTCAATGGATGTGGAATCCTTTAATTAGAATCTACAGTTGTTTGTAGCTAAAAATGGAGTTGAGAATTTATTTGAAAATCAAATTGTTGCATTAGAGACTCTATCAGAATCCTATCTCAACATTTTCTTTGATTTGTTAATTTCCTTAATCCACAATCCATCATAGTATATAAGGGATTAAAAAGACATTGTATTCAATCATTTACTCTAAATCTTGAATGTTACAAATATGGAACCAGCCAAAAATCAAATTACTGAGAAATTCCAATTTTAGACAGAAAACAATTTTATTTTAAAAATACTTTCTTTAATTCAACAATATGTGATTGTTGAAAAAGACTTGTAAAGGTTCAAATTAGAAGTCATTACTAGTTGCAGACAATACAACATATCTAACGAAATTACAAATTAGATAGTTTTGTCATTAGATATAAAAGATGAACTAGCGTAATAAAGCTCGCAAATCCAAAAACAAATAGAGAATTAGGAACATCCTAATCAATATGCTATAATAAATTAAGAATAATTGGAAGACCAATTAAAAAGCATACTTGGATTAACATTTGAAGAGTTTTATAATAAATACTTTACTAAAAAATGTTTTGTCTGTGGATTCTACAATAAAAATCAATAACATGGAGGATTTTCTGTGTGTTTATTCTGCTCAAAAACATTCTGTATATATAAATGTCAAAAGGACAAGACTATGGGCAATTTAAATCAACATGCAAATAAGGAGCATAATGGAATATCTATTTATGTTAATTTGAGAAATGGGTATGTGACTTTGTTATGTTCTCCAATATCCATTCAGTATTATAAATGTTTATTTTACAATCAATTAGGGTAAACTATAGAAATCGAGAATCCGAATTCAGATTGGAAGTCATTCCATTTAGATATCTAAAAGGTTAAAGAAATTTCACAAATAATCATGAGCAGTTCTTATTAAGCAATCATTAGGAATATAGAAGTCAGGTAGCACCAATTGGATATGGAAGGATGGCTTTGAATTAGTATGCAATGATTCTTGAGTATCAATAAATTTGGTTAATAATTATGAATATTTCTAATTTTTTCCAGGAATGCGTCAATACTGTCATGGATACACGACCAATTCAGTATCAACCTTCGATGCAAATAAGTGAAGGAGAGATTTTAGTAAAAGGAAAAACGTTTGGTAGATGGGAAACTAAGAAGTTTATTATTGATGATGAGAAGAGGGTTTTCGCACTCAGGAGTTCTAATGGAAAAACAAGACTAAAACCCTATTTTCTCTAGGAGTATTAAGTATGGAGTTAATTATTCAAAATCATAGATTGAGAATAAAGAGAAGAAAAAAGATAAAATAACATTTGATTTAACTTCGAAAACTGGAGGAAAATGCTTAACTCTTGGGATCGAAAATGAACAAAAGGCAAACGAGTTCATTAATACTCTTCAGGATTTATGCAATAGAGTAGAAGTGAAGCAGAATGTGAATGAAACTATATAGCAGAATATTTAAGATCAAAGCTAAATCAATTAACATTGTACCATTATTATAAATTATAGGGAGAAATCAAGGTGGATGAAATTGATTATGAAATTCCGAGCTTCTTTGATATCGGAGAAATAAGGGATAGGTAAAAAAGTGTTTTAAATTAGTATCGCTCATATAAGGAAGGGATAACACAATTTGGAGAATTTTAAATTAGTTTTTGAGAATAAATTATTAATATATAGAAATGAACACAACCATCATTAATTTAAAGTTTTCATGGAATTTGACGGCGATTGTAATTTTTATATATTTATCACAATTACATAGGCCGAGATTCAATTATTCAGAATTTAACAGATTATAATAAAATTAATTAGTGGAATGCACTTATTAATGCACAAGATAGTAGGATGATAAAAGAGTTGCATGCAGATAAATCTTTTCTGATATGTGAGATTCGTGAATTGTCAAACCTATTCATCTTTAAACGAGAATTTCAATATTTGCAACATCATTTAAAAGTTGATAATATCGATTTTATTGTACAAAAATAAATTGATCAAAAATCCTACACTAAAAATTATTAAGGAAGCCTTAAATATGGTGTATGGGCTGTTTAAACAAGGTACAATTTGCATCTCTAATTTTAGTGAAAATACAACCAAACTCTATTACTTTTCTGAACAATCTATGTAAGGGCTCTCTTATCCCGATGAGGATGGCTATCTTATATAGCAATTTTTAAAGCAAATAATCAATATATATTAATAAAGCAGCAGATCTTAATAGGATTTATCATAAATTAAGTAGAATGAACAAAATTTATAAGTTTATTAATAGAATCAAAATCAGGCATTAACAAAAAAATAATCAAATAAATAAGAAGACAAGGAAGAGTTCTATGATTGCGAAGAAATAGATGCTATGAATGATAAATTGTTTATGGTTGAGGCAGATTCCAATAAAAATAATGATGTACAAGATGAAGTTGCGAGAGATGTCTATGAACAGAACATCAGAAGATTGACATCTCTTCCTTTATAAGTAGACGCATTAGATAATATACAAGACTGGGTTGATAAAAAGATGAAATTAGTGTTATCTGGGAATTATAATTCCCATTCTATTAGTGTTAAACATTAATTGTAACCAAAAGAATATGATCCAACACAGCGTTAATTATTAACGTAATAGGAAGGGGGACATTATATTTTTAAGAAGGATTTCATAAGGGAAGAGAAGAGTGGAGGATTAAAAGTGATTAATGAAGAAAAGTTAGCCGCTTAAAAGGCTGTCATCAAATTCTTATTAACTAGAATTGGTGCTTCTCTTATGATGGGCAAATCAATTACTAGTATATCGATGCCAGTATCTATCTTTGAGGCTAGATCAAATACTGAGAGAGTATGTAATAGTATGGGATTCGCACCTATTTATTTGGAAGATGCTGCTCAATCTTCAGATATTTATTATAGGATTAAATAATGTGCTGCTTTTTAATTTGGATTTATATTTATGTATCTATCTTGTGAAAAAGTATTCAATTTATCTATCTAAGCCCTTCAATCCAATATTAGGAGAGACTTTTTAAGGGTTCTATGATAATTGTCCCATCTATTGCGAATAAATTAGTCATCATCCTCCTATATGTGCGATCTAAATGTATGGTCGAAAATACAGGTAGAAATTATTTAAATAATCCCTATTAGAATAGATGCTTAATTGGAATTGATTGCTAACTTTAATTCAAATTCAGTGGTTGGCAGAAATGTTGGTACAGTCAAAATCACATTCGAAAATCCTCATCAAGTTGTATTGATCACTTTGGCTCCAGGCAGTTTGAATGGAACAACCTATGGAGATAAAGTGATGAATTATCTTGAAAAGTAATTCATAATAGATTTAAAAAATAAAATAATCGCTGAAATTACTTTTAATCCGGATAAAAAATATTGTCAGTTTTTTGATGTTGAATACGTAAATCAATTGGATTATTTGTGTGGGGCTATTTGTGATGTGACTGATGCAGCAATATTGAAATATCACAAGGAAGGATATCGCAAATACAAAGGGTTGGATCTAAAGTCAGATATCAAATAAATTAGACATAAAATCAAAGGAATATGGGTGAATGAAATCAAAGTATGGATAATCTTATTTTACTTAATAGATAGATAATTAGAAGTTAATTTCTATTTACAATGACTTTCCTGTTAAAATGTAATTGGCTTAATATCCAATTCCATCAGATGCTAATTTCAGAATGGATTTACTGTGGTGGAAATTGAGAGACTTTGATTAATCTTAATAGTGGAAGGAGAAATTGGAAATCCTATAAAGAGAAGATAGGAAGTTGAGGGAACAGAAAATGAAAAAGAAGAAGTGAAATATTAATTTAAAATAATGTTTTAAAACGCATTTCTATTCCATAATTTCTTAATTGATTTAATTACTAATTCATCATATATTGGATTAGCTTTATATTTTAAGAGATTGTAAGTAAGTAAAAAATCAATTATATTTATTTTATAATGGATTAAGAATCTAATTTTTATTTCAGATTAGAATCAGATATTTAAATCTAGAGTGGTATACCAACATTCCAATAAATTGGTTAAATAAAGTATTTTTTATCTTCCATCAAGTTTTATGCAATCAGAATTATAAATTCCCCCCTAAATATAATAGGCTAACCTTATTCAATCTCCAGAAAACTCTATGATTATGTAAGCTTCCCCGATTAATGGCCATTTATTTGGTAACAATTCTCCAATTCATTCTTAACAGGATGAAGAGGATATTTCTCTTGTGAATCAGATGTATGAATCCCAAGTATTTTCATAACCAATTTTGGACATTTCCTAAATAAGTCAAATTTAACTCTAACCTAAAACTAAATTGGATCTAACAGATCAACCAAAATACAAAAAAAAAAAAGTTGGATGTTCTTGTACTAAGAGAAAATGTTCTTCCAAATATTGCTTTTGTGCTAAAGTTGGTCAATCCTGTTCCAATCTATGTAAATGTGTCGATTGCAGTAACAACAAATCCTTCATGAGTTAACAAATACAAGTTACAAATGCTTAAGAACAAAAAGGATGTAAGTGCAAGAAAAACTTTTGCTTAAAAGGTTATTGTGATTGTTTTGCAAAAGGAATGCAATGTAGCTCTAATTGCAAATGCATTTCATGCAAAAATATGCTAACGATTGAACCTATCAAAGACAAAGTACCAATAATTAAGAAAAAAATCAAAAAGTTTAGTAAATTTTATAAGAATAAAAAAGGGTTCATTAGAACAAACAAAAAAGGACTAATATTAACTTAAGTAGAAAATTAATGATTAACATAATATTATAATTATGTGTAGTTTTGCTTCTTTCTTTCTTATTGATATTACTTCATATTAATTTATTTACTATTTAATATTCATTTCTATTATGTAAAATGAATAATATTAATCACTCCATCTCGACTTAGATTTCTAGACTCTCACATAATTGAATGACCTTATCAACCTCATCCATTAATTATCCTTTGTCTTTACTGTACAATTAGAGTAAACAAGAAGTTTGTTAATTATCAGATTGGCCAGCTTGAATGTCTACAATGTTGAATTTACAACCACTAAAAGATTTAATACAATAATTACGATTAAACTACTGATAAGATTTTATTGATCGCACCAGTGTCGAACAAATGTCCTGTTAATTTGATAGCCAAATAGGAAGGAACTTTCTTTAAGGCTTTTTTAGGTTAGAAACTTTCAGCTTCCTTCAATTAATCATTAATATTTCTTAAATGAGTAATATATTAAAATTTATGAGTTAGTTATCCATGTAATGTGATTGTAGCATTTTATAAAAACACAGGTAACCCACTTTCCTCTAAAGGCTTGCTTGAATCTGAATAAGCAAGATGAGGAACAATGTCTCTCAGAGCAATACCAAAATCAATACTAGCATCATAAGGTAATTGAGAAGGTAAAAAATCTATTGACATGTACATAATGTCTTTTGGTGATTTTGCATCAAATTCATCATGAATTGATTCTGAAATTGGTTCATAAAAATAAACAGGATTATCAGGTGTTGTATATTTCTTTAAGAATTGAATTGATCCTTCCATATCACAAGTAACATCACATATGGCTTATAATCTACTTTTTCCTGATTGAACTAAATCCTAAATTTTAAAATATTGTAATTACTTTCATTTATGAATTTGTAATGTATCTAGGGAATTTGTGATCCCAATATATGTCATTTACTATAATAGTTAAATATGGTAAATATTTGGTATGGAAAACAGGGGTGTATTAATTTGGATGATTGTAATAATCTGCTGAAGTAAATTCCTTGTCATAGTCTTCTTGATGTCTAACTAAATCAGTTGTTTTGAATGGACACACATAAACTGTTCTTCTGTGTTTAGGATCATTTGGAGTATTCACTAATTCTTTCAATTCTGAAGGTTTAACCAAAGTTACGTGAAGATTAGATAATGCTTCCATTGAACCTTTACCACATAAACCTGATGAGCCCAGAACACCAATAATAATTGGTAATCCTGCTTCCTTTGGAAGTCCTCTATCCTTGATGGCTTGTCCTGCCACATTTAGTGCTTAATAAGCGTCCTTTTTATTAAAGTATTAATAGGTTGGGCCTATTTGGAGGAATGGAGTAGCAATGTCTCTTTTGAGTAAATACTTTCCGTATTCATTCAAGAATGTGATGATTCCTGCTATGCCTGCGTATGGGAATGCTGTAGTATTAACACCCTATTGAATTAATATATAGATTACTTTTTCATCATAAATTCTTTCATAATCCAAATGTCTAATATTTTTCTTTATCATCATGTCCAATGCAGGCATGTTGTGTGGCTATGCTTTAATTGTGTGAGACCAATGTAAGTAGGTCATTCCTTCGATGTATTTATCAAGTGGAATCTCTTTGATGCAAACAATGCCTTTGCATTAAGTCAAGTCTTCTTAAACTAAGCATCCAACTTCTAAATATTGTTCATCGGTAAAAATTCTTTTTGTTGATGGCTAGACCACCATTTATATTTGTGGATGCTTAGATTAAACATGAATTCATTACTTTTTCCATGATGTATTTGCAATCGTGAGGAGGGATTGGAGTCCTTCTTTCCCAATAAGATTTATCTTCAGCTCTAATACCGATGTACAACTTGTCCATTTCTTTTTCGAAATAATTTAAATATTAAAGATATGAAAATGCGTCACCCAGCTTTATAATCTCAATTAATTAAATTGCTTATATAAAATATATTTAAATTGAATAGTGCATATAATGACGTTTTACTCAAAGACTTTCTAATTTTCTTATAATTGAATTATTTTTTTACCATTGATTATATAGTTTATACAAAAACAAGAAACAGTAAAAGAATATTTTTACAAACTTTAAGATGCACCTTTGAGGTGTATTTTATATTAAATATGAATTGAAAGATAAATAACTTTTAATGAATTCCCGGAAAAATAAATTCTTTCTTTTTTACTTCTCTGGTAAATTTCTCTTAGAGTCTTAGTTTAAGTTTTTCAGTTGATGGAATAAAAATTTTGATTTGATTTTGAACATTGTTTGTTCCATATAAGTATGATTTATTTCATTTTATTAAAAAATAACCGAAATATTAATTCTTCATATTTATTACGTTGGAATTAAAATGGTTCGTATTTTTCAGAATTTGATAAGTGAAATGGAATAACATTCAAAATATATTAATTAAATTATCTTATTATCATGTACAGATACGTCTCAAGTGAACTTGGCTTCAGAACACCTGCTTTGATTAATTCCATTAAAATTTTCGTCAGAGATTTCTCAGATGTCCCTTCAATTTCTGTTTCGAGATTAAACACAGAAGAAATTAGCTAAGCTATGGAAATTCATTCATTATCATGGCAATAAAGCACAGATTCTACAAAACTTATAAAAGAATTTAAATTCACCAATTTCAAGTAAACCTTCGTTTTCATGGGATCAGTCTCTTAAGTTGCCGATTAAATGCAACGTAATTCTTTATTACAATATTTAGATTTCCCAAAATGGGTGCAAAAAGGAAACACAGTGACTGTTGAAATGACAACCTAGGATTGTAGAGGCATCTCAGTCAAGGATATTTTATTGGCTTATACTATGGATAACATTGCAAATGATGTCGAAAATCAAAAAGTTGAAAATGTGTGTGACACTGTTAAAGTATCTACAAATTAATTGTTAACCAATTGGAACTCAAATTATACTAAAACCGAAGAGTTATTCTAAGGTTTCCAAAAGAATATAGTTTAACTTTGATACCTTATAAATATATATATATATAAGATATTATAACTTCGTTAAATTTAATAAGCTATAAATCAGAATTGTCTTCTAAAACAATAATTTCAGATTTTATCAGTTAAATTAAACTGATATTAAATCACATCATAATTTATAAGATTTTAATTAAGACGCAATTTTCTAGATTTATAAACCCCTAAAAGATCATAATATTTTAATAATTAAATTAAAAAATATTTACATGTATAGATATATTTCATCATTTACATAAAATCATTTAATCATGGAATAAATAAAAGTTTTTATAAAAGACTTTAAAGAAGTTCCAAAGTTAGCAACCTCGAAACTCAACTAAGAACATGTCAATCAACTCAAAGACATCCAACAGCTGTCAGAATAATGGTAATTTAACTCATCAATGACAGTCATAAAGAGAGAATTTGAGTTCCCCACTTTTAAAGAAAGCTTTGCTTTTATGAGCTCTGTTTCTGATTTATCTGAGAAGATGGAACGTAAGATATTTAATTTAATCATTTAGATTATCCCAAATGGTACAATAAGGGAAATAAAGTCATTGTTGAAATCACCACTCCAAGCGTAGGACTGACAATAAAAGATATTTTGCTCGCCTACACTATGGATAACATTTCAAATGATATCCTGAATGAAGACATCCAATTTATATGTTAATAAAGTAAATTGACTTCTCAATCTACAACATTATTAAATTGGTGGAACAAAAACTACTCTAAATATGAGGAGGAAATATCTTCATAATTTTAGAGAAATGTCAATCAAATTTGATGAGGATCAATCTGATTTTGTCAAATATATGTCATTCAAATTTATATTATAATATATAATCACATTTTATTCTCAATCAATATATTGATCAAGCTTATAGATATTTATGTGCATCTACTTGTGCTTTACCTTGTCTTATTAATATAAGTTATTTAAGGTAGATTGAGTATTCTATATAATTTACATAAATTAAGTTTAATCATTTAATGACAACCGAATAATAAAGTTCTAATAAGAAAACGTGGGCTGAATTAGCAGAAGAAGAGGATGATGAAATTGAAAATGGTTAATTCACAACAAATTCTGAAACTCTAGACAAAAATGAGATTCCTTCCCAACCAGGTTTGACAAAATCTGTATCAGAATTTCAATCTAAACCAAGAAATGAAAAATAAAGAAATAATAAATAGAGAGAAAATGGTGGTAATGGTCTCAAAAATTATAAACAAAATAATTCACTTCAAGTCAAAGGAAACAATAAACAAAATAGATAATCAAAAAGTATTCAATTCTAATATAGTAGGCAATTATGATGAAGTTTATGATGCTTTATTTGAAACAACCAATTAGGAAATTATTTTAAGAGTTAAAACATAAAATAAAAGTGAAAATTTAGAGGCTGTTAAAGAATATTTTGAAAAACAGTATTAAAATATAAAAGCATTTCCAAGAAACGATATTAATTAGGTGGATTTATTGACATCCCCCAAAATTGGATTGTATATACTGGAGGATCTTAGATTTAAAGTAAGATTCATTATAAATTAAGGTCCAAATTGGTGATTCTCAATTTGCAATTTACTATCCTTAATTTCCAAACGAATAATTGTCTGAATATTATGCAAAGAAAAGGTATTTAGAAAAGGAAAAGAAATCTCAATAATCGAATGCTGTTTTTCAAAGAAGTGCCATTAATTCTAAAGTCAATGATTAATAGGATTATTATGAAAAATCTGATGGTAGTAGCAACACCTTAGAAAAGGTTTAGTATGATTAACCTTAAATTTATAAAGAGAAAGATTACCAATAAGATGAAGAACAAGAATACAACTAATCCTAAAATAGATAAAAATATGAAAAGAAGGATTTTAATAAATAAACAAATTATAGACCTAGAAATTTTAACAAATAATCTGAATAATATGATTAAGAATAAGATTGGAGAGAATACTAAGATGAAAAATATTCTAATTATAAATCTCATAAATATAGAAATGAATAACATATACCTAAAGAAAGCTATCAAAATTAAAAATATCATTCAAATAAAGGATATGAATACACAGAGAAAACCACTTCTAACAACAATTAATCTCCTTTTCAATAAAAAGAACAAAATAAAGATTATAGAAATAATTATTATTATTAAAATAATAATAACAATAATGGTAATAGTAATAGTAATAATAATAATAATAATAACAATAATCATAATTATAATTAAAAAAGATCTTACTAATAAAATAACAAATAAAAAAGCGATTAATATGTAATTTATGAAGAGAAATAGAAAAAAGATTATTATGAAGAACCAGATAATTAAAAAATAAATGAAGATAATTTTGAAGGTGAAGTTAAGAATCCTTAAAAGATTAATTAAGCAATTTAGTAGCAAAATTTGAATGAAGAAAATTATGAGGATACATAAATAGATAGTGAAAATGAACAAGATCAGGAATAAGTTGAGGAAAATAAATCTCCAAATAAAAATAAAAAGAAGAAAAAAAATAAAAAAGCTTAAAAAGTAGTATTTATGTTTATATTAGACCTCAAAACCAAATGACACCAATTTCTTTGGAATATTATAGAGTGTAACAAAATGAAAAATTAGAATCAATATTACAATTTTATTCTCACACAGAATTATCTAATGCTATAATAACAAACATCTGTTATTAAGAAATCCTTCTTTACATTTGTCCATTTTTTTCTTCATAATTAGTTTTTGTTTTATAATACATTTTTATTAAGCATTAACTTATAGGGGGGACAAAATTTTTACATTTATTATTATTTAATAATAGATTTGAATAAAGAATTACACTTTATCAATACTCTGTCTTTTCTATTATATTCTACAGAATAGTTTTTAGATTTCAAATATATTTTATATTTATTATTTTTCATGGGTTGTGCATTCTAGAAGAAAAAATATTTAAAGAATCCGGAGGGCTTTTAATTTCGTTAAAAATAACTATAACCCGAAGAATAATCAGGATAGCTAACGACTAAATCACCATAGTGTCGTAGTACAAGAGCTCATTCTACTAAAAACTCTAAACAAATCTCAAGGGAATAACAGATTAGAATTGAAAAACTTTTATTTGGTAAAAGAAGAAATACAAATACCCCATAATGCCCCGAGGAAGAATATATATATTAGAGAACTATAATTGGATTGATAGCAAATTGAGCGTAGATTATATAACTTGTATTAGAATAGATATTTAATTAAAATTATATTTATCAAAATCTCATTGATGTTATCATAGAAATAGTTTTTGCTTTAATAATTTATTAATACTTAAAATCATTCTAAAATAAATTTTAAATCAAAGTAACTAAAAGCTTGAATATTAATAATATGAATTATGATAAAGTGATATTTATATATTAAAATGAAGCATATATTCATGAGAGTTAATGTTTAGGCTTTTTGGAATGCACTAAACTATTCTAGGTTGCTGGTAATTGTAAACCCTTTTTGAATTGCTTAGTTAATTTGTTTAAATCTAGTTTTTATGGTCTATTTCTAGCTTATATAAGTTTGATCAATTTGTCTTCCATATTGAATAACTGTCTGCTTTGATGGATCAAAAATGAATCAATAAGAGAGTATTAGATATCGTTAATACCAAAATTATCTTTTGTGCTAACAGTATGGATGATAGGATGAATATTTTTGAATTATTTAATTTCCCTTGCTAGATACAGTTGCCTATCAAACAGCATTCTCTCCTTAACCTTATCACATTTTGTTAACACAATTTATATGTTCACATTTTACTCTTATAACATATTTAACATGACTCTATCTTTATCTTTAAGACCATGTTCAATGTCAATAAGCACATATATTCTCGATAATCTTGATGCCAATTTTGTGTAGGTGTATATCATCCCTTGCATATACTTTTATGCATCAACATTTATTTAAGAATACCCATATCCAGGACTATCTACTACAAATCCATTAATTGTTTGAATATTGTGAAATTATAATCTTAAAGTACTACCCTATATATTATATGATGTTTTCTTACAGTTCTGCTTGATGTTTCAGCAACCTTTTATCCTAATATTGCATTAATCAAACTTGACTTGCCCACATTAGATCTTCCAACAAATAGCACCTCTTTAGGCTTTTTCAAAATTTATTGATCTTGTTTTAATTGGTCTATGAGAAATCCTTTAAGTTTAGAAGGAACAATTTCAAATTGATTAGGCAATAAGGATGTGCCTATCTTTAAACCTTTTAGTAAATTTCCATAATCAGAATGATACTTATACAATTAATAATTATGGATATCTAGTGAAGGGTATTTGATTGAACTGAATTTAAGACCAACCTTAATTATATTCATAATTATTTGATTATAATATTTAATTATTTTGCAACATTTATAATCATGTGAACAAGTTCATAAAATTATTTTCAAATATTGTAAAGAATTGATCAATTTACATAAACAGGCTTTTATTTTTTGTCTTTTTGCTGACTGATTCTAAAGCCTTACATATGGGTGATTTTAATAAGAGCTATAAAAATTCTGCTGGAATATCTGCACCCTCTGAAATGATAGTTTCTAAAACAATTATAATCTGAATTTATATCTGAACATCAATGTCCATTTAAATCAAATCCATAAGTTTTTCTAACAGCCCTTAATTAATGAGTTCCATTTTATAATTGATGGTTGCTCTTTGTAATATGATGTCAATGGCATCCAATATAATTTATATATGATTTTATTCTTAATACTTGACGCTATCAATTAGCCATTAAATTATTGTTGTTTATTATTGTTCAAATTAACATTTTAGACTTATTAAATTCATCAACTCGTCAATTTCAAGTACAGAATCAAGAATATCTTTTAAAATTAGCAAACCTTATGTTTTTATACAAGAACTCTCATTTATCAACCTCATTAAGACTTCAATCAACCCCATATTAATCAAAATATCAATTGGATTATGAAGTTGTTGGAAAGATCGAAATAGATGTCCCAATATTTTGACAATATAATATTTTGAGCATTCCAAATCTGTTTCATTTTTCAGAAAACTTAATTTTATAAGATTTGCTAAATAGGATGGTAATTATTCTATTTTTGAAATATCAAAATTTTCCATTTCAAGTAATTTCAATTACATTTTTCCTGATTTAAGATACAAGAATAATAAATTTGAATATTCATTAGGATTCTTCAAATTTAAAGCAGAAAAGTAAAAATTATTCAAAATATTTAGTTCATTTTCTGAAACATTTTCATTTCTATAAAATCTAATCACATGATAATAAAACTCGATCAAATTAGTTCGCAAAACCTGAAACTCATCATATTCAACTATTTTTTAAAATTATACCAAAAAGTCATAACCTTCTTAAGTTAAATAAAATTTAACTGTAGACATGTCGTCAATTATTAAGGATTAGAGAATGTTAATAATTAATTCAAGGATTGCTAGATTTAAATAATTCTTGGTAGTTAAAATTGAAGAAATTGTCAACATAAACTATTTTTCATGTTGCTTTATATATAAATATGCCACTTCATCAAAAAGCAATTAGCAATCAAAATATCTGAGATAATCTACCAATGTCTATGTATATATTAATTTTGATTACATATTCATTAAATTATCTTGAACAAAATTGGTTAACTATGATATCCTTCAGGAATGATGTTTTTTTGAGAATATCCTTAGTGTTTTGATGTTTTAAAATTAAACATATGCATTATTATACAGATTCCAAATCCATAGATCTCTCTGTTATTTATCTAATTTAATCTAAAATTTGATCATTTTTTGAATTAAAATTGTTGTTTTCAACTCTATTTACTTCGATGATTCTTTTTTTTTCAAATTCTTTGCTCAGGTTCTATTTTCTAATTTAAAACCGAAATGATTCTCTTTTTTATTTTAAATTTTCTTCCACTCCTATCATTATTTTATTAAATGTATATTTTGGTATTTATTGAAATTATTATATATATCATTATTATTCAAAGTTTAAAAGTTTGCAAAATGTCGAGTTTTGTTCATTGGATTATTAACTATTTTGAGTTTAATTATGTTGTAACATCGCACTATTATTAGTTCTACTACTATTCATAATTTTAGGGGTTCCTTATTATAAAATTGAAAAACTAGTTTTGCTATTTATCTATTTGCTCTTACTATTTTTTAATTATTCAACTACAAATATTATATAAGAATACATTTTTTTAATATGAAATCTTAAGTCTCCTAACTATAATCTATTTTACTATTAATATTTGAATTGTTGTAAACATTTTCTTTTGAAACAGGTAATTACTATGGTTTAACCTATTATTTTAAGAGTGGAGATTCCTAATACGCATATAACAATTATGTTGATGGGGTCATTAAGCCAGCCTGTTAGGATTATAAATTTGAAGTAAAAGTCTATTGTCTGGGTAGAATATCCCTTAAAGGTGAATCTAAAATCTTATTGTTCAAGGCAGGATTCTTGTTGTTCATAGGAGATTATGGAACATTGTTTGACTTGATTTCAGTCGACATCTGTAACATAAATGATTTAATTTAAGGAATGAAACTTTGGTTATAATAGGATACAATGTCCCCTAAAATATATTAATTATATGCATACCCATGCTGTCATTTGAAATATATGTATTGCAAACAATCTTTTTTATAAATTATTTTGAGTACCATGTATTAGTGATTTCATAAGCATTAATAATTTATTAAAATTTTAATTGATTTCCAGTTAATTTTGTTACAGCATAAATACTCGCCAAAACTACTTAATCTAATGAGTGATGTCTTAAATGGTCAGTCTTTTCACTGATGATATATTTAATAGTAATCCAAATATATTCTTAAAATTATTCCTACAATTTAAGATTACTGCAAATAATTTAGATTTGAAATGCGCAATAATGTAACACTCTTTTGAACAGTCTATTCATCTAATTATTATTTTATTAGTATCTGCTTAGATGGATTTCATTTAGAAATTTTATCAATTCAGATTAACTATCGCAAGACCAAATGGAATAGGAAACGAATTTAACTTCAAGATCTAGTATGTGTTCTTTGAGTTAATGTGGTACTTTTGAATCAAATTGATTTAAAAAGAAATCTAACCATTTCCAAAGTTGATAATGTTGAATTTCACATTTCTACATCAATTGATCTAAAAGTTGTGATTATTTGTTCAAAACAAAATAAACACATTCAATGCTGAAGCAAATTAAACTCTTAAGCATTTATTCATCGATTTAAAAATTGGATTTGTCTAGTAATAACACATATAAGGTCCAATATTAATTCGTCTTTGATTTATTTTCATCAATTAAATTGCTCTCTTAACAATACTAAATACATTCATTAAATGTTTTGTCTATCAAATCAAAGTATTTTGTTTGATTTTATAGGTTCTAAAATGTTTAAGGAGTTTATTATAACATTTAGTTAACATTTAGAATTCCATTCTTAAACAATTTTTTGAAGGGCTACTATTTTTCATGTATCCAATTATACATCTCCATTGCTTCAGTCATAGGAGTGGCAACGATAGATTATTGAGCATAAGGAGACATTAAGACAGTTTATGGCAATTTAATTTCTCTTAAGTTAGTTGTAAGTGTAATTTTAGTATCAAGTTCATAATTCAAAAGTTTTTGATATCTATTTTATTATTATTACTATTATGATGATGGTTATAATTCTCTACTTTAATCATACTTGGATTGCATAGCCAATTATTTAATATTATTAGATTTTAGAGTGTTTAGATTTGGAGTTAACTTCTTGGGCGTTAAATTTTTTTATCTATCAGGAATAAGCAATCTTTCATCGAATTCATCTGATTTGAGGAGCTGCTTATATTATTAATCTAATTTATATTAATTTGAATTGATAATGCTGGCCATGAAAATGGAGAATCCAGTGTTGCTCTTTAATTACTTAATAATATTCTGTTTAATTAATTCAGCATATTACAATTTGACTTATAGATTGATTGAGGAGAATAAATCCAAATCTTAAATTTTGAATGAGTTGATTAGAAATTATTAAATTTGATGTGTTTGTTCTTCTTCTCCAGTAGCCTGTTTCTTAATATCTGATAGTATTTTATTAGTTGTAGGGAAAACATTCAATAATTAACTAAGGATAGTGGTTAGGATTGATATCAGAATGCATGTAGATTGGACGACGTCTTGTAAATTTAAAGATTCTAATTGAATATTGCTGATATTTACTTTTTGTAATCAAAAATAGGAGCCAAGTGATATTTTTAATGAGAATGTTTTAATCGTTCATTTTGAAATGGAGTAAAAGTGCCTCCATTTTCTAATAAAACATGTTTAGGATTTAATTGTTATGTTTCAGGAGAGTTAACGTCTTTTAGCATGTTTAATCGACTTTTAATTCGGTAACCATGTTAATAGCCACATCAATCAATTGATCTATATTAGTGATTCCTTTATTTTAACAATCGTTGATTATGGAATTTAAGGATATCCCTGAACCATAGACGATGGAACCGTCTATTGCAACTATCTGCTATTATTTTGATGCCAACCACAAAGCCAATCTTGGAATGACTATATAATCATTCGTTTTATTATTTAAAATATAGTTATTTGTCATTTCCTACATTAATTTGAATGTTGATTAATCAAGACTAAATGTTTAGTAAATGAGTTGTAGTTGTTGTTGCAGAGATTCTGTGTCCATAATATTTGAATTTGAATAAATTAATATTTATTATGACTGAATTAGGAAATTATCTGATAGGTATTTATTATAAAGTGAATTATCATTTAAGGCAAAACCATAGGTGAAGGTACGTTTGGGAAGGTGTGTCATGCCAAACATCAAGTGTTGGGTCATGATGTGGCTGTGAAAATTTTAGAAAAGAAGAGAATCAATGATGAATTAGATATTGAAAGAGTAAAGAGAGAAATAACCATATTACAGATGTTGCACCATCCAAACGTGGTGTAGCTCTATGAGGTTACCTATGTAATTATGATTAGATGATTGAAACTGACACTCATATTTATTTATTTATGGAATATGCAGACGGTGGAGAATTGTTTGATTATATCGATTTAAAGAAGAGGTACACTTTAAGTAATCTGATTAGGATCAACGAAGTTGAAGCATGCAAATTCCTACATGAAATCATTTCAGCCATCTAATATATTCATTAGTTGAGAATAGTGCACAGAGACTTAAAGCCCGAAAATCTACTTTTAACAGCTCAAAAGAATATCCTGGTTGTTGATTTCGGACTAAGTAACACCTATGAGGATACTCTAAAGACTGCTTGTGGAAGTCCATGTTATGCTGCTCCTGAGATGATCTAAGGCAAACCTTATTATGGATTATAAACTGATCTCTGGAGTTGTGGTGTTATCCTATATGCCATGTTATGTGGGTATCTCCCTTTTGAGGACAACAACACCTAAGTTCTCTATAAGAAAATATTGACTGCTGATTTCCATATACCTAGATATGTTTCATTAGATGGCAAAGACCTTATAAAGAACATTCTTACAGTGGATCCTACTAAAAGGTTTACTATTGAATAAATCAAATAACACAAGTGGTGGCAACTCTGGAAATCTGATGTATCAATTTTAACTTAAATAGAATACCCAAATGACCCCTTTTAAGGCATCCTTTAATAAGATCTCTTGTACCCTCATGCCTAATAGTATTTATAAATCATGTCTCAAAAAAAGTATCGAAAGGAATATTTCTGAAGATGTGAAGACCTGTTGCGATACTGCTCAGCAATCTATCGATATTCAGTTTACAGACAAAGATGACTTCATTAATAAGTCAATCATTAAAGAGGAAATCAAACAAAATCCTCCTCCTGAAGATTTGAATGAAGCTTTAGATTAAAAATTTGTTCATGCTGAAGATCAATATGAATTCTAATAGTCTATGAGATCATTAACTAGATAGAAATCAAGTCAGTCAATTTAGTCCATCACTCATCTACATACATAAGTTGATTCTCCTTTAAAATAATAAAATCTGCCTATTACGACTAAACCCACTGCTCCAGCTAAATAATAAATCTCTCAAATTAATAAACTCATTCCAAAAAAGCCTGTTTTAACTTAATAGCAACAATAAACTTTATAATAAAAGAAACCAGTCACAAAAACAGGCCCTTCAAAATCCTTACATGAGCCTCTAAATTTTGAGAGTAAAATAACTAAATAACCAAACACACCAAGTACTAAATAGTCAATAAACAATACATCAAACTCACAAAATCCGTCTATAAATACTTCTATCATTAGTCATCAATTGAAAACTGACATTCCAAAAAAGAATTCTATACCACCAGTGAAATTGACTGTAATTTAAGAATAAATTAAGGAAAATAAGGAAAAGTCTCATTCTCTTAAAACTTAGCCGACTTAAACTAAATAATAATAAATTTAGTAGCAAATGTAATAATAATAATAATAATAATAATAATAATAATAATAATAATAACAATAATAATAACAATAATAATAACAATAATAAACAAAATAATAATTTAATATAAACAAACCTTAAACTGTATATAAAACACCTATCAAACAAAATACTCCATAAATCAGTTAAACTAAAAGATCATTACATTAAAAATAGGCAGCAAGTCTACAAATGGAAAGACAATCCTTTCATACTCAATAATCAGCAGTAGAAGAAAATGTTACATTCTAATTTAATGATAATCCAAAACCTACAATTGAGAATACGAAGCTTATGGTCGAAAAATTCACTTCGAGACTCAATAACGTCACTATCCCTTCATCATTAAAATAAACTTAAAAATAAGCGGCGGTGTAAGATGTGAAAGGAATTGAAAATTATTATGGTCCATTTAATCTTTCTTTCATTACAACAAAGCATCCCTAATTATTTTTGAATGGAATCAAAAAGTATCTAGAGGAGAAATATTAATTTATACAAATACAAGTAATATTGTTGTATGTATAATTAGAATAATTAAAATGGATTCATGTTCAATATTAATGAAATAAGTGGTGATTTAAAATTATATCGAATAGAAAATTTAGAAATATATTACTGCTTGATCAATAGCCAGAACTCTAAAAATACCGCAAATAGCTCAGAATTCAACAATATTATCTATGATCTGTAAACTAATTTTAAATTTTGAGTTTGATAAACTATCTTTAAACCATTTTTGAATTTATTATTTTCGTCTTAGTCATAATTTAGATTTTATATTTATCATTTGAATCAGAAATTAATAAAATATAAAAAATGATTTATAATGACAATAAAATTTAAATAGAAAATAACACATCTTTAGTAATTAAATAGATTGTATAAATTTTATAAATGAATCAAGAACCAATCTTACGTTTATAAACTTTTCCAAAAATCTTTTATTCATGTTATAAATAATTATATTTTTCTTAACTTCCAGGCTAAAATTTCTCATCAATTTTATTGAAATTCTTTTAATTTTAACAAATTGAATTTCTAATCCTTCTCTGATGGGTAGTAATCTCATCCTTTTCATTATTTATTTTATTGTATCAAAGTTCCAAGCCTTCTATTAGATTCATATTATTTAGGACTACAATCAAATGAATCTGAGAGCATTGAAAAACTAGTATGATGTTCAAATAATGGAGAAGGGTCTTATGATAATACTCTCTTTTTCGATTTCAAATAACGCTATGATGCTGTAACCATACTAAGTTTTTATTATAGTTAATTTACAGAATCTTTATCTTAGTTCTTTGTTAAAATAATAGGTAAAACTATTTTAAGGGGTTTTGGATTTGTTTCAGTGTTTTTTCTATCTCTCTCTTGCTTAATAATTTTATCTATTTGTTATTATTTTATTTAGTTTATTGTCGGTTTTTCTAATCCTTTGTTTTTAACCATTTGCCCAACCAAAATCGTGGATGACAATCTTTTGATTCTATTTTTAGGGACACTCTTTCCAATTTATGAGAAGGATGATCTTTAACTACCCCTGAATATAGGAGACACATCGGTTTCATTCGGCACTGGTGTATTAAATTTTAGTATATCTCTAACACAATCGTCGATTAACTTTTGGTGGTTGATATCATCGTTATCCATAGCAGTCAAATACTTTTTATTATTTAACTCATCATTGACATGTTTATCCAACTATTGTGAATCAATAACACATTCTCTTTTTGTCTTAAATGTTGCTGATTTATATTATAAGTGTTATTTAACTCTTTGCAAGAGATTCATGCTTTATTATTTTTGATTTTCGAATCTAAAAGTAGTTCCTGTTCGATCTGTTGATTAATGAAGAGAAATAGGTATTGTAGTAATCATTAAATATTTATTTAATAAATATAATTGAAATTGAGTATCAACATTTCTAATAAATACAACACTTCAGCAATGCAAACTTTTAATTCTTTCACTAGTTAAGAACTGTTTGTAATATTGATATCCAACATTATTTGATGGGAAATCAAATGAGAATTATTTATTGTCCTATTTATTTGCACTTTTATGATATCTTTATGATAACAATTTATGAAATTATGAAGCCTTTCGTTGGATAGAAATCTTAGGGGAATTGTTTTAATTTGATAATGCATCAATGGAGTTCAACCTTATTTAAAATTTAGTTTTAACAATTTTTGTTGACTTTGTTTTTTATTATTACTATTCGAAATATTTCTAAAAATAAGTGTTCGTAAATATTGGTTCTAGAGTAATTTTTTTTTATGTTTAAGTAGAATTATTTCTGAATTTCCTACCACTTTCAAAATCAGTAAAATTTTCATTGACTTCTTAGTTATTCTTTAATGAATTGACTCGTTTCAATCTAAAATTTTTTAATTTGATTAAAAGAGATAAAAATTATAATTTAGTTATTTCATCCCAGCATCTCTCCACTATGTCTTTCCTTGATATTCTAAATAAAGATCCACTTATGCTCATACATTTTACTGTTGAATATCTTTGAATGTAAACGCAATTATTCAAGGGAGATTAAATTTTTGGATCTTCGTCTAATGATCTCATTAATGATTCTTCACCAAATATTTAACCTTCATTTAGTAAACAACTTAGCTATTATCTAAAATAAATCATACATTCTTTTTGTTCTTTTTCTCAGTATTCTTTTCTCATCCTATATTGTCTTGATCATTTCAAATTGTCCATCTTTGACAATATATAAAAATTACGAATCATCGTTTTCCTTATAGACAATTTCATTTAAACAAAAATTTTATAAAAACATATAACAACTAAAGCTTTTAAACTAACCTATAGTCCAAGATTGAAAGCAATCTAACTTATTTAATAGCTGTAACTTAATGTCCAAATTATCTGACCTATATTTACCAATAATCAATTAATAATCCTGTCTGGTTATATAAGCAATAGAACTTTACTCCAATGCAATGATGGTCTGATTTCTTTTACAATTTTAGTTATGCAAAGCATTTTCTCCTAACTGATCATATGGCCTACATGATAAGTGAAGTAATACAGAATATCGTTGATTTTCTTCAATTCAAATTGACATTCTTCTAATTCCATATACGCTCCTAACCGACCAGATAACAAAATATATAATTTATTTCCAACATCTCCAATCTTGAATAAAACCTCGTTTTCCTATAAAGTCACAAGTTTAAATTTTTCAAACATTTTTTCTAGCAAGTATTATCCATGATCTCTCTTGATGTCTTTCATTATTTAAGTTTGCAGTATGTTATTCATATAATTTTTATTATAATAAAATTTGGAAAATAAAAAAAGAATACTGTTTAAGAAAACTTATGGAGAAAAATGATAGAACTTAAGTCTTATTGAATTTTAAAAAGGAGATTAGTGTAAATAATTGGGCAGAAAAATGAATTTCCTACTTGTGAATTATTATGAAAATGGAAGACAATATCAATAAAAAATCGAATTATCTTAGATAAATAAATTTAGATCAATTGTAATAAATTACTTATGCTTATAATAGGATTAAAAATATCGAAAATTAATAAATTTAAAATTGAATATCATGTGGATATCCTGAAGTTATTAAAATCTTTTGGATTAGAACTTCCATTTTGATTCAAGGAATAGTTAAGATTTTTGGAATTGAGTTTATTATATTTTTTATTCCAATATTTAAAATTTCTATGCAAATTACTTAAACCCAGTTATTGGAATGGGTTAAGGATGGAGATATTAATACATTAAAAAAGCATTTTGAATAAGAATTGAAGTTTGCACATAAAAAATTATTGGAATTTTTTAGTATGGTTGATGATTAGAGGAGAAGTGTAGTACATTGGGCAGCTTATTTGGGATAATATAAATTGATTAAGTGGTGGTGTAAAGTATATAATCAGATGATTGATCTGAATAAAGGAGATATGCATTCGTATACTCCATTGGAACTAGCGAGCATCAAAGGGTAATTAGTTGAACTTTATTTTATTTAGATATTCTGGAGAATACAATCCAGAAAAATAGGAGAAAACCATAAGATTGCTTGTTGAGAATGGGGCATCAATACCTTGCTAGTGCAGTTATAAACCGAATCCATTGCATTGGGCTTTTTATTATGGCAATAAGGAATTAGTGGATTATTTGATCTAATAAAATTTCAATCTGTAATTAGAAACAGAGCAGCAAGGAAATTTCCCCATTGATTATTTGTTTTTAGAGAATCGACCCGAATAATATAAGTATTTTAAAATAAAGTATGATTTAGGAAAGACGTTTGGGATATCTTTTAAAATGTGGTAATTGAATATGCTAAGGTGACTGCCTAATAAGAATTGAAGAGAAAAGTTAAAAAAAGAAAATAAAGAAAAGCAACAACAATTACATCATAAATTCCGCTGATGCAAATTTTCTAAAAGGATGAAGATGAATCATCACCGGAATCAGAACCATCCAGATATGGAATACCATGTTTAAATATCTCAAATATCAACAGAAGTTATGCCTCAAATTCATTTCTCTCCAAATATACTAATGTAAAAACTACTTAAAAAACACCTAACAGCCAATAAGTCTTACAAAGTTAATAAGTTTTAAAATACTAGCAAAGGACAGGATGCTAACGAGTTTAATAAAAAAATTTGGATGATGTTGCCGACATTCCTTTGTATGATGATTCTCGTATTGAAATGAAGGAGCCAGAGGAAGAAAAGATACCTGAAATCAAAGTATTTAATTCCAGGAATACGAATAATAGTAAAATAATTACAGAAACCAATCAGGATGAATTACTGTAAATACAATAATACAATTCCAATAATAATTAACCTACTTTAGTTGAACCTACACTTAAGATATCTTAATCAAGAAGAGAAAATCACAAAGGTCACAGAACAAAAACCACTTTGATATTTAATGATGATCTAGAAAAGGGATCGAAGGAAAAATTTTAAATATATGATAGTAAAGAAAAACTCACTACTCATTAAAAATATGAATGCATACTTTAATATTGGTCAGCTAGGTAAGGTAACCAGGATTTCTTCAGTTATTTTCTAAAAAGAAAATGCAATCCATTTCTCAATGTTTATTAAGGATTTAACTGTTTACATATTGCAGCTTACAAAGGCAAACTTAAAATATTAAAAGTAATTTTAGAAAGTGATTACGAATATTATGATAGTTCAGAAATGTTGAATAAAAATGCTAAAAAACCAATCAATACTATTTAATTTAATAAAGTAATGAATTCTGATCTATTAGTCCAAGAAAGAATGCATCAATATTCTCACTGATTAAAATCCATCAAATGCTCTTCATCTTGCTATTGAATAAGAAAAATATCGCTGTATGAAAATCTTAATATCCCATGGGATATCAGTAGATGCAGTTAATAGTAGATGCTTAAAACCATTTGAATTAACTTATAATTCTAAATTTATGGAATTCTATGAAGAGAATATCTAAGTTAAATAAGAGATCAAAAGTTTGACTGAGTTAGGATATCAATATGTAATTTAGACTAAAGGCACATTAAGTGTGGAATAAGACATTGTTTATTTACAATTATAAAATATTAGACAGACATTTTTAGAGAGGGGGTGGAGTTTTGAATTTTTGATTTTCCATGCTCCAAATCTCGATTAATTGGAATTGTACAATGAGAACTAGCATCACAAAAAAGTTAAGCCATTGTATCACTACTACGTCTTGAAAATACCTCCTGATTCCATCTACAGATTGGCTGATCTCTATTAGATATCGTGTTACAATTTTCAAACAAAAGTAAAAATTAATAAGATTAATAATTAGTATATTTGTTAATTTAATTATTAGAAGAGCAGGTTTTTTGAATTTCCTAAAGACTTATAGGTGTAAATGCTGATTTTGAAAACTCTAAATGATGAATTCGATGTTGAAAAATTCGTTTTGGAACAATTAATTATATCTCATTTTCCTTTAGAGGATAAAAAAAAATGTGAAAAGATTACTTAATTTTGGGATGAGCAACAAAACAATTGTATTCGTGATTCCTTAAGATATGAAACTCAACAAATAGCTTTAAGGCCATTGCATGCGATCTCCTCTTACTTTGGTCCAGTAGTTGCTTGGTACATAGCTTTGAATGTACAAATCATAGGCTGGTTGATGATCCCATCACTTTTTGGAGCAGCCTTAGGAATTTATATTATTATAATTCAATAAGTAAAGTAACAAATAAAAATATATAAGTTCATCTATTGTGCCATTTTATGCATTGCTAATGACTCTTTGGTCGACTTTGTTCATGGAGAAGTGGAAGAATAGAGAGTCAGAATTGAAATTTTGTTGGGACATGCATAAATTCAAGCAGACTCAACCATAACGAGTTATGTATACAGGATAATACATCATAAATGAAGCAACCCATACGGTTCAAATCTATGATTATTTTACAACTTTTAAAAGAAGATTAATAGCAGAAGGTCCAGTCATTTTAATAGGAATTGCTATTATTGTTTTGAGTTTTTATGCTTTTAACATTTGGTTGGTTGAATACTCAGCGGATCCAGTTATGTCAATAGTTATCAACTCATTGAATGGAGTTTCTATGACTGTGTTTTGTGATTTATACAAAAGACTATGCAAATCTTTGGTGACTTGGGAAAATCATATGTATGAATCAGAATAAGAATATTCTTATATTCTAAAGGTGTTTCTGTTTGAATTTCTTATCTCTTATGTTTCAGTTGTGTATGTGGCAATCTTTGGAAATGATGCTAGTTCATTAAGTGTTTCAGTTGCTAGCATTATCATAACAAGAGGAGTAATTTCAAATGTTAAAAGTAACCTACTACCTTTTGCCATATTCTAATTAGAAAAGCGTTCTCTAACTAGATTATTTTCTGAATTCAAACAATTATTTGCAAATAGAATTAAAGAGAAAAAGAATATACCTAAAATTTGTAACTAAATATTTTCATCTGAAAAACTATCTCATGATTCATAGTTGCTCTTCTTGTAAGAGCTAGAGATAAGTAGAATCAAAGGCCCATAAAAATTATTGTATGATGAATATACAAATATTGCCATACAATTTGGGTATACTACAATGTTTGCTCCAACTTTCCCTGCAGCTCCTTTATTTTTCATGATCAATTGCTATATCAATTTAAGATCATCAATATATAATTACTAACACATTTTAAAGAGAGAAAGAGCCTAGGCTGCTGATTCTATTGGAATTTGGTTATAAATATTTCAGATCTTAAATTATTGTGCAACTTTCATGAATTGCATCGTAATTGGAACTGTAAATAAGGAGTAATTCAAAGGGATTATTGGAAATTAGGACGCCCTAGTTAGTGCCTTTTTTTTGGCATCCATAGAACACATTTTACTCTTAATTAAATACATTTTAGATGTCTCAATTCCTGATTGTCCTTATTGGGTAGAGAAGGAATTAAGACGTTATGCATATCTAGAAGAAAAATATTAGAAAATTGGTATGTGATTTTTAATTATTAATTCATTTTAAAATTCTTTTTTATATAAAAATACAACTTAATAAATATAACTATATTCAAAAGTGAAAAATATTATAAAATTATGAATGAACATGAATTAATTCAATATTTACAAATCCATTTACTTGAAGAGTAGTAATATCTTGAATGAACTAAAGGAAAATTAAAATATTCAAAGTACTTTAGAAACTAAATTTCTATTATATAAATTATTGTAGTTTGTATCATATTTTAATGGGTTCTTTTATGAATGAAAATTACTTCTTTAGTTTTTCTTTAAAACAAAGGAATTGCAGTGATATATTCATAAATTAAGATATTGATTAAATTAATATATAATTTATCTACCAGAATAGTATAATACTTAACAAAATTAAAAAGTGTATTATTTAATAACCTTCTGTCAAGTCTCATTTGTGAGAAAAATAAAAACTAGGGTTTTAATAGAAATCATAATAATTGAATGTGTGAAAAATTTTGAATTAATTTTATAAATAAATTCAAATGTACCCTCAATCCTATAATAATCATGATGATTTGATGAGATAGCAATTCATCAACGAAAATAATGGATTAATTGAATAGTTTAAAGCATAGTTGATAGATCCAATAACTGGAAGGAAAAGAAATGAAGTCAAAGTTTAAAATTTTGCTGATGGCGGAAGATATGAGGGAGAAGTTGAGGGTGAACTGAGGAAGGGATATGGAATTTACTTTTTTGCCAGTGGGTATTACCTAACACTATATTTATAGGGATGTTTATTTTGGACAATGGAATGATTCATTCAATGGTCAAGGCACCTACATTTATCGAAGTGGTGAGAGATATTAGGGATAGTTCAATAAAGGTAAGAAGGATGGTCAAGGAATTTATTGGTATATAAATGGAGCAGAGTATGACGGTAGATGGGTGAATGATTAGAAGGATGGATTTGGTAAATTCAGATATCCAAATGGAGATATATATGAGGGCAATTGGGTAAGAGGAGTCAAATCAGGACAAGGAACTTTAGTTTTAGCTAATGGAGACCATTATCAAGGGGAGTGGAACAATAATATGAAAAATGGATAAGGAACTTATATCTTCGCATCTGGGTCAAGATATGAAGGATTCTGGCTCAATGATCAATTTCATTAATAAGGAGTGTTTAGTTATTCAAATGGAGATAAGTATGAAGGCATCTTTGAAAATGGATAGAAAACGAAATAAGGAATATATAAGCATGCAGTGGATGGATCAGAGTATTAAGGAGAATGGTTTAGAGATTAGAGAAGTGGGAATGGAAGGATGAAATATGCAAATGGAGACCTCTATTAGGGATTTTGGTAAGAAGGAGAGAGGTAAGGAAAGGGTTCTTACAAATACAACAATGGGGATTAATACGATGGGGAATTTGTGAGTGATTAAAAACATGGATATGGAGTGTTAAAAATGGTTTCAGGTGATATTTATGAGGGAGATTGGAAACAAGGAAGAAAGAATGGAAAAGGATTATACAAATTTGCAAATCATGATATTTATGATGGTCATTTTGCTGATGGATTAAGGTAAGGATATGGAAGATACCAATGGAATGATAATTCCTATTATGAAGGTATTTGAAATCATGAAAGTATTAGGTAATTGGGATAAGGATAGAATGAACGGAAAAGGATTATATGTGTCTCCTGATGGAGTGTAAGCAGACGGAATATTTGATAATGATAATTATGTAGGACCAGCTGACTGATAATATTGAATTTATGTATTTATCAGAATATATTGCATCCATCGTCTTTTTTAGTACCTTTCTTTGGATCGGTCTTTCCTTTTGACATCATGGCAGGTGTTCTATCTTAGGATGAGCTTCTGGGTTTTTGAGCATTCATCTATTATTATTGCAATTTAGCTTTCATTTGTTATTGTTCTGAAGTATGATCTTCATATTCTTTAAAGGATTATTTGCTAGTAGTTTATGTCGTAGGCTAGTTGGAAGCGAATTCTAAATGAGTTGAAATGAATTAATATACTTTCGATAGGTTGTTTAACCTGACTGCTTTGAGATGGTAATTTATTTGGTTGTTATGATTATTATTATTATTAAAGATTTTTCGATTAATTAATAGTTTTGGTCAAAATGTCAATGTGCTCTTCTTGTTTTTTGAATTAATCAACCTATTGAGTTGGTTAATCTAATTATTATTATTAAATTTATTATTAATTAGATTATGAGGCAGTCTATTATTGAGGAATTAGATTTTCGACTGGTATTTCTCTTTTTTTCATGTCTTTACTCTTGTTCTCATCATATCCATATACTTTAAAGCAAATCTAAAATTTATATAAATGATGTTATTACTGTTCCATTAATCAAATAGTTTAGTTAAGTCTCTGTTAGTTAATCGAATGTGTGTTACTAATCATAATTATAAATTGGATTTGGATGAGCTCCAGTTAACTTAAATTAATAAGAAATAATTCATACTGTTTTTGTTTTAAACAATTCTTTCTTTTTCTCTTCAACTTAGATGGAATACTCGACATAAGTATCTTTGCATAGATTTTCAGGTAATCGTGCACTCTCAATTGAAACTCTAAAATCAAATCTTCTACCAACCAACTCTGAGGGATCTTCCACAGGAGGTTCTATTCCATCTTCAATATCTTCTGATAGATTTCTTTATCCTGTTTCATCAGTAGGAATTAAATTAACCTTCAGAGTTCCACATTAGAAGTGTTCTCCTACTAGTGTTAAATCGCAAGGATTGTCCATTAAATAAGCCAAAGCTTATAATTTAAGGAAACCAGAGCCAATCACTCTTGCTTCAGGTGGATCCCAAAATGGATCTTAATCTTTTGGCAATGATAATAATTAATTAGATTCGAAGTATCTCTCCAATAAATCTTTTATTATATAATATCTATTTGAAAACTTATGTAGATCCCAATAGTATATTTATCCTTCTTCTTTGTTGTTAACCTATATTTATATTTGTCCTTTCTGTGCATTTTCCTCTGTAAATTAAGAATACTCCTAGTCATCTGCATACACATATTTTAATCTTGCTTCTAATGTAACATTACGTTTAAGTTCCTTAGCAATCAAATTGACTTCTAATACTTTAGGCAGATACTTTTGTAATTTATTTTCAATGAAATTCTTTTCCTTAATTCTGTATTTTTTCATAGTTTCTTCATCTTCATATTACTTCCTAGCCTTTTCTCTTTATAATTATTTTTGTAATGTTTCTTCTTCTAATTTCTTCCTCTCCTCTATTAATTTCCTTTCTTCTTCAGCCATCAAAGCTCTATTCAACATGTCTTTATTTTGTTCTTCCAAAGCCTTCATCTTAATATCAAAATCTTCCTATTATTTCTTCATTTACTCCTCATACAATCTTTATTCTTCCTTTCTTTGTTCTTCTAATTCCTATTTCTTTCTTTACATTTCCTCATGCACTTGCTTTTCTGCTAACTTCTATTGTTCCTATCTCTTTTATTCCTCCTTCTTTTACATTTCTTGCTATGCTAATTCCCAATCAATTTCAGGTCCTTATTCAACTTATTCAGATCCTGGAATTTGAACCAAAAACGTTGTGGTAGTTCCGAAAATAAGTCTGTCATTATGATTAAGCAAAGTGGGACCTGTGATAGGAGAACCATTAACAAAAATGAAATCCCCACATTCTTTAGTGAATGGACTGATTTCTATCACCCCTTCTTTATTCCTGATAACTGCATGATTAGGTTGTACACACATAGCATTTACAACAATCTAAGGAGTTGGGTTTCCATTGGGTCTTCCAACGTGAGTTTCCTCTTAATTTAATGATTTCAATATTTTTCTATTTAGTAATGGATCTTCATTCAAATTTAATAAATGAGGATGCTCCTTAATACCTTCATTCTAGATATCCTCATCATCTTCTTCTTCATCCTTCTATTTTTGCTTCTACAATTTGGACTCAAATGATTCCTAATTCTCTTGCATAATAGTCTCGTTGGTTTCAATATCATCTTGGATTTAAGATAATTATTTCAACATCTCAGGATTAATAACCCCTCCTTTTAATTGTGTTTGTAACATCATCAACTATTATTTTAGTGAATGTATTTCTTCTTGTTATTCTCTTAACTTCTTATCTACATCACTTTCATTAACAACTGCACAATTCTTAATCTTTTTAGCTTGATCTGCGTATCTCAAAGTACTCAAAGTTTCTTCGTAGTTGTCAGTGGCAGGACTCACGGCACAAATCATCAGAGTCTTAGAGTTACCTCCCAAAGCATTTTGCAAGATTCTTGTTAATTGTGAATCTCTATATGGAACAACTGCATTTTTTCCTTTGCCCATAGCCTTGTCTGCTAATGCTGCAATAACTTATCCCAAAACAGATAAAGATTTGTTAATATTACCAGCTAAATAAATCATCATTATATATATTTACCTTCTTTCAAACGATCACCCTATGCTCCTGTCTTACCTACTTTCTCAGAACCTGCAAGATCCACCAGATTGATAACTGATAACTTCTCTGATTTTCTACCATCTACATTCTTTATCTCCTTAAACTCAATCTATATGATAGTATGTGCTCTTGAAGATCTATTGGATAATATGGAATAATATACGAGGCATTCATTTAAGTTGCAGCGACAGTTCTATGCTTGCTTCCCTCATCCATTTTGGCTTCAATGGCTTCGTAAGAATCAACAGGATATTTTGTGAGTCCTTCGACGTACACTCCATAAACTTTGTGTTCTCTGACTTTTAGACCTCCAGTTGGTCTTTTAGGAACAGGTACAAGCAGATCCTAAACCTTTTCATTGTAAATTTCGAGCATACTGACTTGCACCTCATAAGCTATTGATTAGGTAATCAAATCAGAATACTTAATTGAGAATCAGGATTTTTTTTAATACGCTTAAAGATCTCTTCACATGAAATAGGCACGATACCTTTATTTGCCCCATAACCAACCATCGAATAGGATTTACCAGCCTTAATTATTAAATGATTCTTACTCCAGTTTAACCATATGCGAATAAACAACAATGATAACCTTACCAAGCATTATTTAAAATTTCTTAACCAACTGTGTCAAACACCATTTGTTAGTCTGCATACTTAGTTCCTGGAATAGCTCTGCTGTACCCATTTTCATCATTCTCAAAGGAATCATGAGACCAGAAAGAATAATCAAAAGCAAAATCCCTATTTTTCTTGGCATCCTCGACATCTAAAGTCTTGATCAAATTACTTACCTAACAATATGGTAGTTGGGCCATTCATAGCCACACACAATTAGCAATTCAACTCAAGTTCACGAGCATTATATGGTCTTACTCTGACTGCCACTTTGACGGACATTATAATATAAAGATTTAATAACTTAATAAAAAAGTAATATAGGATCATTATTTTCAGCGTAAATCGATCGTCTCTGCTCTAGTTATACCATGATCGTTTTTAGAAGCAGATTGAGGAAATACATTCCAAAATCTAAGAGTTTCATCGCCAGCTCCTGTTACTATGTTCTGACCGCATGGGGACCCGCTCAAATAGAGAACTCTTTAAGTATGACCTGTCAAAGTAGCTACTTTAGACATATTATTATAATTCCAAACAATTATTTAATTTAAAGAATATCCGTGAGTTGAAACTAATTCATTAGAATTTTTGGAGAACATCAAATTACACACTTGAGATCCAGTGTCTATACAATCTGCTTGTTCTAAGGTTTAAGTATTAAAGAATCTTATGCATCTATCAGCAGTTCCACCTCCTGAAGCCACAATGTTGTGTGAATGGGGTGACCATCCAATGGCTTTTACTGCAGCCTAATGTTATGAGAAATGAGTGAGTTCCCCTTGATTCTTCAATGACCAAATAAATAATTTATTGTCATTGCCACCAGATGCCAATAGTTGTTCATCAAATGACCACTTCAAACCACAAATTTCTTATTTATGGCCTACATATTTTTGAATTGATTCATTTGGACTTCTGACATCTCTAACCAAAATATTACGATCTCTGCTTCCTGTAGCCAATAAATAATTGTTCCATGCCAAAGATCCAATTCTTCCTTGATGTCCATTCCACTTTCTGATGACTTTTTACTTAGTTACATCCCAGACTTCAACTTCTCCCATGCTATTTCCTACTGAAAGATGTTGATTACGTTATGACCAAGCCACACTACAAACCATGTCTGGATCTTCAAGAGTGCATAAGCGAGAGACTTTAGACGTGTGACCTGACCAAATCAAGACTGAATTTTCAAGTCCTACTGCCAAGGCATTAAAAGGGGACCAATCTAAAAGGTTGAGATAGAAATCATCTTATAGATTTTCAGCCTCCAGGATCTTATAAGGACGTTTGTTGATTTTTCTTGGTGGTTTTTCAGGTTCAACCTTGGTTGGAGTGGCTGAAAACTGTAATCCATTATTAATAATTTTATTCATTTCATTTTATTTATTTTCCGTTTTATAATTGAAAAGCTTCTAATTTACTGCAGGTTGTTTGCCTAGAATGGAGGACTGAAGCAAATTGTTGTAAAGAGTGCCTTAACTATTTTCTTCACTCATGAAGAGTTGATAGAGATTCGATTACACATTACGAGGAATAAACTACAATTACAAATTAAATGTATACGCGATCACTCTTATCTTTTGGACTGGTCCATGACTATTTGTTAAGATCGACTTCCTTAATGGGTGTCTAATCATTCATTGAAAAACAAGTAAATTTGTTAATAAAATTTATCTGTTATTTAATTTATATCAATAAAATATATTGTCTAATCTGACCCACCCCCTCATCCTTCTCCAATTTTCTTAATATTCTTATTATTAAATAATCCCACTTCAAAATGATCGATGAAATCAACATAGTCTTTCTTAGCCAACTTCTGAATAACATTCATTTATCTCAATCTCACATCGACGAAGCCGCTCGCTTCTATATTAGGCACAGTCACGATCAAAAATCTCAACAATCTCTTTGTGAAGAATGGTGCAACCATTTCCACTTTGCCAAAGGAAATGTAGACGGGGACAAAGTCATCCTCTCTCTCCTCTACATGGCACAGAGAGTAATAGAGTCCTTGATCAAATTCGAACGAACATGTAAATTTACATCTCACATTTAGACTACTTAATGAGTGAAGCATTCAAAAAATAAATAGTCAAAGCTTTTGTTATACTTAAGGATTACAATTGGACTCCAGATCTCAAACAATAAATTAAGGACCTTATCAGACAATGGGATGAAAAACAACTCTTCAATAAATCAGAAATTTAGAATATGCTAGAAACCATTGAACCAACCAAAATGAGCAAGGAAAAATTCAAAAATCAGTTTGCCCCTCCTTTGTTCCTTATAGAGTTCGCCAAAAACTACAGAGTAAGTAAACTTAGAACTACTTATTTTTAAGGAATTATAAATTCGCTAGTAAAAAGTCAATAAATATGAAATGAGTCTCAATGAACTTATCAATTATGGGACTTAAGACAAAATTAATTTGTACAATTCCTTATTAGATCAATATTCCCAATCAGTTGAAAATCTACAAAAGTATAGACAACTTGTAATCAAAGACATTTTGGATAAATTGAAGGAATTAGATAAAATACATTCCAAAAGCATCATTGACTTAAAATATCTTGCAATTAGAGTCCTAGAATTGAAAAGCAGAAGGGAAAAGAGAATACAAAATGAGTACTACCATGAATAATGAATCACAATTTCATAATTTAACTACAATACAATCAAAATCTTCCCTCCACTTATTTCTTATACATTACAAAACTTATGTTCTTCATCTATTATTATCTTGGAGTTTGTATATGCTATCTAAAACTATTAATTTATTCGAAATCATCCTCTAATTTTAGTTGTTTAGCGTAGTCCTTAGAAATTTATAATTATATAACTTACTCTTGGATTGTCATCTTAAATCTTAATCTTTTTAAAGGATTTAAGCACACTATCATTGAAATAAGAATCATTTTCGAATTCCTGAACCTAGATTTTGTTCAATGAAGTATCACACTATTTCTTCACAGAATCTATCTACACTATATTCTCATCGGTTGATGACTGTATACTAATAGTTAAGATTTGATCTATTGGCAATAAATACGAACTATCTATTGAATTCTTCTTTTCTTTTCGAGGACTCATTAATTTTTAACACTTTTTCATCTACTAGTTTAACACTACATTCTATCGATTTATTAAATTTTCCTTATCTTCAATCTTATTCCTCCATTTCACTTTGCTATTCTAAGCTAACCTTTAATTGTAAGGTTCATTATCCTATTAAATTTCATTCATGTTGTATCTAGATCTATGAGGACTAAATTGAGGACTGAAAGTCCATTCCTTTTTTATTTCTTTGGCTTTCGGAGATCTCTAGCTAAATGGGACGTCTCTTTGAGTGTAATATTCTAAGTAATTGGCAAATTAGTTCATTTAAGTTAACGGTAATATAAATTAAATAATATAATTAAATAATTGCATGAACACTTAATTATTATATTGAATACCTGAAAAAAAGAGTGACTATACACATCTTTTAATGATTCAGCTACTTTGTTATCATAATTCAATATATATAGATATAGAATTTAATATGAGATAATATTTATGATTTTCCAATAAAACATCTATTAACAATGAATTTTCACTTATAATTTCTAAGAATTTGTAAGCTTGCTTTTATTTTTAAATTAAAATATGAATTAAAGAATTAATGTTATATTATTAATAAATTTATAAAAATTTCCGAAGATTTAATGATCATTGTTTCTTTTTTTATTAATGATTTTGCTAATGAGAAAAATCTATAAAATTTAATGGACTTTGAGAGTGATTAAAAAATTCATTTTTAAAGCTATTTTGATGGCTAAACTAGATATTCCTTACACTAGAACAATTATCTGATGTTGAGATAATAGATTGTACCATAGATTATTCATTGGATTCGCATTTCCTAGCTTTGAATTGCTATTATTATCGTTCTGTCTTATGTTTGTAAGAGGTTCGAAATTCAATTTAATCTGGTTGAGGTTCGTGTTAATTTTCATTTAGTTAAGTAACCATTTTTTGAAATTGTTGAAGAACCTTGGGAGTGCTGATTATTTATTCATCTTTGTATTATTCAAAGAGATTCTCATCATCAAATTTAATAATATCAAATTTGATTGGACTAGGTTGCCTTTTCTATTCTTTAAAGTGTAACTCAATTTGTCTATTAATATTCTATTCGACTGTAAATAGCACAAGTTGAGGAAAGGATTTGATTGACACAACTTCATTACACAACTTCACCATTTATGTTACACTTCTTCCTAATCTAAGAGTTTCAGTATAGACTTAATATAATTTAATTGATTGTTCACTTTCCATCTACAGCATTTGATTAATATGAGATTGTAGGTAAATTTGGACTTTAGGATAGAAAAAGTAAAGATCATTCAACAGTTGCACACAGATGTGTTTGGTAACTTCTATATTATGAAATTTTGTTAAAGAAATATCTAAATCTTTGTAGATTTTGACCAGGACTTGTATGGTAGATACGATTTTGTGGATGATGAAGGTTTTCTGAAATTCTTCTTTTTCTTCAAAATCGGAGAGAGCATTTAGGAAAAACAGATAATTCTCATATCTAATTTAAAGGTACGAAAAGAGGTTTTGGACGATATTTATATGCAATTAAGCAATCGGATCTTCCGGCTTCTTTTATTACTTATTTTTGATTTTATCATAGAGATGATTATTGCAGACGGCATCAACAAAGATGTTGCATTATTTCTTTGATAATATACATAAAATATTGTATATACTTCTAAACAGTAATGCAAGACATAGCCAATTTTTAAGGCACTGATCCATTTGTTGTATTGTATTTAACATAAGATATCGTAGAATTTATTAAATGCATCTAAAGGTAAAATCTTTTGATCTTAACCTTTCAAACATTCGATAATTGGCTATATAAGAATTGATAGTACTTTCATGTATTTTGAGATTGGAACATCACCATTTTCACTTGAAGTACATTAGTAAAGAGAATAATCAAATTCATCCTTTGAAATGAGTGAAAGGTTTCTGAATATTTTTAACATATTTAATAATATAATTAGTTAAATATTTCACGTTCCTCTTCATTGAATTCAGCTTAAATATTTAAAGCATCTTAAAGTGCTTCTAAACCTTGGTTATTTATTGGTTTTTGTATTTATTTTGTTAAGAAATTATCCATTATATTCTAAGAGTAACTTGCGAAATGTTTAAGTAATAAAAAGTGAACTATGTCAAAGAATTCAGTTATGGTGTTATAAATGAATGAGAAATAAGGAAGTTGTAATGGAATTTCTGTAATAATATACTCATACCATTTGAATTGGTTACCATAACGAGATGGAGTGATGCTCTTATAGGAAGTGATTGGATTGAGACATTTCTAAATTTAAATAATCTTATTGTGCAATTTTCATCATTCAAATGTAAAAAGCAAAACAAAATTTATTAATTAAATTGGTATTAGATAGGAATTATGAGCATAGAGGAAATCAAAAAACAAGTAGAGTATTATTTGTCAGACAAAAACTTGTCCTAAGATGAATTCTTCCACAAATAGATCACTCAAAATTAGGATGGTTATCTCCAACTCTAATTTATACTTAAGTGCAATAAGGTTAAGTAAATGAAAGTTACTCAAGAATAACTTGTGGAAGCAATCAAAACATCAACTGAGGTGGAATTAAGCCCAGATTCAACAAGTATTTGTTTATATCCAACATATTAGGTGTTAGAAGATCAAACAATAAGCCTTTACCAGAATTAATTATTACTTAAACCAATAAAAAAGTAAAAACTAACAGTGGCGAAGCTGTGGCTGCACAATAATAATAGGAAGAAAAACCTTAAGTAGAAGTCATTGACAATCCCTATCATAATTTTGAACCACTCATTTTTACAGTCAAGGCTCCAGCAGGCGTTGCAGTCAATTGGACTCAAATCACAGAGGCTCTTATGAAATAACATAATATCAGTTCTCCATATGTTAGATACGGCAAGACTGAAGGAAACTTTGCTCTAAATAAACCAAGAACACCTGAAGAAAATGTTGTTCGTTTGACATCAGAGGGTATCAAGATAGGAGAACATCAATTGGAAATTCATGTCACAAACGGAGATGATTTGACATAGTTCTGGTCACATCACGGAAAACATTATGAAACTATTATTAAAAGAGCCAAAGAAACCTTTGAACATGGTGGTGCTGGCAAGGGAGGCAACAAGAAATACGAATAAAGGAAATAAAAAAAGGATATTGTTTTTCATAATTAAAAAGTATTTCATCAATTATTAGAATTAGTATAGAGATATCTCTTAATTGAAGAACATTTTCAAAACTATATTGGCTAGATCTGAAAATAATACCCCATTAAAAGAACCATATCATTCAATGCTTGTGTCCTTATTGTAACATCACGATAAGAAGGACTAAAAACTAAATGGATTGAAACATTTTACTGTTGGATAGCATCCAGATCATGCTGAAACCAGATGTTTCTTTGCTGTCAAAGAAGATGGATCATCTGAGGATTTCAGCAGTCTGAAGTGCATCAAAAATTTAGAAACATCTCTAGGTTTATGAGTAGCAAAATAACATTATACATTATATAAATTAAATCAAAAACTTAATTTCTCTATCTTCCAAATTGAGCTTATGAATCCTATTGCAAGCAAGAACATCAGCATCTTAAAATAAGAATTTGATTTATTGTTGAATTATTCTTAAATTACTTCCATTGTCGCTATATAAACAAAAGTTCCTGCAGAAATAGACTAAAATATCCCAGTTATAATATATCCTTGATTTGATAAAATCCATCCCATAATAATTCCAATAGGATTTATGATTGCCTATATGAAGATCATTGCTGTTGCACTCTAAATTTTAGTATCTAGGCAAAATAAAGATCGATAATACTTGCTTTTTTGAAAGATAAACCTAAAGTCAAACCTTCTGCCCACTTATGACAAATTACTGCTAAGGCAATACCTAAACATTGAGGTACTTGTTATTCTATTCCTATTGCTAAACCCTCAAAGAATGCATGAATTCCTCATTACATAAATCTTTACCTATGGCAAATTATAATATATAAGGAGTCAAAGAATTGACCTGTATTTCATTCTACTCTTTAATTTATTGGATTTATTGCTTTGCTGTTTCTGGACTCTCCAATTCCCCAAAAATATCCTGTTGATTTATCACTGCTATTTAATGAGAATGACTTTCATCAATAGTATGATCATGAATGAAGGCTATTTTTTCAATGTACAAAATCAAGGCAAAACTTAACACTGTTATTAAACAGGCATAAGGGAATTCATTAAAGGATTCTATCTCCTATGCCTTATAATTCAAATGAAACTGTTTCATAGACTCAGGTAGCAGATGTATAATCCCGACTGATAAAAATAGTCCTCCAGAAAAAGCTCCCGTCAATTCTAATAATAATTGATTTCCCTTAAAAGCTGTAGATCTCAAGGGAATATTCCCCATTACAATAATCATCAAAAACATCACTATCATACTAACTACTTTTATGGCAAACAAATAATCAATATCCATTATTAAATTATTATAATTAATAGTAAAATACATGTTTCTATGCTTATTTTGAATAATGATTGTTGATATTGTGTAAATATTATAATTCACCAAAAATATAGAGCAAATAATATTTCTGTATTTATTTTCTATTCTAAACTTATGAGATTTCAGATGGAGCAAAACCCAAAAATTATATAACAAAATAAATAAGATAAATTATTAAAATTATAAAGGATTTGCCATTAAATCTCTAATCATTCGACATCATAAACTTGGAAGACAGGACTCTTAAATTTCATAGATATAAATTGAAGAATATAATAGAAGAATATCCTCTAACACTAGAATAAAGACTAATTAAACCATAATCATATTGGCATATGTATAAAATAAGAAAATTTTCTTATAAAATCTAAAAAATGATTGTGAAATATTCAAAAATAATTATATATTACTATATTATGTCACTATTCGTTCATCTTGAGCAACTCAAAAATAATGAATATAACAAAGTATCCTGTCGTTATATTTAATGAATAAGCAATTGAAGAACTAAAAAATAGGATAGGATATTATAATATATAATCAACACAACACAAAAAAATTATTATTAATTGTATTTTATAAGATAGCCAGCACAATAATTTTATCAACAATTTGAATTGAAACGGCTTAATATAGAAAAGAAATAGCAGATATAAATTAGATATTGAAACCAAAAAGAAAGAATAAGAAGAATAGAAATTTCATATGGAAATATCAACTGAAAATATACTCAAAAATACAAGTATAAAGTTTAAATGAAGAAAAGAGTGTTTATTCTTTGTGTAAAAAAAGAAGTTAAAAAAGCTAGACATTATTTAACAGGGTGAATCAACCCTCAGTTCTTAGCCCTTGCATAAGCAATCAGATATGAAATAAACATCATTTGAAAATTGACCAAAATCAAGGAAGGTTTTAAAATTAAAAACCCAGTATTTTAAAACCAAACTCTATTTAATGAGACTTATAACATTTAATCTATCACTTTAAATGATAAGACTACTCTTCTAGTTTCCAGTATTTTGAAAGATGATTTCAGAATTAATTGAGAATTGAACTATTAATTAAGGGAAAGGCGACACAAAATAAAAATTAAAGATACGATTATAAATGAAATTCAGAATTAAAAGTAAAATGAAAAGAATATAATATCAGGGTAAATATTTTTAAATTATTCCTAGCCACAATTTAGGGTAAGTGATTTATGCTATGTTATATTATTTATTAATTAAAAATTCAAATAAAAGAATCCTATAGAATTGGTAAATTCAGCATTGATGACTTAATTGTTTAGAAATATAAATTCATTAAATTATTGAATCTAATGGGGTGTACAGCATCTAAATAATCCAAAAATGCGTCTAAGGATAATCCTCCTAGTATTCTAGATGGTTTAAATGATCTGCCAAAACAGAAACTCTTGACTTTGGAGACTAAACCAGATGAAAGGAAAAGCAAATAACCAAAATCTTTGGATAAAAGCAAAATAGCTGAATTATTTTAAGCTGAACATCAATAGATTTACAGGAACAAGAAGTTCCAACATGATTATTTCATTACTGAAGAAAAAGTCTCATTAAATGGGTTTGAAGGAAAGATTTTTGTTGTTGAAAATAAAGTGACAGGACTCAAGAGGATAGCTAAGATTACTAGAAATACATTGGCTAGTCAATAGATCACTAAATACGTAGATTACTTGTAATAGCTTAAAAAACTAGTAAGTTTCATAAAATATTTAGGATCATCCTAATATTATAAAATTATTTGATTTTTATAATGATGACAAACACATATACTTAGTAGAGGAATACTATGATGGAGGAGATTTATATGAAAGATTAAGGACCGAGATGCAGAGTTCAGAGAAAATTCATGTAGCATTTGTATTTTAATAAATTTTGTCAGCAATTTATTACTTGCATTCTTAGGAATTTATACATAAAAACATTACTACAAGTGGAGTGGTAGTAGCCTAAAAATCTAATTTATTAATTAAGATAACAGGAATTGATGATTTATTTAATATTTTCTAGGATTCTAATCCTGACATCAGTTATAGAGCTCCTGAATCTTTTGCTGATAAATATTAATGGAATACAGCAGCTGATATCTGGTCGGCTGGAATTATTTTATTTGAATTAATGTACGGACAACATCCCTTCAAGGATTAAAGTAGATAAATAACAATATAAAATATTAAGAGAAATAATATCAAAGAAGATATTAATCTGAATTCAATAAATGATGATGCATATAAGTTAATTAGTGAAATGATTAATCCAGATCCTAAAATGAGACCTAGTGCTAAGGAGTGTTTAAAATTTAAGTATTTCAAGTCTATTAGAAGATCATCTATGAAAATAACTAGTGCCTTATTAAGAGTTAAAGAATTTCAAAGAAAAAATGAATTAAAACTAATATTGTTGAGTTTAATGACGGAGTATTTATTGCCCAAAGAAGAACGTGATAAAGTTGCTTAAGCTTTTTATAAAATAGATCTTAATAACGATGGCAAAATATCGAAAAACGAATTGTATCAATAATACTTACAAAGATCAGGTAATGAGGAGTAAGCAAGGCAAGAAGTCGAAAAAATATTTTCAGAATTGGATATCAATGGAAATTAGTTTCTAGAATTCAATGAATTTTTAATCGCATCTTCCAATAAAGCAGTTCTTTTCAATGAAGAAAATCTTAAGAATTTCTTTAATAAATTGGATAGAGATCATAGTAAACAAATATCTGCAAATGAACTCAAAGTCTTTTTCTATAACACTAATTTATCTTAATCAGATTGGCAATAAGTAATCTAATTAGGCTAAAATAAGGAACAAATGAATAATAAAATTTCTTATTAGGAGTTTGTTTCTTTGTTGACTGAAAATGAATGATTTTAATATAAATACTGATAATAATTATATCAATTATTTCTTCTAACTATTCTAATTTGATTTGAAACTGGTATTTTAATATGCTATTATTTTTACTATTTCAAATTGTCAATTTTTAAATCAAATCTACAGAAAGGACAAAATTGATTTTTCTGAAGCCATTTTTCAATGCATTTGGAATGAAATATGTGCCTATGAATATATAACCCATTATTACTTGCATGGAGTAGTTTTAATTGGTTGCTAATTTGAAAGAGGATCCAAGCAAATTGCACAATTATCTTAGAGATCTTTGCATTATATTTAATTATTTGTAGTAACGAATTCATCGTCCTCTTTCTTACTCAACGAACGCCCATAGGTGAATTGCTTTTCTCTCATTTCATAATCTTCAGGTGATTATTTATCCATTGATCTCCGCAACTTCGCTCTTCTAATTAAAAAGAAACAAAAGCAAAGTAACAAAGCCCCAGCCACACTACAAACAATTATTATAATTAGTTTCATCTAATCCCCCTTGTTATCGTCTGAAATCAAATCCAAACTAATATTAAATTGGCCACCTCTTAGTAATATTATCAACCTGTCAGGAATATAGGAATTTTCATCTTCAAAGTAGCTCTGTTTTCTCTGATCTATTTATATAACATAAGGAACGCCCTTTGTGATGATAGCAGCATCATTAAAGAAATCAGTGGTAGGTAAATACACTAAAGAGGGGATAAGTAAATAGACTTGCGTTTCATTCTCATCATCTTTGGTCTTAAATAAATATTAAAAATTACTGAGATTTCAAGTCTCAAATCTGAAGTGCCATTGTATTCATAATAACAATAAAAGTTGGGATCATGAGAACCATTTATCTTTATGGCTTTGTCCTGCTCCAATTATAGGGCTCTTTATGAACAGTCCCTGCCTATGAAACCTTACTCGCATCGGCATTCTCCATTGACACATTTTCCATTCTTCTGGCAATCTCCTTGACATAGCATCGTTTGTGATCCTCTTAAATAAATATCAAAGGAAACTGGAATATTGGTCAATACAGTAAAATATACTTTATCTTATGAGCTGGGTATTAAGATAAAATGGTTACTCTTTTATTACACATAACTATCAATATTTTGAGATTAGCCCATACCTATCATAGTCCATTCCATCATATTTAAAGTCCTTTTTATTATCTAAAAATGGTGCTTGTCCTTTTAAAAAAAGTAAAGCAATTTGGGCTGCTTCGATTGATATTTAATTTAGTTCGATTGAACAATACTGCGCATATAAATTATAGCAATTAACAATAAAAGTTGTATTCGAGGATATTGTATTTACAATTCTTTTTTTGGAATATAAGGAATCTTTGGAAATAGAAATTTCAAAATCGACGCTCAATGCTTTGAGAAAATTGAGAAGCAACAATCCGATCGTGATAGTATTAAACATAGTAAATTAATTAAATAAGAATATATTGGATGGAAAACTAATTAAGTACATTTACAAATTCAATACATTTTATAATATCATATAGAATACTCCATAATTCCAATTAATTAGTGAACAAGATCATTTTCATTAAGTGTAATTATTTTGAACCCAATTTTTAGTGAATTGAAATTAAACTTTATTATATGGCTATTTTGAGAATTCATTAATTTAAATAATTGTATTTTTCACCTTATAACTGATGGTATTTTATTGTTTTAATAATTATGATAAATAACATATCTGGTATGGATTAATTTCTGATATGTTAGAACTCTTAATAAAAAGATCGAATAATTTAAATCAAAAAAGGATGTGTTGAATGAAATTTATTGTAAAATATTAAACTAAATTTTGAATGTTATAAATTTAAGTGAGGATAGTTAATATTATTATAATTCTTAAGTTTATTACTCCTTTCAAATTAATAAGTAATAATTGCAATTAATTAAGCTACTAATCCAGTAATCAGAGATGAATTACTAATATGTTTCTACATAATTTTGATATGCTAAATCAAAAATTAATAAATATTAATTGGATAATTTTTGATTAAATTGATAGATCAGAATAGAGAGAGAAGTGTGTTGTACTTATAATTGATACATTCACAAAGCTCACTTAATATCCAAGAATTATATAATAAGAGCACAAATTCAGTTTCTTTAAACTTTTGTAATAATGTGAGGGAGTCATCAAAAAATTCAGATTAAGAAGAGTGAAATTGAAACTAGGATTAGCGTTTAAAGAATGAAATCTTTGATTCATTCTAATTATAAAAATCGTGTAGAATTATCAATAACAGTTAATAAACAATTTATAAAAATATATATTCAAGAAATAATGATGATAAAAGAAAAATAAAAAATTAGGAATCAATTTCATTGCTATACTAAAGATTACTCAATTACTTTATTCTTTCTCTTCCAATTAATAATTAATATACTTGCAGTTACTTATGATGCAAGAAGACAACTATATTCGGTAGTCATTTGTTCGATTAATGGATTTCTTGCTTTGTAATAATTAATTCTGCCAAAAGAAAAGGCTATCCTCTATTAATAAATTTGCATATTAGTGAGTAAAGTAGCGACAATTGTGCTAATAATTATTGTCGGCCCTGATTTATCTATTTTAATAATAGCCTTATTCGAGCGTTTAGATTTAATAACATCTGGGAAAGGTACATTTAAATAATTTGATCACATCCTCTTGCGATTTATAACCCTGATCATAATGATATTTAATTTTAATTTGTTTTTAACAATAACACTTTCGTACTCCATTTTGATTGAAATAAATAAACTCATATTAGAAAGATCGACTTAAAATAAATAAATACATTACAACACTACCAGTAGTTATCAAAATACAATTAAAGCGTCAGACTAAGAATGGAATTATCGTTTAAATTTGATTCCCCAATGCTTTATGGTGATAAATTTGCCGAGTCTTAAGGTTACTTATAAAAATAACTATCTTTACACTTATTTTAAACAATGCTACGAAAATGATGACTAGTTAGATGAGTTGATATTGCACAAATTGCAATTCAGTGTAATATAGGATAAGATTGATAAAATCAAGCAATTTTTCGATAAACCCAAAATCAACTAGAGATAGGTGAAGAAACAATAATTATGGCAATATAAAAGTGATTCAATTTCTCTTTAATAATAATCGCCATAATAAAAATAAGAATAATCAAAGGGTGGCGACTCTTTGGAATTCCTAACCACTTCTCAGTATTCCATCTTTGATATTTTAACAAATCTCAAACAAAACAATGTTTCTGATTAATAACAACTTAATAGTCACGTTGAGATCTACTCGGATCAAAGTTGGCAATCAATTACTATAAATTATAATTATTCTTTTTCGCCAAAAAAACTATAATTATCAGGTTAAATCATATTCTCTGAGCAAGAAGGAGAAGTGTTACTAACTCTGACCGATATTTCAAAATAAAATGAACTGTAAGAATTGATTTCTAATTCTGAGTTTAAATCTAAGGTATTTATATTTAAATATATCAATCAAGATCATAGAGTCTTTTTCACACGAATTAAGAACTCCATTGAATAGTGCTCTCAATTTTCTAGTGTCTTGCCATTACGATAAAGATGTCTAGGAGTCGGTTAAAGAAGATTATTTATAACCAGCAATCAACTCCTTAAAATTGCAATCCTACATTATTAGTGACATAATAGATTTATCATAAATTTCAACCAATAATTTTATACAATCTGTAAGCGAATTTTCTATTAGACGATTACTTAACGAGATAATCTTTTTATTTAAAACCTAATTTGAAATGAAAAGAATAGAACTAAAGATAAACTTGCTTGAATGTACCACTTCCAAATTTACATCTGACTACTTAAGGCTCATTTAAATCATCGTTAATCTATTACAGAATTCCTTAAAATTTTCATCGGAAGGAGTTGTCGTATTGCAATTGTCAACCACTTAAAATTAAGGCTTAAGAGTCTGTGTCTCTGATCAAGGCATAGGCATAGACAACGATCATCTTAATTAATTACAATTACTTTTATAAAATATTGAGCAGTACAAAGATATTTAATTAAATAAGACATGGTAAGGATTTGGTTTACTAATTTCTGCCATACTAGTTAACTAATTAGCACCAAAGGAGAATAAATTTTTATAGATTCATTCCTCTGGCCAATATTAAGGATCACAAGTCTGGTTTTACGTTGAAAATTAACACAGAATTGAGAGACCTAGATAAAACACCTTGAGATAGAGTTCCTCTAGATTCTAGAGTTCTCATGATGAGTAGATCTTTAATCTAGAAATTAATTGTGCAATATTTTAGGCAACAGATTTCAGCAACATAGCTTTATCGAAGTAATCTAATTAATATGGTAAGAGAAAAGAATTTGTTAAAAATGATTTCAACTGCACTGACAGTTAATCATTTGAATCTTTATAATTCAAATATGGGTAACTGTCACCTCTCTCACCTTCATTGATCACAGACAAATTATTTAAGTATTCAAAGTAAGATGATTTCTAAAATAATCATTAAGTCATAAATCTAAAAACCATATTTCAAGCTGAAATCAAAGAGGATTAATAGTTTTTGAAAACCTTTCAAAAAAAGAAGAGATGTTCTTGTCAAAATCTGTTGTCTGTTGATGATGAAATATTTAATTAGAAATCAATTTAAATTTTGTTAGCCAAACTGGGGTTCGATGTGATACTTGTATTTATTTATAATAAATAAATTAAAGGCATTTAATGGAGCTGAGGCCATTAGAATTGTGGAGGATGCCATTCCGTGCAGTCCAAAATGCTAATTATTCACCATAATATTGATGGACTACCAGATGCCGATTATGGATGGATGTACAGCTACTACCAGATTAATAGAGATGATGCATAAGAAATAAATCCCAAAAATTCATATCATCGGATTAACTGCTTTTACTAATGCAACTGACATTTCAAATTGTATTAAGGCTGGCATGAGTGATGTGTTATCAAAACCTTTGAATTTGAAAGAGCTGAAGGAAATTTTGACTCTGATTTGAATTGTTTTAGATAATAAATTTTTAATAGTGAAAATTTAATGTTATGACTCCTCCAAAGTAAAAATTTGATGCGCTTAAAATTAATGTTATCTTAACCGTCATTTCTCTTGGAATAATTTTGACCCATGAAGATCAAAATATCCATTCTTCTTATCTACTACAATGTTAATTTCTTCCAGGTTAGAATAATTAATAAAAATAGATAAAAAAACTATAATGTTACAAATTTCTTTGGATTCGCCCTGTAAAAAGGCTTAAGAAAGTCTGCTTATTAATACTAGAGGAGTTGTATCAAAATAAAATATCATATAAATTTTGGTATTTTACATTTTGCTTTCGCTTATTGACCTTGCTTTATTGATTCAGTATCCTCACAATTCATAATACATCATCCCTAAACTCTCTATTAGTATCTTGATGGCTATCATAATAACTTTATTTTAGAAAAAACTTACTCATATGATTATCAATATTTTTTTGGTTGTGGTAAAATTAAATTCAATCCTTTTTCTTTTATTGATTGGATAAGATTATATATTAATAGTAGCATTAATTTGCGAACACAATAATTACCCAGCAAATTTTGAACACTTAGAATATTCTGTTCAAAAAATCATATTAAAAATCGTCTGTTTAGTGATTATGATCATTAAATTTAAAATTATGGATATTTTTATGATTGGAAGTGTTTTGTTGTTGGAAATATACTAAATAGGTTTACTTTTAAAATAATCAAAAAATTAAAATATTGGAGAATTATTTAGCTCTTTTTAAAATAAAATTAATAGAGAAACCTTCACAATATATTCTAAAGAGAACACTTGGATAAGTAGAATATCGACTCTCCCTATATGTTTCATAATGATTTCCAAAAAAGATATGAAATTGACCTATAAAAATCATAATGTCTACACCCATTTTTCTTCAATCTGTAAAACTGAGGAAGAATACGATAAATTAATTCTAAATTAATTGGAATTTTCTATTATTTCGGGTAATTATACTTTTACTATTTAGAATGCTATGAAGATTAAAAGAACATCGCCACGGATCAACATATAAAGAAGAATAGACTGAGGAATAATTTGTCATCCAAAAAACGTAATTAAGAAAACAAGGATTTTTCAGAATAAGAAAGCATCAATCCATAATTCAAGGAAACAAATAAATTACTTGAAATTTTAGAAAACTATAAGGAGGGCAAATTATGGGATACCATGAATTCGATTAATAATTCTTTAGAACTATTCTGTTAACATTTTTGGGAAGATAATAAATGCTCAACTTATAGTGGGTAGATTATAATCAATCAAGATGATGATGAAATTATTTTAACATTGATTGACATATCTAAACAAAACAAGTATTATGATGAGATGATCAAAGACTAATTTAAGACTTCAGTAAAATATTTATTAATTTTAAAAGATTGCCCAATCCTTCTCACATGAATTAAGAACTCCTTTGAATAGTTCATGTAACTTCTTATAATACTGTTTAAACCATAAAAGTGTTGAGGAAGAGATTAAAAACAACTTCATCCAACCTGCCATCAATGCTTTAAGATTTTAATCCTATTTGATCAATGATATTATTGATTTTAGCTCATTATGTGCTGATAATTTGGAATTGGATATTAAAGATTTTCTCATTAAGGATTTAGTTGATGAAGTCAATAAATTGTTTAAATCTGTTATAGAAATGAAGAATCTAATATTGTATGTTGATTTATTGGAAAATTAATTAAATAGTCTTTGCACAGACTTTTCTAGATTAGTCTAAATTATTGTAAATATCCTCTAGAATTCTATTAAATATTCAAATTCTGGATATATCCTTATGAAGTTGACTTCTTTTTCTTAAAATTACTTAAAGATTACTATTAAAGATGAAGGATTTGGAATAGAAGAAGATAGATTAATCAAACTGCATTAAATGCTTTTGGATGTCGAATAAAAATAAAACTTTTCTTAATATAAATCTTGGCATGGATTTGGTCTGCTGATCTCCTCTATGTTATTATCGAAACTATGTCCTGCGGATTACAAATCCTTATTAATTCGATCTGGGGGAAAAGGGCAAGGAACTAAAGTGACTTTCTACATATAGAATCATAAATTAAGTCATTCCTCTTCTAGTCTCCATTAAAAGGATAAACCAATAAGATTTAACAGCAAACTCAGATAAAGCAATCCGTCAGGATCAAATCATCATCTGTCTCTAAATGGAACACTTATCTAAATCAGTGACTTATTTGTCTCTAATAGAAAGGTTAATATCAATACTCAATTTGTAAAAAAAGTAACTCTTAAATCTGTTAAATCTAATGAAAATTCAATTTTCTCTGATAGTATAATAAACTTAGATTAAGATTTACAAATATCAGAACTGCATCACTTACAACCTTTTTTATTTACAGAAAATGCTAAATAGAAATCTAAATTAAGTAAATAAGACTAATCTCCCAAAAGTAATCATCAATAAACTAAAATTGTAAGTTATAAATAATTAAAGCTTTAAGAAGATTAAGATAGCGAGCAATATCTAAAAACAATCATGAGGAAGAAGAAATGTACTTGTAAAAGAATATTGTCAGTAGATGATGAAATTTTTAATTAAAAATCTATTCAATTTTTATTAACTCAATAAGGATTTGAAGTCTCTTTGGTATTATTATGAATTATATCGAAGGCATTCAATGGCTAAGAAGCAATTCAAATAGTTTAAGATACTCAGAAATGTAATGTTAACTGCAGTTTATTTTTATTAATTTTGATGGATTATCAGATGCCAATAATGAATGGATTGTAGGCCACTAAGCAATTGAGATATATGATGGATTAGCATTAAATACCATAGATTCATATCATAGGATTAACAGCATTTAATAGTAAGAATGATATTCTCATGTGTTTAAATTCTGGCATGAGCGATGTATTAACAAAGCCATTGATTATAAAAGACCTTTTTGAGATATTGCAACTCATTTGATCTTCATCGATATTATATGCATATTATTATACTAAACTATGAATATTGGTAAATTCAAATTAAAAAATTTTAATTATTTCTGAATATGAATTCAAATCAAGAATTGGTTCAAATGTTGAAAGATCTTCAAATATATAATTCCATTGATAACAATTTTAGTCCTGATCATAGCTAATTAGTGATGGTCTATGAAAAAGTAATTGGATTTATTCTAAAGTTAGTTTTGCGATTTAATAAATTTCGATGATAGTTTTACTTTAGAAAACTCAACATTGCAATTATTTTATAGATGCAAATTAATGTGTAAAACAGTGGGAGTAGCTGATTTTTAGATGATGGATTTGACAGATCCTGATCAAAAAAGAATGAAACACATTATTACACAATTATGTAAGTATTGCATATGGAAGAAAGATTAAAGTTAGAAATGGGAAAAGAGAGACAAAGAAATAGTAAGACATTTAATAATCTTAGGTATAATTAGAGGATGTTGATTTATAATAAACTCGAAAATAAAAAAGCGAACTTGAAGATTTGATATAAATGAAATACAAAGACATGGATTTGAAAAAGAAAAAGTTTGAGTAATATAAGCAAATGAAACATAAATGTGAATCAGATTTATTAGCTAAAAGAAACCAAAATTTAAAATTATAAAATTCTATTTCATAAAATTAAAATGAATTAAAGGATGCAGAAAAGAAGTTTAAGAATTTGATTGAGAAACTGTAAGTAGCTTAGAATGAATTATCAATATTGGAGAGGTAAATTATTGATTAATATTTTAAGTATGGTAGTGAAGGATCCAAAAACTTTAGAAAAGAAAGTAAATGATAGTTAAAGAAGAGTTGAAAGTCTTTAGATCGAGGTAGATAAGTGTTAGAGGGAATTATCAATTGAAACATTCAAAATTGGGAAGATTTATAAATAATTACATTATGATTACGATATATTTTTGAGATTGCTTGAATAAATAAAGGAATCGGAAAATGCATTAAATTAAGAAGATAAAAACTTTGAAAAATCCAATGATTAAATATTTACAGCATCTAACAAAATACTCCAAGAGAACTTGGCCTTACAAAAGTTGTAACAAAATAAGGAACAACTTCAATAATAGAAGGTGGCAGAATCTGAGAAAAATAATTCATCAAATCAATATAGTTTACAATCATTAATAGATTTACAAAATAAACTGTCGGAATTGTAAATAGAGGTGAAAAGAGAATAGTAAGAATATTTGTCCATACAACTAATGAAATAAGAGTAATAGAAGGTTACGTCTGAAAATGAAGAAATCAAGGCAGCTATTGAAGCAAATCTCAAATAAGTAGTGACTCAATAAAATAAGGAAATTGAATAATATACAAAAAACATTGAAATCTTACTAAATAAAATAGAATTTGAATGAGTATTAACATATAATTAATTACTATTATTAGTAAAAAAGTGTAGAAAATAAAAGAATTTTAAAATAATTTGTTATTTATAAAATGCTATCAATTCTAATTGAGGAAGCATTATGATTGGAAACCATACAAGGTATAATTTTACACCAAATCATGGAATCCCCAATTGTTCTTATAAAGTGTGATCCAATCACCCATCAAACCAACAATTGGCACTTGATAACAGACTTTCACAACTCCTAAATGTCTCTTGCATTTCTTCTTAGAAGACAACTCACTATGTTGAACTTAGGCAATTGCATATGCTCTAAACTCTTCCATATCTAAATTAAGATTCAATGTGTATGAATTAGAATTGATAGAATGAAGTTTAGGATTGTATCCAAAGGCAATGCTGCTTGTTAGATTACCAGTGAAGATATCAGCAAGGACAGCAGCTCTAGCTTGAACGACATTAGGTACAAGTGAATCTCCATATACAGTCAAATAGGCAGCACCAATGAAGGTGTCAGCGAATCCGGCTATTGAAGAAGTCTAAGTGACGTTTTATTTGATAATGAATCCATAGCTAAAATCAGCCCCAACATTTACAACAAACCCTTGAACTACTAAGGCAGTTTAGAGTAGTGTAATATTCTGAATTCCATTTATATCAAGATTTTTTAAAGGTTGACCAGTATAAGAAAGTGAGGTATCAACTAAATCTAAAGCACAAAAGCCTTCAAGGGCCAAGCAGAATTTCAATGTGACTTAAGCATTGCCATTACCTGCAGTGCCTTTAAAAGAAACATCCAATGATAAATCGGTTCCTTTAACTTTAAATGTTACAATAGTGGATGAATAGTCTATTAATCCATTGGAAGGACAATGTATTGATTAATTTTAAAATAGTTATGATTAGGATAATAATCTATTATGAAAAGCCTTCTTCTTTAATTCTTAAATATTCAATTGTTTTTTTTCATATTACTTAAGCAATCTATCTTAAATAGTAACAGCAGTATAAGACGTTAAATCTTAATTATTATTGATCTATTTAAGTAGATTAGTGAAGTAGGCATCCTAATAGCTCTAAGCTCTCTGAAGTGTTGAATTATCAGTAACAGAAGTTTTGATTTAGTATTGTTTATCTGAATTATTAAGTTAGACTGAGTTATCTATTTCAATATTTACAGAAATCTATGATTCAACAATTTCATTATTTCTGTTTAACTTGGTTGTCTATTTTTAATTGAATTGATCTCCAACCAAGAAATCTTTGTCAAGACTGTCTTATTCTGTAACTTCTTTGGTGATTGTTGAATATCCAAACCAACTCTATTCAACTTCCCTTTCTGACATAAATTAATATTTTCCGATTTAAACTGGGTTCTTAATTCCATCTTCAGTTCTCTCTGTTGATTCAACATTTGGGCCTAAGTGTTGGATACTTGAAATCAAGGTTTAAAGTAAAAGACCATCCAAACCATTTGGAACTTGAATTCTCAAAACTTATCCATTGAGTTTGTCTAAGGTATATGTAACCATGGGAATCTCGTTGTAGGATCCACAGTCTTGATTGTTGCAAGGTTCAGTTATCTTTTCCAGGATTCTGAGGGCATTGTTGAGTTTTCCAGTTATGTTTACATTATTTTCATATAAATTTGAAAAAATGACAGTACCATTTGAATAATTCTGTTAGGATGAAACTTGTAGTCCATCAAGCATAAGGATGTGTGTGGAATTGTTGTCATTTTCATCTATTGTAACTTATGTGGTATTGGCTTCAATCAGTGTACAATTTGTAGATTATGTAGAAACTTAATAAACACATAATTAATCTTAAGCATAATAAGAATTTCTTTGGTTTAATGAGTAACTTGGAACATAATTGCTCTTTGGAGTGAAGAGTATTAATAGACTCATGCAAATTGCCAGAACAAGTGCAAAAATGACTGCCTTTCTGAGTCTGTCTTATCTCTTTAGCTGGGTATCCTTTGACAGGAGAGTATCAGGATTGGCAATGTTAAATGAACTTTGAGTTTGCATATTAAATAATAAATCTTTTTTCATTTTTCAATTAACTTAAATAACGAAGAAGACGGGGTGTATCTTGGTTAATGTAATATAATAAATAATTGTTAAAGCATTATGAGCAAACAATAATGCATAATTGAAATAATAGAAATGTTTATGACATTTATATACCCTTCCTTTGATGAACTTAACTAATGAATATATGTTATCCATTTGTGATGATGTCATGATGTCATTTAACGTAAATTAATTTTATAATTCTAATGTTCCTACATCTTTTCATCCCCTTCCAAATTATCTGTCACTCCTTAAAACCGATTCCAGTCCTCCTTCTTGAGAGTCTAGCCCATATATGAAGTTGGAAATTCATAATCACTACTCCCTGACCAATGTATCAGAATTACTCAAAATGGCCATAGATTTAATATCTATCTCCTACTTACTAGATGAATGTATTTCTTCTCTGTAACAAGCAGGAATGATCATTCTTATAACTTATTACTATTTCTCAGCAGAAATTAAATATGTGAAAAAACTTTATTAGAAATAGAAAAATATGATATTGGCAGAGACATTGCAAATGAGGGTGCATTTGACATATTTAGTTATTTCAACATATTTTATGATTATTGTGAGTATTTCAAACTATAAAATTAGAAATTCAATGAGAGTATAAATTTTATAACATAATTGAAGTTAATTATTATAAGGCAAAGCTTAAGAAAATTATTTTTATTATTAAAGATTGCATATTAATAAATTTAAATTAATATTTGAGGTTTATTATGGTATTAAGGAGTTTGTATTTGGAATGGGGAGGTGACAGTATGAGTAAATAGAAGATTCTTTAGTACCAAAATTTCTAGTTTAAGTATTTTAAAATGTAGGCCAGTTTAATTAAAATTAGTGAAAGTATGAATGTTATTGATAATATAAACAAAATATTATTTTAAATTTCTCGATGGGGAATTGTTTTTAACAAGAGGAAGAGAAGAATTAGAAGTCTTCAATAAAGAAGGTGGATAGTTTTCTTGCTAAGCAGATTGAGAAAAAGAATGAGAAGCAAAAGGTGACTTTGAAGGATTTTTTAAGTCAAGGCGAAATCGGACGAGTAATTATTGTGATTGAATATGCTAGGGTAAATTCGGGAAGGTTTTAAGGGTGAAAATGAAGGGGAAGGATAATCGGGAATATGCAATGAAAGTTATTAAAAAAGCTGATATCTTGCAATATGGACTTGTAGAACACACAATGTTAGAAAAGAATGTCTTGGGAGCAAGCAGAAACCCGTTTGTTGTCAAATTGAAATACTCGTTTTAAACAGAGCAAAAACTTTATTTGGTGATGGAGTAAAATATATTTAAATGAAGTTAAGATTCATAAAGGGTGGTTAATTAGCCAAAGTATTAAGAAAACGATAATCAGGTAGATTCACAGAAGAATAAACCAGATTTTGTGCTGCCGAAATAATATTAGGTTTGCAATACATGCATAATACACTTAGAGTAATCTATAGAGATTTGAAACCAGAAAATGTGATGGTCACTGAAGAAGGACATTTGAAATTGACTGATTTTGGTCTATCCAAACAATATGAAACCGAAGAAGCAAAATTTTTTACTGTATTAAATAATAATACTCAAATATAGCTTGCAGGAACACCGGAATACTTGGCTCCAGAAATATTGGTTAATTAGGGTCATAATCATATGGTTGATTTCTGGTGTCTAGGAGTTCTAATTTATGAGATGTTGGTGGGTGAGACTCCATTTTATGATTGCTAAAGAAATCATAATACTATAGAACACAATATTAAGAATGCATAGATTAAATATCCTAATTTCTTGAGTGAGCAATCGAAGAGCATTGTGGATCGATTATTGAATAAGGATCCAAAATAAAGATTGGGGGCCAAATCTATTTAAGAGATAAAGGATCACCATTTCTTCGATGATATCAATTGGGAATAACTCTATAATTTGGAAATCCCTTCTCCAATTTTAGAAAATACTTAAGTTTATGTAAGAGTCAAGAATGATAATTTCTAGCCCCAGTTTAAAAAGGACTAGTTTGGTAAAAGAATCTATGAAACACCATCATCGCATTTTATCGAAACTAATGGGGATTTCAAAGGCTTCTCTGCAGTTTAAGAATGATTATATAAAATGGTATTTTCAATATCAATTTAAGTATAAGTTATTGTATATCTTTATTAACAATATAACTTTCATGTTTCTTTTCTCTTTTTCAATTTTAAAATAATTCTAGCATCTGAATTAATTTTACTAATTTTCAATATCTCATCAAGGTCTTTTTTCAAAATAGGATCATTTGATATCAACTCTGGTATATTTATAGTTTTTCTCAAATGCTAATAAGTAAGATGAAACATATCAAATTCATTATGCTTTTAGATATTGCACAAGAATGTTTCCATGGTTATTTTTGCATCCTCTAATTCATCATTGAAAGCAAACATTTCCTCATTGTCATTATTGTCCTCCTTAGCCTTTTTTATGTCGTTGTTGTACTATCTTTTTAAGACAGTTACAAAATTTGTCAGCAAAGGTAAATTCAAATACTTAGGATTCTTGAGTAACAGTTGACAAAATCCTACAATATAGAGTTGACTGTCATAATCAGGTTAACAATGTTTGCTTGAATCAATGATATGATCATAAATGAATCCCTATTATGATTCAATCCATGCTAAAGTTTAAGCGCAATTTTAAATAAATCCTGAAATGTATATTCCCATCAATCGAGCTCTCAGGAAATCATTTTTTACTTCCAATTATGATCTTTATAAAATTTTTGTGTAGATATATGTTAACACATCTTTTTATAATGGATACTCTTGAAGAAGTAAGTGTAAAAGCACGATGGCTTCTCCTTGAGAGGCTTCCCCATTCTATGGATTATTAAAAACAGCCTCCAACATTTAAATCAACTAAATTATGAAATATGATGTATACAAATTCTTAGGCTTTAGCATTTTAAAATAAGGTTCTACCATAATAAATGTAATAATTAAAAAGTTCAAACAACTATCCAAGAGTGTATCTTTATTTCTCAATTACTTTGTTACATTACGTAAGCATCTCAGCTTAATAGTCACTGATAAATTTAGTTTTATTAATTAGCTATGATATAAAGTACACAATGTCCTCATCAAAATCAATTACATTTGGGTCTATTTATATTTATATCATAGATTACTTATGATGTATTTGTAGAGAACGGCAACTCTTTTTTCTAATAGATTAAAATGAATTGGAATTATCCTATCAATTTCAGGTAGTGATTTAAGTATATTCCAAGTTTAATTGATACAAATTTGTCTCTCAGTCTATCCCTACTCCACCAATTCTTACTCTTATTAGATTTTCAAAACTATTAGTCCCAAGGCTTAATCTAATACTGATGGATCTAATGAAAATGTTCTACATTAATTTTAGTAATTCATTCATACTTGAAAACTTGTTTGATAGTATCGAAGTGATCTTCAAAATCACTTTACAATAAAGATTCGCAGAGAGCTATCAGGATCTATCCTATGATTGGTTCCAATAGTTTTTCTAAATTTGGTTCTTCGATAATATTTTTGATAGCCTCTATCGCACAATAGCAATTAGCGTATAATTCATTTTTTGAGGATTTGATTTAATTCATCAAGAAATTAAGTAGTTATTAAGAGAGTTCTTCCTTTTCATGCAGAATTGACTTGCAAAATGCCCCAATATATGTACAAAGTCTGGCCTTAACAAGAGCTAAAACTATATAAATTTGGTATACGTATCGAATAATTCAATAAGTAATCGCCATATTAAGTAATAAAAGATTTGAATATTAATCCGACTTCATTTCGATAGACTAGATAATTACTCAAAATTGATAAGATTAGCAATGAAGTTTCTAGTAGAACATTAACATTCATGGACTTTAAAAAGTAATGTTCCTTGAATTCCATTATTAATCCTAACTACTCTTTTAATTCTGCGTTTTGTAGTTTTTAAACACAGTAGGTTGCAGCTAGAGTTGAAAAGGAGGTAAAGAAGGATACAGACCCGTCAATATGATCACAATAAGCGATAATTAACTGAGCGACAGAGGACTTAATGATATCAGATTTTTGCTCATCCAGTAGATCCTAAGTTAATTGAACAAATTCATTAGGATCTTCATTGAGATCACTCATTTCCTTTTGAGTTGATGAAAAGAAGGGTAGAATGATGTCAACAAAAATGGCCATCCTGTATTCAGCAAAGATGTGATAGACTGAAATGCTCTTACATGTAATTGCTAATAATTTGATGATTTCATTAATTAAGTTTTATTGGTTCTGATTTAGAGTATCATAGGAGAAGGTGGGTGACATTGCAAATGCTACAAGACTTTGGATGTAAGTGTCACACAGAATGCATAGGATATCTAAAAATGGGCATTTCTTGGCTACGATGGCATCCTTGTACAATTTAATAATAGATCCGTAGATTAGCCTTTGGGATGCAACAATCAAATGACAATATTCTAGATCATCGCCTACAAAGGTCAATTGTTGAGCCTTGAGAATAAGCACTTAACACAATTCCTCGTTGTAGATGAAGTATTGTTAAATAGGTTCTGGCACTCCACTCATCTATTGAGTTGTGAGGTGTCGATCCAATTGGTGATAGAGAACTTTAGCCCATAATAATTTGGTAGATTGAGAGAAAGTGCCCATTATTTTACCTGCCTTGATAATGGATTGAAACCATTCAAATTGATTATCCAATTGCAAAGTTTCAGCTATATAAAATGCAGAGGCAACCATATTTTCTAATCTGGTTTCAATAGATTAGACGACATGTTATTTGAGACGAGTTTTGAAGTGATTCTCTACAGATTAATAATAGTAATTCATTTACATTTGTCATAATACACCAGTTATTGGAGGGCTTATTGAATGCTGACTTTGATTTTGTCTGATATTTATTTGGTGAGCATTTGAACAAAGAGATCAACATGATGCAATCTCATTTCCACAGCATAGGGTTCTAGATTAGAATCGAACATGGTCTTACTTGTGTTGCCTATGAACTTTTTCACAGCAGTTATTATTGTAATCGCAGCTTATTCTGCTAATAGTAAATCATTTTATTGGGATGATAATTCGCATAGGATTTCAACGGATCTGGCATCATTTTGACAAGCTTGAATCAATTATTCTTCTGCCTTTCTCCTCGTTTGAGTCTCTTTGCTTTGGAAGGCCATCACGATCAAATTTATATACTCTTGCTGATTCATCATGAATTTATATAGTGATAAATTATAAACTTTGTTAATCAATACATAGATAAATATATACATAGTCATTTTAAAGTCAAACTAATTTTGTTTCCTTTGTAATCATACTCCGAAAAGACGGAGATCACTTTCAAGGCTTCGTAGATGTCCACCATAGTGATTTGAATATTTTGAGAGTCAAGTTTGATTTCTAGAAATGAGAATGAGAATTTACCTTGAATCTTTCCAACTAATTTAACCATGTCCTGGATTTCCAATAATTGGGTGATGCCAGAAAATGAAAGTACTCTAGACAGAGGAACAATTTTGAATTTGGTTTGACTTCCTTGATAATATTCATCATAGGGGTTGTTGGGCTACAAGAGTGCATTGCTAGCAGTCTAGAATAAGATTCTCAACTACAATAATAGTAAATGGAGATGCTAACCTCATTTCCAAAAAAGACAACATTATTGAGTAACTCTTTTGCTATGATTGCATTCTCTTTATTTACAAATTATAGAATGGATTAACGAATATTTCTTTTTAACAATAAGGCTTCCAAATGTCCAAATCTATTGAAGAGATTGTAAAGCATTCTTGGAGTGACTCTTTCGTCTAAATTGGAAACCCTCAAAAACTTAGATGGTTATTGATTTAACAATTCTTGGATCGCCTATTCGTTGGGATCCAATTGAGTCAATTGTATTTTGGCTACTTCCTACTCATAGTCATCATCCAATATTCTCTCTAGTTGTCGTAATTGAGTCTCCATTCTAGAAAATATACTTGAATCGTTTTACATTGCTTTTGTAGGGGATTCTTCGGTGATATTTTGGATGCCATTGAATGGGTTTCCATTATTCGGCTGTTCTTCAAGGGAGTGAGGTTTGATTAAAGGAAGAGAAACTGGAATTGAATTAGGTAGCGTCATCGATTTCAAGGGAGACTTCTATTCTGGTTATGTTTCCTCATCGTCAGAGTGATATTCAGAACCTCTGGTGTGATCAACCACTTCCAAGTCCAGCTATTTCAAACGAGAATAGTGAATCAATAGCCTTGTTAAAATATAACTGAAAGTGTTACCTGCCTCCTTATGGAGTGAGCGATTTTCCTATCATATTACGTCTTGCAGAAATAGCGTGCTTAACTTCATTGTATTCTACAAAAGCCTTGTTGGTCTTTCCTCTTTCGAAAATTAAAATCTTTTTGACTTCCCCATACTACTTAAAAGTCTCAAATAAAAAATCATTTGTTAGTGAGAATGATTAAGGTAAGTAAGTTATGATCAATAACAATATTTTACTAGGAGGGTCTCTAGGAATCATTTATAAAATTTAATCAATTTAATTTAAAATCCTGCAGAAATGAGGATTTTAAAATTCGATTATTAACAGTTAATATTAATAAAAGCTCCTTCTAAAGCATTAATAATTGCATAAACCCAAATTCTGAATCAGAAATCATATCGCACTTTCCATGTTCATTTTTAAGTAAGAGCTTTGCGCATCATCCGTAGCATCATACCATTCGTTGATAGAAGCCTTGTGAATCCACAAACCTGTGAATCTTGTATTTTATCTCAGATGCTATTCCCGTATCTTCTCTCTCTTGATTAGTAAAAAGATTAAATGATTTAATGAATAATAAAAATAATCTAAAAATTATATAATGATGAATCCGTGTCATATTTTCCAAGCCATCTTCATTAACAACACAAAATGTTCGTCATTGTCCACTGAGGCTGACACTGCAGCATAATAATCACACCACTCCTAATATGTCAATTATCCATTCTTATCCACATCTCCAAAATTCACAAGGAACTCCTCGAACACCTGAGTCTCTGTCATCTGTCCATTCTTCACCTTCGGATGCATTTTGGTATTGTAAACACCCCTACAATATATTCAAACATCTCACTTCAGATCATCTGCTGTAATGTATCCATCCCCTGTCTTATCAAATTTTCTGAAGGCCTGATCTACAATAGCTTTTCTAGTTGGATTCAATTACCCCTAAAATACCAAGATTCCTTACTCTGATGGACACTAAGAATTCATCAAAATCAATGGTTCCACTCCTGTCTCTGTCCATGGCTGCGAATAAGATCTACAATGACTGAATATCATTACATCGACTTCATTCCAAGACAACTAAACCCCATTTTCAGCCAGACCCACCTTCAACTCATTTTTATCCAATTTTCTATTTCCATCATATGAATCTAGACATCTGAAACAAACACCCAACTGTCTAATTGTTTTCGATCCCCTTGCCTATAAAGCATCACGAACTCGTTTAAGCACTACACTCTCAATTATACAATCATACAAATTTGAGCAGCTTCCTATTATTGTCTATTCATAATATAAAACTTAATAAAATAATTAACAGTTTCATGAAATAAATTGTCCAAATTAATATCATAATTTATTGCAAACCTGTGGGTAAATCTCCTTTGAATTTTCATCTCTCTCATACTTATTCGGATTCTCAGAATACCTCCAAAATTACCCACAGGACTTTTAAGAAATATCTCCAATCCCTCCATCCAAACACAACACCAACCAAGTTAAATTAGGTTCTTTATTCAAATTACTTACTTATGGCAATTAATATCTGATTATGGGTCTCTCCTATTCATAACCATAAAGAGTGACAACAGGTTTCATCTCCTTGAAAATAGGATCGTTCTCAATCAAAGAAGAATCAATCTTCAACCCTTGAGACTTTTTGTTATTGAGTTCTTTCAATTTCGAGTCTATTGGATCAAATTTTACAAAAAAAGTATACTTCCTGTCTGCCAGTTGATTAATTTGAATTGATTAAGCAGTTTTGCTTCCATAAAATTGCATACCCCCACAATTCTCATTGAAAAAACCAACAACGCATTCTGGATAAGCTGCGCCTAATAACACATTGAACTTATCATGCTTAGGTACTTCCAAGGTAACTGTCAATTGCCCTTTGATTGTGTTTCTAGGAATCATTGTGACATCCAAGCTTTTAGTAGTTTCTGAGTTCTTAAATTTATTGCAATATAGATAATATCCTTTCTTTTCAGCCCCGAAGTAGTAATCTCTGACAACCATATTGTATAACACACTATTCTGATTTACAGTGACTATTCAAGAATATCAAATATAATTACTTATTCGTTAAGGTATTGGCTTAATTTTACCACAATCATCCTCATTCTTAAAAAAATACAAAATAACATCGTCCAATTCTAATCCAGATTATATATCAACAATATTGATCTGTAAATTAGTAAACTTCAAGTTCTTACTAATGTACTATTTCGCTTCCTGATTAAATGATTTATCTTCTACTGCATGTACTTTATGCTTTTGCCATAATAATCTACTACTCTACAATGCAAATATATCCACTGTCAATTACTTTTTATTACCCTCACTGCAGATCTGAATATGATTAGATAATATCTTTTTTATTTCCCCTTTATCTCCTTCTACTCCAAATATCCCATCATTGCTACCAGCAGAAGTGTAAAATACATTTTTTATCATTTCCTTTGGAATATAAGATACTTTGGCTGAATTCACGTACTCTGTAACCACTAATTACATCTATGGCGCTAAGATAGTCAATCGTGAATCTTCATTTAATTCCAATTCTTTATTGTTATTCTGTTTTTTATATACATCCATAAATGGTTCACATCCAGTGACATTCTCTATACCTGTTGGATAGACCAAAGGATTCTTATTGGCTTTGATTACTTATTGATTTGCAACGATTATGATGTCTTTTTAATTAGGAGTTGTTGCAGATCCAAAGATCAGTAAAATCGAAAATACAAGCACCACTAATCCAATTAATACAAATGTCCAATCTTCTTTTCTATTTGGTATCTGCGCTCCCTTCAAACTTGTATCCACCTATAGTAAAGCTGTAGATAAGGCAAACCCACTTATTACTAGCAATAATGAGAAGAAGCCTGTATAAAAAATGTTCTTAGACATTGAATCGGAAAATGCTTTACAACATGATATATTTAAACACTATTAGCTACTATCCTTCTCCCAGAATATGGATTAATACTAGGGATCACAATTGTTTTGTTCTTAATATTTGTTACAACTTGCGTTCTCCTTTATCCAATCTTAATGAGTATTGCGCATCTCCTACCCACATTGATTTATGTAGGCTGATCTCATTTATTCGCTTTATCTTATGATGTAAAATGAACAAGCAGTGATTAAAAATATCAATATCAGATTAGCATAGCCAATTGTCTCAAATAGACTATTTCTATAGATAAAAGTAATTAGGAATGCGAATGCAGCTGTAATCAAGGAGAGCACAGACAATGTTTTGAACAGCGAAAAGACACTTGTCACTAATATTGGGGAGTAGGGTGTTGATAAATCAGCTGATGCTTGGTTTGCTTGATTCAAAGCTAAGGATGCTATTAGAATGGTTGATAATGCAAACACGTAAATGCATAGTCTCAATTATGACTTTTGAGGTATTGTAATATAACTAGTGAATGCCACATACATCCATATTAAACTAATCAATATCAATATAGGAAATCCCAAAATCACTCCAATCTTATAATCACTCATGTATGCAATACTGGTGTCTACTGAATGTTCAGCCTAATAGTAGTCTTGTCCTATCCTGTACCAAAATACTATGAACACTAGCAAAATAATATTGTATAAAATATTGATGAATGAACCCAAAAATACGACTGCTGAAATTCTTGTATCTATATAAAATTTTCTTTATTGCAACTAAGACTATGATTCCTCAGTGATTTTACTCGTGTTGAACCAATACACTATTACTCCCTAAATTCAAATTTAATATGTGAAATTACACTTAAAACAACCGAAGCAATTCCTGAAAGCAAGAGTAACATCATTATAGTCAGCGAATATTTGTTGAAAAAGATAATTGCCACTATTATCAAGATTATAGCTAAAATTAATGCCAACAATGTTATCTTTGTCGAAAATTCTATAATTACAAAAAAAGAGTACTTAATTTATCTTCTAATTCTCTATCAGACCATCCCTCATTATACACATCTCTCTTTTATTAAATTTCCTGCATATTAACTGTAAAATTTAATAAAATAATATCTATCGATTCGATATTCGATTTATATTAAAATAAAATTTATGATATAAAATTATTGTAATATTATATTCTTATTTTAAGGTAAATAATCAATATTAAATATAATAGGGAATGCTATTAAATTCTTACAGACCTCTTATTAGTTTGAAAATGAAATCTAAATTATATTATAGTCATGATAATTAAGAATCATAAGTTAATTTTGTGAATAAACTTCATAATTATCCTCTTCATCGTAATTATAATGATCTTCATCTCCAACATACTTCAATAAATATTAATAACTTAATATTAATTATAAAATTAACTCTACATTCTAAAAGTTACAAACCAAAAGTAAAAATTCCTTTATTGTATAATCATTAAATTATTAGAAAATAAAGTTTATGTTTAATGAACTTCAATAAATTGCTTTAAAACCTAATAATTTTGATTTTGACTAAAAATTATTGTTCTCTTACGATTAATAATTATTATGTTGAAATAAGTTCTGTTCCTCCATTTGAATCTGATCCACATTTAATTCTCTTGAGATTAATAAAGTCACTAAATTAAAAGGTGAGATTTCACCTTATTACATTTTTGATTTTTATCGAAAATATACTTTAGCAACGATTTTTAAGAAAAAACTTCCTTTTATTTTATCAATTATATGAAGGTAAATAGATATGGAATTAAAGTGCTTATAATTTTTGGTTTTTTTATTGGAAAATCTATTAATACTTGTGTAAGATCTTATTAGTCTAATTGATCCAATTCTATAGTATTTTATTACATCTAACACATAGTTTGATTATAAAAAAAGACTCAAGCATTATAGAACTCAACTAATTAGGATATGCTAAGAATAGCATCATAAGGATAGAAGATATTGTTATTCATATTTGTTGAAAATAGACAGAAAAGGCGGTTCTGAAGGTGTTACTATAATTTTATAATTCATAAAGTAGTCATTTTTAATAACCTGATTCTCCAGAAATGCTTTAAACCCTTTCACAAAGCTTTACTTAATTTTCTTATTTGTGCCTTCATCTTCTTATGCAATCCCTTCCCCATTTTGAGTAATAATTATAAGCATCTAATTTATGATGTATTAAATTGAAGGATTATAATGGCAACTGTTATTTTCTCTATTTAAGGTATCATTCTATCGTCTAAACAACAAATGATGCTCTTGGTACATATCAGTCTTTGACTTCCTCATAGATGGAATGTTTAGAAACCGTATCTGGTTCTTATTTAATGTAGAGTTTTAAAGCAAATCTCCTATCATTTTAACCTTTATGAATGTTGATCATAGTTTTAGTTTTATTTAATTTATATAAAACATTATAAATTACTCTTAATAGCATATTTTTAGGAAATTATTGTGATAGTTATTCAATAAATTCTCAAAAAATATTACATCTAAATTAATAGATTATTTATAATTAAAATGGCTTAAAAATCTCAAAATACTTCTCAATTTGAGGATGAATTATCTTAGAAAGTTTATGAATATAATGATTCTCCTTCATAAGATTTATAAAAGTTGATTAAAAATACCCATAAAAAAATCAAAAAGCCCTCAGCAAAAAGAAAGTCCTGTAATTGGGGCTCAGGAAGGCCATCTAAAAACCACAAAGCTGGTTCAGATATCCAAAAAAATTAATTATTATTGAAAGAAGTCCTTTCAAATTTATGGTTTGGTACAGATATCTCATTGCAATTAATCACCTATCTATGTAAAATGGGAAACATGATACCTAAGGTTGTGACAGGTATACCAGCATCCAAAAACAAGAAAGATTTTATGAAATATGACATCAACACTAATAGGGATGTTAAGACTTATTAGAGTCATTAGGAAAAAAAAAAATATTCTAATTCACTTAAAAAGGACCTTAAAGTAATTAATGATCATATTCTTTAAGGACAAGCACAAGATGTTACTTGAGTATCTACAATATTCAGAAGAAACTACTTATTTGTTTTTGGGAGACAATAGAAATTGTGAAGATAAATTATATCTTGACGATTATATAATGGAAAAGGAATCTAAAATTGGGTTGGAAGTTGTAATCAAGAACCTGTCACCAAAGTTTGTCTACACATACAAATTTATAGTTCAAGAATACTATTAAAATAACAATGTCAATTTTGAAACTTTGGTGGACAATATTTTGAACAATCTGAAAACAAACCAACAAAATCATAAAATGATCTTTGACAGATAATTGATTTATGAATTAACAAAGGATGATATTAATCTGATCAATGAAATTGTATAATTTTATTTAATATTTCAAAGGAATCCAAACCATCCATGGCTGATTTTCACATGTACCAAAATACAAGTATTAGAAAACTAAATTTTTGTTCTAATACATTTAATGATGAAGTAGAAGAGATTAATAGAATGTCATCATGGATTCGATAATTTATAAGTGGGTTTATTGAAATTTTGTAGAACTGTGATAAAATTACTTAAGCCAATAAAACACTTGGCAAATGATATTGCGTTTTGAATAATATTTTATTACATAATTTAATTAATAAATTAGATTGATTTCTGAATAATTTATTAATGAATCCCAAGATAGAAACTTTTAACTTCTATTATCAGACTTATTTCAAAGATATAAGTAAAATCGAATTCATCGAGCATGTTCCTGATGAAATCCTAATTGATTCAAACGATAAAGATAATAACAATAAATTAATAAAGATTGAATAATCGACTTTGGGAATATCAGTCTCTGCAATTGCTCTATTATATCCAATATGTCTTGAATTAGTCAAAAATGAGCATTATGAAGATTAAGCTTCTTGGATGATTTTATTTTTGAATGGTGAAAATTACACTGCATGGGGTATAAGACAAAGATTAAAAAAAGAGGAAGATCTCAAATTAACTGAATTAATTTGCATTAGATTTCCAGGATCATCATGTTCATTCAATTATCGTTAGCAATTCGAATCAACTTATGAAAATGAAACCAGGTTCTTTTTAAAAGCATTTTAAAAGAAAAATAGAAGTTATCATCTATGGACTTACAGAATGAAGTATATTAAAAAGATTTCGTAAGAAGATCATACCATCTATGAAAAGGAATGCGATTTAATGAAGAACTTGGCAGAAAAAGATGTTCATAATTTTAGTATTTTTCATCATTTGATGATATGCTCAAAGTAATGCGGGATGGAGTTGATGAAATGGGCTTTGGAATTAAGGGATTCTTTCTCTTTGATGTATTAAGGATAAGTAAAGGATTGCGAAATCGATTTTAAGGCTCTTCAAAGTTTGAATTAGTTTATTAAACATTTATAATGACTGAAAAGTACTTATTTATTGTTTGCCAAATATTATGTATATGATATATATATAGTTTTTAATTTAAATATATTTATAATATAATGAGGCTCATTGTATAGCAATATTATGGTTTTGGCTAGAAGAAAACGTTTAAGATAGAAATCAATGATGATGAGACCTCAGATTAACTGATTACAGTAATCTCATCCAAAGTGGGACGTTAAGTATAGGATTTAGTAATAAAGTGCAAAAGGGATTAATATTCTGTAAAAATTGCATAATATTTTAGATAAAAATAATAGAGGGTTGGCCCATAGAATTTTATGAATTGCAAGAAAACCAGAATATTTTTGTTGAAGTCAGGGAAAATGAGTTGGATACAAAATAAAAAGAATAGAAGAGACAGACTGAAAAATACCTGAATAAATTATTCATAAACTAAAGAGAAAAGCCTTAAAAATTATCAGCAGTATCAGAAACAAGCGAAAATTCAGATGACGAGGCTAATTCATCTTCTAAGTAGAAATCATCAAATACCAATGTTGATCCAATATAATCTGATTTAGATGATAAAATATTTCAAACAGTAAAAAGTGGAAATTTAGATATGTTAAAATAACTTTGTTAAAAAATAAACACTTCGTAATTAAATCAAGCAGCATTTGGTGGATGGAATCCAATTCATTTTGCAACTTTTTTAGAGTATAAATTAATTGTAGAATTTTTAATTTCTAAAGAAATTGACATAAACAAAGTTACAGATGAAGGATGGACTCCATTATAGATAGCAGTGCATCGTCATAATGTTGAGATTGTGAAGGTAATACTGAATCATCCTTAAGTTGATGTGAATTTTATAACAGACAAGGGAATTGCAATAAGTTTGGCATGCAAATCGAATCAAATAAAAATCATCGAACTGTTAATTTAAAGAAATGCTGATTTGAGATTATAAGACAAAACAGAGAGAACAGCCTATGATTATTGTAATCAGGCTACCAAGATAGCGATTGAATAAATGAAGAAAAGTAATCAAATGAAAGATCAATTAAAAAATGCGGATGATTTTATTCCTCCTCGGCCACCAGTTGCCAAAGGGTTCATCTATAAAACAGGTTAAATGTTGGTCACCTTAAATGAGAGGTTTTTTGTATTAAATCCAGATGAGGGAACTTTCATAAGGTTTAAGAATATATAAGATTACCCTCTAAAACCATTGTAACTATAATGAAATTAATAGTTTTAAGAGAAATCATTCCTCTTAGAAGTGTTAGGAGTGTGCAAATGGCTCAGAAAGGTTTAATTTCGAAATCAGGATATCACTATTTCGAATTGCTATATTCCGCTAGAATTTTATTAGCTTGTAAACATGATCACATAGCAAAGAAATGGGTAGAATATATCTATAAGGCGACTGTATATCACCAATATATAGAGGAAAAAATAAAAGAGTAATAATTATGATTATCAAAGTGGAACCCTCGATCCAAATTTAATCGATAAAAACGCTGAGGTTTTTATTGAAGACTCAAATACAAAGGCTCCTTCTTCTGATCCTCCTCCAAAACAGTTATCACCAGAACAATCTATCTCCTTACCTAGAGATGAAGCATCTATAATTTAAAATCGTCTATCAAATCCAGAACCTGCTATTAGATACAGCCAAAGTCCTCCTAGGAATTCAGATATTGAATAAGCAAAGCCAATTTCTCAATCTTTACCATAACCATAATCATCAATTATGGAGAGTTAAAATGAATTACTTAAAGATAGCAAAGTGAATTTCGATTCATTTGAGGTCATCAAAGAGTTGGGATCAGGAGCATTTGGAAAAGTGTTTTTAGTTAAACATAAAGCAGATGGTGATGTATTTGCTATGAAAGCACTTAAGAAAAAGACATTAATCTTAAAAAAGTAAATCAAGTATGCTATTACTGAAGCCAATGTATTAAAGATGTGTCAACATCCATTTATTCTAAAATTACATTTTGCATTCTAAGTATAATTTTATTTTTAATTTATCAAATCAGACTCCAAATTACTTATACTTGGTTTTAGATTATTGTCAAGGAGGTGATCTATCCTATCACATAGCTAATTAAGGGAAATTCTCAGAAGAAGCCACTAGATTCTATGCTGCAGAAATCCTCTTGGCTATTGAATATCTACACACTAAAGATATAATCTACAGAGACATGAAACCAGAAAATATATTATTGGACATCCAAGGACATGTCAAATTAGCAGATTTTGGATTATCAAAAGAAGGAGTTACTGATCAAGATAAAGCAAAGAGTTTTTGTGGGTCTCCTGCATACTTATCACCTGATATTCTAAGTCAAAAAGGTGCAGGTAAGCCTAGTGATATCTATGGAATTGGATGTGTGATGTATGAAATGATGACTGGAGAATCTCCATATTATAATGATGATATACAACAGATGTATAAAAACATACAAAGTGGTACCTTGAAATGGCCAAAGAAAATGTCAATCGAAGCCAAAAACTTACTTACTGTAATAGCATCATATCTAATGTTAGAAAATGTTAGAGAGAGATCCAAATAAGAGAATAGGAACAAAGTCAAAGGATGAAATCAAACAGGATCCCTTTTTCAAAGGAATCGACTGGGATAAAGTGTATAAAAGACAATATAAACCTCCAATCACAGACTTCTCTGATATGCAAGATGATGATGATTAATAAGATTTTGAACCAGATGAATTAGGTTATTATGGAAAAGTTACTATTATTATTATCACTTTAGGCTATCTTTTAGGATTAGGATTACGAATAAGAAAATAATAAGACAAATAGAGTCAAAAACTTTAGTTTTGCCACTAACTCATCATGATATATTATATAATGAATGATTATTGTCATTATTATTTTAAGTATTATATTAATTTAATTTATTAATTGAACACGACATTAAATAATGCAAACCCCTGAATAAATCAAAGTGGAATCGAAAACTTGGAAAACCATCTATCCTCCATATATTGACTCAACATTAACTGCTGCACAAGGTAGAGTTATGAAATCTACAATCTAGGCAGAAGATTAGGAAAAATCAATTGTGTTCCTTATCCCTAATTGATGGAGATATCTTAATGTCTAAGTTCACTTGGACTGAGACATGTGATTGATGTACTCAATTCATTTAATTAAGTAACATGCAGGATTTCCTCGGGATATCTTCAAGTAAGGTAGAATCAAGGTACGTCTTTATGCTGAAGATAAAAAGCCATATAATCCATAAGTTAAATGCAGTATTATTTTACTAAATATCAGAGCATACTCTATTGTAATCCATTGCAAAACTGATTAAATCCATTCCAAACAGAAAGGTTGAAGTTCCTCCTTATATTAATTAAATGGAAATTGAAAAGCAGAACAAGCCTGCTCAAAAAAAGTAAACATCCAATAAAAAAAAGCATAAAAATGGATGAGATTGTGTTCAAAGTTATTATATTTTTAAGAATTTAATTAAATTTATTTTATCGTTATATTTGAACAATAGATGATGAAGAATTAAAATCCAAAACAGAGTAATAAACCAAATCTATGTAAAATTACAAATTATCAAAGCATAGATTATTACCGATCTTTAACATTTGGAAGATATGGACAGACAGGATATTGAGTAATAAAAAATTTTGAAATTATAATTGTCAAGAATAGAAAGTTTGAAAAAAGAGTATTCCAAAAAGGATCAAGAAATTTGTAGGCTAGAACAACAAGTCGAACAATTCAGAATTTATTATGACAAATATGAAAATGTGAAGAAGCTTCTTGAATCAGCTTTGGAATAACTAGAAAAAATTGAAAATTAGAATAAAATGCTTTAAAAAAAATTAAGTGAATTTTAAGATACTTATGCTAAATTAGAATTAAAACATTAATCTCTTTTAGTTGATTTCAATAATGCAATCATGGAAAAGGAAGTCAATTAAATTTCTCAAAATAGTAGTTTAAGATTAGAACTTAATGAACTTAAATCGTAATATAACCAAAAGATATAGCATATGGAAACAGAAATATAGAAGTATAAGTAAACCATCTAAGAGAAAGATGCATAAAATAACAATTTAACATCGTAATTAAACACATTTTCAAAATAAATCCTTTAATACAAATAGTAGGCTAAAAACGTTGATCTCATTTTGAAAAATCATATTGCTTCAACTAAATAACAAAATAATTCTTATCCGTAATCAGTGTGTGAAACAGAAATTTATAAGGAAGATTAAAATTTAAAAATATTATGCTCTTAATTAACCTAGGACTATGATGAAGCTGTTAAAAGAATTTAATAATTTGAAAGGTAACTAACTGAGTATAGAACAGAAAATCTAGAATTAAAGAAATATATTCAATACCTAACCGATAAATGAATATAATTAATTAGTCTTTAAGCTTAATATATAATAAGTATATTATTTAATCAATATATAATATTACATGCATTATTTGAAATTCGGGGATGCTTTGATGATATGTTTTTTGCTGACTGCCGTTTTGACTTTTAGCACTAAATCATAAAATTCACTCTTTTATTTATATTTTTGATCTTATTAATTAATCTCATTATATGTCTTTCATATAATGACTAGCTTTAGAACTTTCAAAGTATGTCTATTCCTTAAGTAACTACTTTAATATTCTCACCGTCTATTTATCTTCCTGACTATTATCTATATATTAGGCCAAATTTATAATGATTTACAATTTCAATATTAATCTTGAAATTTCGTTATTTAAATAGTGAAGGTTATATTAATTGTACTGTTACTTTCTTTTTGAATCAAGAGAAGTTACTACAATTTATAGATATTTTAAATAAATTGTAATATGAATAACCATGCTGTTATAATATCAAACTGCTCTTGATATTCTTAAATTTTTGATTATTAATAATATTAAATAGTAATATATAGAGTTAATTTATTAAATCTACACCAATTACATAAGGGAATAGTCAAAATAATCAAAACTATTTTTTTCATTTTGTGTTGTTTCAGGTCTGTTTAGGACTTTGTATATAAGAATAAGGGGAAACAGATTTAGATGAAATAATTTAATATTTAATGCTTTGATTTATCAAATTATAGATATTGGATGCCTGTATAATGAAATTTGATGCCTAATAGGATAAATATTCTAGTTATAAATTCAATATAAACGAAAATCCATCAAAAATTTAGGTTTCTCTTGTTCATATGATTATCTGATTGAATTTGATATAATAAGTAGGGTTATATCCTTCGTCCTCAAAATGAACTGATTTACAAAAGTGAGTAAAGGATGCTCTTTTTCCTAGATGATGTTCTAAGAGAATTGATTTTGGATAACTATCTTCAGAAAAAGATCTTCTTTTTGTTGAGCTAGATTTAAATTAAGTACTTTTTGTATATTTCAATTGCTAGCAATGTTAATAAATATTTTTGCATTGATGTTTCTTTTATTTATTATGTTTTGTAGTATTAGTTTATTTATCTATAAAAAATTTTCGATTAGGATTTTTATGTATATGAGCTGCCTCTAAAATTTAATAATTTTTGATTATTTAATTAAAGCATTAATCATCTTCATCTTTCAATATCGGCTTTATATAATTCATAACTACGTTTTATTCTCGATTATCACAATTATGCTATGAATATTTGCGATGGTCACTCTTGATTTATGAGAGTGTTACATCTTAAGGACTGTCAGTTTGGCTAGTAGATAAGCAATTAAATGAAGAACCCATTTCTGTAAATTATTGAATTATTTAGAATTTTTTAGAATTTATATGAATTATCTAAGTGGATTAATGGAGTGATCGAATATCTTAAATAAAGATATAATATTCTTATAAATATATAAAATTTGTTAATTTAAATTGTTTTTGAATTCCTAAGCCAAAAAAATAGTTAAATATATCAGATTGGAATACTGAATAAAACATATATCATAATAATTGAAATGAAAAAGAATTATAATATATGAGTCACTTCTGATTAAATTATTGAGACAAACGCAATTATTTAACTAGAAGATTAATTTTTACTATCAAACGAATTATCAAAATGCATATCTACCATAACTATATTGATATCTACTTTCCTTTTTAGACATTTGATATTAATATTTATTTAGTTTAATGGAAATTTCATCTTAGTGAGTGTCTCCCATTTTCTCCCGCTCTAATATTTAGGTGATATTTACTTATGCAGCATTTGTGTATTTTAAATAGTTTAAGTATTTGAATTTCGTTATAATTCAAGTTAATGTTATATATTAATTATTATATTAACAATACATATGTTGACTAAATTGCTCTTAAAAGCAAGACAAGCTTCCTTTTGTGGTATGATCAATAACTGAAACTATAGTTTACATCAAGAATTCTGTCAACTATCATGTAGCCAATAGCTAAGATCCTAATAGCAAATTCGCGAATCCTTAGTTCAATTCAAGCATTCTTGATTTCGATAAGGATTAAGAGAATAACGTGTAAATGCATTATTACTAAGGTATTAATCTATTATTTTAACAATTAGGTAAATTCATGCCTGATGAATTGGATTGGACTGATGTTTGGGAAACTGCATATTAGAATTTTACTTAACCAGAATATTTATATCACTTTTGGTTTTGTGGTGTATTGTATTGTTTTGAACCTGAATGGACAATTAATTATCCTTATGAAAAAGGACCACTCTCACCTCTTTTTAGAGGAGAACATGCCTTAAGAAGATATCCAACAGGAGAAGAAAGGTATATTACTATATAATGAAATAGATGTATTGCTTGCAAATTGTGTTAAAGTGCTTGTCCAGCCAGAGCAATTACAATAGAAACGGAGCCTAGGCCAGATAATTCCAGGTAAACTAATATTTTGATATCTTTTTAGACGTACAGTACGTTATGATATTGATATGACTAAATGTATTTATTGTGGATTTTGTTAGGAAGCTTGTCCTGTCGATGCAATCGTTGAAGTATTATATATCATTAATACCAAGGGACCTAATTACGAATACACAACTTATCAACATGAGGATTTATTTTATGATAAGTTTAAGCTTCTTGAAAATGGTGATAAATGGGAACCTTAAATTGCTAGAAATATTGAATATTTAATAACAAGAAAATATTGATTTATTATTTTCAAATATAAAGAAAATTATATTGAATAAGATCATATTTAATACTATTACCAATTATAGGAGAAGATTAACAAAATCTTCTACTTAATTAATTAAAATATAAATATTTGGATATTTTTTGTTAATGTGTATTATAGTTTGAGTATATATATTTTTATTAATAAGAATCCCTTACTTTCTATCTTAATGAAATAAATCTATATATGAAATATAAATCTTAGTTTAGAAAATCCAATTTCATTAATACAGTTTAGAAAATAATAATCAAATTAGATTGATTTATTAATTTAGTTTAATTTTTCATAAATTTAAAAATAAATATACCAGGATAATTTTGATCAATATTTCTAGAAAGGTTTTTTATATTATTTAAATGTTTGGTTGATATTTGCAATTATTCACATATAAATCCATATGTGTATAAATAAGTTGCATTATTTTGAATCAATAAATGTAATAACACTATACGAGATCTATCATAATACAAATAATAATTCTTATTGATATTAATGTTAATATTATTTATATTATCAAAAATTAAGATTGGAAGATTTAGTGTTGATCCAAGTTTAGTTATGAGAAAAAGAGTGATCATGATTTAGACATTCTAGCTAAATGATTGCAAAAGAAGAAGTCACTGAAAACATTTTGTTAGGAATACTTTAACTAGTATTTCATTGGGAATTAAAATAAGTTTAAATATTAATTAATATAATTAAGTCACATGACATATTATGAAATTATAATAAAAATTAGTTTACATGATCTCATTCATTTATAATAAATGTAAAGAGACTCTCTATTAGAAAGAAAGGAAACCTTATAATAATTGAATAATGCAAAATTCGGATGGTTTCACATTAAAGCCTGTTTGGTATCTGGAATAGGATTTTTTACAGACGCATATGATTTGTTCATAATTCAATTAGCAGTTATAATGATCGGAATGGTTTATTACCACGATGAAGTGCGTGATGGTGATACCGTAATAAAGAAGGCAGATAAGCTCTACCCTGTATCTGAGACATTACTTAAACAATCAGCTTTGATTGGTACCTTAATTGGCTAATTATTGTTTGGATACTTGGCAGATTTATTGGGTCGAAAGAAGATGTATGGAACCGAACTCTTAATCATTGTATTTACAACTGTTACTTCAGCTTTGGCAGCTAATACTGCTGCTCCAAACGGATTGACAATAGTAGGAATGCTAATAATTTGGAGATTCCTTTTAGGAATTGGAATAGGAGGAGATTATCCATTGTCAGCTATAATAACATCAGAATTTGCAAATACAAAAAATAGAGGTGCTATGATAGCAGCTGTATTTGCAATGTAAGGTTTCGGTATACTGACAGGAAGCTTAGTTTCATTATTGGTTCTGTTCTCTTTTAGTAATACTTTGAATAATTCTGATCCTCTCAATTATTTATAGATTGATCATGTATGGAGAATCATAGTTGCTTTTGGAGCAGTTCCTGGACTTGTAGCAATATATTTCAGAATGACAATACCTGAAACACCAAGGTTTACAATGGACATAAAAGGGGATGTTGGAAAGGCCAAAAAGAATACTTAATAAGTTTTGAAAAATAACAGTAACGATATTTCAGAGGATGGAACTAGTTTGGATGATTCCAATTAGAAGATACAGAAACCATCATTTTACGAATTAAAGAGATATTTATCAAAGTGGAGAAATGGAAAGATTCTATTGGGAACAGCCATGGCTTGGTTTGCTTTAGATGTTGGATTTTATGGTATTAACCTTAATTAAACTACTATTTTGAAGTAAATGGGCTTTGGAAGTGGATCAGACCTAAGTTAATATGAAATCCTTAAACAAGCCATTTATGGAAATCTCATCACTTCAGCTTTGGGAACTGTTCCAGGATATTGGTTGACTGTACTTTTCGTTGATAGATGGGGAAGAAAAAAGATATAAATAATGGGATTTGTTGCTCTCACTATTTTGTTCACAGTAATGGGGTTATGCAAAGATATATTAGGCCATTATTTATTCATAGCACTTTATACATTAGCCAATTTGTTTAATAATTTTGGTCCAAATGCTACAACATTCATCATTCCTGGAGAAGTCTTTCCAACTAGATATAGATCAACTTGTCATGGAATTTCAGCTGCTTCAGGGAAATTAGGAGCTATAATTTCGTAAGTTTGGTTTCTTGGTTTGGGAGCTGATAATTTCTAAGCAATAATGTTAGTGTTTGCAGTCTTTATGGCTATTGGATTAGCATTTACTTTTTTGATTCCTGAAACAAAAGGCAAGACTTTGGAAGAGATTTGTGAAGTTCAATTGAAAAGTAGTTAGATTCAATGTGTATGATTTTATTAGTGTTAATTAATTATTTATACATACTAAACATGCAAACTTTATTTCTGTATTCTAGAATTAATCTAAATTAAGATAGTAGAGCTTAAAAGATGGCTAAATCCTTATTCCAGTATTTTATGAAAAATAAATTAAATAACTGATAAATAGTATTTTATTATATTTTATTTTGAGATAAATGTAAATTCAAAAGTCCAGTTTCTCAACACATTTTCATCAAATATCTCCTCCTTTCTTAATGACAAAACGAATAAAATCAGAAGGCTAAGATTTTTTAACTGAATTAGATTTGAATGCTCAAAATTCCATTAAGAAAAGGGTACAGAAAAGCGAAGCTTAAATGACTGAGGCAAATCAAAAATTGATTCCAAGTAAGAACATTTAAGAACATAGAATAAAAAATGAACATTCAAGCAAGAAAGAAGGTTATCAGAACTAAATAACCATCCTTGCCTTATCTCAAGCTTGACAATAAATTATATTATGATAAGTGGTACATCCCTTATGATCAAAGATATATTCCAAAAGTTAATTTAGCTCAAGAATCATATCAAGGTAATTAGTATTATATCATAGATCCATACCATTTTTACAAAAATATGCATTAAGCAGCTGCACAATACAACCCTTTCGAAAAGTAGTTACCTAAAGATCTTGAAAGAAATATTGAATACAAACATCGAGCAGACGTATTAAAGGAAATGTTGAAAGGCTAGAAAATGATTTATGAATTCAGAAAGTAAATCAAATGCTTTTATAAGAAGATCTTTGGAGTCAAATCAATAACGCATTCCATAATTTGTAAAAAAAATAATGGAAGATAAGAAAAATCCACTTTAAAAGTAGTAATGATTGTTAAACTAATCAAAATTTTACATTTTTTGGGATCCCAGTTGGTTTCCATAGTCTTTTCTATAATTGTTATTTATTGGATTACTATTATTGCACCTTTGGAAATCTTGCTTAATTAAATTATTCTAGCAGTTTTGAGTTTGTGATTTTTCCAAATCTTTTTGCAGCTGATATATTCATAACTCTCTAATCAACTGAATTAGAATTTCGATAAGTTTGAGTGAATGAATTCACTTTTGTGCTATATTCAGCAGAATCTTTTCTTTATTAAGTTTTTGATAAACTGCCATTCTAATGATTTTCGTCAGTCCCATATGATGTTTACCTTGCTTCAACAGAATGAGCCTTATTTCTTGTTTAGTTACCGTTGAATTAAGTATTTTCATTCATTTATATTAATTTGGATCCATAAAATATTCCTTTGATGAGATCTTAATTAATAGATAAGATTCCTTATCCATCTTAAATTCCCTGCTTCCATTATCCTTTATAAAATGAGCCATCATGCCAATACATAGTTCCTTGGCCATCTCTTAAATCATTCAAGAATTATCCCTCATAACGATTTCCATCAGCCCATATATAAATGCCATATCCCTGTTTCTGATCATTGATATATTCCCCATTATATTAATCAGATAATCCATTGCCTCTCTTCCAAATTCCTTTTCCATGTCTAACCCCATCTTTAAATTCTCCCTTATAAACTGCTCCATTGTTCCAAAAGTACTCCCCAATTCCATTAGGCTTTCCTTTTTAATATTATCCTATATAAGTGTCACCGTTAGTAAATTTTTCAGTTCCTTAACCATCCTTTAAACAATTTTTAAATTCTCCTTCGTAACGATCACCATTAATCCATAAATGCACACCATAACCATCTGGAATTCCCAATTTCCATTCTCCAATATAGGAGTCTCCTTTAGAACCCTTCCAAATTCCAGAACCATGTTTCTTTCCTTAAAACCATTACCCTTCGTAGGTCTCATCATTTTGCCATTAAAATTTACCAGTTCCTTCAGGTTTTCCATTCGAATACTACCCAATGTAGAAGGAGCCATTAAAAAATAACTCTATGCCTCTTCCGTTCTTTTAGTTATCAGTAAAAACCCCTTCAAAGATGCTTTTCTGGTTTTTATAGTGAATTCCAATTCCATTCTTCTAACCATCGATTACAATCCCATAAAAGAATTATTGTTTATCAAATATGCTTGTGAAATTGGGATTTTCGATCATTTCCTCGTAATTCTCAATAATTTGAGGCTGGCTGAATAGTGTGGCTAATCTACCTTATAATTTTGAATGAATTATTGGGCTTCATCTTCTGTTATAGGGAATGGACAATTGTGTAAGTGTTCAAGAACTGAGTTAACAGACAAATGGGTTTATTAACAAAATGAGAGCCTAGTAGATGTAAACTAATCTGTTTAATTATTCATACTTAAAATAAATTATTAAATTAAATTGAAAGACAATGCAATCTAATTGATAGGTGGGATATCAAAATCATTTATAAACTACATTTATGAGCAATTTAAAATTTATAAAATGCTCTTACTTATATAGAAAATTGGAAAATTAAGGCCAAAGATTATTGAATGTAAAACAGATTATGCAAATATAAATATAAAATAGGTAAGAATAGAAAAATTGGAATATCCAGAAGATATCCCTTCATTTGTTATTTATTCTATTCAATCTTAGTTATTTCTAATAAATTTATAAATTCAATAGGTGATTTTATGGCAATTGAAATTGAAGTAAATAAAAATCCTGAACGAGGTCTATAAATAATAACCAAAAAATGGTTATGTGTAATATATACTGTATATATTTCAAATATGAATCTATTGAATTGCAACTTCTATAAGAATTTGATTTAAATTGTTTTATTGAAGTTTGGGGAGAATAATGAAATTAATTTGCAATAATTTTAAATTAATATGCATAAAACACCAAAAAATGTGAAAAATGATATCATTACTTTTGTCGCTTAAAAAATAACAGAGTGATTTACTTGAATTAATTAGTGAATTCTGGATAATTCACTTTATGGTACAATTACTGGCTTTAATTTTTTATCCTAAGAAATTTGATATAGGTTTACTTTTTGATTCATCACACTTGAAAATTAAAAGTGTTATAATAAGGCTTGACGACCTTGGATTCTGGCATACCTCAATTCGCATATCTAAATAAATGAAACGTAATTTACCTTTTCACTATTGAAGTGTGGCCAACCATTGTCATGAAAGTCCTTGTAAAATTACACAATGTAAAGTGGATGGATAAAATTAATGAATGCATAACCCATGTTACATTAGTTCTAAATTTAGTATTTGGTTGTATTTACCTTGAAATCTATGGGGAGATACAAGAAATCAAATAAATCATGATGTTTAAGGTCAATCAAATCTTACAACATTTGGATTGTGTACTTGTTTGGTATGTTCTTGATCATAATTGTTGTTCTCTCATCGGAATAATTAATGATATCCTCGAGTCTGACAACAAAATAATGAGATTCTTCGTCTGAAATGGTCTTTCTTTTTCTCCTCTCTGTTTCTGAGCCACTAGTCAACAAGGATTGACGAGATGAGCCTAATTATAGACAAGGTTCATTGGATATCTCAGTGGAAAGATTCGAGCCCACTTTCTAATCAAAAGATTTATTATTAAAGACTTGGGAGATCTATTCCATTATTTAATCAGATGCTAGACTATTTTCTTTCTTGTAGAGAATTACTTTAGGTTCTAGAGAGTTAAACTTAAATATTTAATTTACCTGCGAACATTTTAATAGCTCTATCAATGGTATCGCTATTTGACTTGCTTTCTTAGCTCTCTTTGCTTTCATTCGACATGTTGTTGGTAACTTTCTCAATTTCATCAAATAATTCTTATGAACTGTGGTCTTTTTATTTTGATAAGATTTCATTTAAATCTCTATGATTTCTAATACATTGCAAGATCTGTTCCTAATTTAAACGTATCTGCTTGTCCATTAAAATATTAAATTTTATTTTTTTTAGTGTAATTCTTATAACAGTCCTCAAATGGTAATGCAGTATTAATATTTTTGAGTTATCCTCCAAACAGAGTGTAGGCACATCCAATAATCAATCCAAGATACAGAAAATGACAAAAAGTAATTTTAAAGGAGATCTTTCATAATCAGACATGATAGTGTTGACAGAGTCTGAATTGAAGAGAATTAAGGTATTTTGAAATAATTCAAAATAGAATCTATCAGTTGTGACAACAAAAGAGGAGTAAATACAACACAAAAAGTTGATGGAAGAATAGAAAGAGAAATAGTTAGCAGCGGCCTAAGCAAAAAAGCAGAGAATGTTATAGATTGAAGAGGAGAAGAAGAAATCTATTCCATTGAGTTAACAAGAACAGGAAGATAAATTTGCCAAGGATTCCTTGATATCAAGAGTTTTATAATATATTTATGTCATTAGGCATAGGAAATAATAAATGAACAAATTGATGATGTCAAAGAGATGAATAAAATGGTCATGTATGCTAAATGCGTTACAATCAGAGATAAATAATTGTAAGAAAAAAAAGAGTTATATGATCAGTACAAAATGCAAGAAAAACGCAAGGACTTGATGATGGAAATAGAGAGACTTAGAGCAATCAAATATCATGAGGAAAAGGATTAGAAGTAAAAACAATAATTAATACATGGACATGAAATCATCATTGAATAAATTAAAGAAAGAGAATTGATAAGATTGAAAGAAAAGGAAGAACAAGAAAGAGAAGGACAGATTATGCTTAAATAAATCAAACAATTATAATAGGAAGAAGCACACAAAGCTTAACTTAGAAAGACTCATCAAGCCAAGGTTCAAGATGAGATTCTAGAGGCCAATCATAAAGCTATTTTGATTAAGGAAAAAAGAATACAAGAAGAGAGGGATGAAGAGGATAAAATATTATAATATAATCTACAAAAGGCTTAAAAGGAAGCTGAGTTCTTAGAAGAGTAGAAGAGAATTAAAGAAGAGAAGGAAAGAGAAGTGCAGAGATTGAGAGAAATGCAAGAGAAGGCTCAAGATAGAGCAGCTGAATTAGACCTCTTAAGAGCCAAAAGGGCTATGGAATAAAATGAAAGGTAGGCAAGAGAGAAAGAAAGAAAAGAGTAAGAGTAAAAGATGAAATTGAATTATGAAGTCATGGAAGCCAGAAAACTATAATAAAGAGAGAAGCTTGAGAGATATTAAGAATAAGTAGATAATTTATAATATTTGAATAGGCTAAATTAGAAAGAGATGAATTCCAAAAGGTTATTTAGAAATAAAAATAAGAAAGAGAAAATGAGATTAAAATCTTTTAAGATAAGGAAGCATTAAGAAAGAAACATGCTGAAGAACTTAGAAAATAGATCATTTAGAACGAAGAGAGAAAGAAGTAGGAGGAAAGAGATAAGTATACTTATAATATATTTCTAAAGACTTGAAGAAGGAAAGAAAATCAAGGATAGGTTGAATTAAGAAAAAAGACTATTAGAGAGCATTAAAGATACTAAACTCAAGGATCTTAACGAAAAATCCATCCCAGATAAGTATAAAGCCGAATTAGCTAAAAAGAAAATCGTTATAAATATCTGATCCTTTATATTTGCTAATTTATATATAGATTTATTAAATTAAAATAAGGATCAATAAATACATTTGGATATCATTTAATCATATTGATATCTAATGGTTATTAATTCAAAATGAGTTACGAAGCTATTAAGTAATAAAGATTATACCTAGAATTTTATTGACAACCAAATAATTATTGGGTTTAAGATTTCATATATTTATCAATACGATATTATTACATTGATAGATTATTAAACAACTCTAAAATACTACTAAAATTAATGTGGAACAATACTTAGGATTCTTTGAGGTATAAAATAAGTAAACTATTTTAAAATTCTTATGAGAAATGAATTCTATTGCCATTAATGGATATTAAATGGAAATCAATTATTCATTTGTTTAATTAAACAGATTTGTTCAAGACTTTAGAATATGTGATTTAAATAAAATTTATTCGAATGTTATCAAAAATAAGTAGTATTTCAACAAAAGAAATCTTTTGGAAATTATCTGATGCTTAATCTGGGCGCTCTAGCTTTTGTTGGCATAATTTGTCTAGCTGTTCGAGTTTATTCAAAGTGATGCTTTAATTCAACTGTAGAAAGCAATAACAAATCTAAGAGGTTCTAGTTTTCAAATTTTTAATTTTTATTTTATCTTTAAACCGTTCCTCTTACAGAATGCAAATGATCTTCTCTATCGCATTCTTCAGTTTTAACTCTTCTAACTGCTGCATTTTTTTGTAATTTTAACATAATTTCCTATGATTCCTGTAGAACATTTTTTTTAGGGCTTTAGACACAATTTTCTACTGCTGCTTCTGTTTTTTATCTTCTCGAGATTACTTAAGAATCATTGCCCATTTCTTAAAGTCTTTTTTTTTGTTTGATTTATTAAGAATGAAACGAATTGTATTTAAGCTAAGGTTTTTCTCTACTGGGACTTGAGGAGGATGCTTGTCGTTGTGAGTTAATTTTCGGATTGCTTTTAATTCTGTATGATGGAGATTCTTTTTATTTTGGAATGTTTTTTTCAGGAGTTCTAACTTTCTATAAATATTAAGCCACCGAAGGTAACACGTTGCCTTTTTGCGACGGTCTTTAAAATCTGGACGTGTGTAAATAGAAAGGCTATCTATTGAACATCTTAATTAGAAATTTAATAAATATAGAAATCCAACGCTAGGCTGGAAATAATATTAATAAATCATTCATTGATCTAAATCTCTGTTTATAAAAATTCCATTTATACTCACTAGATGTTACTAGCAATTATAGATTATCGATAAAATTACTCTTATATTTACAAATTATCCAATGTATTTCTATACTGGTATTATTATTAAACATACAAAATGTAATCGCTCTGATCTATTCTATCGGGATATTCAGAAGAAAAATAAATATATTCTAATTATAATGGTGGATTTGACATCAAACCAAAATAATATCATATATAAATAGGTTTTTTTAATAAAACTTCTAAAATTTTAAATTTATGGAAAGATTATCACATTTTATTAAGTTACATTAAATATATTCCATTTAATGGAAAATTCGGTAGTCCATTTGCATAAAAACAATAATCCATACATTTTGGTTTAGTTTCAACAATTTACAAAAGTCCTTTATTGTAATTATTTTGCGAATTTCAAGTTATTAATCTCTAATTTCATAAATTTATACTAATATTGTATCCAAAATTTATGATATCCTCTAAAAATACTCCTCTTGTACAAAAATCTTTGAGATGGAAATGCATACTCAAAATATTTATCATTTATTAAATGCTCTAAGATTTAATCTATAGTCTAATTCTTGATATTATTTTTTTACATATTTTTAGCCAAAGTTATTCATTTTAATATTATCAACTCTTGAAAATCTAAATAAATAAATGAATTTCATCTATTTTTGATTTATAATATCAAAAAGAATATATCTTTTATTCAAGTTAATAAACTTTTATAACCTCTATTATAAAAATTATTATCATTTTTATAAAAAGTAGACTTATCAAACTGAATAATGTAGGTTAGAAGATTAGTATATAACTTTAAGATCAAATAATTTTATTCAATATCTTTGAAGTTACTTATTCATTATCATTCAATGACAAGAAAATACGGAAGAACATATTGGATAGGAACTTTAGAATCATGATATCGATAAAGAATGAATAGATCTCATAAATAGATTCGTTTAAATTATAATTAGATTTATAAATGGAATGTTCTTAGTATTATGTAATAAATAATAGAATAAGAGTTTGCTCCTAGAATTATAATACCACTTTCTTACTTTTAATAAAATTTAAATTAAAAATTTAAACAGATTTATTTTAATTTTTAAAACAATAGAAAAGAACAAGTAAAAAAAAATTATATGATCAATCCTTACTTCCTTTTCTTGTTTGAGGTATATTTTTGAACAAGGGGATTGCGATTTTTGGAGTTTCATGAATGATTTGATAATTGGCAGAATCTTTTATTTAATCAGCGTAAATTTTTTCAGCCAAATATCTAGAAGGTATAATATATCAATTGAATTTACACATGTAAGCAGCTTGTTTTTTATTGCAATTAAGAGGGCTATTTTTTGTCGTATTAAATTAAATTCAAATAAACTTATTTTTAAACATTTCTTAAGATTTATTATTTCAACTGAATATCCCTAAATTTATTGACTATTGCTTTTACCTAAGTATTTAATGAACGTTGCAAATAAAAGTTTCGACTTTTGAATTCTCCAAATTTTTTGTTTAATTTCTCATCGGCTTGACTAATTTCTCTGCTTAGTTTTTATTGAAGGAGACTATTTCTGATACATTTTGATCTGCACTCTACGGCATTCTGAAATTTATTTATCCAATTTCTATATATAATGATCATGTCCTACTTCTCCGCGCTTTAGCATTTTTCATGAATTTTGCAGTTCTATTCCTCTAAGCTTTATTGTGGCAATCTGGAATATAATTATTAAAGAAATACAATTATTAATATCTTAAATGAGATGAAAAAAGCTTTAGACAAATTCGAAATGTTCAGAATCGCTTTCAGATTCAGATCTCATATTATATAAATTAATTTAATTAAATAGTTCGCAATTTCATATATTATTATTCAATGATAATTTTTATATCTAACTATTTTGATTGCTATAACTTATTTGTATATAGAGAAAATAGATACCAATTAATTTTAATCACAGAATTATTTATAATTAAAATAATTGTTTGTGAATTAATTCTTCAATAACCCTTTTGTGTAATTCTGTTGATAATAATATTATATTATTTTCTTTTATACAAAATGTAATAAATATTAAGAATCAATAATTTTTAATTTAATGAATTACACAAGGGGTACACTTATCATTTCATTCTAATTGAAAAATTTTCAATACCTTCTAAGTTCTATAAATGAGTTCTAATTGCATTTAATTGGATTAGATTTTAGAGTATTGAGAGATTTTTCATTTTAATGGAATAAATGCATATTTTATAACTAATTCAAAGTCATTCGATTTATCAAACCAATATTCTTTCTTTCTATTGATTCTAAAAAGACAGTTCTTTTTTATAATACTGAAAAATAGATATTCATCTAGCTTTATTTATGAATTCAAATTCATATGTCCAATTATCAAAATTTTGGTTGCTAAACTAATTGGGTCATTATAAAATTTAAGCAAAAGGAAGGAAGAACTTAAAAGCCAAGTTTATGAAGATGAGAATGAGAGATATAGAATAGAGAAAGAAGTAGACCATCTCAGAAGCTGAACATACAAATAATAATATGATCACACATCATACAACTCAATTAATTTAAACTCTCTTCAACTTCAATTAAGCATCAATTTTTATAATTATTTATGCATCTCTATATCATTTAAGTATTGATGTCCTATATTTTCTATGATTTTATAAAGCAAACATTTGTGATTGACATTTTACTTAGAAGTAAGTCATTCTTAATATAGAACTAATTCTCAACTATTGAATATCAAATTTTGATTAAAATTCTATATACTTTTCTGATTGTGAAATTTCGTAATTAAATTAATAAAATGAGTTCACCTGATAAATCACCATTATTCAAGTTTATTATCATTGGAGATGCAGGTATTTATCAACATTCAAACTTTCTAAGGAGTTGGAAAGTCTTGCTTATTGATGAGATATATGAAGGATGATTTTACAACTGAATACAATGTGACTATAGGAGTGGAATTCCTATCAAAAGTTGTGAATATCAACGAGGATACAAAAGTGAAACTATAAATCTGGGATACTGCTGGTCAAGAGTCGTTTAGATCAGTAGTCAGATCATTTTATCGAAAAGTGGCTGCAGTTTTCTTAGTCTACAGCATCACAAAGTATTAAATTCATATTGAAATTTAATAGTAAACAATCCCTTGAACGACTCGATTCGTGGTTAAAGGAGGCAAAAGATCACTCTTCTGCATCGATTATCACAGTTTTAGTTGGTGCTTAAAATGATAGAGAATCAGAGTATTTTATTGTATTAGCAATAGACGAGAAGTATCTTATGAGGAAGGTAAATATTGGATGGAAACAAATGGGCTTAATCTATTTTTTGAAACCTCCTCAAAAACAAGAGAAAATGTGGATGAGGTTAATATTATTAATCTATAATGAGGCATTCGCTGAAACAGCTAAATTAGTTTTCTTGAATCACATAAATGGTGGTGCCAATAATGAAGCCAAATTGCCTTCTCTCAATTAAACTGATTTAAGTGTAAAGAAGCTTCATCAACCTTTAGAAAAATAGGATAAAAAAATAGATGAAAACAAAAGTTGCTGTTGATGTATATAATAATATTATTCTATATGCAATTTTGGTAAATAATTAATAATGTTATATATTTTACAATTCATACAAAATTTGTTAAGAAGATGTTTCACTTTAAATAAATTTTGCAATTCTACATTTATCTACATGTAATTTAAACCTTTAATATATAGTATATTATACTCATTCTTTAGGTAAAATGTTAAATTACAAATTATGCCAATTTCTACACCTTCTTAATCATTTAACTCTTATATAATGCAATATAAATAGATAAAATATATTAATCTAAAAATAAATACCCAATATATTATAATGTAATAAATATAGTTAGAGATTATTTAAAATCTCATCTGATATATGATTAATATTTATTATGAATCTTTCTGTTAAAAAATATATATCAATTCACATTTTAGAAGAAGAACGACCAATAACTAAATTTTAGTATAGTATGCAAGGTTAATCATCAGAATCTGCCTCATAATTATCTTCATCTTTATATTAAAAGTTTTCACATGACTTAACTCTCAAATCACTAAACTATTTTTATGTGTTTAAGTTGATGTGACTACCTCCATAGTGATTAACTTTGGAAGTATTAAATGATTTAATAGTTCCAGCCGGACTTTGTGCATCATTTAAGACGATGCTGTTCTTCGGAACTTCTAAATATATGATATGATTTCGACTATTATTTAACCTACCATTAATAAATTTGGTTTCTTATTAAGCAATTTTGTTCATGGAATTAATGACTTCTTATTGTTTATCATCCTGTAGATCATCAAATTAATTATCATTTTCAATCATGTCAATGGAAACACTCATTTTATCAATATTGGTTTCTAATAAGGACTCCCAATCCATTTTGGCATCAGTAGTCAACTCATCCTATAATAATTTAGTCAAGCCCATGTAATCAGGTGTTTGATTGAATTCATAAGACTTGGCAATTTACAACATTTTCATTAAGCACTATAAATTTAAAGAAATTATACTTTAGGAATTTTGTCAGAATATTTCTCCAATTCGTTATTCTACTTCAGTACCAGTATCTGCTTGTATTTTTCTTCTTTCGAAGCCACCTGGATATTCTACCAAGGTAATTCACCAAGATGAAAGTAGATTAGTACATATGCGATGGCTTCAATATCGTCTCTTCTACTCTACTCATTACCTTTTTCAAATAAGAAACAAACCTTATAAAGCATTAATGCTGGCATATCTGGCTGTTCCAATCAAGCCTTTGTTATTTACAAATGGGATGTGTTTGCCTCCAGTGTCTCTGAAATACTTAGCAAGGCCAAAATCAATAGCCATAATTTAAGTAGCATCTTGTCTGCTGATAGTAAAATTTTCTGGCTTTATATCACGATGTATGAGATTCTTCTCATGAAAGGCTTACCTAACTATATCAATCAAGATACATACAATCTTTCGATGATCTAAATACCTATTCTCAATGTCGTATGAATTGAGAATCTATTGCCACATTTCCTTAGTAATTATTCCAAATTCAACCCCAAGTAGGTTTCCATAAAGAAATTATAGTTTTCATCCCTTCCATAAAACTTGATTTGTGGAAAACCTTTTTATAGCTTAATAGTAAATCTAACCTTTCAATCCATTAACTTCTGACAGAACCTTAATTTCTCTGATTAGTAGACTGACTCCTTTTTGGGAATCGTCTCGTTTTTCAAATTTTGCTGCTACTAAATCTCCATTTTTTAAATACTAAGACTTAAACACCATTCCGAATGAACCTGCACCTATCTTCTCTAATAATTTATATTTGCCTGCAATAACCATTCCTGCAGTTAATTTCTTCTATTTCCACCCCATTGCTTCATCCATTTATTAAAAATTATATTATTATCATATTCATCAATCAAAGTCATCAATATCCTACTTTTAAATCTCTATTTTCTTGCCAGTTTGTCTTTATTTCTTCTTCTTTCTAGTATCTTTCGAAACTCTATCAATATAGGATCCTGCTTTAAAGACATCAAAAATCTTCATATGCATAATTTTATTAATGTTATTGGTATAGACGAAGAGTCTCAACAATACATACTCCTTTTGAATGTCCGTCAGATCTAAAAATAATTAATCCAAACAATAAAACAAATCCTTCGGTTTCATGAATCCATGTTATTGTTTATTCAATAAATCGAATTAACTCCTCAAGGCAGTTTCATACTTATTTACAATTACACTCGCTTCTTCCCATAATTGCTTATCCTACTCTTGTGTCAATAAATCATAGCAATCAAGCAGATGTCTAAAAACAGACTTCACAACTGGCAATTTAACTGTAGCTTATGGATCCAAATTAAAAATTTCATCATTTACATCTTCCACAATATATCTGGCAATTATCTTGGCTTCATTAGGATCAGCTATAGTAAAAGGTTCTTAGAGTAATTATTCTTGTAATTATTCCACATTGATAGCATTATTTGTTGCATTTTAAATTAAGATAGCACTAGCTTCACTAACAGTAATTTATTTCAACTACAATCGTAAACTCAATTCCTTTCCCATATCTTAAACTTATTCATATCTGACTCTAGGTGCTTTTGGAAATTTCATTTCTTGCTTATTGTAGACATCATGCAAAATCGTAAAAGTATGATCTCTATTACCCTGTATAATAGGCAAGGATTCAGTCTCTAAAGGTTGAATTTCTGCCAAATAATACTCATTCAGTTCTTTCAATTCATCTCTCATCTACTACACTTATTGATTCAACCCTTAGAGTTCATCAATCAATGCATTTTACTTCTCAATTCATAATTAGTTCTCTCCTGCAAATTTTCTTTCAATTAATTAATTATCTACTCTTACTAACTAATTTGCTAATCCTTCTCTATGATTTCTGCTTTCTTATCATCCATATCAATAACTTCCTTTTTCTTAATTGTTACTTTCTGATTTTATTGTGTCTCTTTTTGTTTCTCTTCAAATTTAATCATTTCCTTTTTTAAATATCGCAGATCTCTTTCCTTCTCCTTCAACTCATTTTTAGTCTAATCTAATCTAATTCCAAATATTATTATGAAATCTTCTTCTCAAGCAAACTTTTTTGAATTGAAAGATTCTCACTTTGCTCTTCCAATAATTTCTTGGTTATTTCCAATTCTTGGATTTCCACCTTGAGATCTTCTACATCATTAGGCATCAAATTCTATTCTTGTTTTAATAATGATGAACATTAGTTCAGACATTTTATTAGCATATTTTACTCTTGAGCTCGAGTGTAATTTGGATTCTTTTATAACTATTTGATTTGGCTTTGTTTCTCTTCAATTTGTGAATTAAGTTAGTTAATTTAGATTTTCAGTTTTATTCCCAACCAACTTTAATTTACTTGTTTTTCATCCTAAGTGATTTTGGATCTTTATTTCTCTTGCTAGATAGTGGAGATGTTAATTTACATCAATCAAACTCACCTGCTATTAGAGATTTCTTTATTCTAATTTTATTTTGGATATGTTTTGGATAGCTTTAATTATTTCTATTGCAAATTTTCCTCTGATAATTTGGAATTCAACTTGAAGGGTTTTGGCGATTGAATATGCTTTGGCAGTCCAGCTGTAGACGGTCTATTCATTAAATATTAATTTATTTCAACTATCTACTATCATAAATATCAATTTTATCATGTACTCAACTTAATATATAAATAATATAATTTGCTTAATGTTTTAACCTAACCAAAGCCAAATCAAATATCACAACCCATTTGGCACAACTTCTGCTATCTACTTCTCCCAACAACAGACGTCCAGAGATAAAGTACACATATAGTCTCACATAGCAAATGTAATCTAGGGATGTTTCAGAAAACAAACAAACTCCTTAATATCCAGCCTCTCAAATAGTCTATGGTCCCACAATGAAAATTGTTCCATCTGCTCAAACCAACATAGCCTTTCGCAAAATATCCAAAGAACTTAATATCACAATCGAAGACCCCAGCAATCAGCAATAATCTTTACGTTAACCCTCTCCTACAGTGAAGAAACAACGTGAATAAATGGAGAAGGATTGGAATAAGTTAATTGACAAATCAAAGACACTCCAAGAAAATCTCGTGTTGCTCAAAAATAGCATTAGTATGAATCTGACAAAAAAGCTACCAGATTAGCGTTTGTCTAAAGATTCTACATCAACTGCAGCTGGTCTTTCTTCCAGATTGAAGTTGTAAAAGGTTAACATTAATTGCAAACTCAATTCACCATTCAAAGTTCAACCCAAATAAGAACTCAGCAAGAGTCTCAGCCAAAACACGTTTACAAATTTAAAATATGCAGCTAATCCAATTAAAAATCCAGTCATCAATAATACAAGCATCATGCCACTTACCAACAATACAAGTGTCAGAAAATCCTAAGATTCATGCACTCTTTAACCAAAAATTACATCTCAATTTTCTTCTTAAAAACAAACTTCTAGTCTGTATTCATCTATTGAATATAAACTAAACCTTAAAATTAGTTCATTTTTGGGAAGAGGCAAATTCAGTGATGTCCATATGGCTATTGACTAGAGATCTGGATTAATCTTTGCCCTCAAAATCATAAAAAAGTAAACAGTCATCGAACACGCAATGCAAGAGCAATTGGTTAGGGAAATTCTCATCCAATCGAAATTATCGCATCCTAACATTGTTAAAATGTATGGATAGACTTATGATGAATAACATATTTATATGATGTTAGAATTTTGCAATAATGGGGAGCTCTTCTAACATCAATACAAGCAGCCTAATAAGAGATTCAATGAGAAGGATTCTAGCACTTTCATAATGCAAATATTATCAGCCATTCAATACATGCATAAACAAGGGTATATGCATAGGGATTTGAAGACTGAAAACATCTTATTGTCTCTCGTATATTTTTACTTATATTTCAGAATTATGTTAAACTTTGCGATTTGGGATGTGTAAGAGAAATTCCATCAAAGGAAGACAGGAGGAATACTTTTTGTGGCACCGTCGATTACATTGCCCCTGAAGTAATTAAGGATTAAGGATATGATGAAAGATGTGATGCCTGGCAAGTGGCTATCCTCGCATATGAGTTGGTTGCTGGCAATACTCCTTTCTCAGAATATCCAAGAGATGACGAATCAATTATGGAAAATATATTAAAGGTACATAACAACATATTTTATAATAGAATAAATTTGATTTGCCTTAATCATTCTCTCCTGCACTTAAAGATTTTGTTAAACGAGGATTGCAACAAAGACCTGAAAACAGGATTACTATTGATTAAATGTTATAACACAAATGGATAGTGGAGTACAATAAAGGAAATGATAAAGAATATATATTTTGATAACTATATTTATATAACTTAGAATATGATTTGGAAGTTTTAATTTTAAGGACGGAGTTATGGAGAGAGTTTTCACTGAAAAATTTGTGGATGTATATTTATAATCTTGAATTCATTATTTACTCCGATTGACAAAAATCATATGCAATTGTATAGGTTATTGTAGTTTATTAGATTGGCTCTGTATATTTTATCAATCAAGACCTGATTGTTATTAAGTTAGACTTCCATTCTCTTTCGTTTAACTCTAATTTAATTTTAGATAATAATACATGATTTTAGAAGGATATTCTTGGTTGGTGAAAAGAATTTTAGGTTCAACAAGAGCTGGCTAATCATATTCTCTTTTCTAATAGAGATCCTTGATTTCATCATACAATCGAAAGAGATCGTCCTCGCATGTTTTGTTTCTGTAGTGCAATGAATTCATTTCCTTAGATGTATCCATCTTAGAAGGTGTGATGGTAGAACGATACTTTGTATCAGGTGTGTTCATTTCAATAGCAGATATGCTGGAGAACTTGCGGAGTTCTTAGGCTATAGCTTCTTATTCTGTTTCTTTGAATTAAGGAGATAATAATTATTCTCTAATTTTTTCTTGCATTTAATTTAATTTAAATTAGAAATAATGGGATTCTTCACTCAGTTTATGAAAAATATGTTCAAAGTGAAAAAATATATATAATTCAATCAATGTTAGTAAATCAACTTATTTGACAACATCTTTAATTGTTTTTGTATTGAAATTCATTGAAATTGTGTTGCTTCCAACTATCAACAAGATGAATTTTATGAATATTCGATCCAGATAATACATTATCTATGAAAGTTACTGAATGTAATTTGTATCCTTTTAGTATTGGATGGCCTTATCTGTCCACTCTCATTCTTTGACTAAGTTTTTTGGAGCTTAAGCGTGTTTGTGAGATACTAGGAATTTCCATTTGTATTAGGTTTGAGTTTGGATTTAAAAAGAAAATAAATATAAAAAAATAAATTTACTTTTAATGATTTAGACAAAGATTTTATGCTAATCTAATTAATTTTGAATGGCTTATAAAATATCTTACTATCTTACCCAATAGAAATACTATCTTAATGAAAAATTCTCCACATCTTAATTAAATGATAATAAAATATTTATATGAGCAAAAAATAACCAAAATAAACCCGCCCCTTATTCATTCCCAAACCAGAAAATGGAGAGTTTCCATTTGACATAAAAAATGCTAATACTAACGATATCAAACCAATTGACTTTTTCAGGATGTATAATTCCTTATAAATGATGGTTGAAAAATTGATTCAAGATTAAGTAAGATTTTATGTGATTCGAGGTTGCACAACAAAAAGTCTAAACTAATATTGATGCTATATTCAGAGTGTTTATTGAAAAGGATTTGAATCCTCCTCCCCCATAGAAACTTGTCGGAAGAAGAAGTTCACCCTACACCTATCAAAAACAGGAGTTTTGGCAGTTGGTTGAACATCTCAACTCCTTAGGCTTCTCATATCGATAAATATCTGAGAGACTCTAAGTGCACTATGTCCAGATATCCACACATCATCGAAATACTGTTGACTATGATGATGATTCTGAATAGGAATCCTCCTAAGTGAAGAAATAAACAAAAGAGAAGTCGAAAAAGGAGTAGATCGTAGACAAATAACCATATCAAATTTGTGATGTCTTTTAGTCAGATGATGAATAAGGATCAAAATGAGAGTTCAATAAAAATCAAATTTTCTTGCTACATATTAATATAAGCTATAAAATAAAGTCAAATCATTTTTTCTATGATCCATAAACATTCTTAACTCTGTTTCTTAACATAGATGCACTCCTGCTGTATACCAGTATTACTCTCAGCTCTTGATGAACTTTGAGCCAAGAAATAATTATTAAATTTAATAGTAAATGGCTTGTTCACTTCTAAAATGAAATCGTCAAATGCTAAAATACCAATCGAAATTTACCCTAAGTATTGAGCAACGCCGCATTATCCGAACAAAGAACAAGCTTACCCAATTTTGAAAATGAATCTTGATCTGAACCGTTTAAATATTTGCCAGTCTCTATATGCTACAGAAATATTTGATCATCATAACTAATGAATTTAGATGTGTTCCTAGAATTTTATTTAACAATGGACCAATAATCGTTATCTAGAGATCATAGAACATTAATTAATTACCATCTCTTGGATGACTATAACAGGTGACCTCTTGAGTTTTCCTCTACTGAGAATAAAAAGTGTGTGAATGTAAAGTAAACCCAGTCCACCAATTCCTTATAATTATTTTCCTTCGAGTCTCAATGAAGATTGGTGCACTATGTACTCTATCAAAAATCTTCAGATTATCGTTTGTAGATTTACTCTGCACAAAATTCCAAATTCCTTCTTGTTAGTTTTTAGAAATCAACTTCTACCTACCAATTGAGTAAAAAACATTATCATTTTTTTGTTGAGAAATTAAATAATTTCTATTATCAGAGGACAACAATCGAAAAGGATGTGTGATATGTTGATTCACATACTTCAGTAATGAGAAATTCTCCTCTTCTGGAGGTTGAATCACAAAGTACTCAGGCTCTTCATTTAAGTATACTTCAAATTCCTTAAGTTCATCATGTTTGTTATCATTTGATGTATTCACATACAATTAACTCTTGAAATGTTTGATTGCTATCAAATCTCCATAACAAAGGAATTCATTTTCTGTCTCATCCTATAATTCAACAATAAAATTAATGCTATCATCATTTGCATTCATTTATAAGCTCAAAGTGCTTTTACTTTTGCCAATGAGTTTTGACTCTTGACGTACGTTTCCACTCAAAAACTTCTTGGTTTTTTGACATTAGAGTTGGAGTAATTGGAATGTTTTGAAAGGCAATTATTATTGATTTTAATTCATTTGATGTATTATTTATATTATTCATTTAAATTCCTTGGGATGTTCTAATTATATTTTTGATATAGAATGACCTTTTAAGTCATTAAATCCATATGAACAAGATTGATGTTGCAGGATAAATTGTAATGAGAACTGTGATGCAATCTTAATTCCTTTAATTTTAATTTACATAATAGCTTATATAAATGAATAAGTTTAAGGCAATCAATATGGATGACACTGCCTTTGGATCAATTGATTCCAAAAACACCATGTTCCTGACATCTAGTCCTACTCAATTCAAAACTATAGGATAGGTTAGTCTCTCAAGGAAGCTCTCTAAATTGGAACCATTGATAGTCGAAAAAGATTAACGAAACGATTCGAGAAGTTAAGAGAAGCGATTATTAAAGGATCTGGGCATTAGTTAAGTTTTAGATTGGAATTCATTTATGGAAAAGGATGCTGAATAAATCAAAGAATTCAATGAAACGACTTAGAAGTTTAGAAGAAGTTCAATTTAAACGTAAAGTTCATAAATTTTCATGTCTCCCCAAAAAACAGACAAATTCTTTCCATCATAATTTGATGGTCGTAGATCCTCGATTAATTTAAAGTCTTTTGACAAAGATGACTTTCTCGAAAAAATGAAATTAGGCAAGTAAGAGAAATTTGTAAATTCTAGTAAACAGATACCAAATTTGACAACCACAGAATTTATGAAGTGCGTTAGATAAAAAGAAAAATTAACCGAATATGCTAAAGTTTATTAATAATCTCCAGAAAACTTGTATCTTAAGTTGAATAACTGTATAATACTCTGCTTTTATTGATTAGCTTAGAATTTTGTACCCAAAACCTTTGGATTAGTGTCTCCTTAGGGCAGTCCCTTGACTCAAATAAATGCATCTAGATTCCTGAGATGTAGTGATGATTGTAGAGTGTATGCTGAGGCTATGTCTACAACCTAATCACAGGGAATCTAAAAGATGTAATTGAATAGCAACATCTATGATCCAAGATAGTTTAAAGAATTGTTGATAAGCTTTCCGAATACAGTAAGGGAATTAGAGTTGAAGGATTGCAAATTGAATTTTAAGCATGTCGATACTTTGATGGCCTATATTAACAAGAATTAGATATTAAAATTGAATTTGGAATAGAATTTGCTCAGAGATCAAGGCTGCAACACCTTGATTAAACATCTTATGAATAACAACACATTGTAGTGTTTGAATTTGTGCAATAATAAAATTACAGAATCCTCAAGTGCTGCCTTGAGTAATTTCTTAAAGTAATCTTAAAGACTCATAGAACTATACTTGGGATTTAATAATCTCTAAATTAATGGGAGTATCTAAATTTGGAAAGCTATGTATAAGAATACAAGTATAAAGATCTTGGATATGTCTCACAATGCAATAGCTTCTTTGGAGTGTGCATAGGCTATAGCCAAAGCTTTGTCTCGTCCTTATAATGAACTAGTTCATATCGATCTAAGGTACAACAAATTCAATCAACAACAAAGCGAAGTTATTGCTGAGGGCTTAATTAAAAATGAGACCATCTTTGGCTTTCATTTCGAAGGTAATTATCAGGATATCATTATGAATCCAAATGGATTTTTAATTAATAGGAGAGAAGAACTTAAATAAAAATAATAGAAGATAGATTTATTAAATAAACAACCTCAATATTTTAAATTGTTGGATGAAGAAAAATTGGAGAACTCTAACAATTAGAAAACAGATGATGATTTGTTTCTCGCCTATCACAGAAGCAGAAGAATGAAATCTACTGAACTAAACAAATAAAAGGTAAATATGATAAATAAATTGGATGTTTGTTGGATATGTGAAGGATGGTAAGAAATTAAATTCTTATGGACTCCAAAGTCTGGATCATTACGATCAGAACCAATCTTCATCCATTTCGATTTTGATGACTATAAACCCTATTTAATGACTTTTTTAAATGGCTCGTTCTTTTTTGTAAAGATGTGCCCTCCCAATAGATCAATTAAATACTTCTTTACAAATCCTATTCTAGGAATCTAGTGTATTGCAGAAGACTAAAATGTATTATCCCTTCACCAACCACTCCCTTCTATTCCTTTTCTATACAACAATGAGATATTAGTTGATGGGAACACTATGCAAATCATTAATGAAGTAATGTCTCCTAATAATCAAAACTTATTCGATAGATATGTGCCTTTGGTATAGGTTAAACCAAGGGAAAAGATGGCCTTGTTCGACTTTTCTCCATATTTGAACATAGCTTCCACTAAATGGTCAGTAGAAACATCAATATTCAGGTACTTTCCGCCTGATACTGACAAGTTAATTGAGGAATGCTTTGAATTCGATTACCAAAACTCAAAAATAAATAGGTTAGTGAAAGAAACAGAGTTATAGGATATCAAAGAACTATTAAAATAATTCTATGTTTAACTCTTTAACTGCTACAAGTACTTTGCATCAGGAAATCCTACTGCTCCTGTATTATTATTTTAATAATATCTTCTAGATACCTTGTTTAGGACCTACTGATTATGTTGAATTTTTAATATCCACTGAAATAATGGAAGGAGTCAAACCAAATGACATTGACATTGGTTTTACTTCAACTGCAGGAGCTAAAGATGTCTCTTTCCCTTAAGCATATGAAAAAGGTATTGTGAGGTGTCAGTTAATGGAAGTGCTAGTTCGATTTTGTAATGATAAATATATCAGAAGTGGACTGTGTCAAACCATGATTGAGGGATTATAATAATTACAGTAATAATGCAATGAATTTTTATCCAAATTTGATTCCCCCTAAGCTTGGAGGAAAATGAGGTTGTGGATTGAAAAATGCGACATTCTTATTCATGAGAGAATGCCCATGATCAAATGTCTTTATAAATATACATGTAAATTAAGTAAGAAACCCTAGTAATATAAATATGACTATGTTTCACCTTAAGATTTCAAAGATTTAATGAAACAATCAAATGTTATTTGTGATGAATTAACAGACAGAGAATGTTATCTTGCTTATTTATAAAGCATGATAACTTAAAAAGATGAATTATTCTAGCCCAAACATTATCAAATGACACTCTATGAGTTCATAGAGGCCTTAGCTAGAATCGCTGAGAAAGTGTCAATTATAAGAGGTGAGAAAGTACTTGAAATTGAAAATAGAAGAGCTCAAGATTTACAGGATAAAATATCAGGATTACTACTTCTAATGTATTTGACACTCATAGATGAAATTAAAAAGGCTTTACCAAATGAACCAGATGTGAAGCATCTTGAAAAGTGTATGAACAATGATTTCAGATCAAAAAAACAAAAACTTGAGGATTCTTTCACCGATGGAGATGAACCTCCTTATGATGTTAAAGTTGAGTTACCTATATTAATGTCTTAAGTTCCTAATACATAAGGCAATGCAAATGGGCCTGCCAAGAGAGTGACAATACGTAATATCAAATTACTTAAACCATCGACTACCAAATACTCTCTTACCAATTTTGTACAATTCTTCATTAGCTTAAATGAAAGAACCTGATATTTAATACAAATCTTCATATGTATTTATAGTTTTATTGATTATATATGAAATAAGAGTTTCAAATATCATATCTCCCTAAATAAGTTTATTTAAATGATCATATTTTGGCTTTAATAATTTCTACTTCACTTAATTGTTGATTCTAGTTATTGTTATAACCATCAAGGGAAGTCGATTATTAGTAAATTCTGGTTAATGTTAATAGTACTTTAGTTAGCATCTATGTTATTTATATTAAATTTATTAAAAGTTTCACAAAAGTTAAAATTAAAATGGGAGCTTCAATCTGCCAATAAACTTGTGCAATTAATGATCGTGAATTGGTTAAAGAATAGGTAGAGCTTTAACCAAAAAGTCTCGATTCAAAACGTGAATGTTCCTAGATATAGGATTAACCAATTACAGATCATCTTCGCATTAATATTTAAAATTCTTCTCAGATTAGCTATAATTTGGCAGATCAACAGCAAAGTAAGTTAAGCATTTTGATTTAGATCAAAGTAAAGAGTATTCTAATTCAAATGACATTCCTGAGGCTATGACTCCTTGGTTACCTTGGTAAAACTTATTATTTTATAACAAGTGGGCAGAATAATTTTAAAGGAGAATAGTATATTCAATTGTTAAACACAGAAATTGTTTAGTCTATTAAATTATAATCATAATTAGTGAGCTCTCAAAATGCAGATATATTGCCAATGTAAAATTCTCATAATTTACATTCAGATTAGAATTCAAACAATAATAATCTAACTCATCTTATCCTAGATTTTGCAATGACGATAAGGGGAATAAATTATTGAATATGTAAATTATTGAAGATAATGTACGCTCTCCTCTTCTATCAATAGCTTGATGACTATATTAATTACGATTGGAAAAACTCTAAATTTTAATTGATTAGTATTAATGATTAAAATCTATTAAAGAAAGCAAGTTCAACAAAACCAAAAACAAAATTACAAAAGAGATAATTTTGATATAAATTATCATATATTATAATTTGATAACACTGTATCTCTCGAATTTTTATTTTTTTAATATATCATCTGAATTTAATTTAATCATTTTATTTATAAGCTCAATAAACTTTAATAATAGATGTTTAAGTTTATTCACCAATTCTTACTTTCTAATTCAACTTAAGTTCAATAAAAGCAAAAACAATAAAAAACAATATTTGAATTAAGGTTTGCACTAAATTAGATATAATTATTTAATATTAATACAATAATTCCGAATATATTATATATAAACATAACATTTGTATATAACTTAATTTATGATTATTAGTGTTTGTTGAAATGGTAGATGTGAATATTCTATAATTTCACTTGAATTGATATATTTAATTTATGAAGAGTTCGAAATTCTGATTCGCTATTCTTCCAGTATAGGTTTCACTTCAAGATACTTGAGGAATTAACTATTTTGGATTAATTAAACATTAAAGTTGTGGGTCTTATATAATCATAAATAAATGAACAAATATAATTTAAGATTTAAAGATTAAGAGATTGAAAAAAAATATTAAATTCATAAAGTTAAGGACATTTAATTTCCAACCTTAACATACTTAACTTTGGGCAGTACTCCTTTATTACTCATATTTGCAATTACGAGTTTAATTAACATAGACTACACAAATGCCCTCATCAACGGAATATTACTTGTCTACATGCTAATTTAATATCTAGTCCTTCGAAAAAATGAGCACCTAAGAGTTAATTATTGTAATTTAGCCTTAATGTTAACCAATTTTGCATCTTTATATTATGAAATATCGCCAAAATAATCTGACTATTACAATGGCTACATCATGGGATCTAATTAAATGTTAATTCATACTTTGTTGATGTTTGCATGTAATTTAGAGATTGGGGTTTTCAGCAATCTAGTTCTCACAGTTGTAAGAGTGATTTTGGCGGTAGAAAACTCTGAAAGCATGACACTCTTATAGTATTTGCAAACCATAATTATGGCATGTAGTTTTATTATAGTGCAATATCAAATTGAAAGATAGTTCAGAGATTCATATTTATTGTCATTAAAAGACAACACTTGGGGTATTTTTCATATTATATTCAAGAAATTTTAATCCCTCAATTATTGAAAAAGCCATTTTTTATTTTTGCTTTTAACTAAGAAGTAAACATGTACTAAGCCATCATGAGTAATCGGAATTCGTTTTTTAATTCTGATTCTCCCCTAACTACCTTCCTATTTTAATCTAAAGTGAAGAAAAAATCACTTGAGGCTTATTTAGTCAAGAAATCAAATCAAAAAGGAAAATTTAGTTAGTTACCTTGTTTGTTTAATTAATAAGTGAACTTAGAATATTAATTAAAGAAATTATAGGTTTCAATAATAGGATGTAAGTTTGAAAGAATAATATACGCTGTTATAATTGATTCGGAAGATCCTCTTTTGAGAGAGTCAAAAATTAAATTTAATCAATCTCTACAATAATGTAAAGATATTTTAAATGCTTAAATATTGTCCATAAATAAGGTGTTAACTCTGTATTTATCAGAAACGTATAGTTCTTTAATTAGAAATTTAAGAATATCCCTCTATGAAATCTATTATAAGTAGGTTGATAATAAAAAGGTGTAATCAGTGAAAATGAAGAAACTGTTACTTAAGTGTCAGAGGATATTTGAGACTCCTACCAATAAAATTAAGATTGATTGTCAAGAATTTACAAAATTTGCAACCATAAAATCTACATTATTAATATTTCTATTTGAAATTTTGAAGTTGGTAGAAGGTAACCAATAGGTTTTTCTATTGGTGAATCAAAATATCACAACTACATTATTTGTATATGGGATAAAAAATTTACCCACATCTGCACTTTTTGAAGAGAGTAGAAAAGTGTTAGTTGAAAAAACTCTGTACACTGCATAATGTAATATAAGTTATTTATATATATATAGATTACTCTTTTGAATTCATGAAATCTCCATAATCTACTTTTAATTATGAAAATTAAATTAAATAAGAATCAATAGCTTGATAATATTTCATTTTTATTTAAATTTAATTATGATATGTTCAATTTTTATGTTTAAAATCTAAAATTATATTTAGTAATTTTTAATTAATATCACTTTGACTCTCTATTATAGCTAAGTAAAGTAATTATTTTCTAAAACTATATATATCTTATTAATTATATTAATGAGTTTAGATGAACTTACCAGTTTTATAAAGCTAATATAAGGCCATTAAGCAGAATACACCACAATCGAAACTTGTATAGGCATAAATATCATACCTGTTCTCTTGTTTAGGACTATTAAATAGGATTTCCCATTTCGTTTATTCTCCTTTATAGTTTAACATCTGTTCCAAACCCTCGACAACATTATTCTATGTTCCAAAGTTAGAATCCAAATACTATATTTTATTCTCCTTAAATTCAACAATGGCACAAAGCCAATGGTTGTTCTGTAAATTAATGGGAATGTAAGTGTATTTAAACAGACTAAAAAAGTTGGATTAAACCATAGTTGAAAACTTATATCTGTTTTTTAAATTTTCTATTTAGACGTTCAATTTATTAAACTGATATTTGCCCTTCTCATTTTCAAGAATTATTATATTATTAATTTTCATTTCACCTTTTGAAATGACTTAAGTAGGTTCCTGTGGATCTTTTTTGATATAAGTGATGTTCTTCACTTGGAAATTGTATTTCTACAAGATTTCTTAATTTTATTAAGTAACTATATTCTATTAATTGATGGGAAATGGATTTGAATAGTTTCCTTAAAAATCAACTTCTTCCTATTGTGGTTATGATTTTCGAAAGAATTTGTAGGGATTTAAAGATTTGATGAGATTTAAAGTCTTATAGAAAATGGAATTATTTTCACTTTGAGTGGTTTGAGTTTGTTGTTGTTCTTATTCTTACCATGATTCAAAGTTAGAAAATGAATTTTGAGAATCTCTACTAGATTCCTGTTTAAATTGTGTGGCTATCATATTTGGAAGGATAAAATTGGTAATATCAGGAATGAATTCCGGAAAGACATGGCAATCTAATGAAAGTACCTATTTTATAGTCAATACAATTATGTATACTAGAAATTCTCCATAATAATATTAAAACATCTATTGGAAATAAATGAGGTGTTGGGCTGTCAAAAATTCATTGTTGGCCAGAGCACTCAGGAAATCATTATTGATGGTCACACCATGTTTTCTAAAGTTGAAATTCTTGAATTTATGTCTGTCAGTGTAGTAATCAGCCCAGAATATTTTCTGCTTGACTTTCAAAAGTGTTAATTCTTCGCTCATAATTTTATTAATATATTAAATGGATGCCCTTACAAAAATTGTAGCAACAGGAGAGAGAGCAATATCTGAACTGAACAAATAATCATTAACATAATGGAATGGGGCGACCACAAGTACAATGAAATATGTATGGGATTGAATATTTAGTAAAGATAATAGAACGGTTGAATCTTTGCTTTGATGAGATAAATTTTCATTTACAGAAGAAAGGCTTGAATGAGGAGGCTAATGTAATCTCAAAGCTCTACAATCATTACAATGTTTTGTTCCAAAAAGTAGAAGAGATAAATCAACGAAAACATTAGAATGCTCCAGAACTACCCATGGAGTATTGTTAAAGATCATTGTCAACTAATGCAAGTTCAAAAACCATATTTGGTGGAGCTGAGATCTAAAGTTTTAGTATATTTTCTGCCCAGAAGTCTAAATTCATTTCTGCAGAATAAGAATTCAGGAGTAACAAACCAAAGTTTAAGAAGAATGTTTAATCAAAGGGGACAGATACTGGCGAAGATGCTATGCGTTATTTAAATGTAGAATATTTGGGCGAAAAAGAGAGGGAATTGTAAAGAGCCAAAGAGGAAAATGAGATGAATCTTAGGGAAATAGAGAAGTTTCTGAAGCTTAAAGGACTGTGGAGTGAAATACATGCAAGCAATGCTCCTTATAAGTTATAAGATCTTGGTAAGACTTTAGAAAGAGAACTCTAACGAAATGAAATGTTTATTAATGAATAAATTAGAATTGCTAATTAGGAGCCTGACTTCCCATCTAGAGATATGAAATAAGAAATAAAGGAGAGAGTTGTGGTTGGGGTTTAAAAATCAACTGCAGACAGGATATTAAAATATGCAGAGAGAAAAATGAAGGAAGAATTTGAGAAATTTCAATTGAAGAAGAATTCAGGATTGTAGATGCACAAGAGGAAATCACAAAACATGTAAAGAATAGATGAATTGGAACATCTAATTAATACTAAGAATGAAGAAATCTTGGAGAAAGAATCAAAGATGTCAGCTTTGTTCTCTAAATTTGAAGAATAAGAGAAGAAATTAGTAAATTTGATGATTCAAATGGAATAAATTAAAGCTAATGAAAAACACAATAACACTTTTACTAGTAGTTAAGCCAATGAGAAATAGAGTCATGTTGAGATCTAAGTAAGTATGAGTGATCCTAAGATCTTCAAATTAGAATTGCAATTAAAAGAAATCGTTGAACAGAATTAGAATATGAAGGGAGAATTATAAACCATGTACGAATAAGCAAAAAATGATAAATAGAAGGTTTTATTACAACCTTAATTAATTGAAGAAGTTCTGATGATGATTATTTAGAGTGAGTTGCAAGCTGAAGGCAAAATAGAATTATTACAAACATTTTTATAATATTTGATTGAAAATTCAGAGAATGATATTGCAAGAATGCCACCAAATGAGTTATATAGAACTGTGAGATAAAAGATGCAATATAATAATAATTCTAATAGGAATTTGGAAGAAGTCTTAGAGAAATTCGAAGAGATGCAAAGTGATAACGAAGACTATTCTCCAAGTTCGATTAAGAAGACCAAAAAGAATAAAAATAAATAATAGAAATCTAAAAAACTAATATTAGAAAGAGCTGATTCTTAAGTTGAATAATAGACATTTTCCCCAGAAAAATCTGAAAAATTTATTGGAGTTAAGAAATCTAAAAATAAATTTGAAGATTAATCAAATGAAAATTCTGAATCATAGATTATAACAAATAATAACAACAATACTAATAATAATAGTAACAATAATAGTAATAATAATATAGATAGTAACTATTCCATCAGTATGTTTAAGAAAAAGCCTTTAAATAAGATTAGCGAAGAAAACAGTATTATATAAAAAAATTCACCAAGAAAATAAGATGTCAATAGCCCATAATCAGGTAGTAGAAATATCTTAAATAATACTTCAACATTTAAATAAAACTAATCTGATTAGAAGTAAAATAAAAATATTGTTAATTCCTCTTTCAATCAAAACTAATCATAATATTAATAATAATAATAATAATAAAATAATCAACAACAGTAGTAAATTCAATTACAACCACCTAAAGAGTCAAGTAGATTCAGAACAGAACAATAAAAATAATTATCATCAGGTAGATAGTAGGCAAATAAAAGTAGAGGATAAATTGATTAAAGCAATCAAAAATCTGTAATTTAATCCAATCATACACCGCAATATAAGACAGTAAGATAGATAAAACAAAGACATTCTATTAAAGATGAGTTTGGAGAGGTAGATTATGATGAAGTAGACGATGAAGTAGCAAACAGAGGAGTACAAGTGAATTTTGGAAATCTCTATATAAAAGCTTCGATGATAAATTCGTAGGATGATAATTCTAATATGATGGGATCCTAAATTGGATTCCAGACTCCTTTGATGAGATAAAGTTATAGGTAGTTGGAAGAAAAGGTCACTGCCAAATTCACTCAAACTGATGATTTTTTTATGTGGAATCTATTCTAAAAAATGTAGGTAGATCTTGGATTAACAGAGGAATAAATAAAAAAGTTGGAGCAAATCTTTTTGAATGAATAATAATTTATTCATTATTATGAGAAGACTCCATCTTAGAGATAAAAATCAAGGGCATCTACTACTGTTTTAGCTGACTAAACAACCAAAGCCAAATAAGAGAAATACATTGAAAATACTATTAATGACAGTAAGATGACTACTATGATTCAATAGAAAAATGAAACGACAGATTCAGAATAATAAATTAGAAGACCAACAATATCTATAATGAAAACCACTTAGCCTCCAAAGGGATTGGAATCTCCAATGAATTTAGTTGGAAGGCAAAAGAGTTAGGTATTGCTCTCTTATACAAATGAAAGCAGCATCATATAGCCTAATTAAGGCAGGAGTGTTAGTCAAACATCAGATGTTCATATTATGAATTATGGAAGTGTTAGTACAGATACAATTGCTAAAAAGTAGAGATAAACGACGAGCCAAAAGATTTTGGAAGATATGCTAAAGAATAAGGCTGGATTAACGTCTCCATTTGATATTGAAACAAAAGAATAAAAAGAATAGAAAATGTATTTCCATGTTTTTGGAGATGAAATGTAAACAGATGCTGATTTTGAATTGGAAGCTGTGAGAGTCAATTTAGGAAAGCCCTTGGAAGTGATACAAGACCATTTGAAGGAAGATGCAATGAAAAAAATATATTAATAATTTGTAAATCGTCCTAAGAATCCTTGGTAAGATCAACTCTATATGATTATCTCTCAATTTGCCAATAAACCACCTTAAGCCATTTCTTACATAGATTTCAAAAAATATTATGAAAATTACATGAGAGTATTTTATTCATTTCATATTTAGGTACATAAAAGATGTGGAGATGGTTGTATTCACATATAAAGATTTTTGGCTAGGGTAGGATTTGGAATAAATTCAAAGAGAAAAGCATTGAATATGAGTAAATAAAGTGTTTCTCCATTTGAACTGCCAAAACTAAAATGAATGTTTTGATATGAACTCGTTATTATATTTAATTTAAATCTTAAGTAATGTAATAATACACAAACAATTACGAATCAGTTGTCAGAACCTAAGTAGTTAGCGGATAAGACCAAAAACCACTCAATTTGGGACTAACCGACGTTGAAGGAGCAAAGGTTTTATTATTATTCAAAACTAGGCTGTTGCCAGAAGACTCTTTGATACTTATGACAGAGACAGAAATGGATAGATTGATAATGTAGAGGTCGTACCAATGATAGTGGATGTCTATAAATCATTCAACAGAATCTTCTCACCAGCCAGAGGAGACATTGATTCATTTTATAAGTTCAAAATTGATTATTACAATTAGGGTTTTGGATAGAAATCAAGATGGCAAAATCACATATCAAGACTTGGAAGATTTATGCATTAGATATTTGACCAATTAAACTCCAACAAATTTGAGAGCATCAGAAGCCCCTCGTTAAAGTGGAATCTAATAAACATCATAAACAGTCACATCATCCTACAGAAGAACCCAGTATTGATTGTGATTCTTAATAAAACATAAATATTATATAATCTACGTGCCTGTTATTATGAATTCCATTTTATTTCTTTTTCATTTGATAAGGATTGAAGGTTGTGTTTATTGGTTAATAAATAAGATTAGTGAAGGAGCTTTGAATTCTACTTAATAGGTGCATTGAAACATATTCTCATTCTGATAAAATGAAAATTAAATCAGTATTTTCAATTAATAATTATTTCACTATGTTATGTTGATCATTAGTCAAAGGATAATTAAATGCTAAATTATGAGAATTGAGATTTTGAATTTATTATATAATCATTGTTACATCCTCTATACGATATTGATTTACTTATAATTTCCTAATAAATTGTAGTATTTAAAATGGTGATTACTGTATAACTTTATCTCTTAGAAGTTCAATTAGAATTATCTTTTTATAATAATAAAATAACCTTTTGTTATTTGAAGTTGTAGAAATAATTATATATATTTGTGAATACAACTTTATTATTTTATTATGAGTTATTAAAAAATAGAAGGAGCTGAGGAGATTGATGAGTTTAATATTGTACAAGTGAAGAAAAAAATAAAGAAGCCAAAATAAATAGTTGCATAGCCTAAGGTGACATAACCTGTACCTGTATAATCTTCTGAGACGGTAGGTCCTGATGCTTCAAAACCATAATAAACATTATTGGATATTATTTTGGACAATCTACCTTAGAGTGAATTATATGAAAGGTCTTTGATGCATAGAGAAAATATCAACATTGTATTATCTGCATTTAAGTCCCACATAATTATCACAGTGTCTACAGATGGACATATTAAAATGTGGAGAAAAGTGTTTAGATTGGTTGAATTCATTAAGCACTTTAGAGCACACACTGGAATAGTTCACTTGTGCAACATTGTCTGATGGACATGACAAGATGGCAAGTGTGTCTCCTGCTGATCGAACAATCAAGATTTTTGATATATTGAACTAAGATTTATTGGATATGATAAAACTTCCATTTCAACCATATGGATGTGAGTTTGTAGACACAGCGGATGTTCAATAATAGTTATTATTAATCAGTGATGGTAATAGTGGGGATATTTATGTTACTGAAAGTGGTAAAATATTGCGAATGGTAAAAATGCATACTCAACCTGTTAAACAAATGAAATATCTGAGTCATTTTCAATTCATGTTAACAATCGATACAACTGGTAGAATGGAAGTCTGGGATCCCATTACTTAAGACTTTCCAAAATAAGCATATGCTAAACCTTAATTCAAGATTCAATACTCAAGTAAATTGGGCACTGATCTATATGAACTGATGCAGCATAAATTATAATGTTTTGGATTATGTGTGAGTAACAAACAGAAACTAATTGTCTTGTATGTTTCAGACAAGAAATTAAGAGTATTTAATATTCAAACAGGAAAGATTATTCTAGTATTGGATGAGTCGATCGAAGCTATTACAAATAGATAAAATGATCAAGCAACCTATCCCATATTACACATTGAATAATAAGATTTTGAAAGAAGACTGCTAATTGAAAAGGACATCGATAAATAGCCTGAATAATTAAAATAAATTACTATGACCTTTGATGAGACCGATTCAATATTGATATACCCTACTTTTATTGGAATCAAGTTCATCCACATCTAGACAGGGGAGCTGGTGAAACTTTTAGGGAAGATGGAAAGTAGTTCAAGATTCATGCGTGTTGCATTGTATCAAGGACCTGCAATGAAGAATACTTAAAATGAATAGTCTCATAGTTCATTAAACAGAAAAGAAACTGATCCATCTTTGTATATAAGTGCTCATAAATCTAACAAATTCTATGTGTTCTCTCGTAGAATCCCAGAAGATTTGGCAGATAAACCATGGGCTGTAGCCAGAGACGTATTGAATGAGCCCTTGAATATGATTCAGCAAAGCATTAGTGTCATGTCTGACAATAAAAATAAAGTACATTTTACTTATATTTTTAGACCTTATCTGGTTGCTAAGCTATCATTTAGACGACGTTTGGTGAAATCTATATCAATTTATTTCCAAATGAAACACCTAAGACAGTTGAAAATTTTATCTAGCACTCTAAAAATGGGTATTACGATGGTTTGATCTTCCATCGAGTTTAATAAGGATTTATGATACAGACTGGTTGTCCGAAAGGAAATGGAACTGGAGGAGAATCCATTTGGGGAGGGGAATTCTAAGATGAATTTCATCCAGAATTAAGACATGACAAACCATTTACAGTTAGTATGGCCAATGCAGGTCCTAATTCCAATACGAGTTAATTTTTCATAACTGTTTGTCCTACTCCTTGGTTGGATGATAAAGTATGATATTATGTTGATGTTTAAAATAGCATACAATTTTCGGCAGAGTGTATAAAGGAATGAATATTGTAGTTTAGATTAGTGAAGTAGAAACTGATGATTTCGATAAACCACTTAATGATATAAAAATAATAGCTATAAAGATTTTATGAATGTGATTTATATTTATACAATAATATATATATAAAATTGTATTAATGCAATTAAATTGTATCTACTATTAATAATGATGTTTAAATCTAGAATTTTATGTAAATAAAATTATTTAATTAATTAAAATGAATTATAATTATCCAAATATTCGCATACTTATGGTTGGTGTGGGTGGTATTGGATGTGAGATTCTGAAAATTGTCAGCAAATTCACTTTCCAAGAATTTCACATAATCGACATGGACACTATTGAAGTCAGCAATCTTAATCGATAATTCTTGTTCAGATTAGAGCATAGAGGTTAATCAAAGTCTCTGGTTGCAGCTGAGACCATGAAGAATATGGCACCATAATTAAAGATTATTGCTCACTTTGCTGCCATCAACTCTCCTGGGTACACAATGGATTTCTTTCGATAATTTGATGCTGTGATCATGGCATTGGATAATGCAGAAACTAGATCTTATGTGAATAAGGTGTGTCAGGCCTTAGGAATATTCATAGTAGATGCTGGATCCATGGGATTTAAGGGCTAGGCAAATGCTTATTATTAAGGAACAGTGTGTTATGATTGTTATCCAATTGCCACTACTCAGAAGTAATATCCAGCATGCACCATTCGTTCATAGCCTAGTAATTGTACTCATTGTGTAATTTGGGCGAAATACCTATTTACCTAACTATTTTCAGGAGAGGTTGGAATTTTGGAGGTTGAGGGATTTGATAAGAGCCAGCCAAATTCAGTTTTTAATAAATTCTTCAAAGGAGAAGAAATGCCTAATTCTATTGACATTGTGGAGCATGAACTTATTAAGAAGTATCACTTTGCAGAAAGGAAAGAGACTCTTGAAGAATTGTAAGGCATGTGGTTTTATGCATATGATGAACTCAATCACTTGGGATAATTGTAATATGATAAAGATGACGACCTTCATGTCTTATTCATTTATGCAAGTACTGCTTTGAGATGTAGGAATTTTAAGATCGAACAGTATGACTATCAATAGATTAAGTCTATCAGTGGCAATATCATTCACGCCATTGCCTCTACAAACTCTATTGTTGCAGCCCTAGAAATATAGAGATTGCTGAGTTTCATTGAAAATCATGATAAGGCAAAGTATTATCAAGATCTAAATGCTGCCTCCTACGTTTAAACAGGAAAAAAAGAAAGAATTCTAACTCTTAAAGCTGCCGGTCCTAATCCCTTGTGTAATTCTTGTTTTCATAATCAAATATACTCTAAGGTTGATTTCTAAGTTGTAAAAGTAGTGGATTTAGTAAATTAACTTAAGAATTATCTGAATTCTGAGATCAATATCGTTTCTCTGTCTCGTATCATATGGGATGATGAAGATGAGGACGATAACTCAGCAATCAGAGACAAAAAATTAAATGAATTGTTTAAACTAGATCTAGATAATAGATTGGTAATTAAATCAATCGAGGAAAAATTCTTAGCTGTGTTTTGGTTGTAACATCTGGCTGGTTAGGCTGAGATCTAGTTTGCTTCCACAAAAATATCAGATAAATTGCTTAAGTTTAAGAATCCTTTGTAACATAAAAAAAAGGAGAGAGTTAGAACATAGTAGGAGATTAAGGAGTTAAAAGAAACAGAGGTTATGCCCATTAAAAACCCAGAAAAATTTTAAACAGCAGCTTAGAAGTCTACAGAAATCCTTATTGATGAAGAACCAATTGAATAAGCAGAACAAAACAAAAAGGTTGAATTAGTAATTGATTGATTTGTTGTTTAATTTATTTGAAATTTAAATAATATTATTATGTTGCAGAAAAGCAAAACTTAAAAAATGAATTATTTTGAAATATACTTTTCCTTAATAAAAAATAATTCATTATATTTTTCGGGGAAAAAAACTAAAATAATTTAATATTAAATATTCATTTAACAATGATAGCTATTGTGTTATTACTGTAGAGATTCTTTTTATTGTCTGCTTATTACATCATTGGTATGAATGAGGATTCTTAGATATAAACATACTCATTAGATTTAAACATTTAAAATTATGGAATAGATTCCTGTTTTTCCTATGGCTTATGGAGCAGATATTCTCCACTAGGATCAATACTTTAGGTTGGACAATTCGGCTTATTTGATAGTAATTGTTATCATCTTCATAATGCTGCTTAACAATCCACCTACGATTTGAATTTAATTGTATATGACTGCCTCAACTATGAAAGCTAAAAGATTTTAAGAAGAATTCAATTCGTTACTCCCGATAAGAGCTGGCACTTATTTGAAGTAGAACTTGATATTCTACATTATGAATATGTCTGGCATTATTTTGAGATTACTCAGTGGCCATAAAGAAATAGGTTTGAGCTATTAGTCATTAAATATCCAGAAACTAAACTACATATAGTGCAAGAAGATTTTTAGTTTCCTTTCAAAGACACATAATTGCTTCTCACATTTGGAGGAGGATTGCAAATATCATAATCAAATACTAATTAGCTTTTATAAGAAATATCAAAATTTTCATATTTCCCAGGAAAATTTTATTTGTATCCTTTATCAATAGGGAATATGGGGATAACTAGAAATGCTGCCCTCGTTGCATTAAGTGGAATTTAGTTTAGAGCATCCTGTTTATGCAGTTACAATTAGTTGATAGGTATACCAAACAAAGAATTAACTTGGTTAGATAATGTCATATTTCCTTCTTAAAACTCTAATTGTAATTCATATTTGCTATCAACTTGGATCAGAATTTAAAATATTTATCAATCGTCTCCAGAATTTTTATATTAAGTCTTAAAATTGTCTGCTAACTTTGAAAATCCTAAATTAGTTAATAGTAATTTAGCTACCTTCTAATTATTCTATAAGATAACATCATCAAAAAATTAATTGATTGTAACTACTTACAGTTATAAATTTCCTATTGTTTCTATCAATTTTTAGGGAGATCCCTTCTTAATCACAAAGGAGTTCGATCTTCATCACAATATGAAACTTTGGCATAATGTTTTAGTGATATTAAAAGATAATACATTGAGTATACAAATCATTTTTTACGAGGGATTTCAAATTTACGAATATAATTATGAATTGTAAGTAAACTAATTTAATATTGTCAAATTCAAATTATAATATGGAAATGTGCAATAGTTAGTTCATGACTACCTTTCTGTTCAATTTTTAAATTCCTACTTTTTCAATTGTGTAGGATTTATATTATTGCCTCAACTGAGTTGTCATGAGAGTTGTTTAGAATGCGATGGTCCAACTAGTACAGATTGTTTATCCTGTCCTAGCAATTCAAATCGTATTTATATTGCTGAATAAAAGTCTTGCGTATGTCCATATTATAGAGTTGATGATAGTGATTGCAAAGATTATTAAAATTATAATTTTGTACTTGTCAAAGAAGATGTGAAAGATAATAAATGTCTTGAAGGATACTTTTAATATGAAGGAGGTTGTATCAAATGGTAATTTAAATCTTAATATTAGTCCGTCATTAATAACCAGTACAAGCATAACATGTTTAGAATGTGTTTATTAGCCTCAGACTTGGGCAACTAATTCTTTTTGTTAAACAACTCTATATAATGATATTAAAGGAAGTGTATCTTAGTTAAAATAAACCAAGTCTTAATATTATATATTTGATGGGGATGCTCTTGAAATACGATATTATACCAATTCAAAACTAATTGATGAAGAAATCAAAGATGATTTTGAATTGGCTTCGATGAATTTCAAGAACTTTTGCTTTCAGGCTCAAACATTTGCAGTAGTTTGGAGAAGTGAGAAAGAATGTTATCAATGCTCTATAAAAGACTGCAAAAAATGTATAATCACTGCGTAGAGATCAGTTTGTTTAGAATGTGATTATTACTCCTAACTTATGGATGGAATATGCGTAAAATCATCTTTGGTTGGGCCAATCAATATTAATAATTGCTTATCTCCTAATTATTATAGTTCAACTTATGAGTGCAAACCTTGTAATATTAAATATTGCAAATACTGTTTTGAGTTTTTAAGTAATGATTTAACAAAATGCACCTTATATCGGGACTATAAGTCATTTAATATAGATGAGTATCACTAGGTGGGTTGTGCTTTGTGTAATGACGATTTTATTTATGATTTTACTTCTGGTAAATGTAAATATGAAAAACAAAAAATAGATAAATGTCTTCGATCTTATATTAACTTATAAGGATAAGAAATTTGCACTCTATCAAAAGTAGATGATTTTCACATTGCTCCTGAAATCATCAATTGTTAAAGCTATATTTAAAATTGTAAATAATGTTTAATGACTCCATAAAAAGTAATCAGGTGCATTTTGTGTGAAGATGGTTACACAACTTCAATAACCACTGGATTATGCTACAAATGCTCGATTAAGAATGCTAGAATTTGTATTGAAGGGGATTATTAGGTGAGGGATTAATGGGTGTAAGTAATCTAAAGCTTTTTAATCTAATTTTTACCTAATCAGTATATGTATCCAAAACCTGACCAATAGCGACTCATAAATGAAATGCCATACGAATGCTATAAAGGCTTTTAGCTTGATCCCTTAAATAATTGTATCTAATATTGTGATTCTAATTGTTTATCGTGCGTTTTGACTGAAGTGTACCCATATAAATTTTATTGTAATGAATGTCCTCTAGATTATTATTAATTGCCATTAAGATCATCTGAAATTGGTAAATGTATTTAATGTCCTCAATTATGTTCAGTTTGCTAATCCAGAACTGATGAGGAAATCAAAGTATCAATATATATAATTTAAGATGATCAACCCTTATTATGTTTTGAATGAGAATACAATTCTTTATACTTTGAAATGCCTTTTAAAAGCTGAAGATGATAATATAGTTATTGATCCTTATACCAATATTGCTAAATATTGCTATTAATCTATTTGCACAGATGTCGTTTAATATCAAGTAATTATCCTAAATAAATTAGCTTTATGTTGATTGCTTAAATGTGCAAGATGTATTGAATAAGAACAAATAAGCATTCTACCAGAATAACATAAATATTGGCTATTGCAATAAATTAGGTGTTTAGAAAATAATAATATACATGAAAATTATGATCAAACCTGGGATCATCTGTAATTTACCAGGTTCAATTGATATCTATAATGATCTGAGATAGAGAATTTATACACTTCAAGAAGTTTAACTTATAATGGAAGGATAAGATAGAGGTGGCATAAATGTGCCACTCAATATAATGAATTTTAACAGGGTTGAATTTATCAACGTGAATTTAGAAATAAAGAAGATATAATAATTGAAAATAGACAATAATTCTAACCAAATCAGCTTAATCATCAAGAATTCAATTATATTTGGATACATAACTTAAATTCAAAAATACTCTATAAATTTAACCAAATGCGGAGATTTGATCATTTAAAATCTTTAGTTATCAAACTTAAATCTTATAAATTCCACGCTTTTCAATTACATTTCTATAAATCCAGAAAGCAAAATTTCTATTTCAAATTTAACAATATATGCCTCCATTTTTAATAACAGTTTTTTATTTATTTTTTCAAACCTAACTCAGAACATTTAGATTACTAATATTTCAATAGTAGGTTGCTAATTTTATAATTCTCCCATATTTTCGTTTAATTCAATCTCTCCAAATATATAGTTATAACTAGATATTAATGGTTTCGAATTGCAAAAAAGCATATTTATTGCCTCAAACCTAATTGTAGCATCAAATGGGATTTAAGTTAATCTTAATTACTTGTAAATTTATTAAAACTAATTTACTAACTCGACTTTGCTAGGTTTAAGTTAAAATTTAGTCCTTTATAACACATTGTTAAGGGAAAACCTATTTATTAACTCATTATTTTTATATATAACTGAAATAGAAGGATAATCCAAAACTATTTATATTTATAACTTTAGTGTTATTTCTAATTCAATTTAAACTTCATCCATAATTAACACCAAATAATATATCAATAACGCTTTTACAAAATTTTAGATTATTAATTTGCTAATGAGAGATAATTACAACAATTAATATTCTGGATTGTATCTATTTAATTTAAATTGCTATTCACTAATAATCAAAGGCTGCTTAATTATTAATTCTATTAATCTAAATCATTTTAAATTATTTGAGATATAATCAATAATTATTGAAAATATAATCTACTTAAATATCTAATAAAATTATAAAGTACCTTTGTCTTTGGAATGTATTGATCAAAAAGAATAAAATCCTTAATTATTTTATATTTCCGGATTCTCTAAGCTTTTAATCCAAAAAATTAGAATTAAAAATTAATTTAGCATTGATTATAGTCTTATACACATACTTTCAAATATTTTGTATTCACCTACTATTAAAGAAGTAATTGAGATCAAAGATGCCATATTTGAAGGAAATATATTACTCAAGTAAAATCTAGGAATTATAATTTCGTAAATATCAATATATTCTGAAAAATTCTAAGAAATCACCTTTGAAAATATTGTTTTTTAGGAAGGATTTTTCAATGAATAAATCGATGATCCATCTTAAAACTCAGCTGGACTTATATTCCTCAATTCTTAACAAAGCTCTGTGATTATCAATAATCTAACATGTCAATCAAATGCAGTAACTAATTCTTCTAATTCCTTTATTTACATCAACTCAAATTCTGTTTAAATAAAAAACATTACAATCAAAAATCATAACTCTTTAAACTCAACTATTTGGAAGAAATACTATGAGATTCCTCTGTAACATTAAAACAATTCAGATTAAACTATCTATATTGTCTAATCTATATTTAAATTTTAAAATAAAGGAGGAATAATTTCGATAACATCTTCAAATATAGTTATTACTTCAGGTCAATTTGATTAGATATAGGCTTAAAGCAGTTCGATCTTTGATATTAGAACTTAAGGTTAAGGAGTAGTTCATTTCGATTCACTTTCTATTAGCTAAGCAGAAGTTGATCTTTAATCACCCACGGAGATGCAAGGTTGTATTAGTATATACTCAAGAAACAGCCTGCTTAATCTAATAGTTTAGAATGTTAAGTTTAAGAACATCTTTAACAGATTAAGTTCATCGGTTTTATCCATCACTCCATCCCAAAAATTTAATAAAATTGATATTCAGAATGTGATATTAGAGAGTTGCTTATCATTAACTAATCAATTTGTGAAAATTGAATTTTCTTAATTTGATTACAATTTAGTATCCATCTAAAATTTATAGATTTATCAGTCTGATTAAGATTGGATAGAATATTTTAATAAAATAGATCCGATTAGTTTGAGTGAAATAAATAAAGTTCCTATTGATAATGCTATTATAAATTTAAGTGGATGTCAACTTATTATTAAGGGTTTAATATCTGAAGGAACATTTATATCTCCAATTTTTAAAATTTCTGATTCTTAAAAAATACAAATAAAAGATTGTAAAATTAATTCAGTTTAGACATTTTTTACATTTAGTATATTATAATTTATTTAGACTAAAACCTAAAAGTCTTCTATTTTTCTAGAAGAATTCGTATTAAAAAATATAACTTTATTTTAAAAAAGTAATGAATAAGAAATACCATAGAAAGCATCTTAGAATAAATATACTGCAAATAAATGTGCTATTTATATAAGTGCTCCAATAACTTAAATCACATCAACGTATTCCTTCTAATAAATTTTATAATATTTAAATGAAAATATATCATCAACTGGATCTTTAATTTCATTATAAAGTGTTTCAAGTGAAAATGTTATTAATCTTCTAAACTTTTTCATAAGTTCTAACAAATTTTCAGAAAAACTGAATGGACTAATTAATTTTGATCTATTAGGATTTTAAGAACTAAGACTAACTGAAGTTAATTGTTTTAAAAATTTAATAAACGAATTTGGTTGCCTCACATTTTTTGCAAGTAAAAGTTTAGAAAGAAAAATTAGAATAATAAATTCTAAATTTTTGTATAATAATGGCACATTAGGTTCAGGAATATTTGCCAAAAAAGTGATAATTGATATAAAAAATAGTTTATTCATCAAGAATATAGCATAACAAGAGGGTGGAGCTATCTATATGGAGGATTGCAGTAACCATTTTAGGATCAATAATTCTTTTATATTAAAGAATAAAGCTCAACAAGGAGGTGGGATATATTTTAATGGAAATAATCATATCAATAAAGATAATGTCAGACATTCATTAATTTTATTAAATTCTGCTGAAGAATTAACAGATAATATTGTAGAATTACCGCATCATTTAACTTTATCAATAAATTATAATAAGATGATATCTTCTTAAGAGATATCTGAAAATTTGACTACAAATATTTTAAAATTAAATTCCTATAACATTATAGAGTAAGGTTAATTAATAAATACAAGTCAACTTTATTTGCCTAGTAATCAAGCAATTATTGACTTTATATTGTTTAATCCAAAAAATTAAGGATATTTATCATACATTTATGAATTTTCTTTGTTGTTCTCAAATAGTTTGAATGAAAAAGTATCAAATCTTATTAATTTTACTTGCAAAGCATAAATGTTCTCTTAAAATCAAAATAATGAATCTATTGAAAATGGTAAACCTATCTTAAATTTACCCTATAACTAAGAAAAAAATATAGTAAATTTGGAATAGCTTACTTTTACATTCGATCCTTATTAAAATAATGATGAACTTCTTTTGGTTTAAATAATTTGCTCAACATCCTAAAACTAAAATACTTTGAGATACTTTTTTACAGCCAAAACCTTCAAATGTTAATTGGGAGAATTTTATGTAAATAACGGCTGCTAAGTATGTTAACAAAGTCAAGGGTTTTATTCAGTTACTTATGATACAACTAAATGTTCAATTTTTGATAAGACGAAATTTTCAAACATCACATCCAATAGAATTTAATTACTAAAAGGATTTTGGAGACCGCATGAATAATCTGATGATACTGAACTTTGCTTTAAATAATAAGCATTTTGCTTAGGTGGATGGGATGTGGGCAATAATCTATGTTTAAGAGGACATGTTGGAGGATTGTGTGAAGAGTGTGATAATTATAATATTAGAGGTGAAGGTCAATTCTTCAAAGACTTTGAAAATTAAACTTGCCAATTATGTTCTAAAAGTGCAAAAAGCGTATTTATATTTATAGCTGCATCTTTATGGTAATAGTCTTTAAAGTAATTAGGTCTATATTTTAAATTCTTCTAACGTTAAGAAGTATTGATAAATCAAATCAATTATTTTATTCATTGAAATTAAGGAAGAAGGTTAGCAAAATTCTATTTAAACTAAATCAAGGTATAAATTGTATTTTAATAAGATCATCAAAGTATTTAAATAAAAATGTTTATAAATTTCCTATGGATATTTTCGTTAATCTTTTCTTTTAACATTTAATTTTCGTTTTCTTTTGGATTTGTTGATCAAATTAGCAATCCTTCTAATTTTATGGCAACTAGTTTAGATTGTTATCTATTAGATTTCGAATAAATTTAGCTAAATTACTCTAGAATTATAGCAACACTATTGCTAATCTTATTACAACTGATTATCATGTTTCTTGGTTCTCAAATTTTTGCTCTAACAACCAAGTCTAAAAATGTTAATAGTGTTTTATCGAATACCGGGCTTTACCTTTATGTATCAAATTTTGCTGCATTGATTAAACAGTACAATTATTAAGATAAATAGATTTTCTTCATTGTTAGCAAGAAGATAAATATCAAATGTTGATTACATTCAAGGTAATGTATCACTCATGTATGATACTCAATCTCACTATACATGGATATATCGATTTATAATACCAGGATTAGGTTTTGTTGGGTGCTTTATTCCTTTATTTTTATTTTCTTTTATGTTCATTATGAGAAAAAAGCTTGATATGATTAAATTTAGAAAACACATATGTTATATGTTTAATGAATATGATGAGCGTTGTTACTATTGGGAATTCATTAAAATATGGAAGAAGACTATATTAATTATAATTCTAACCTACTTTGAAACTAACATACTTTTAAAGGCATCTTTACTAGGACTCAGTTTATTGTTTTATCAATTGTTTGCTGTTAAAATTAAGCCATTTATAAATTAAAAACTGAATTCCCTTGACTTAGAAACTGGATAGTTTTGTTCCATCGCCATATTTTTGGCTGCCACTATTTATGTTTGTGAATAAACATCAAATCAAATTTATTCTTATCTACTTTAATCTAGTATTATTCTGTTGTTCATTAAGCTCTGTTATCCATTTATTTATTAGATTATTCGCTTAAATTATAAAATGTAGAGAGTGAATGTACTTACTCTATTATTGAAATGTAGTAGCTTATTAATGAGTAATTCTGCACTGGTTAAACATTTAAATTTCAAACTGGTTGAATTAAAATAGAGAGAATAAAAGTTGAACTCAAATATTTAAAAATTGAGACAACATCTATTTTCTGTTTCAAAAAGTATTAATGAAAATTAAAAGTATTAATATATTAATATTTTCTAGATTATTGTCGTCCTAATAATAATTTTAAAATAAATCTACTTTTAGAATCCTGACTTCTAGAGAAACTGAAGTTGTAAAATTTATGAAAACTGATCAAGAATGAAATTTTTGTTTAAACTCTAATTTAATATGTTAAATTCATAAGTTAATAATTATAAATGAATTTAAGAATATTAATTAATAAAATAATGGTCTTTAAATAAAATTAAAAAAGCGGCTAATCAAAATTAACCTCTGTTTTGATTAAATTCTTAATAAGAAATTCTATATAACTTTTTTAATTTTTCATCTTAGGACGGACCGAGCTTAGTAATGAAGATGTTAAAATTATAATCTTAAGATATAAGGTTTTGTTATAAACAATAAATAACAATATTAAAATATTATGGATCAAATAGAAAAATCATTAATTTAATCTAAATTAAAATAATTTAAACATGTTTAATTTTGTAATTCTATTGATTGTAACTTCTAGGCCTTGCAATAATTTGAAGTGGTTTTCCTAAAAATGTGAAAATTATAAAAAGATATGCACTCCTATAATAAAGTAAAAGAATGTTATATTTTCAGAAAATGATAAAATAATAAAAATTATATATAATTTTAGAATTAAATAAATATCTTAGGATATATTATGGAAATGATTCATTCATCTATTGCCAAATCTCACATTTCGAGTAAATAGATTACCTTCAAGTTTATGTTATTGATGGAATAAGGATTAATAAACTAAAATTACAAATGATAGTTACTCTCGTTCTTTTATAAATCCTGACTTTAGTTTTGAAGATTTTAAAGTTTATTGTTTCCAATTGCTTGTTTCATTAATTTGCGCTCTTCTGTACATACTTTTTTTTTTTATTACTATTCTAGATCTTCAGCTGTGTCCACCACTTTACATTATTTTTTTTGATCTACTTTTTATTTTTCTTTTAATTCAATTTCTTAGTACAATTATGCTTTTCTAATTTCTACTTCCTCATTAGTTGGACATAATCTACAATAACAATTACAAAATTACTAAACTATGTCTTTCTCTGTGTAAGGTTGATTGCAGATTGGACATTTGAACTCTTTGATTTTTAAATCTTTAATTAATTTCTCATTAAAAACACATCCACAGGTCCATAAAGCTTAGAATCTATTTAAAAATAATTAAATACTTTTCTTTTCCATTTAATGCCTTTTAACTAATGGGACAAACAAAAGGGAACTCATTATTTTGATCTGGATTTTCTGTAATATTCAATTTTTTTATTTTTTTCATCTAGGATAGGTTTGAAAATATACATTTTATAAATGCTTTAGTTCTTATGGTATTTTCTTTTCCATGAAGGCCTTTAGTAAGGAATCATAATTGTAAAGGTATCCAACTCTGCAACAAGCAATTGGTTTTCTCAATCTTTCTTTGGTCAATGAGCAAAATTAAGCTCTTTACTATAATCACAAAGAGATCATACTTTTGCAACTAAAATGCTCTCAACTCTTTTCTCTGGCTTTTTTAATTTAACCAATTCTGCCCTTCCTGCGATACTTCCTCCGTCATTACCCATAATTAATATATATATTATATATAAAATAATATAATGTCATGAGAAATTATAAAGTATATGATATAATTCAAAAACATGTCTAAGAGTATCAGCATAGTTTTTTAGAACTTGAAAATTGATTGCATTATGATTTTATTGCTTTCAATAGAGCGAGAGTATTTTCGATTTTCTTACCAGTTGTTTATGATTTATTAGCAAAGATGCTATTTTAGGTTTGATTGGGATTTGGTGACGCAGTGACACTAGACCAAAAATTGGAGGATGATCTATAGTATTTTTCTTTTTTGATATTGCTTTTTTCAGTTTGTAGTTTAGATTTTTATTTAGCATTCAAAAATATTAAGGCTTTATCCTTCATTACTTTGTCAATTGAAATGTTTTATGTATCCTCTGTGAGTATCCTTTGAAAATATGCTCTTGAAGATGTGTAGGAATGATGATTATTATATGACTTCTTTGCTCTTGACTGTGAAGAGGGTCGAACAGAGAGACTTTCCATAGAGGATTGAAGTGTTTCTTGTCTTAGGTCAATGAGGTTCAACTTTTTGGAAAGGGAACTTAAATAGTCAAGTAATTACTTAATTATAAATTTAAGTTCCAATAATTAGTTTGATTATAATTTGTTTATTTTTGTTTGGTTTTCTACTTATGATTACAGCTACTCACATTATCGAATGCTTTCTTGTAATTGCAACTCTTTTGAGTCTATTTATTCCAACAATTCTTAAATCTATTTTGATTATTATAACAACTTATTTTCTAATAACTATGTAGGTTGTGCAGACATACTTAATTTTTTTACAATTCAAGTATTAATCGTTCTGAAGTCTGAATTACTTTGAGATGAGTAATATTCGAATTGTCTTCAGAGTTTTTATCCAATTAAGACACTCTTGACATGGTCATTGATGGTTCTAGTAGGTTTTAACTATTCTTAAATTTGCTATAATAATCATTCAAAAGGATATCAGTTAGATTGTTAGAGACAAGCATATTGGTGAGATGATCAGATTACGAGATTTCCAATTATGAGTCTTAATCCTTTTAATCCATTAAATAAAGTATAATAAATTAAGATGATTGTTTTAACAATTCTTACTAACAAAGAAAATATAATTATAAAGCTATATTCAAATACAATCCTCTTCCACTTTCTTGTCACCCCAAGTATTAATGATGTCAATCTAATTTAATTAAAATTCTTACTCTTCTGACCAAAGTGAGGAGCTTTTAGACCTTTCTATTGTCCTGAACCACTTCAGCCAAATCTGTATAGTAGGTAGACCAAGGGTATGCTTTGTTTTTTAATAGAGTCTAAGGAATTAGTTGAAATTCTTACTTCTACAATAATAAGATGATTTCCCTCTATTGCTAAGTAAAGAGGGGTTCTATGCAAAATGTCAGCTGCGTCTACATCTGCATGATTCTTTATTAGTAATTCAACCATCTCGACCAAGCCCTTCTTACATGCCCAATGCAAAGCAGTCATGTTATAGAAATCGAAATCAAATACAAGATATCTATTATATTCTAGCAATTCATTGACTCTGTCCATTTGATTCAGCTTTACTGCATGAATAAATTCATTTGACATTTTTCGTTAATAAGGCTTTTTAGAGAAGACTTTGTTTTCGATCATATATTGTGGATCAATATTCATGGCCTTCAATTTGTTTATTGCTCTCAAAAGTATCATTCTCAATTGTTTTTTTGTTCGCTTTGGTGGTTCAATCTTAGCTTTCACAAATTAATGATCGAAATCAAAGTGTTACATTATACGAGGAGATTGAAATTCTGATATTACTGTTTCTTTTGGAGATTACAAAGCAGGAGGTTTTTGGGCAGAAGAGATTTCCAATTAGGGAGTTTCTTCAATGGTCTTTTGAAATAGTTGAGTTTATGGCAAAGTGTTAAACTTTCCTTGTTTTGTTTAAGTAAGATAGCCTCTTACGGTTCGATGAGTAGTAGGTCTAGAAGTTTTGGTAGTGTTTGTTGGAGAGAGGTTCTTGATGATACGGAACCTAGGTGTATTATTTTTGTTATAATTGTATTCTATTTTAAGTTTTGGTACTTTTGGAAAATGTTCACTCAACATTTTACGATGATTTGTAGGTTTGCCTAATAATTCTTTTATTTAATTAGTTTGCTGGCTATCCTTTTTTAAATTTGTAACTCTTGGAGGCAATTTAAGCTCCCTGTATATTACGTTTCAAATACCTAAATTCACTGAGTATTCGCAAATAACATTTATTTTAATATAATTCATTCATTATTATAATTAATGTATAAATTCAACAAGAGTTAAACAGTTCCACCAAGGACCAAGGAAAAAAGCAGCATTCTCGCTCTCTGTGTTAATTGCGAAGAATTTATTCCTATTGATAGGATAGATCTTCATACCTAAATTTGTACTTAGGTTTCCAATAAAGTACGCAAATTTGCGTTTTCTTCTTTTTATTTCGAAGAAAACGATTTCAAATTGAAGAAATTGAAAACCAATTTATCAACCAAAAATTATTAGCATACCTAAAGATTGTGTCGAATTTGCGAATTAGTAACGCAGATCAATTCCATAGGATATGTAGAAGAGGCATCGTTGATAGAATTCGAATAAGAACTAATCCTCATGAGTAAAGAACCAATTCAATCTTTGAATTTATCACTATATATCGAAAGATTACACTCTCTTGTAATACAAAGAATATAAATCATTTAAAATTAGTTGAATTCTAAAGTTATTAGGCCCTCTTAATCTTAATAGAACTTTTATCCATAAACTAGCACTGTTTATAATTCAAAACAATCTAAAATCTCAACAGGTTCTACTCAAACTTTGAGTAATATTAATTTATAAAATTTGATTTCTAACAAATTTGAATAGTCGGAAATTTTTGTTTCAGGTCATAGAATTTCATCAAGTCAAATCCCAGAGAATCGAATGACAACTATTACTAGATTCTCATAGGATAGTGGAAATTAGTAATAGGTACTTACATCCCAATAACGGAGAGGTGAAGTCCTATTAACTAATATAAGTGAATAGTCAGTAGAATCAATAAAAGAATATGTAAATCCAAAAACCTTTGCTTAACGTTGTTTTTACTCCAAGGTTTTAAATATGAAACTAGAATACCCATAAACAAGTCCCGCTTAAAAAATACCTGTGTCCTTACTATGGAAATTAGCAGAGTAAAAATAAATAAAATCTGGAAATTGGGATTTATTTATTCAATAATGTCTTGATAATCCTTTTGAATATGTGGATCCTAAGAAATTCAATAAAAATTTCAATAATTCGATCTAATATCAACGCAAATATTGAATCAATGAATTTAGTTTTCATTTTCAAATATTTATCCAAAACATTATAAGTTTTACTAGGATAAATTAATATTTTACATTTAAATTCTTATTCATTATATTATCAATATATATTTATATGATCAAATGAAGTTTATTTAAATCAAGTATATTTTATAATAAAAGTGTAGAATATTGGGTTTAAATAAGATATGAAGGAGGAATAAGAATGAGAGAATCTGCTATAATAAATTTAAAAATTAAAATAATTGAAAATTGGAAATTTCTTGAACTTAATTTTTCAAAATTCTACTAAAAATTCAATTGCCATTTTTGTAGCTGATTAAATGAAAATTCTTGAAGAAATCACAAATCATTTATAAAAGTCTAATAATCTCGAAAAGTCTACTCGCCAGACTTCTTTTAAATATATTATTAATTTATATATAATTTATTATATAATAATCAATTTAATTAGAAATGATAATTATGCAATTGTAACTAAATATTCGGCAAGATATATCAATATTGAATATTTCTATTCCTTGGTTCTATTTCATATTATTGCTTAGAAGCAACTTAATTCTGTTTTAACTCTTATTAACTTATAGTCATCTTTATAATAAAATTCCATAGACATATCTAAAAAAAAATATCGAATACTTTCATAGGAAGAGAAATAAGCTGCAATTAATCAGATGTAGAGCAATTGTGCTTCTTAATCACTAGAAATGGTAGCACAGAATTTTTAAACTTCAGTGAAGAATTTAAGAAGGTGGTATCGTGAAGGAGTATAAAGAAAGCCAGGTTGCGGAAGAAAGAAGTTAAATGAAACTGCAGAAAAGGAACTTGCATTATGGATAATAAATGAGTCAATCAATTAAGGGAAAAGAATAAGAAGGAATGTGTTGAAGGAGAAGGCAATTGAATTGTTCAAGGATCCTCAATTTAAGGCTTCAAAAGCTTGGTAGGATGAGTTCATAAAGACTCACGATATCAAATTTCTAGTTAATAAAGAGCTTTATAATAGAGGAATGCTTAATAGCTTGCAGGCTTAAAAATTGGAGGAATAGTTGAATATCAGGGAATAAGGAGGATAGTTAGTGATAAAACAAAAACAACAATCAGAAGACATACCCACTGAAACTAAGTTAGAGGAGAAGAGAGAGAGAGTGATTACTAGTCCCTTTGATTAGAAGGAGGAAGAAGGAGTTTTTAAGTTGATCAGGGATGAGGGAGCAGCACATGAATTGGATTATTTAGATGAGTGGTAGATCAATTAGGGCTCGATGAATTTAATTTATGAAGAAGAAGATGGACTAAGGGATGAGATTTAGGATGTGTCTGAGGTGTACTTCCCGAAACTAAAGAGAGTAATTGATTAATTTAACCAATATATAAATATATTATAAGAAAAGAAAGGAAATTATTTAAACTTGGGTTAAAAAGGGAGAAATTTAGATTTTTAATATTAATTTTTCACTAATACATAAATACTTATAATTTTGATAATAATAATGAATGCTGTTTCACTTTTAATTGATGAACTAAATGATTAAATACTGGCAGATCAATTTTAATACATAGATTCGATAGGAGGAGGATCTTAAGGCAAGGTTGTTAAGGCTTAGAGCAAAGGCCTAAATTAAAGTGTCGCAATTAAAGTAAATTAGTTAGTTTAAATGGTTAGATTATTGAAAGACATAAAAATAAAGCACAAGATTAGGAAGCATCTCTGTTGGAGAAGTGTAATCATTATAATATTGTACATTTTCATAAAGTTGTATTTTTGTATAATTTTAGTTGCTTTATACCCATAATCATTTGTATATCATAATGGAGTACTTGCAAGGAATAACCCTCTAGGAGGTAATGCAAAAGCAACTGCGGGAAAACAAAATGAGAAATCTTATTAAACAAATTTTAGAAGGCTTGAGTTATTTACACAACCAAGGGATTATTCATCGAGATTTGAAGCCATGTAAGAAAAATTTAGGATTTAAGCAAACATATATTTGGTTCGAGAAAACAATAAATCCATTGTTAAGCTGATTGACCTTGGACTTAGTTATTAAATATGTTCACATAAAATAGCCAATAAGTAATGCGGTACATTACTATACATGGCACCAGAATTGGCATAGGATGTCCCTTATAATCAGACCGTAGACATTTTTGCCCTCGGGATTATTTTTTATTAGTTATTTCATGATGGAAAACATCCATTCTACGTTCCTGGCATGAGAAGTTCTGATTACTTCAAAAGATTAGCAAAATTGGAGTTTAATTTGGATTTTAAAGAGAATATTCCATCCATGGCAAAAGATTTTATTTAAAAAACAATGGCTTTATCCCCTGATGATAGAATGTCAGCATATTAATGTTTGGATCATCCATGGATTAAGAACGTTGAACAATAACAATATCCAATCACTACAAATGAAATCATCTCAACATTTATAGTGAAATAGAAATTCATAACAATTATCAAGGCCTTAATGATCTAAACATAATTATTGTAATTATCCATAAAGAGGGAACCAAGCGAGAGTGAGAGTAGATATTATACTAAATCCTATTTAACAGAAATCGATTCATAGTAAGAATAAGAATTCGTTCATTTACGCTTTCCCATGAGTTAGAGAGATAAGCTTCCCAAATCCAAATCGAAAATGCTTAAAACTGTCTAAGGCACATTCAATACGCCTTAAATGAAAAAAAGAGAGGTTTCAAGATAGTGCTTAGCTTTCAGCTTTTTAGGTTCCCCAAAATTCCTAACACCCTAAGCTCACACTAAAAGGAATCTTAAAACACCTTCTCCTCCTTAATTTAGATTGCCATCCATTAAATCGCCAAAATAAGTTCAAATTCCGAAGATATCTAATATTATAAATAAATCTAGATTTTTTTAATAATGATATAGATAAATTTTATATATTAATTTATGGTATTAGATGATCTCATCATATATTATTTCATTTTATTTAGAGTTAAAATCAAAAATCATTCAAGATTTGATGGCAATTTAATCTAAATTTATCATCAATTGGTGTTACCTCGAAATGTTATTTATTTAGATATATTTTTGTTAAGACTATATTATTTTCAAAATAATTTTACAAATTACTTTAGAGATCATTAAAAATATATTAATGTGTCAAAATTTTCTAATTAAAATGTGAATCTATTATTTACTTATTTAATGTGTATGCATTATTGATCGAATGATAATATGGTATTTAAAGAAATGATGGTTTATCCTTTTGAATTATGATTTCGTAATTATAGAAAAAAATGAAAAGAAGAAGCATTATTTACTAAACCAATCGTAAAGATAAATTCAACAGTAACACAACATAATTTCATACAAAATCCTTGCTTTTAGTCTTACTAAACTAACTTTTTTTCATTTGTTCTTCTTTTTAAACGTTGTTAACTTTAATCTATTTAGGAGACTATGACTTTGGTGACTAGAGGTCTTCGGTTCTTGGAGAAGTAATCTTTATTTCCTTAATCTCATTAACAAATGATAATCCATTGTTACAATCCAATTTAGGTGAAAATTACATGTAGGAATTAGATTTCTTATGTTTAGGAGTTTCAGATCCTTAGGAAGATGGAGAGGATTACCGAGATTTTAATCCCAGTTGGATAGTTAATTGCTTGTTATGCAACATATCTATATAAGTAATATTTTTATTTTTAATTGGTTAAAACAAAATAGAGACCATTTAAATCATAAAAATAATATGTAAACTTTCGTTGTTTTTAATTTTTAATAATTCAATATGAATACATAAATATGCATTTATGAATAATGCTAAATTATTGCTCTGAGTAAATTAAAAAGACTCTCGAGAACTATATTCTTTTTGGGTTTCATGGATCTTTTTATGGATTTTGTGTGAATAAATATTTAATTATTTTTAATAAATAAATGGCAACTAAATAAAAATCAATTGAGGATTATAGGAATGCTGTGAAGTTATTAAAATTAAAAGTTTTAAAATTGCAAAAACAAAATGAAGAGCTCATTGACAAGCTGAGAGAACAAGGAATTCCCCTTGATTAATAGCATGATTAAGTTGATTTGAGCAATCAAGCAGTTATGGGAATCTTTTCACGAAGTTGTAGGAGGGTTGGACTAACTCCGGAAATGATGTTTAGAGCATCTGATAGGGAAGGATAAGGATAGATAAGTACTGAAGATATGAGACTCTTTTTATCTAAAGTTAGATTGGGTTTGAATAATACCTAATTGACCATGTTGGTGAGAATTTTCGATGAGGATTGCTCAGGAGTGATAAAGAGAGAAGGTAAAATACAAAAAGTAATATAGAGTATTATGATTGTTTGTAAGCGTATGGAATCAATGAAGAAAAAGTGCAAGGTTAGGCCAGAACTTATGGTTAAGAGAGTCTTCTTAAATATGCTCGTTTACTATTGATGAATAGATTGTCTGTTGAGGATTCTCTTAAAAAAATGGGAGATAACATAATCCCATCTCATTTTGTGTAATTCAAATATCAATTATTAGGTCTTTCATTCATGGGATTGATGGATAAAATTTATTAAATGAAAAAGAAATAATAGCTGTTTTCAATCACATAGATGTCAATAAGAGTGGAGTTCTTTAAGCAACATTTTATGATTAAGAGGTCCGTAAGGCAATGAGAGTGGCATAATCCGATATAGGTTTGGGTGTTCAAATTAATCCAAACACTGGAGGAGGAGGAGGCAATCCAATTCCTAAGCCTTAGCCTGTGGGGATTCTAAAACCAAGTCAAATTTCATAATAATTGGACCCCTTTAGAATGACTCAAACATAGATGGGGTAATCTAAATCAGGTTTGAATATGTCATCTTCCCATGCATTCTTGAATGAGACAATTATTATGTTGACAGAGGAGGATAAGAAGAATATTCTAACGATAATAACAAAACTTAAAGCATAAGGAGTGGATGCTATTGAGTTTATTAAAATTGTGATTTAACAATTGGAAGTTCCAGGGGCAGGAATATTGTTGTATGATTTTTATAAGAGATTTGATAAGAAGATTCCTAAAAGTGATTAGTTGTCATTTTTTAATGCTATTGATTTGAATAAAAATGGATCAATAGACTATGATGAGTTGATGGTCTTTTTCTAAGAATTTAAGTCTCCAAAAGATAATTTTGATTTGTTGTTTGAAATTTTAACTAGGAAGTTGTAAGCTTTAGAGATAGGTATAGTTTAACATTTAGCCTCTGAATAAATTTATGAGGATACATAATTAAATTAAGAATAATTTTATTAATTGGCTTAGATATTATTCTCATGCCCATCCAAAAAGCATTCTGATGCTCTATTTTCATATTTTGATATTGATGGATCCGGTATTCTATCAGCCTAGGAAATAATTGATTAGGTTTAAAAGATTCTATTAATTTATGTTCCTCAGAAAACAATGAATTTAGATAACACACTTAATAAATCAATGAGAGCATCTCTTAAGTCAGTTGGAGAATATGCAACAACATTATCAAAATTAAAACCTGTATTAACGGAGGAGGATTACTTCGGTAAGTACAGAATGGAAGGAAGTGGAAAGACTTTACATAAAGAAGAAACTAAATGGACAACCATATTCAATTCAGATTTAGCTTGTTTGAGATATGTTTATGAAGAAATATCCAAATTGGAATAGAATCCTGGTGCAAAATGGGAAGATCCTGACTTTGGACCTACTAAAGAAGATCCCTATGGCAGTAAGAGTATGTACTTTGCTGATAATGATGTCCCCGAGGGTGCTCCATAGCCTAAGGAGTGCAAATGGTTGAGACCTGAGGAATTCTTGGCTGCATTAGTGGAGAATGGAGATGAACAATATAAAAATAGTACTGTTGATGTGTTTGATGAGGACGGAGCTGCTTCAAATGATGTGTGTTAATCAAAGTATTTAGGTAACTGTTGGTTTGTTTCTGCATTATCCATTATATCAGGATATGAGTAATATTTGCAAGGGGATTTTGTGATAACTTAGGAATCCATATAAGAGTTGACAGATGAGGAAGTCAATGGAATGCTAATTGGAGTTTATCCACCCTGTTTCAAATTCTTAAGAAAATATGGATTATATGTGATGAGATTCTTCAAGAATTTCGGATGGAAATATGTAGTTATTGATGATAAGCTGTGTGTAAAGGATAATGAATATGTATTTGGTAAAAATAGGAAGCCTACAGAGAGTTGGGTCAATTTGATAGAGAAGGCTTATGCAAAACTCCATCAAAACTATTTTGCCTTAACAGCTGGAGACATTGCCTAAGGTTTGGCAGATATGACTGGTAAGGTACCTGACAAGATTAAGTTGAATGAAGAATGTACAAAAGCTGAAAAGGAAGATCTTTGGAATCTGTTATTAAAATGCAAGAAGGATGGAACAATGTTGGGATGTAGTGCTGAAGGAGGAACTGAGTTATATATAAAAATCAATGATGAAGACACAGGTGTTATGAGTGGACATGCTTATGGTATATTGGATATGTTTGAGATCCCTGATTAGAGTTGCAATAACTATCATAAATCACATAGATTATTAAAAATCAGAAATCCTTGGGGATATGGAGAATGGAAATTGAAATGGTCAGAAACTCCAGATTATTCTGCTAAATTGGATAAATGGATAGATTGGATAAATGATTATTATTAGAAGGAGATTGAAAAGGCCAAGTTGGAAGGCAAAGAACCTCCTGAACCTTATGTTTATGGATAAGATGACGGTACATTCTTTATGTGCTTCAAAAGTTGGAGAACTGTGTTTTCTAATTTGTTCTAATGCATGTATGAAGATTTCGATATATTAATAGTGACTTCCCTGACGATTGGAGTGGATTGAGAGCATTTGATTAATTTGGACTGTAGAGTTCTGGAGCTCCAATGAAAACTGAGGCCTCATTAATTCAATACGCTCAAAAGAATCCATAATACATTCTTGAGTTGAAAAGAAAGAAAGGAGACAAGACTAATATGTACATATAGATGTAACAGGTGGATGGTATATATTAATTGTATTATTTTTATAGGAAGATTATTTTTGGGAGAGAGATATCCCTTCCCAAATGTTATGAAACCTATTTTGCTATGTGTATTTTCTTTAGGACCTACTGAAAAATGCTTGGCTAAGTTTGATGATAAAAAGGTAGTTGCATCTTCTGGTAAGTTGAATTTGAGAAGGGAAATCGATACTAATGATATTTCATTAAGTAATGGTAGATATGCAGTCATACCTTGTACAAAGGAAGGAGCCTAATAAATTGATTTCACTTTAAGCTTTTACTTCGATTGTGATAAGAGTGAAATCAATATCACAAAATATGGTGATCCTCGCTTTAAACTTCATCCTATTACAGAGGAGGAAGAAGAAGTGAGTAAAGTGCCTGAGGAGTTAAAGAAATTGTTAAAAAAACAAGCCCAAGAAGTATTAAGTTCATAATGATCATGATATTAGGATAAAAATATCTATATTTATTGATAATAATAAATCAATTCATTTTCTCCAAATGATAACATACTGATTCTATCATATTATCCAAAGGATTCTCCCCAGATACTTTGTAAATGATTGATGCATATTTAGGAGTACTATCGATCAATTATTTTAAATCATCCCATCTCTTTAGTCTAATTTACAATAGTATTCAATCATACCTCTATTAAACAACCTCTCTTTTTTCATTTGGTGCTATGACCAATCTGGATCTCACTTCCTTATCTGCTTCATCAACTGAATTGTACATTTTTCCTGTGATTGGATCAGTTCTTCTTTAAACCAGTCTTCTTGTGACGATATCATCAGCTGCATCAATGATCACCATAAGAGTTGGTTACACATTCAATTCATTCAAAGATTCCAATTGCTTATCTGTTTTTGGATAACCATCTAGTACATAGCCTTGCAATTAGCAATCAGTCTAGTTAAGCCTTTCTTTTATTAGAGCATTGACAATTCTATCATCTACAAAATCTCCTTTGCTCACCTTCTCAAATGCTTCTTTTCCTGTTGCTCCCTTTTAGTTTACTAAATTTGAAATTAATTCTCTTGTTGAAATATACACAAATCCATATTTGCTTGATAATTTTTTGGCTAAAGTTGATCTTCCAGATCCAGGAGGTCCAATAACAACTATTCTTAGAGCTCTTTTGGGTGAATTATCATAGAGTTTGTATTTCAATAATTGCTATATAATTAATTTTATAAATATACTGCCATATCTTCTAATTCATAGTTCTTTTCTCCATCGACTGAGAAGTATTAGTTCTTGTATACTTCCTTGACTTATTTTAAGTTCAATTAATATTCCAAAGAGTGATTTTTTACTAAATCTTCTTTATTGTTTAGTTTATTAAATTGTTCTGAGTCTAATTTCTTGAGACAACATTGATAAACCTTTTCTTGTGACATTTCCAAAATAAGAAATGCATCAGGTATTATACCCTCCTTTTGAAGTGCCAAGCCTTAAACTCTAGTTTTAGGGAATCCTTCGAAGATGTAACTTTTCTTTTCATTTTCCAAATGGTTGATTTAATTAAGTGCTATATTGATCACAATTTCATCACTCACATACTAGAATTTGTCCAGAGAATCTTGGATTTATTGGCTCTAAATAAAAAATAGGCTGGGATGTATACCAATTCAGACTTTTTGCTTAGCTCCTTTTCAATCAAGTCTCCAATAGAAACAATGTGAAAATTCAAATAATCAGCCAATGTAAGTGATAATTCTCTTAATTTTGATCCAGGGGGACCAACCACAAAGATTTTTTTGGCTTGATTCAGGTATCATATATACTTTCTGGTTCTTGCAATTTATTGATTAGAAACTAGATTGGATCATCAGGTTTTTTAATAATTAAAGATTTGAGTAGATCTTCAAAGATGTGATATACTTTATTTCTTTCAAGATAATTTTCAACTTGTTGCTAATATTGCAATTTATTGGCTTAGTCCATAAGTTATCTTTTTTTTATTTAAATTTATTGATATAATTATAATTATAATTAAAAATTGAATCAAGCCTTTTTCATTTGCTCTAACAAGTCCTTTTGCTACTAGATCATTTCCTTCATTAATTTATTTTAGTGTTTTAAGCGATGAATGATCTCTTTTTTTTGTTTTTGATTTTCTATTTGAATAGGTTGTGGTTAAATGATTCGAGGGATGTATTTGGTTTTCTGCTCTTATTACTTTTGACAAGCCCTATTTATAGTAGCTGAACTGCTGATTTGAGGCATGGAGGAATTCAATTTGCTTTTCTTTTCGGGTTGAGGATCCAAAGAGAACGCCCATTCTCTGATTTCTTCATTCGTCATCAATTCTGAGAGTGGATGAATCTATTGTGAATCCATAAATATTATTGAAATCCATAAAAAAAATAAGTCCCATCTGTATAAAAATCAAAATCCTTGTTGAATTGTTCATAAGAGACATCGCAATTGTATGTATAAATATGTAATTAATTGAATATTGAATAAGAATCAATTCTCTGAATCGGAATCTATACCACTAATAATGACTTCTTCTTGAGGAGGACCCCGATGTTCTCTTTTCTCAATGGCTTGGACATTCCTTAATAGTTTTTGTCTCAATTCTTCATCTGCTTCATTGTAACTATTATCGTCATTTCTGCAATCGTCGTCATCATCATAGGGAGTGAGTTGTTTGGTGGACAGATCTTGTTTGGAAGTGTAGGGTTCTTGGAAATGGAACTTCTCGATGTGATTTTTGAGTGGCAATCTGCTAGTGTATTGCTTTCCACAAAATTAACAGCATACTTTGTCTTTGTTGGAACTATAGCTGTAATCTGAATTTGAAGACCTTTTCTTGAGATTTAGAATAGAATTGGAATTGCGACCATAATAGGAGTCAGCTTGTTTAATTTGATTGAATAACCTAGTATACTTATCGGTTAGTTGTTTCTATTCGTTGAGGTAGTTGCTAATTAAATCAGCAAGTTTGTTGTTCATTATTTTAATGCCAAAAAAAATTAGGATTTTTAAGAGAGGGATTTGGCCAAAAAATTTATATGATAATGTTAAATAATTAATATGAATTATAAAAAGTAATTAATTAATCATCTCAATTTATTTAAGTACTTCAATCGCTCAAACAATGAGGGATGACTATTATAGTACCATTGATAGATTGGGTCTACCATCAAATTCGTGGAATTCTATTTGAACAGCTTGATCAACCCACTCATCAAATACGACCCAAGACCATGACGATTGGCAAACATATCTGCTTGATACTCGAAGAAACGGGACAAATGGAGTTCGAATATTTGGAACAACGTATTCATAGGTTCAAAGAGAGAGAAGAACAAAGCAGACCCAATGAAGATGGACTTCTCCTTGAAACCAAAACTCAAGAACACCACATCCGAATCTCTGTAGAAGCCAAAGATGTAGAAAGTGATCAAAACTATTATAAAATATTAATACATACTTTTGATGCAAAAGAATACTAATTTGATATAGGGATGTCTATATTTCCAATGTCCCAATTCATGTGCAACCACGGCCACGATCTCCTCATTTGTCAGATTGTTGATGAGAGTGTCATACAGCACTATTCGCTTGCTGTACATCCCAAAGAAGTAGGCATTCGAATGATCAGATCTTTTGGACCCATCCATGACCAGGATCTTCTCTAAGGGGAAATTCATTCTGAATGCTAATTGACTGATTGCTTATTTGAGTTGAGTTTCTTTGAGTTCTTCGAATTCGTTGAATAGTGGTTGAATGTAATTAGGATAGACGAGACTGGACACTATTGCCATGATCAGCACAAAGAATTGCATCTATATGTTGTGTAGGGGAATATACCGCTATGAAAAAGTAGTCTCCTCCTAGTTCAGCCACATACAAGTAGGAGTAGAGGAGGATTGGTACAAAGACCACCCACAATGCTGATTCAATCACTAGATCACTGAATTGGAGAGCGAATGATATTTGACTTAGATCATATCTCTTCTCTATCACGTGAGTGTTATAAAAATTATTAGGAACATCAATTAATTTGAGGCGTAAAAACTCCACAAAGATATATGCCAATCCTCTTTGAAACTATAATCAAAATAGAATTACCTCTGAATTCGGGTCCATCTTAAAGAAAGTCACTGTCCTTTCCCAAATAAATGGCATCACTCCACATAAAATTACAATTATCTCAATTGCTGTTTTTATTGATTTGGTGTACATTTCAAACGACCTATGCAACATCAAATCAAATTTACAGTTTGTCATAATAAAATCGCTAACTTCTCTTAAATTGCTTCTGTGTGATCCCCAAAGTCTATTCAATATGAATAGGCATCTATTTCACTGACAATTAATCCAATTGCCTCAGATTGATAAATTGTTCCAAAAGATACTTGATCACTATGTATGATACTACAATGTAGAGATAAGAGTATGACACCTCTTATTCTTTTATTCTTAATATTGCCATTAAAATTAAAATTGATATATTTTATCAAAACTCAACTTACTTCAGCAAATACATCACCCCACTTACACTTTTGCCCCTCCTCTACATTCCATTTCACATTCTCTGCCTCAAACATCATAACAACTGTTGACCCCAATCTGAACATTCCCAATTCATCACCTTTTCTAAGCGAAATAGTTGGATCATAATGTTTGTAAACAAACAATTCCTGAGCCTTCTAATTTGTCTAAAATTCCTTATCATAATTTAAAGTCATTGATCCCACATTGGTTGCACCCACCAACACTATGCTCATTAATCCAAATTTGTATGTTCCAAACAAGGCTACTCTCTCATTTGTCTCATATACCTTTGGAGTGCTTGAAATGTAGCTGATCTTTACAGGTGCCAAATGTCCAACTATATGACTTCTGCTTTTCAATTAAAAATCACTTGGCAAATGATATCTGTGATAGTCTCCAGGAGCCAAATAAAATATGACTGAATATAGCTTCGTATTCTTTCTTTTCTTTGCATCCTCCAAGATTTAAGGACTCATCTCAAATGTCTCTTATCCAGTTAAAAAATATCCCAATTTATAATGCACATTCTTAACTAATATTGGACTATCATCCCTCACTTCGCAAAATGATAGCACCTTCGAATCTGCTGGCACTATCAACTTATTTACATTTTTATCGAATTCTCTACTTTTAATCTTGCGAGTAAAAAATTGTTGAAAGTTTTCATAATTTTCAAGTGGCTCCAACATATCCTCATAATTCACATCATAAACGTAACCAAACAATTAAAATAGTGGACTTCTCAACCATTTCGGGATGTATGTTTCAGCCATCTTACCAGATTAATAGGAGACATATCTAGTCACTGATTATTGATAAGCTTCCAAATCGTATTTATTTCGATTCTCTCTATAATATGAATACACAGCCATTCCATTTGCCAAACCGAATATCAATCCCCACTTCAAGTACCCCAAACCAACAGCCCTTTTCAATGCCTACTCTAAAATTGACATTAAATTTATGCTGTTACTTTTATTATTAAAGTTGAATTTTCTTGGATACAATTTGGAATTGATAACTAGGAACTGATTAATTATATCCATTAAATCATTTCATATCCAACTCTTGGAATTTAGAAAATCATTATTTCTAATTTATGTAAGCTTTAAAGACAGTTGTCATAACAGGAGCTAACAAAGGTATTGGCTTTGGCATTCTTGAAAATCTTATTCAGAAGTAGTCATACAAAGTTATAATGGCTTGCCGATCTCTTGAATTAGCTCAAAAGTCTAGAACCGAATTGATCGAAAAATACAATGTATCCTTAAACTTTAAATTATTACCAGCTCTCTCAAGATAGAATTGACATTATTGAATTGGACATTAGTAGTAGTGATAGTATTGATAAATTCATTCAGGAGTTCACAACTAGATTCCATTCAGCCGATATCTTGATCAACAATGCTGCTGTAGCTGTCAAGACAGATGATTTCAATTTTGAAATTGTGCAATACACCTTTAAACCTAATTTCTATGGCACAGGTATAAATTCTAACATGTAATACTCTAGTGGAGTTAACTGAAAAATTCATTCCTTTATTGGCTTAAAATGGAAAGATCATTACAATTGGATCATAAGTTGGTAACACAAAAATTTTGGAATCTGATGATCTAGTCAAAAGATTCAAGAATCCAAACATTACAAGAGAAGATGTTTTCAAACTGGCTGATGAATTCTAAGAACATGTTAAGAATAGTATTATGATTGGTTATTTTTAGATACTTATAAGTAGAATGGTTGGCCAAGTTGGGGATATGGAATTAGCAAATTACTAATTAATACTTATGTCAAGACTTTAGCATCAAATGCTGATGTTAAGCATAAGCATTTATAAGTTTACACATGTTGTCCTGGATGGGTCAAAACTGATATGGCTGCAGAGGGAGCATTGCTGACAATAGTAGAAGGGGCTTTAACTCCTGTGTATTTGGTAGAATTACCACATGAAGTGAATCCTGCCTATCAAGGATAATTCTTCCATCTGTAGAAGGTTTAAGAATTATGATGATATCTATATAAAGGGTTTACAATATGTTATTATATATTTCTAACACTATTTTTACAAAATGGATTAATTCAATTGATTTTATATCAAAAAATTTAATTTGTTATCGAACAATAAAGTGACAATTTATCGAAGATTAATTAATATGTAAATTAAATAAAATTCCCTTTAGAGCAATAATATTAAATTATTATTATAATATTTATTTTTAGATAATAAAAGAATAATTATAATAATTATAAATTTTATAAAAATAAAAGAGAATTTGCGTATCTTTTTCATTAGGCTATTATTACAAAAATACTGCGTGTATAAATGACAAAATATCTTTTTATCGAGACAATAATATTAATATATCATCATGCATTCAAAACAACGAAGTGTTGCCCAATTATTCTATCGAAGCTTATACAACAATACTCACGGCCTCTTAAAACAAAGAATGAGAGAGCTAGTACCAGTCAAGCAAGCTCTACTCCGTGATGTAAGAAAGCGATATGGATCTAAAGAAGTCTGCAAGGTGACTGTTGATCAGGCCATCGGAGGAATGAGGAACGTGTTTGGTCTCTTTTATGATGCATCCCTATTAGATGCTAAGACAGTAAAGATTTTCATATATAGTTCTCTCAGGGTATCACAATGAGAGACTACAACATCCCCGAATTACAAGAGTACCTATAAAAGGGTGAAAATGGCCATGAACCTTTACCAGAGGCTTTGTTCTGGTTGCTATGCACAGGTGATTTCCCTTGTAAATAGATTTACTCATATTTTTAGCTGAGCAAGAATTTGCTGATGTGTAATAGGAATGGAAACAGAGAGGAGAATTGGATTCTCAAACACAACACTTCATCTTGAGTTTACCAAAAACAGCTCATCCCATGACTATGTTGTCTCAAACTTTACTGTATCTATAAAAAGATTCCCTTTTCTAACAAGTTTATGATTAAGGAAAAGTCTCAAAACCTCAATATTGGGAGTACTTCTACGAGGACGCAATGAACTTATTAGCCAAGATCCCAAGAGTGGCTGCTCTCATTTACAGACATAAATATAAGGTATATGGATTATTATAATGTAGAATGGAGAAATCATCTCAGCTGATGAGAACTTGGATTGGGCTGGTAATTATGCCCACATGCTTGGTTACAATAAATTCGAAGTTCGAGAATGCTTGAGAGGGTATTTAAGCATCCATGCTGATCATGAAGGAGGTAATGTGAGTGCCCATACAACACATTTGGTTGGTTCAGCATTGGCAGACCCATATTTGTCATATTCTGCTGGTGTCAATGGTTTGGCAGGTCCATTGCATGGTCTCGCCAATTAGGAAGTGCTTAAATGGTTATTAGAAATGAGAGTATTTCAATAGATTAATTATTTAATAGGATGAATTGGGTGAGAACATCTCAAACGAGAAAATTCCAAGATTATGTACTAACTACAATCAGAGAGGGCAAAGTAATTCCAGGTTATGGACATGCTGTTTTAAGATATACTGATCCACGTTTCATCCATCAAAAAGATTTTGCAGCCAGACACATCAAAAATGATCCCTTAGTTGATTTGGTTAGACAATGTTATCACGTGATCCCACCTGTTTTGAAAACCATTGGAAAGATCTAGAATCCATGGCCGTATTTATATATTTATTATCAAAGAAATGTTGATGCACACTCTGGGGTCTTACTATATCATTATGGAATGAGAGAGTTCCAATACTACACTGTTGTATTTGCTGTGTCAAGAGCATTAGGATGCATGGCCAATCTCATTTGGTCAAGAGCATTTGGATTACCAATTGAAAGACCAGGATCCATTACTCTGAGATGGATTGAAGAGAAATTTGGTGAAAACTAAAATTTAAAATGAGAACTATTTCATTTCGTCATTAAATATCATATTACAAAATACTTTCTTAATATCTAAGTAAGACACTTAACATAAATCACAATTAAGAATGCAGGATCTTCTAGACTTTCTTTATTTTTGAAGATACAAAGCATTTTATAGTGTAATGAATAGGTTTGACTCTTTTTGTTCGATGGAATTTGTTTGTTCTACAATTAATTATGAATTTTACCTTATGATTACATTATCATAGTTATTATGCGGATTATAATACTTAAATAAATGCATCTTCTCAAATCTATTAAACAATATATCGTTATATTAATAGTGATGATTCTTTAATAATTCAAATTCGATACCTCTGGAGTATTGATAATTTAGAACTGTGACATCTAATTGAGAATACTCACTTTGGTGCCAGTTTTAGTGCTCTTCTTTCTATTTGTATGTCTCTGCTATTCTGAGAGTGATTAATCACTATACGATCCTTTATCCTCCTTCTTTTTTTAGGGCGGAGGCTATTGAAATTGCGTTGGAGAAACTCTAGCAGACTTAGTATTAACCTTAGAATTGCTGGAGGGATTATTAGATAAGTTGTTAGACAGAGGATTGGAGTAGGTGTTAGATCGATTTGAGGTTTGTCTGATTGAATTCTATTGTTGTTATTGAAATTGAACTTGATCATCCATCTATCCTGATTGTTATTGTTAGTAACGAAAAGTCAATTTGGTATGCATAGAACGAGCAGCAGCATAGAGATGATTTTTCTTAGCAAAGGCTTGAGAACCACTGCTCTGCTTGCTCAACTAATTTGTATCTTCTTGTTTTGAGTTAAGAGTTTCAAGTTACTTACTTTGGGATTACTCCGTGATAACTTGCAATTTCTCCTTATGCAAATTCTCTATAATTATTGATTAACATTATTACCTAGAGTTTCAGACATAAAGGGAAATCCTGCTGTTCTTAGAGTAGTTTTATTTTATTATTTTCTTAACTAGTTGTTGAATGCAGGATCAATGCCCAAATCTTCATAGAGCTAATCCCCTTCACTGTCTTGGTTGTCACTTATTTCAGGACTCTGTTTATGAACTGATTATGTTTTACTCAAATAGCTGGCGGAGTGTTATGTCTAATCTAAGTAGATTTAATATATATTTATATAAATGTATATATACTTTCGCTGTAAGGTAGTTGCGATGACATCGGGAAGTCCTCTGATGTCATTACTTCCTATGATAACTTCTATTGATATTGCTTGGCTCTTTCCCCCACAACAAACAACATCAACAGAGCCTTAGGTTCTTTGTTTTTTCTCTCAATTTTAAAGCGTTATTAGTTATGAGGGTAGATATGCCTTTCAATAATGTTTATTTTATTTGGATAATATTACAAGTATTGGCATTCAAATAACAGATGACCCTTGGATTTACAATAATGACATTCAAAAGTATTATGATTCTAATTGCAATTATCTTTGAATAAACAAAATATCTCATTATCATGAGGGAAAGTCTTAATGATTTCCAAGAAATCCGATCTTCTCAATTTCAATACTGTGGTCAAGCTTTGACTATTGATGGAAATATAAGGAGGAATCCCACTTACGAATGAGAATTCCCCAAAGGTTTATCCTTCAGACAAGGTATGAAACGTCCTTTTTGGTTTGCCTTGAAAATAACCTTAATATTGAATCTTCACTTTTCCTTTTAAAATAAAGTAGAGACAGAAATCTTCAACCTAATGTTCCTATGATATTCTATTATAAGAACTTTACTTAAACAATATTCTCCTCAGGATTATATTGGGCCATGTCGAACCAATAAATCAGTTGTTACTTCAAACTGGACGAAAACTTATTAAACAACTTTATTTTATCAACCATCTTAGAGCGGATAGAGATCTAGAGTTCTTCCTAGAGACCTGGAGACAACTTCTTAGCTAAAAGATCTCTAGTCTTTATGATGTCTTCCTAATCTTAGATAGAAGATAGGCATTACATCAATTACATATTCTAAATATGAGTAACAACGACATTGTAATCCGTAGTCAAGACTTTTGTCTTTAATTCCATTCAAAAAAGCAGCTAGATGTTTTTCCTTCTCCTCTTCCAACTTCTTAGATGGTTTGATCCAAATGAATATTACTGATGCAGTATAAATCATATTGAAGGAACTAACGATCATAAAAATTTGCAGGAGTGTAGCATTTGAAGGAGTGACATCTATTGTTATAGCACCATTGTGTGTCAATATGGAAACCGCTAATGTAAGTGAATAATTAATTCCTTCATCGGATTCTAATAAACATGCAAATGTCATAATCAATGCCACCCAAAGAATTAGGATGTAAGTTGCTAACTAAGTGGATGTGTATATGTTTTCGAATCGTTCTGCTTGTCTGGCTAATTGCAAAATAATAAAAGGGATAATGATGTATTTGATCCTGTATTGATACGAAAAGATTAATATCAAAGTTGAGGCTAGTCGGCTTAAATCCAAGACGATCTTAGAGTTATCGAAATATTCGGTATTGAACTTACCCTCACTCAAGTGAAACGGTCCTCTCTTAAAATGAATATCAGCAGCTATTTGAAGGATTGAAAATCCATGTATTATATAAGCTGCAATATCAAAGCCTGGTTCTTCGGTTGCTTAGAGAGGAATAATAATAGAAGACGCGAAGATGATCGCTGAGGTCAAAACAAAGTAGGAGATCGTGAACCATCGATACATTTGAGGTTAGACTATTGATTTCTAAAATATCTACTTTAGGCTGAATCGTCGATCAAAGTGATGTCTCTCAATTAACTCCAATTAATCTTTCTTCTCATCCTTTGGACAAACTTGTTGACTATGTTCTTCACGCGCTGAGAATTAAGAGTGCCAGATTTGTTTTTGTCCATCAATTATAACTGCAGCTATAATTTATCTCTAATTTTATACTGATTCAGATTGCAATGAATCATGAGGCTCTAAACCTGAAACATCAACCAACCTACTAGCACTGTTATTTTCAACCACTTTTACTTTTGATTCCTTTTGAAAAGAATTCTTCTCAAAACTTTTGTTTGAATGAATATTAGTATAAATTGTGGGTACCTTCATATCACTCCCACTTATGTCGCATGGCTATTAGATCGGCGAATTCATAAATATCAATTTTCGCTATTGCTATTATAAACTTGAAGAAGACTATTCCTCATCCTCCTCTTAAATTGATTAGCTATTCTAGTATCCCACAGTTCTCGATATTTTCCTTTGAGGAATGAGTTCAGTTGGATCAAGGTCTTAAAACTCTTCGATTTTTTTAGATAACTACATTATTATTTAAATTCATTCTTTATAAAGCAATAATAATCCACTCAAAACTCAAAGGGAATCAGTATCAAGAAAAACTTAGAACTGAATCACATATGCACCTATAAATAGTGAAATTAACCAAAAAAATCATTGAGTTCTGAAAACTATAAACTTTTTAAATTTTATAAGGAAATAACACCAAAAAATTAATTAACCCAACTCTTTATATGGATATATTGGATACAATCTTAAAGTTATTAGAACATGGTGAGAAAAGGCAGTATTTTTAGACTATATTTTAAAATAAAAAATGATCATGTTTGTAATTAACAACCTATGTTCTAATTAAAAAACCATGGATATTTCAAATAATTTACTTTTCACCTTAACTCAATGCTCTAAAGTAAATGAGAATTTAATTTAATTATTATCATTTTTTAGTTAATTTCAAGAATCAATATCAAATATAAATATACCTTTTGAAATTTTAAAGATTATAGTATCTTTTTAATTATCATTATAATTTTAATAATTTAATACAAATTAATATTTATTAAACATCATATCTAGATTAATAATATATAGTAATTTTTTCAATAAATAGTTTAAATGCAAACTTCTAGTTTTCTCAAAGATATATAATCGATAAATACTACTTTAAAATATCAACATCTTTTTAATAAATATTTTAAATTTCCATATAATTTTAATCAAATCTCATTCAATAATGATACTCTCTTAAAATAAAACCATGAGTCCAGGATTGTCAGCCAAGAAGGATCTTAAGGAAGATGATTCCAAAATAATAATTTCAGTATCTTCTACAGCCTCAACTATGGTAGTGGTTCTTCTGTTTTAAACGATTGAATCAATTTCTCCAAAGAACATTCCACTAGTCAGAGGATAAGTCTAAATTATGAATTATTATATACTTTTATTTCACTTATTGATGATTTTTCTGAGACTTCTGGGGTTTAGATATTCGGTCTTTATTATTCAAGCATGGCTAGATTGATGGGTAAAGATAGCCTCTTCTTTTTTTAATCAATAATTTATTATTATTATTATTTGGTCTGATCACTAATTGTTGATTCTTATCTATTAACTTTTACAGATTATCCTTCAAATTGTTACACTACATAATCAGAAGGTAATATCACTTAAGCTTTACCAGATACTACAAAAAATGCTACTGTAGCCATAACACCATATTATTGAATCATGGAATGTTTTTAGAAAACGCGTTTTTAATTTAGGAGCATTTCCAATTGAATTTTTTGATAGGATGTTAATTAAGAGAAGAATTTGTTTTTATCCATAATTTAGGTTTGAGAACGAACTACTTATAAATTCTCTAATTTTTGCATAACTTCATCGTGTTAAAATACCCTCAAAAAGTCTGCTTTACTCAAAGTTATTAAATCGCATTAATTCATAGCAGTGGCATTGGCTCTTCTCTTATTTTAATTGAAGAAGCATCCTTCGCCAAAATAATCACCATAATGCAAATATTTCACAAAGACAGGATTTTCAGAGTGTATTTTAACAGTGCCTTTGCGAATTATATAAAACTCAGTTCCAATCTCATCTTAAACACAGATATTTTAGTTTTGCTCATATTTCTTAAGAATTGAACTTTCAAAAATCTATCTTACTTAATGAATGTTTGCATGTTTAAATAAATCGATATTTTCAATCAAACTCAATTCTTAAATAGTATTCAATCTAAAATCTTCAGTTTAATTAATTAATACTATAGTATTTTCTAATCCTACTCCTGGGACTCTCAATCCAGAATCAGGAGGGATATCTTTGGCGGCAGTATGAATCAATCTTAATCTCTCCTTTACTTCTGGGGGGAGTAAAGCCAATAATTTTGCAGGAGTGTGTATAGGAGGTACACCAGCTTCATGTAAGATGAGTGAATTATTCCACTTATCTTCACTAATCAAATAATTGAATCTGGATTCTGAAATGACTCCTTTCTCATAAATAGCTTTTAATCCATTAGGTTCATAGAAAGTGTCACCACTGAAATAGATTGATTTACCTCCCAATCTCACTGTAAAAGATAAACAAGGAATACTGTGGAGAGAATAATGAAAGTCAAATGAGGCTCCATTTATCTTCAAAGGGTGTCCTACAATGACTCTTTCAAAGTTAAATAGTGATTCAATGTAATCAGCTGAAAAACCAGTCATGGCTGCATATTTTCTAACAAAACTCTCTTTAATTGTTGCAGTACTAATTAAAATGGTTTTTTCAGACTCTAATAGTTTTTAAAAGGTTCCTGAATCGTGATCGGCATGATTATGCGATATGATTACCCACTTCACCAATCTACTTGGTATTCCATTCTTTCTCAAGAGAAGTGTTGTAAATGGAGGTGGATCAAGCATCACGCCTAAACCATTTATCCAAAAGATGTAACCTGAAACTGATCCTTTTGGGTCAAATCCATGTGAACAGCCTAAAACTGTTACTCCAAATGCAGGAGGAGTAAATGTCTATTCAAAATAATGTTCAACATATTATTAATCGTTGGGATTACTAAATAATCCGTATTTTATATATGCATTGGATTTAGCATCATCTATCAAGATTTCAACTTTATTTTTCATCTTAGCTATTTGTTTCCCGTTCTCAAATATCAAAAATTTCTAATCTTCCTTTTTTACGACTACTTCCTAACCCAAATTAACTTGATTTTATTCATCAAAAATTAAAAAGTTGATCAATAAATCAACAGTTAATGGTTCGCTTGGATTGAAGGGATTCTTAGCAAAATGGCCCAATTCTTTTAATATGTCAGGTTTGCAATTGTAATCACTACTAAAATCCTAATCAAATCTAGATAAGTCTTTAGGACCAAGTAAGGTTTCTTGAAAAATAGCTCTTATTGCTTCTTCTCCTTCCTTATCTGTTATCAGGGTAACTCGTCTTCGCTTTACGAAAAAACTGAAGTAAGCTGGAAACTCAAACTCTGCTACAGACAAACAGAATCGTTTATCAAATCTATGTGAAGGTACAATAAAAATTCCAGGGACATCCAAACCTAAGTTGATACTATCTTTCAATGTCTCTGGAACCATGCTGAACTGAATAGCACCAGCCTTTGTCATTACAATGCTTCCTCCCCTAGGCAACTTAATCTTGTTGGATATATCACTCTCTGAAAATTATGATTCAGATTTTAAAAGTATAGGGTTTTTTATTTGATTGGATAATCTATCATTCTCACTTTGACCGCCATCATCAGAACCATCATCTTGATGAGAACTAGTCATTGAAGCATATTCAAGAACTTCTTATTCATTAACAAAATGACAAGCCATTTTAATCTGATAAAATTTATTTATTTGATATGTGATATAAAATATAAGTATAAATACATAGCATATGATTTATTATTTGTTTCCATATTCTAATATTAATACTGAATTTTTTTGTCTTAAATCTGATTATTAGTTAGATAGAGATGCTAAAGATATAAATTATGAAATTCATCTTAAAAGTATTTAACTCTTTGAAAGTATTTAATATATAAGAACTTATTGTCCTATATCTAACTATAATGTTTAATCAAAAAAAGTCATTATAAGAAATTGCATTCCAAAAGTTTAATAATGAATAAACAGAGATTATTTTATCAATATACAGTTAAGATCCCTTTTTTATGTAATATTATTCTAAAAAAAAAGAATTACATCCCTTATCAATTTATTTTTTTTAAAGGAAAAATTGATTATGACTCAAGATAATATTACATACATTGTAGATAATAATGAACTATTGATTATAAATATAAAATTAGTTTTGAATTAGGAGTATAAACTTGAGATTTTATTTTAATCTGCAATTTATAATTCCTTCTAATTTTAAATATGATTGCAATATGATATTTGAGAAGAAAATAAATTTTGGAACTCCTTATTATTCCCTAATCTTATAGAATTAACGAGTTAGATTTTAAGAATAATAGGGTAATCATGGCCTTTACTAAATGAGTATGGGTGAATCAGATATCAATTAGAAATCTTTTGAGATGAGGAAGAGTTTGATCACAAAAATTAATTAACATTAAAAAGTGATTAATATTGAATTACGAGTTATGAATATAATATATATATATATTACAATATGGAGTTCCCAGTATTGAGTGGAATATGCGGTTCGCTTGCAAGTTATGCTGGTAGGACAATTATTATGTATATAGGTAAAATTGCTTTTTAAGATGAATCATAATTAATGTACAGAGGAGTTGGGTTGATTTGTATGCTGTTATTCAATAAGTGGATGTTTTAATTCAGTTTTAAGTCAATGTAAATTAATGGATCTTCAGTGACTGTGTTGTTGTAATTTATAGTAGGCAATCTCATAAATGTAAGAATGGTGTATTTGAGTTAGGGACTTAATGGGTATTTTCTATTGAGTGAGTCATTGTCGTTGCAATGGTTAATTGGAATAATATTAATGTGTTTTGGAGTTTTTATGATATCAAATGATAATCATGAACGCTAAAAATAGTAATGAGATAATGATGATTAACTAAATAAAAAATGCGTCATTTTAATATAAGTTTAAAAGATAATGCGCAAGATAGTAGGCACTAATTAAGGAATATTTATAGATTTATGATCTAATTTATAAATATCCAGCAAATGCACTCTCTTCACGTTAAGCTTAGTGATGAACCAGAACTCTCAGCAGTATGTTCAGCCCTTCTTCTTGCATTCATTGAAAACTCCAGAGTTTTGAGATACTGTTCTGGAGGTGGTGACTACACAAACACCCAAAATGATTTCGGAGATCATCAATTAGAGATGGATGTGCAATGCGAATTGAATGTCAACACAGAATTGAAGAAAACAGGTTTCGTTAGTCACACAGCAAGTGAAGAAACCCCAGAAGTATAATGAATTCATAATATTTTCTAGATGAAGCTTCTTTCTGAGGGTGGAAAGTACATAGTGACATTTGATCCATTGGATGGAAGTTCAATTATAGGAACCAACTTTGCAGTGGGCACAATAGTTGCCATTTGGAAATCCGACGAAAAATTATTAATGGAAAAAAGGGTAGAGACATGGTTTCTGCTTGTTGTTGTTTATACGGAAGCAGAACAAACGTTGTGTTCTGGAATGAGAAGGAATAGAAGGTCTAGGAATACACATTATTTGGTATGGCATTAATTTTGATTATGTAGATGGCGATAAGCAAGGTCACTGGGAACTAACCAAGGATAACATCAAGATCAAGCCAAAAGGCAAGTTGTTCAGTCCAGGAAACACTAGATGCATTGCTGATCACATTCCCTACAGAGAAGTCGTTGATTATTGGATCCACAATGGCTACACATTGAGATATTCAGGTGGAATGGCCCCAGATATTTGCTAGATCTTCTTGAAAGAAGTAGGAGTATTCTCTTGTTTCGGTGATGCCAAATATCCTTCAAAATTAAGATACCTTTATGAATGTGCTCCACTCTCCTTCTTAACTGAGAAGGCTGACGGAAAGTCTTTCAATGGAACACATTCAGTACTCGACACTGAAATTACAGGATATCAACAAAAGAGTGAAATCATTGTAGGAAGTGCGGATGAGATCGAATTTTTCAAGAGTGTTTGGAAGAAGCATGGACTTTTAAAAGAATGATGTGTTTATTGAATATTTTAAATTATCAATAATAAATTCTAATCAATTCATTCAATTCTTATATAAGTTAAGGATCTTTCACTTTCAAAAAGTTAACTATATTGATCTCATCAAATAATTGTTTCCGAGAATATAATGCAGATTAATTGCTTATTCCACTGTTAACTATTTACTATTATTCAAACCTTTTGTTGACTTGGTGTTTTCTTCAATTATTGTAGTTTATTGATTGGCATTTCATTGTGCAATTTCTCACTGCTTTAACTGCGATTTACTAATTAATCTCCTGATTTATCGTTCTTACTTCCTCCTGCACTAACCTATCTTAATATCCTTGAAGAGCTTTTTGAATCCTTAGAAACAGAATATGATCTCTATTGTTATGGTTATCTCTTGTCTAGTTCGTTCTAAATGAACTGATGCAAAGGTGATTTGGCATATTTCATTAAAAATTCAGTATTCATCAAGGACAAATTCAGTTAATTGATGCATCTTTCATAATCATTAGGATTTAGTTGAGGCACTAAAATAATAAGTTAAGTGAGATACCAAATTCTAATAGTAATTGGAATGACTTTTCCTATGCCTATTAGACTTGAGGAGTGGCTGCTAAGAGAATCAAACAATCATCCAGATCCAGTTTGCTCAGATTATATGTGGGGTTCAAATTGTAATACAAATGATTCAAACACAGGGTCAATACTTGGTCAGTGTTAAGATAAACTGTGAATTCCAACTTTTGTTAATCAAATTTATTCAGATCTATGATTTAGTATATCATAATATACCATTGAATTCGCATAGGAGAATTTTATTTCCTTTGCTAGCAACCAAATTGACTAACTTCAATTGCTCTAGACCGAATTGGGAAAGTTGCAATTAGAAATAGAGAGCAATGATTCTTAGGTTTAATTCAGGATCGATGTCTTCTAATTTAAGATAAATTTTGAGGACTTTATCCTCCATTTTGGCTACTAATTTCCATGTGAAATCTGAAAATTTAAACTATTGGGTTTCTTTGTTGATTATGGAGGAGAGATTTGATAATTTCCAATTAATGCTAGGATGAGTTTGATAGTTGATCTTCTTGGCCAAGACAGTTTATTTTTGCTAAGTGATTATTTGCACTATGTCTTAACAATTTCTGATCTTTTAGACTATTTATAGCAGTTCGGGATTGTTCTTTTTGCGATAATTTTTTAATGCTCTTTCTAGTATCTCTTCGATGACTTTCTAGTTGATCTTATTGAGATCCATGGGATTGGATTAGTATATGAGTAATAAATTCCTTGCTGTGAAATTCATACAGACATTCAACATCTAGTACCATACTTCTGGGGAATCCTGAATTAAAATAGATAGCTACTTCACATGCTTTCAGCTTTTTGAATGCTTCATTTAAGAACAAAATGCAATTCTGAACAGTCACTCTATCTAAAATGAGATCGCGAATTACAGTCTCTTAAAAGAATTCCATCTGCAGATGATCTCCCAACCATAAGAGTCTTTGTAGAGTTTGATCAGTGTATTTCTTCTGAATATCCAATTGATTGTTGAGGAACTATTGGAAAACTGAGAAAGCTTCCATCGTTAGCCATTTTGGCATAGTGGCAGTATACACCTTGTCATAAGATTAATGTGCTTACAAGGCCTTTCTTCTCAGTTTGGAGAGTCATGCTCAGACACTTGCTGGCTTCAATGTAATGAGTTTACCCTTCAACTACGAAGCAAACGAATTCGGACATATATATTCGTTTATTAATTATATATAAAATAATTTCAAAAATCGATTTAACTTCCTTTACAATGAATCAGAGAAACAATTCTTAAAAATGCATCATTGAATCCTGCTAGAAGATTTCATAATTCCAATATTGCTTGTTGATCGAATTGGTACATTGTTGACTGTCCTCGAAGGAAGGTTAGTTTAAGAAGTCATAATTTTAAAGGATATCGTTTCTGAAGGATTGCGCATCTTTTCCACTCTTGGAGATCAATTGCTGAAATGTTCTGATTTAAGAGTAACTCAAACATCCCCTCTCTTGTAATAGAAGTAATTATTTGAGTTTGATATTCTTGCTTCTTACGAATTCATCCTGCCAAGCCTTGGAAGCCTTGAAACTAGAGTCCTTAAAGAACTTGATTGCCTGCAATTTGATTTGTTGTCTTGAAACTCTTTTCTTCTATTTGATGCATTGTTTCTTGACCCATGATTCCAATTGCTCCTCTGCTTTTTCATTGAGTTTCTTCCTTCCACACCCCTTCTTCCTCTTGTAACCAGACCTAATCCATCTCCTGATGTTTTTGATAGAGGTTTTGTATTTGTCTTTCAAATGTATAAGGGAAGTCTGTGAAGGATGCTTAGAGTAGTAATCAATAATCTCTTATTTGATACCTTCTGTGAGTATGGTATACTTCTTTAATTTTTTCTTTTAAGTTCCTCGAGTTTTCATAATCTAATTAATAAAATGAAATTGGTTTTTTGTTGTGCATCTCCGACCTAAAATATTTTACTAGTTGGATGTTATTAATTTGCAGATAATAATTTAATTTATGATTTTGCTCATAATTTTTGGCGCAGTCTTTGGATTGGAGTACCAGAAAGTATTCAGTTATAATGGTCAATATGCTCATGGTATCCAATTAATTTAATACAAGTAAGTGATATCCTCCGAATGCAATGCCAAATCAGTTGAAGATGCTCCTCGATTATATAACATCATCGAATAGCAATACCAATTCGAGTGGTTAATGACGTGTTCTGATGACACTGAGTGTTGGGCCAAAGTCACGTTCAGCAATGAAGGGAACAACATATGTTGTTGTCACAGCTATAAATTAGTGATATTAATTATATTTTATTATCTAATATATTGATGTAGGATAAACCAAACCAATAATAAGACACTGTCCAAAACACCATCAAATCATTGCAGGACAAGATCTAAAACATTGAGAACTTGATAGAAAGAGGAACTGATTGCATTATCATTTAGTATGGATCGCACAGTATAAAAATGAACAAAGCAAGCGGTAAATACTCAATGCACCATATTTAGAGATGCTCCCCAAGAAATTCAGAAATTTGATTGGTTATAAAGTGCAATCCTAATTAAAACAAGTTTAATCCACAGATCTCACTGTGATTGATGAAAGTCTATTATTATTAGAACAAAAATTAATGTAGAAAGGCACACTCAAAGCCCAACCCAAAAGCATGCGTGGAAAGCCAAGAGCTAAAATTGAAGTAGATTTACGCAACATCAGAGGGTTTCTGGGGAAGAAGGAACAAAAATAACCATAATGCACTCTTGCTAAGATGATGGAAGATAAATCTGTGGTCTTTGAAGACGACATCTTTACTGGAGAGTATTTAGTTAGGTAACCAATCAAACATGGATTTTTCAATTTAACAGAGAATTACAATATGCAAGATGTGATTGAAGATCTATACAAATTGACATTATATGGATTGAATTGCAAATTGGAAGTCAAGAATGTCTCTGATTACTATTGCATTTTGGTTATTCCTGATATCTTTCAAAGAGTACAAGTAAAAATGTTGGTAGATATGTTAATAAGACAATTGAGATTCAAAGGAATCTATCTACATTTAGAATCTGTCTTATCCAGCTTCGGAGCTAATCTTTAGTAATGTTGTGTTGTTGACATTGGTTATGAGAAGATCAATATTACCTGTGTTGATGATGGAGTCATTTTGCCTGGAACCTATGTGAGAAAGAATTTCGGTAGCAAAGACATTGATTTAGTACTCATGAGGTAAGTAACCAAACGAAATGCTTGTGATTAAGCTGTTCAACTGCAAAGTAACAATTACGGAGATCTACTCTAAATGGAAAAACTCAAAGAAAAAGCTTGTTAAATGAGACAAAAGGAAGACAAACTCAATTACAATTATGAGCTTCATTGTTTAAGAAATCAAAAGGAAAAGAGATTCTTTGTTCAACACAATGATGGATTGTACATATCTCCGAATACTCTGTTTGAATCTGAACCTTTCAATGAAATCAGGAAACAGGATATGCATGAATGCTTCGATTTTACAGGACGACTCTTCGAAATGCAATATGATCCAGAGGATAATTTTGAGGAACTCAGTGGAGGAATTCAATTATGCTGGTATTGGGGCTCCAAGGAAAAGGAACAATAGTATTTCACAGAAGGAAATCAAATGCTAAATCCTAATTATATGATACCCTTAGATCATATGATTGCCTACTCAATAGCCTAAGTCTAGGATCCAGAAATAAGGCAAAAATTAGCCAATAACATTCTATTTACAGGAGGAGGAGCCCATCTGATCGATCTTGTAGATGAGGTTGAAGCCTTGTTGATTGACAAATTTTAAGTTATGGAACTAAATGAAATCGAAAGAGTAGAAGTTAAAACTATTATTAGAGATGTTAGACCTATTTATATGGCCTGGGTTGGGGCCACTGTCTTACCTAAAACAGAATCTGTAAGTGAATTATGGATCACAGCACCTAGATGGTTGGGTGATTTGGAAACTCAAAAAGACGAATTGGAAGATATGATCAATTAATTTGATGGGGATGTTTAATAATTGGAAAAAAAGCTAATTGCTTTTGCAAAAAAAGATAAAGAAAAGGATCGTAGTTGTGAATATGGACTAAAACATTTGAAAGAAAAGATTCCCTTTATTTGGTGATTTGTATAATTATATATATTAATATTTTGGGGATCAATCAGAATCTTCAAATAATACTCTTTGTATTCTTTGATTCTTTTACTATGAAGGCTTAGGTTTAGGTGGTTTAATTTATTACTATTAAGGGGGAGTCCTAGAGGATGGCTTCAAAATTTCTTCGGATTCATCATCAAACATGTTATTCTTTGCTTATATTGGTTACTTTGAAGCAGGAGCAATAATTATTTTTATTATACAACTTTTTTCGGGTATCAACTATAATAATGTAATTGCACTCAACTCTTTTGATCTGGCATCAGTAATTTAGTAGCTGACTAATCTTCATCTTCGCTGAATATAGTCTTCTACATGGATTAGAGATTGTTGGAATCGCAGTCAATTAAACATTAGTAGTTTAAGTATTTGATTTACCTATGATTTATATTCAAACTTAATTCCAAACCTGGTAGATTATCTACCTACATCTGTTGTAATTATTTCTTTCCTCCTCCTCCTAGTCCTAGTGGATCATTAAAGAATTTGGTAAACCTCTTAAGCAATTAGGACATTCAATTACTTCTATTCGAATTCTTTTCCTTTGTTTTTTGCTGCTAAGGTATCTTATTAAGTTGGTTTATTGGATGCCAAACTTGGTAATTGTTGTGTTGATGGAGTTATTGTAGCCTAGAGATCTAATTTTATTGGAACCTCAAAGTCGCTCTATTTTGTTAATTTTTAATTGATTCTCTATACAATACTCTATCTATTACTACCTCAGCATTCTAAATCTATTATGATTTCACCTTATAACAAAAGTGGGCTTAGCTAATTTCTTTTGAGAATCATCCTTCTCAAAATCAATGCATACCACCTTGAGCCATTTATTGGTAGTTAAGAGATTGTAATGAAATCCTTAGAGCTTTGGTGTATTTTAAGCTATTTTGAGTCCATCATCTATGTTCTGCGGAGGTGCAGTCTTTGGAGGAGCTTCTTAAAGAGGAAGCCATTCTCTGAATGATCTATGAAATCGCATACTTATTCATTGAAGCGACTATCGCTCAAGGGGAGAAATCTATTGAAAGTTTGATTGATTTGAGAGTGGATGGAGTTGGCTTAATGTTGAACTGATCGGATTTCAGATGAGACTGCTAATTAAAAATTATATAACAATATATTGAGTATTGAAAGTGTAGATCCACATTATTATTATAAAGTATCTTCATAAATTAAATAATGATTCAAAGCAGCTCATATCAATCTTGGAATTAATAGGCTCAGATTGGTTCATTCTAATCGGCGTACAGTAATGACACTCAATAAATCCGTTTCAAGGAAGAGAGTTTCTCAACCTTCCAGCCAGTTGTACCACAGTAAGGCACTTGGACTTCGAGTCAGTTGGGGGGGAGAGTGGAAGAAAAGGATTTTCTGGTTATACAAAGGACAAATACTTTTGGGAAGTCAGAAGCTGAAAGATAACAACATTACGAAGAATTGATATAAGACAATTAGAGAATGAGGTATGTTGTTGATTCTAAATCGATAGAGAAGTTATTGAGGAACTGAAAAGGGAAGTAGCCACTTATAAGGCTTCATCCAGTTCTGATGCAGAAATGCTGAGGAAGGAGTTGTAAATCACATAGAAGGAATTGGAAGCAGCGAATAAGGAGATCATGATGTTAAAAAGTGGAGTCGAATCAAGATAAAAGACAGAAATGGAGAATATTTAGATGGAGTTGGAGAAATGGAAAAAAAGATGTGCAGAATTAGAGTCAAAGGATAAGGAGAACATGGAACAATTAAAATAATTAACCTATTATCAAAACAAACTCAAATGGTATGAAATGGATGCAAAGAAAAAGTTTGAGAAATACCAAACTGTTGATTTGCTTCAATAACAATTAAGTGATCAAGAGTCTTTGATCGAAGAATTAAAAAAAGAAATTCACAGATGGGAAGAGAGATATGATGCTCAGGCCTTGGAAAGTCAAGAAATTAGGATTAAGCTATCTTCCAATACTAGAGTAAATTAAATGGAAGATGATATCAAAGCATACATTCATGAAATTGGTCAATGGAAAAAACGATGTTCAGCCTTGGAAGCAAGGTTTGAAGCTTCCGATGAGGCTAAATTGCTGGCTAGAATTGATTAGCTGAATCGTTTGTTGGCTGAAAGAGATTAAGATGTCTAAAAGAGCAGAGCTTAATTGAATTTATAAATATCCCAATAACAGCAAAGTAAACTCTTGAGCTCAGCTATGTAAAATTAAGAGTTTGATAACTAATTGGAACAGTTGAGAAGATAATTGCAGGATTCATAAAATAAATTAGAATAATAAAATAGAGATATGGAAGGATATAAAATGTAGGCTAATCTCTTTAATTCAGATAAATTTGAAGAATTAGAATAAGAAAAGTGGAAACTTGAATTGTAGATCGAAGAATTAGAAAGAGATTGTGATACCTTCATGTTGAGAATCAAGGAATTAGAATAACAATTTTAGGAATTATCCGTCAAATACAATGAACAAAATGCTAATTATCTAAAGTATAAAGAGATTATTGATTCTAATTCATCTAAATACAAAAATGTAGATAATCTCACTAAAGAGATCCAAAATTATTAAAAAGATCTCGAAGTCTGGAAAACTCGTTATTTCCAAACTGAAATCAGGTTAAAAGAATACGATTCTCTGAGAATTGAATATGAAAAACTACTTAAGCAATAGCAATAGACTACTATTCAATCTACTTTTATTAACATTGAAACTGATGCCTAATACATCTAGATCAAAAGAGAAAGAGATATGTTGTAAAAATAAATTTCAGATTTGGAAACTAAATTAAGAGAGTAAAGCAGCAATTCATTCAGGGAACAACAAAATACAGGATTTAAATTTTAATAAGATGACTCAATCAGAATTGAAAGAGACAATTACTATAATAAAATTCAAGAATTAGAACTCAGGATCAAAGAATTATAACAATAATAATCATAATCAGTCAAATATTCTAATGATGACTCTAAAGTTAGAGAATTAGAGGCTAAAATAAGAGAGTATCTATTTTAAATAAAATCCTATGAGAGTCGTATCTCTACTTACGAAACAAAAATAAGAGAATTTGAAACAAGAAATAAAGAGTATGAAACTAGAAATACACAGTCTTTGGTTGAAAAAACTGTTGTTTTAACAGACGAACCTAAAATTAAAGAATTGACAGAAATAATTCAACAGAAGAATAAAAGAATAATAGAATTAGAACAAAATGCAAATTATACTATGAGCAATTAGAGTTCAGTAGTTGTGATTAAAGAATAGGTCAGAGTCAAAGATCAAAGAATAAGAGAATTAGAAATATAAGTTGATAACTTGCAATTGGAACTTGGAAGACTACAAAACTTAAAAAGAGATCAAGAATCTCGCATCAATATTATGTTGTAAAAAGTATTCATCATATACCATATTAGATTACTGAATATGAATCTTAATTGAATATCCTTTAAGAAGTAAAACTCAGATAATCCAAAAGATCCCCCCCACCTTAATAGTCGAAAATAACTTCTACAACCTACATTCAATAATAATAATAATAGCCTATCATCTAAACCAACAGCTATATCAAATAGAACAATGCTCAATCCACTATATATTAATCAGCATAATAAATAGTACCATCCCCTGCTCCCATTTCATAGAATATTGGATTTCAATAGATGAATAACAGTCTAACAACAACTAGACAGGTAGTCATTACTGGAGACTCTCTAAAGTAATCAAATTTAATTCTATTATAGGAATTTGTATCCCAAAGAAGAAAATATTTCATCATAAATCCTAGATCGAATAGCTCCAAATAGAATAACCCAAGACTTAAATGGTCAATAATCGCCCTAAATTATTGTTTCATAATATAAGCCAATTAATTGATGAGTAATCTCAGGTTTAAAATGATTATTTTATATTAATAAATAATTATTTCCTTATGCAAACAATGAATCTATTATAGTCTTTCTAGAATTTATGTAAATATTCAAATTGAAAAATAATATTTTATTTAATCTTGAAACATTAAAAAACAGATTAAGATAGACATATAATGTGATAATGTTAATACTTTTTGAATCAAATATTTAAATTCAATTTATATATTATAAGTTTTTCAGAGTTCTTAATAAAGATTTAAAATCCTAGGATACTCACTAATTGATTAAAACATCATTGAAATGTAATTTTCAAAAGTTAATTTAATATGATTAATTTAAAAAAAGGAAAAAAAAGATTAACAATAAGATGTATAAGATATTATCTACAAGTACTCTAAGCTTTCTTATTGAAAGACAGTAATCCAAATATGATTTTAGATTATTTCGTTTATTCTCAAATACTAGTATATTTATGAAATTAGCAATAAAAAATAGAGCTTTCAAACTTGATAAAAATAAAGGCTAAAAGAAAGAGTAAACTGTTTTAAATGTAAAATTGAATATCTCTGATATATATATATTTCATTATGTTTTGTAAAATAGGTATGCTGTTTTATCAATGTAAAAGTAGATAAATCTTCTTTTTTCATGAATAGAATGGCATCCGAAATTCTTACCAAAAAATACGTGCCAAAATGGTTCAAAGTTAGTATCCAAATACTTCTTCAAATGTTCTGCCATCTTTATACGAGTTATGAAACTGTTACCTTTTATCCATCTTTTGCTTCGTATGTTTTCAAACAGCTCTGTGTTTCATTTATAGCTCCTTCCAATATATCATCTGGACAATCAGGTGGCCACAACACTCTAGCACCCAAGTACATTCTATATTAAGCTGCTGTTTGAGATGACATTTATTTTAATTAATTAAAATATATTCATTAGAAAACCTGTTGGTTTATTAAATTGAATATTTATATTTGATAACGTATACTTAAATTGTGATCTATCTATATTTAATCAAAATGTATCAATCTCTGAAACTCTTTGATAGTATTTTTTTAATGGTAATTCAGGAATTCTCTGAAGCCAAGCCTTTTCGCTCCAATGATTGTTATGTCCTTCAATCAAATGAAGCGTATATGCGTGTCTTGATTAAGAGGAGTGATTATGTCCAGAAAAATGCACAAGATCTCCATGAAGTAAGATAACTGAGCCTTTTGTAACTTCTAAGCATTCAGCTTGAGCAGGATCATAGCGTTTAGCATATTCTGGATTTTGTCCAATCATTATAGTGTTTTTTCTAGTTTCATCTAAGATGTTGAAATATGTTGTTGGTGTCTAGTGGGATTTTGGAAAAGCAAACATGCATCCATTATTTCTTGTTGCATCTTCAAGTGCTATCCATATTCCTATACAGGATGGTTTTGGCTCACTTATGATGTAAGTATTATCGGTGTGCATATCTACAGGTGTACCAAATTTCTAGTTTTTAAATATTACCATTGATTGAGCAAGTATTGGATCAATGTATCCAACTCCTTAAAGAATTGCTTTGAAAATGCTGTTATAGGAAAACCTTTCAAAAGCTGGATCAAGATCATGCATAGCATGTCCTATTTTATTGAGAGCAAGCTTTTTGTCTTTTACTTTCAATTATCCTTTTTCATCAATCATACCCAATTCTAATAAATATCCTATTTTAGAAGCAGTTTCTAAAAAGCTCATACCTCTGGGAGCATTTTTAGTATCAAAAAACATCTAGGATAGCAGTAAAATATACTTGATTATTTATAATATCAGCATTTTCAACCAATTCGTCTGTTCTTTTTAGCAATTTATCAATTTCTTGATGGCTGACAATATTAGGAAGTACAAGATAGCCGTTGGCATGATAAAAATCAGCCTAAGATTTTGTCAATTATTTAAAGTTGAATTTGCTTAAAAATCGAAACATTAATATTAACTTTTAGTTCTTCTAAGACATAGTTATGATATCTATCACCAAGATTTACCGAATAATACTGATTTATAATGTTCTTAATATTCCAATCTTAATTTACATTTTGAGAGTATTCCAATAACTCAAATAAATACTATATAGCGAAAGAAGTAATTTATTAAATTACTAAGACTAATAGAAGTAAAGAAAATAAACAAATATTTTTATTATCACCATTCAAATGAAACATTCAATTTTGGGTTTCCAAGAACTTAATATATATTCACTAGGGTTAGTTAACGGATTAACTTAAGTAGAATATTAAATGTAATGAAAACTTTTACTTTAAATTAAATAATAACCAAATATTTTATTCACAAAGTATTTTGATTAAATGAATTTCGAAAACTTGTAAGAAATCTCAAGTAGTATTATGTTTCATAATATAATTATACTCTCACCTATTAAATCTATAATTTCTCTTATACGCCAATATTCAGTTCCTCTTAAGAACAATAGCCCATTATAGTTTTTGATTAAATTACAAATAGAATGATCTCCTACTAATAACTATTCATATCAAACCATATTCTATTTTATTCCTTCTTAAAATAGACTAAGAAATTGTTATTGATACTTTTTACAAGATTTTATTGTAAAATAAGTTATTCAGCAAAAAAATTAAATTCTCCTTGAATTTTAAGAATAAGTTCATTATTGTTTGATTAATACATTTTGGTACAGATTATAGTTCTGGATTAAGGGATATTGTAGTTACTTTGATTCTTATTAATAAAATAATAATTCTAAAATCAAATAGCCGTATATATAAATATCATGATTTTTTATATTAATCCAGCCTTAATTAGGCTTCATCAACTTAAGCGCTAATATGTTAAAGTTTGTCTTTGAGAGTTTGATTTTCCTTTCTCAGATTTATGTATAATGAATCCAATTACTCTTTAGTATTATTTGTTTTTGGACTTTCTTGGAATGGTCTTGGCTAAGTTTGTATTGTGTAATATTAATTAGTAGGAGAGCGCTATTAGCCATTATGATTCAAATTACATATTGCTAGTTACTGAATGGGGTTTGTAATTAAATCACTGGAACGTTTCTTTAAGCAGAATTTGTATTTTAGAAATACATTAATAAGTTGATATAATTTATGTTAGTTAAATAAAATTTATATTTATTCCATCTCCTTTCTTTTTCAATTGAAATATCTTTTCAATATAAACTCATCCATTTTTGCAAATTCTAATTATCGTAGTCTTTCCTCGTTTTTATATAATTAACTGAATTATAGAAAACAATAGGAAAATAAAAATTGTTATTTTATCTTTATATCTTATGTTTCTAACTTATGAAAATTACAAATCAAATGAATTACTATGAATTCTTACTAGCAACTTTGATGGTAAAATTTATTAAATTAAATTACTTATCTAATAATTAGTACCAAGGAATTAATGGTTTAGATGTTTATCCCTAGTATAATAGCTATTTAATATCATGTCTAATGATTTTTAAGATTTGAGGTTAATTTATTGCTTGATTCTTTTATCTTATAATTATTAAATTCATATCTTTATTATTGACTTATTTAAGCACACCTTTTCAGTAATGATTACACCAGTCATATCTGTGAAAATGGCAGTTAATAATTCAATATCACTTTAAGATCAAAATATGATGAATCATAAGGTATATAAAATTTACTACTCCATTTATCCTACATTTATGATCTTGTGCTTAACAATACTAATTTTGAAAGAGATTTGAGTAGATAGTTACAATGATTAAATGGATAGCAGACAGACATTGAAATAATGAAGTAATAAATAATATTATTAGTATAATAAATTATTGAATTCCAAAAATAAGCAAGCAATTATAAATGAGTTGAAATCACTAAAATATTTAACTCTACTTTATATAAATTTCGATGCAAACATTAAGTCATTATGAGGCTATGGCTGAAGAAGTTAGAAAAATCATGTTGTAAGGAAAACCGATTCCACCAGATTATTAAGAAGTAATTGAAGAGTTCCTGCCAACAGAAGACAAATACCCATCGAGAAGAGTCATTACTATATACGAATATCCAGACAGCAATCCAGCATTGTTTTTGGAGAACAAAAGGGGATTTCGATTGCAATTCATGTTTCTGTTCTTATCGAACTAGTTAGCAGCTTAGTATAGATTTAATTCCAACAATAGATTCTATGAGGAAGTTATGAACAATGGACCACTCAAATGGCAGATTGCTAGATTCTATTTGGAAGTGGCCGACAACGTGGTCTTCATTAAGACAAGAGGTCAGAGGGCTCAGAATATGTTACAGAGGGTTCAACATGCCATATAGACTCAACCTTTGTGCGTGTTCCATTACAATATGAAAATGAGAGTACTTTTTGTTTGCTATTTGTGAGACTCTTTTGCACATTTTGGAGTAGGGCAATTGGTGTATCCGAATAGTGTGGGGTCCTGCTGTTGATGTTCCTTTGCATGGAGGAGATGCAGAGAAGGTTGAGAATGTGATTGCAAAGGCAGAACCAAAACTAGAAATACAAAAGAAGGAAGAGACTGAATCAGAGGTTACTAAGAAGATTTAGATAAATGAGGAGGAGATCAGGAACAAGACATCCTTATACATCAAATCTATTGAATATTACAGTAGATTAGCATAGTAGACAGTGCAGAAGTTGAGAGATGAGAATCAAAAGAGGAAGGCATGAATTATTTAATAATCCTATTGTTATTATAATAATATTAATAAATGTAAATTAAGGAAAATTTATACAATTGGCTTTGTTCATTAAAAGTCCTGCCTTAGGATGGAAAGAAATACGCAGACAAAGTGGAGATAAGCAAAGCATCTCTAATCCAATTGGAAAATGGCATAGCTTTCGGATAGTTGCTGAAGGAAATTGTGAAGTTACGAAACAGGTTCCTATTTTAATCATTTTTAAAAGACCTTCTACTCCATTGGCTAAGTTAGACACACTGAAAGATAATTAGTAGAAATCCTCCATCTTGTATAACTGGAAGATTCTTTGCGAAGAATATCAGAAGGTCGACATCCAGATTGATTAAGATACTAAGGCCTTGATACTTGGGGGCGATAAGGAAATGATGCATCAATTGCTGTTGGAGATTTATGATAAATATTATCGAGGCTAATAGCAATCATCAGTGTTGTAGTAATCTTAAATGTTAGATGACTCTGTATTAAGTTTGGGTGGAAACACTAAGTTTTTAGCAAATAGTAAAATCTCTTAAGGTACATATTTATGATATGGAATAATAGCTAATTAATAAGTTGATTTATCAAAATTAGATCCAAAAAAAGATCTCAATAAAACATCAAATTGTTTAGAATTCTTTATAGTTGCTTTGGCTAAGAACTTGTAACTGTCAATCAAATAGTCAGCCTCTCTCTTCACCAACAACAATAAATATCTAGCACACATATTGGCCAAAGGAGTAAAGGGAGTATTTGAGCCAATAGTTGCCTTTTATAAAGAAACCTATGCAAATGGAAATTAATTAATTAAGTTATTTAATGAGGATTCCACCAAAAAATCACTCGTGTTTGCATTTCAAGTATATGTTGATTTACTATCAAAAGGCTCTTAAACCTGGATTAATATCTAAATCATTTGATGTTGCCTATGAATCAGTTCGTTTATTTACCAGATTAGGTTCAATGATACCAGTTTAATTATTAAGAGAATGGTTCCTTGAAGAGTAAGGAGGGTTGCACACAGCTTTGATGGGTACTAGGAGACATCCAGAATTAGTGTCATTTCATGTTGAGATGATATAATAATTTGCAAGAAACAATTTCGTAGAAGTGTTTACAACAGGCATTAGAACAGTCTTACCTGATACAAAGGATTTCATCAATTCAGTTGAATTAATTTACATTCCCTTAAGTCAAAATTAAGAATTAGTTTCAACTGGTATTTTGAATGATTGGGTGACATAAGCTATAGGGATTGCAGAAAATGAATTTAAAAATACAATTGATACCAGAATATCTTCACTTAACTTTTTAAGTGAAGTACTTGGCAATACAGAGTTAGATGAATCATTGACTAATACAATCATTGCATTACTAAAAAAAGGATCGAGAGATAAATCATAATCTCTTTCCTTAATGTGTCTTAATCATTTATTTAGGTTACTCAATCATTTTAGTCTTTAAAAGAGCAATTTCGCTCCGCTGATATATAAAAAGTATAAAAAATATTAATTGCATTTAGTTTAACATTGTCATTGGTTGAGAATCATGATAATCAATAAATAAGAGAGTACATTTTGAATAATTTCATTCACATATTTTCAACAATGGAAGCAGTGCCTATTAATTTAGTGCTTGAGAATTTGATCAAATAATTACAGACATCAGAGGGAGTCACCTATATTTTGAATACTTTTGATATGCATTTCTTTATGTTCACATCCAATCTTAATATTGGAATAAAGAATGCCATTTAATTGTTAGACTTCTTAGCCAAAATATTTTTGAACAATCTCGTTTATTAGAGTTTATCCTCTGAAATCATCATCAACATCTTATCAAAGAATGTGGAGAATTAGACAATGCAAGAGTTTATTTTAAAGTTTGTAAAAATTGCCTTGGCTATGTTCTTTGCATCTGAGAAGAAGAGACAGGCTAAGGATCCAATTGGTGCATAAAAGCGTAATCAAATAGTTGAGATTATTCGAACAATAATTCAATTTTAATAACAACTTTTGAATGAGAAAATAAAACCATTGATTGCCCATACCAATATACAAATAAAGCAATTCAGTAAAAGAAACTCTAAAGGAATGATGGCAATACTAGAATTATTTGGAAATGCAGAAAGAATATTGGAATAATATGAGATTGAATATCGAGAATAATAAGCAAGTAAATTGTAGGGACCTCCTGAAGACGATGATTAATTAGTTCCATTCAATTCTCGATCAATAGGATCTATTAAGTTATCAAAGGAAGAGTAATACTCTCTGGCTTCTTTAAAAACAACCAAAGCAGATCCGAAGGTACTTGAAAAGCTGGAAACACTCAAAAAGTAATTCGATGATAGAACTACAAGTGAGGCATAAAAGATAGAGTAAATGAAAGAGGCTTAGTAGAAATAAAAGGCCAATCTTAGAAAACAATTAGAAAAGAGATCTATTGAATAAGGTGTGTCAATCACTAAGGACAGAGAAACTAATTTAGTATTTAAGGATGGATCAAAAAGTGTTGCTTAGCCAAATAAACATGGATTAACAGAATATGAAGTGTGGGACTTATAATTGGAGGAGGATAGAGAACGTTATTTGGTGGAACAACTCTTTAGAAAGTATCATAAGATATTTAAATACGTTTTCTTTAAATATGCTAATTCAGGGAATAAAATCATAAAGCCAAAAGATTTTGATGAATTGAAAGATCAATCTGATACTATTAACGAAGCTGAATTGTGGGCCTTTCTTAAGGATTACGAATTAATATTCAAAGTAACTAGAGAGTAAGTGCATGCTTTGATGAGATCAATTGCAATCTAACTATTGAAATGCAAAAATGAATTAACCAATTTCAATTATGAAGGATTCAAACACATCATTACCTAATATGCATGCATTCTATTTACTATGAGAACCAAATACATTCAGCCACATACTTGCATTGAAATGATGATTCAAAGGATGAAATAAGTCACTGCAGCTAAAGGATAGACTACTTAACTTTATGATGATCCGGATAATATGTTTTTTGATTAAAAGGATGTCATCAAGGAATTCAATAAGAAATTGGCTGAAGATCCAAAATACGTGTTACCTGAAGGTTACAAAACATAGAAGGAAGAAATTATTAAGTTTAATTATGCATTTGAAATCCCAGATTCGAACACAATCGCATATTCTATTTTGGATGATGTTGTTTTTAAAGTGTGCAATTGCCATTTAATTGAGCCAATCACATCCAAAGAATTCTAACTTGTATGCAGACCCAATATGTTGGGATATGTGGAATCCAAAGTTAAATAGAACTTAGAGAAAGACCATTATATGGAGTAAAAGAATAAATCAATGAGGAAATCTGCATCAGTTTCATAATCTTTATCAAATGTGCCAATATAACCAAAGAGAAATCTGGAAATAGAGCCATTTAGATAATATAGTTTGGGTATCAAGTTGGAATTGGCTAAGATACCATTCAATCAACCTAAGTAGAGATTGTTGGTTGAACAAGTAGCTGATGTCCTTGAAGACATGATATTTGCAGTAGAAAATAATTAAAAAACTATTACCAGAAAGTGGAATATTGTTAATAAGGTGTAGTAGGATAAGTTGGAGGAGAAAAAGAAGGAAGATGAAGAGGCTAAATTAAGGGATGAAAAAATATAAAAAAATCATGAATAAGCTAAAGCCAAATTGGAAAAACTGAAGAAAGAAAGATAATAAAAGTAAAAGGAAGAGGAGGCCAAGGCTGCTTAGAAGGATTCGAAGAAGATACGTTAAGAAGAAAAGCAAAAGGAATAAGAGGCTTATTTGAAATAATAAAAGGATAAAATTGCTTAGAAGTAAAAGGAAGAGGAACAAGACAGAATCAAAAGAGAATTATTGGAGAAGAAATAAAGAGCAGAAGAGATATAGAAAAAGAAGGAGGAATTCAAATTGTTTAATCAAAAGAAGATTGAATAATATGGAGAAATCTTTAAGGCTGAGCAAATTAAAATTAAAATGGCAGCTGAAGAAAGAAAGAAAATGGAAATTGACCATTAAAAAATGCACGAGGCTCTTTATAAGAATATAGAAAAGAAGGGTGAACAAATTAAAGTCAAAGAAAAGGCAACAAGTGAATTGATAGTCAAATTATTTAGAAATCAAATTTATTAGACCATTTTTACTAATAATAACTTTAGATTGAGTTATCTCTATGAACTATTGTAGTTGGAATATTACAAATCTATTGAAATGATTGACTTTAAATAAATACCTTTGAAATTGTGGATGTGGTTTGGAGATAGATTCAGAATTTATCCAGACATCATATCACAAATTGAATTTATTAGAGTCTTTAATGCCATCACTTACAGATCTAATGAAATACCAGCATCCTTAGATTATGTTGAATTTCTAGAAGCACTCTTTCGAATTAGTGTAAAAGGATATGAATTCTTTAATAAATTGGCCAAAAGCATTAAAGAACCAAAACAGTAGAAATAAGACAATTAAGAATTACCTTAAGATTAATCTCCTAAATCTATCAAAAGAACTTAATAAACAAAGGAGTTTATGCTCAATAGAATTAAGGAAGTATAATCAGAGTAAGAGAGGAGATTGGAAGCAGCCAAAAAGGAATTAGAAGAGAAGAAGAAAATGGATAAAGAAGCACTAATTCTAGATAATTATCAAGCATTAAATGATATCATTGGAACAGATAATGTCTCTGGACAAAATTACAATGAGTAGACTTTGGATGCATTTATCACTTATTTGGCATTACCAAATGATAAAACTGGAATTGAGTTGAGATTCAGATACTTGATGGAAGTGGAAGCTAAAAAGAAACCGAATAAATTGAGGAAATAAGGTATCAAATCAATTTAATATTTTAGAGGCAAGCAAAAGATTAGAAGAGGATGTGAATCAATGGAAAGAGATCAAAACTGTTGAATAAAATAGATAACCTATTTTTCCAAGTATTAAGTCTTTATATCATTAGAAAAATCGACCATTAAGTAAAGTACGAATAAGCCCGTAGAACAATAAGATCCAATACTACCTTAGAATAATGAAGAAAATCAAGAATAAGAATAAGAATAATAATAAGAATAGCAAGATAATTGATTGGTATAAATAGTATTAATTTTTATTAAATATTAAATTTAATGTACTTTAACATTAAATTTAATTATAAGAATTTATTGATTTCTTATAATTTTGTAAAATAATTACCCTCTATGCAATTATGTTTCAAAAGGATATTTTATTGATTTAGAAGGAGGATTGTTTTTCTTACTTAAAATTAGTTCTAAAAGATTAGTATCAAATGCATTTATTTTAAATTTTACATATTAATATATAAGTTATTTATATTTAGCAAATCATATAGAAAATTTATGGGATGTATTCAACAGAAGGCTCCTAGTCCTGAAATTTCAATAATAATATTGAGTCCTCCTCTCTCCAATTCGCCATCAAATGAATTTACACTGAAACCCTATCATAATGATAAATACCCTGCTGCATGTTTGCCTACTAATACTTCAGATCACTCCTTTCATGCCAAATTCATCAAACACAAAGGGTTGACTCTATCAAAGAACGGTACTAATTAATATAACTATTTTTAGATCAGCAAAGGATCAACTATTATCAACACTGTAATAGTTGCCCATACTTTTGATATTGATTCAGTTATTTGTATTGACATTTTATAAATATATATGATGCAATTATAGCTATGCAATGATGTTAAAATTCTACAAATGTCACTTAGACTTATTTTTAATCCACACATAAATTTCGAATACAACTTATAAAATTCATCCAGAAAGGTTTCAAATGTTCTACAAAGTATCATAGCATTCTTGCATTAAAATTTGATGATATATTAAATAATAATTAATATGATAAGAAATTAAATATAATTGGTTTTGATACTTGAATTTAACCTAAAATAATGGTTTATAAAGAATATTTTATAGACATAATTCTAATTCATCAATTTAGTGATGGTTTTCTAATTCATGTCGTATATGATTCATAGAGATAAACTTATATTTCGAAATCAAAATCAACCTCAAGAATATGTACCTTAAATTCAAGTTTCTTTAAATTCCAATACCATATTTATCTATTGTACTTAAGTTTTATGAGATAGTTATTTAGTTATTTTTCTTACATAATTTTGTATAAATACTTAAGCAATACGCATTAATCGAAGTCGAAGTTGAAGAACAAATAAAATGAAATAAAAAATTAAGGATTTCATTATATTACTTCTTTAAGATTTATCTAATTTTACCTATAAAATTGAATCACATATATTTCAAATGTGACTCAATAATTTTATTCCCTTTTACTAATTTGAAAGAAAAACTTGGGTATCTTTGATAGCTAAGTTGTATCATTTAATTATTTTGATAAAATATTATAAGAAAAATATAGGAACACTTCAATTTAATGTTTATATTTAATTTCATTAGTTTAATTAAAAATGAACGGAATAATTATATTTATTTCAGATTTTAAGGCTCAGTAATATTATTTAAAAATAAATATTTAAAATAAATAATGGGCTGCATGAACTCTAAACCTTCTTCTAAATTTTAACCTCCCTCATCTGCAAGGAGTTAGATATAAATCTAGTTCAATAGTCAAGATGAACTTCCTTACGTGATCAAAAAGAATCCAATATTCCAAAGACGAGCCTCCTAAAAGTCCATCGTTAGTCCTGTGCAAACTGCCTCTTTTATCTAAAGAAATAAGTGAGTCTTAAACTTAGAATGATCTTTCTTTATTTTATATACACAAATCTATAAATACCCATTTTTATATACCCTAACAACCAATTGAAACAGGATGTTCTAAAATTAGATTGCTGAACATAAAAGATCAAGAGAATAATACATGAAGAGAACTTTAAAAGGTCAGTTATAAAATTGTGGAACTCATATCATTATTTGATTGACTGACCTTTTTATAAATGATTTACTTAAGTGAATATCAATATAATAAAAATATCAATATTTATCAAAGTAATAGGTGTCAATCACTAGCTTTCTCTTTTATATTTCCTTATGACATCTAGCCTGCTTTTCGACCAATATAACCCCCAACTACAGCCCCAATGGTAAGTCCAAATCCTTTAATCATTGAAAATGCTCCAATAACTCCAGAGAATGCAAGAGTGATTTTGGTGCTTCTTCTATTAGGAATTTAAAATAATAAATACAGATTTAAAGTATCATCTAAAGCACCATCTGCTTATTATTTGATATTATTGACATTTGCACTTGACTTTTGAGTTTAATCCGCGATTATATCTAGTGGGTCCTCATTTTTTGTAATCAGCACATCGATTTCATCTTGAAAATTTTTCAATTGATGCATTTCTTATTGAATTTGTGTGAGTCTCTTTATATCTTCCTCATTCTAATAATTCTTCATTTCGTCCAGGGAGTATTCCTTACAATCAGAAAAATCTGGTTATTGCATTATAAATTCTTAAATAAAATAATGGAATATAAAATTATCTGTAGAATCTGCAATTTGCTAGTAAGGATTGATTTTCTAAAATTACACAACGAAACATGCAAGACTCGTGCTGAGTTCCGAAGGAAAGAGATCAAATTAAATTTGTAGGTAGCCAAAGTTTGTGAAAATGCTTATAAAAAAAAGCACTAAATTCATTCAAGGGGTTAAAAATAGTATTGAAGTTCTATCTAAAATAGTCTTAACAGTCTAAGATTGAGATGGGATTAGATGTCAAATGAATATACATAAGAAATTTATCAAGAATACAAAATACTACAAGTCTTAATTTCATATGGAGAAAAAACTTTAAATTCAGAGGTAGATGCCAAATGTATTTAATACATCCTTATTCTAGATCATCTTATATCTCAGAATGAATTCATGTAAGCCCAACAAATTGTAAGCAACCCTTAGATTTTGAATTTGATAGAGCAAATGAATAGTCTGATAAATTAGAGATTAGACTTATGTTACAAAAGTATGAATTTTCAAAGACTCTTAGCCAAATTTCAAAGCATTCCTAGCATATCCTTTAGATTAAGCAAGTTCAGTAAAGACAGTCCTAAATCCAACAGCGAAACTCATAATAGAATGAACTCATTTTCTGATTATTTGAATTCTTCTAAGTATAAATTTATGACGTCAATCAAGTTTTTCTGAAGATACACAGTCAGATAATAAAAGTAATTCTCGACCAGACACTCCAATTAAGTCTATATCTATTATTGATAACCTTAGAAAAAGGGGTAAACTGTCCAAATTCAATTTCTTAAAGAGACAGTCGACTTTTTCTTCAGAGGAGGAATAAAATTCAGATAAACCAAAACTTAGTCAAGAGATTAAAAAGAAAAGTTACTTTGCTAAAACTGGAAGTTCAGATAGTGAAACAGATGACATTATAGATAACATAGTGGTAGAAAATAAACCCATCCAGACAGAAAATAATTTAAATTTTGAATCCGCCTGTTTTTTTGAGTTATAAAGAGGATACTTTTCAGATACTGAAATCATGAGATTGGATATTGAGAACAAGACAAAAGAAAAAAATATTGGATTGAAAGACTTTAATTTCATAAGGCAAATAGGATAAGGAACTTATGGTAGTGTCTTCTTAGTGAAAAGAATTGTAAATGGAGATTTGTATGCTATGAAAATAATTAACTGTTGTAATAAAAGATTCGAAAGATTGTTGGAATAACTTAAATAAGAGAGAAATATATTTGAAATTCTAACAGGCGATTACGTAGTCAAAGCTTATTACTCTTTTTAGCATGAATCATCCTTATGTTTTGCATAGGAATACATGATAGGAGGGGATTTCTCTAAGATTCTTATCAATGAAGGAGTAATATTATTAAGGTTTATTCTAGGCTTTTGATGAGAACATAGCTAGACATTATTTTTCTGAAATCTTGATAGCTTTGGAATATTTACATAATAATAATATTATACATAGAGATCTTAAACCCGAAAATATATTGCTGGATCAGTATGGTCATATCAAATTAGCAGATTTCGGTCTTAGTGAGTTGGGCATCAATAAAAAAATGATCAAGAAGTGTAGTCAGTAGAATTTTACATCGAATGATTCTTCTCCTTCTCCGATCTATCAGATGATAAAGGGGAGATCCTTTAGAAAGTCTAATATTATTCCAGAGAATGCGGAAAGAAGAATCATTGGAACTCCAGATTATATTGCCCCTGAAATCATAAGTGGACAATCATTTTCTCATAAATCTTAAGATTTTTGGTCTCTTGGAATTATTTTGTATGAATTTCTAGTTGGCATCCCCCCTTTTAATGATGAATCTGTTGAGAAAATCTATCAAAATATATTAAAGGGAGATATTGAATGGCCTGAAATTGGCAATGATCCAGAAGAATAAATCTCATAATAGGCCTACGATTTGTTAAAGAAATTATTAAATCCCGATTATACTCAAAGATTAGGATATGGATCAATAGATGAAATAAAAAATCATCCATTTCTAACAACCATCAACTGGGATCAACTGAGAAATACTCCTGGCCCCATAATTCCTTAGATAAATTAGAATATATAATCTTTTGAGAATGTAGCAGAGAAAGTCTAAAAATTTATTAAAAAAGGAGAAAAAAAATAAATCCAAATAATCAATAAACTATAAGAGGAATTAGAATATTTGGAGAGAATTGATCTGCTAGTGGCAAAGAATGAAAATGAAGCATAATTGATTTAATAAAAATTATAATTATTTTCATGAAATAAAAACTAATTTAGATTCGGTATTAATCTGCATTAATTAATGAATAATGAACTAATAGACCAAAGGTTATATAAAAAATTGTATAAATTCTAGATTATAAACTATAAAAAAGTAGTTATCAAATTATGTTACAGATTAAAAATGCTTAAGATTCTATAAGGGCTAGATGAAAATTTGAATCTATAAAATATTTCAACAATTTTAATTAGATTAAACATAGTTTATCCTTTAACGTAATTTATGTTAGATATTTGATACCAACATGTTTAATGTTAGAAATAATGAGAGATAAATATTAAAATGTGTATTTCTTGATAGGCAGTGATCTCTTAAATAGCTTAATTAATTGTACTAATATCATTACACAACAGTATTAACTTATTTGGATTTTTCTTCAAATTGTGACTAATCTGAAATTTTTATATGCACCTTTTAACATGATTTATTGTAAATTATTCAATTTTTGATAAGATTGGCTTTTAAATATTTGTTAAAGTTGGGGATAGCTTTCCCTTTTGGACCAAGTCATCAAGAAAAGCCTAGAAAGAAAAATGAAAGTGCTTGTCATTTTTTATAAATTTACTTATCAAAGTATTTGTAAGCTATAATTGTTCAAACTCCTCTTTAATATTGTTGCATTTGGTCAAAATTAAATTAATGGCATTATTCAAATCTATTGGATCATTTCCCTTAGTTATAATTTAGTGTTAGACTTAAAGGGTATGAGTGAACTTTATCTTAAAGAGACCCTTCTTTAACTATTTCTCTATTCAGTTGTTTCTTCAGTCTATTTATTAATAGTTTGCTTTTGAGCGAATTAGATTTTAAGTCTAAGCATGAAGTGTAATTTTGGGTTATTTATTCATTGATACTTTAGTATGTTAGGTTTTTGATGTCTCTGCATCGGGAGAGTATTTGACACTTAGATTGGGATCATAAATTTCATTCTATTTAACATCTAAATTAACCCGAGAATCTCCTAATTTTTTGAGTTCTTTAATTGTTTTTACGGTTGTAGATTGGGTAATGTTCTAATCAATACTAGGTTAATACATAAATTAAAAATATATTAAATCAATTAAACATATGAATATTTAAAAAATGACATACTTAAATCTTGCATCATTTATTCGAATGTATATGCAAGATCTTACAGAAATTGAATATTTACTATCTTATTCTATGGTTTATAATGTCTAGTGTGATTTCTCTCCAACTAATACATAATAGAAATAATTAAATAATTATAAAAAACTTATTAGTAAATTTATCATTGTTATAATTGCAATTGGTTTAAAATAAATATCATGATAATTTATATATAAGATTCAATCCTTATAATGTTTTAATTAATATTCATTATTTAATGGACAGAAAGTCTTAAAAGCAACTATCTTTGGATACATCTAACGATGATTACAATCTAAGAGAAGATGATGAGTTTTCAGAAGATGATAAAGGAAGATCAAAAAGGTTGGATTTTAGAAGCAAGCAAACAAAAAAACTGGAGAAACAATTAATAAAATTAGATAAAGTTTAGAACTCTTAGTAGCCTGTGAGCATGGAAATATATTACTTACTCAAATTCTAATAGAACTTAATTTATTAAGTGACAAGTCTTCACACCAGAATCATGAGGATTATTGAGAACTAATTTGATTATTCCACCTTATTATGATGTATAGATATTATTATTATAAATGCATTTCAATATGAGTATTCTATTATGATTATGAATTGTCCGTCGATTCATATATCATTAAATTTATATTTACATAACTCAATTAATAGAATCATTAAAAATAGAAAATTTCAATGATCTTTCTAGTTTTATTAAAGTCTTAAATGTTTATCACTAAACTTAACTACTAATAGATTTATATGTTTTGGTTATTCAATTATGTCCATATTCTGAATGTCTGAATTATATATACAATTGTCAAAAAAAATAATTGGCTCATCTATTATCAATCGTAGTGAATAGATTCTTGATTGCAACTTTTCTTATTGATTTAGATATGCTGAATATGATGACGTGTGAAGTATTTCAGTGAATTGAATTATTTATGAAACCATTAGAATATTTAATTGAGTATTTTTAGGTTTCATTCTGCCGCAAAGGAAATCAAGCCAAGATATTTGGTAAAGAACTACACAAAGGTTATAGTGTTCTCTGTGACTTCTTATTGAATGGTTATGCTTTGGAGAGAGTTGATCCTAAAACTATTCTAAGAATAGGGATTTCTTTTTTTAAATCATCTATAGTTAGAATTTGGTTAGATTTGGCAGGTTGAAATTACCTTTGAAGAATCATGTAATTCTAGAATATACAAAACATCGATCCATTAATTATATTAATTAATATCAGTTTGAGTTACTACTATATTGAAATCTAAACTGATCAAGAACTTGACCAATTTTATCCTGATTCATCACCATGCCATGTTTGATCTTCATGTGTTACATCAATGAACCCTCAGATCCATAGGATTTATTGCAATTAGAGATTGTGCATACATGGCTTCTAGGTATTTCAACTGCACTTCTCCTATTCCTTTTACGTTTATCCTCTAATGATATATCACTCTCTTAATCCTCTAAAACTTAGAATTTTTACAATTTAGACTTAATTTCATTTTTTTCTTAGTTCACTCTTTCCAACTAATACTAAATACTAAGTATGTACATAAGAATGTAAAACAATATTATAGTAATATAGCCTAATTGATTCCTTATAATAGTCAATTGGTCCCTAATCCTATTCAAAATTCTCGCTTTAGTCCATTCTGAAATACTTTTTTTTTATTAATGAATCTAATTTATTTGTATTTTTTAAAACTTAAGCAAATATTTGAATAAATAATTAATTGTATTGTTTGCCACAAAGTAAACTGAAAAATATTTTGTTCTTATTTCTCATTGAAAGAGTTCCTTCCCCATCAAATTCCATCGTACTCCCAATACATGCCCCCAATTTTGAGTGACCATTATTTTCCCACCATTAGAATATCATAATTAAATGCAGAAAACAAAATATTCTCTTCAAATCTACCTATTCCCAAAAATGAGTGTAGTTAACTTGTTTCCTATATCTAACAGTCAACCCTAAGGGAAATCTAACTGAATTCTTTTCATTCTCTAAACATTGTTATTTGAGATTAATGGATTATGTTGAATTGTTATCTATTAAATTTTTAATTTATATGCTGCCCCAATCGTATTTAGAGTTCCTATCCAAATCATATTCAAACATATTTTTTCAGAGTATCATTTCATTTACTCAAAAGTGGAAATATTTACCTCAAATTTATAATTATAAATGTAAACATATTAAGTTTTTAACTATTGATAATTAAACTTTAATAAATATCATATAATATTTAAATAACCCATAAACAATTTCGATTCCATTAGAAACCTAACAGTATTCTTTTCTTGCATTTAAACCAGAAATAAGGAATGTTTCTAAACTCAAATCTAAAAACAAATTGTTCTACATATCAATAACTATTCTTAAGTTTAAATACTTCACAAATTCTCAGGTAACAATGTAAGACAATACCATTTCATCTCAAATATGATGTATTGATTTCGAGATATCAATCTACATTAAATATTTGTCTTTTAATTAAGTTTGACTAATGAGTTTTAATTACTCACTCAATACATCTGAAATAATATTTATTTATACTTAATTTTATTATGCTTAACACCATCTTTTCTTTGCAAGCTTTTAGAAATCTGGATACAAATGCCATGATCTTAGCATACGACTATGCGCTGTAATACATTAATGAGCTCTAAAATTAAATTGAACAATTAGAGAAAAGCGCAATAGATATAATTGTAGAAAAAGATTAAATTATAGAACAATTAGAATTAGAATTATAACACTCTTCAAGAAGAACAAGTTTTCATAATTAAGAAGAAGTTACTTAATACAAGAAGTAACAGTTTTCATGCTATTTTAAGTCATATTTAAGAATTATAAACCAGATTGGAACATCTTCAAACCAAACATTATGAATAATTGTAAGAATAAGAAAAAGTGTGGAACTAATATTTATTAGATCAAATTGCATAGAATGAATTCTCAGTCGATTAAAAATTGAAGAGTCATTTAGAATAAATTTTTATTTTAGAAGATAAAATAAATAAACTAGAAAATGAAGTAAAACTTTCATTTTAAAGTAGTTAGATATTAAGGAAAATATGCAGATATCATTGATTAACTAAAATAAAATGTTTAAAGAAAGCAATGCCAAGTTGGAAGAAGTTCAAATTACCTAAAATAGATAATTACTAAGATTACAAATCGAACTAGAACAATGGCAATCAAATAATTCTAAAGAGAAAAACCAATACTTAGAACAAATCAATGTACTTTTACAATAATATAAAATAGTCTGCAAATTAAGAATTATAGGAATTACAATCACAGACTTCAGCTTTTAAAATACAAAATCAAAAATTAAACAATCAAAATAAGATCTACACTAATACGATTGGTGAGTTGATGGTCAAAAAAGCAGAGTTAGAATTACTAATCTAATCTTAGAAAAATGAGAAATAGGAATCAAATGGGAATAGTAAAACTGGAGCCTTTTCTTCTATTGATCAATAAGGAGATAATCATCAAATTAGAGAGGACATTAACACAACAGCCTTTGATATTAATGAAGATACTGCAGACATAAAATAAGAATTAGCATCCTTTTAATTTGATGAGAATAATGTTAATTTTAATCATCTCAAAAAAAGCTATTCTAATTATTCATTCCATTCAGAAAAGAAGGATAATATTGATTTAGACATACATCTAAAAAATTCAATTAAAACAATCAAATAATTAAATGCTTAAGTCTAATTACTCACCTAACAAATCAGAGTATTGAAAAGGTAGAATGCGAACTAAATAAATGCGAAAGAATATTTAAACATCATGGAATAGAACTACTCAAATTCAGTCTAATTAAAATAATAACAAATCAAGACATTAGAAGAGAAATTGACTGTACAGAATTAAGAAATATTACAATTAAAATAAAAAGTTAAGTAATATACTTAAAAACTCATTAAATATAATAAGAGATTAACCAGCATTCAAAGCAAATGAGCACTTTATTTATACTTTTAACATTAGAATATTATCTATTTTTTTGTATGATAATATTAAATTCATAAAGCCATAGATTCTATAGCCATCATCATGGATTCTAAGGAGCCTACCAGATCTTGTCTTGCAGCAGGGTTCAATTCGTCATATTTCTTTTTTGTATCTTTTAAGTTCTAGCATAATTAAACATAATTACCTAAATTTATGGAAGTAATGCTTATGCTGCTGTGTAGTCGCCATTATTAAATTTAGTTTTTATGATTTCATCCAATTTTTTGCAGGCTGCTTAGAATCTATTTTCATCTATTTGTTTCAACACATTCTGTTGTATATTTTGAGAATATTCAGTCTTGTACTTATTGATTTCATTCTCATATTTCTCCTTCAATAATTATAAATGTTGCTTGTTTTGATTATAGGTCCAGATATTATTATCATTTCTGAGGTATTTTTCAAAATTTCTTGTGACTTTTACTACTGATGTGTCTGATTTCTAGAAGTATATGACAGCCTAATAAGGATCTTAATCTAGTTTTCTGAATCCCTTTTTGATTGAAAAGAATTCTGGATTTGGATTATCATTCTAAGAGGGAGCTGCTAATTGTGTAATTTTATCAATGTTATCAAATGTGGTTGCTTACAATTATTGTTGTAGATTAACACCAGCAATGGCTAAGAAATAATTGATTTCAATTTTTTGTTTCTTGTCTTGTTTAAGCTCTGGAAATTCAACTTATTTAGCATCTCCCACAGTTTATCCTAAAATATATAATATTCAATACTCTGTTGATTTTTGGGAACAGGGAAGGAGGCTTCTTGTGATTACTACTTTTGTTAGCCTGGGACTGGGAAATACGTAACGTCACTTTATTATTATGTTGGCTGAGTAGGAGCTTAAAATGATGGAGCTTGTGCTTATTGTTATGCTGGTGGTGGAGGGGGAGGCATTACGTTTTGTTGAGGTGGTGGTGGAGGAGGTGGCATGACATTTTGTTAAGGTTTTGGAGGAGGTGGCAACACATTTTACTAAGGTGGAGGCGGAGGAGGTGGAAGGTTCTACACAGGTGGAGGGGGAGGTTAAGACGCTGGTTTTGGCGGAGGTGGATTAGGTGGGTTAGATGTGGGTTTAGCTGCAGGAGGACCGGGAGGTCTAGGTGGTGGAGGAGGAGGCTTTAAAGATGATATAACATTAGTATACTGCGCCTTTGGGGGGAGGAGGAGGTGGTGGAGGTGGAGGAGGAGGTGGAGCTGCTTTGTTTACTATAACCTTGGTGTTGGGAGGGGCATTTTGTTATGTTTACGCAGGTCCTGGTTCTTATTAATTTAACATGGCAAGCTTGGCTTGGAAATCTGCTGAATTAGTAGGAGGGGGAGGTTTATTTTTAGCTTCATAAGCGGCTCGCTCCTCTGGAGTCATTCTTTGCAAGGCCAATTTGGCCTATCTAGCTTACAATTCTGCCATCATGGCTTTATAATAATATAAAATATGCAAATTCCATGTTTTATTAAATCATGATAATGTAGTTGATTTTCAGATTTTGGCAAAATCTAATTTAAATTATGTAAATATTTCTCGCTCTTTGGCCAAATCTAGGAGTGGAAGGTTATTGAGTTGAGCAATTAATTTTGATTTTCTATCATTATTTTAAGCCATTTATTAATTTTACTGTAGCATTTCTTCTATTTAGAGAATTTATAACCTTGCAAATACTTCCCCTAGTAATTGTGAAATTTATTCTAATTTCTTTTGATCTAATAATAATGATATATAGATATACTTGGAGTATCAAGTGAAATCTGCATAGCCTATTGTAACTGAAGTTCTTCTTGAAGTTATTCGTACTCCAATTTGATTTTCAAAATTTGCATCTTTTGGATTTATTCTGCCTTAGAGTCTTCTTCTTCCTTAGGGTCTTGTTCTTCCTCTTCTTATTATTCTACTTCTTCTTCATCTTCTTCATCATCAACTAATTATTGATAGGCTGCCATTTCTCTGCGTTTATTTTAAAAAGACATTTCTGCTTTGAAAACCTAAAAGTCTCCCAAGGCCAGTAACTATTGGATATCTACTTCTTCATCGCCATCACTATTAAGAATTTCCTTGATAATCTTTAAACAGTTTTGCAAATAAATAGTTACCTATATTTGTAATTCATCAGAATTATCTAATCCTAGGGAACTGAAGAAGGAGTCGTAGATGGCAGCCATTTCAGTTTGAAATTGCTTGAATAGATTATTTTATTGAATTGATTATTCTTCGTCGTCGTCGAAATAGATGCAATACTCGTCAACAAAGGAATTGTATTGATTTTTCCATGTAGGACTTGCCAACATTTAGAGGATGACTTCTTTTACAGTCGACTAAAATGAGATTGGGAATATATACATAATCTGAAGACATGATTAATTATTTTATATATTAGAATACATTGATATCATTGATTAATGAGTTCTCTGATTTCTTCCTCTTCTTATTCGTACTTTTATTCAGGGAATCTGACTTTATCAGGGACTTCAATGGGAATTCCTTTCTTGCCTATGGAAAGATTAATTGAAATGAATACCAGATGGGTCATATGGTCTGTAGATCTTTACTTTGACTCCGATGATACCTTGTTTGAAGAAGCAATGTCTGACGGCAACATCAATCAAGTCTTTCTTTGGTTGACCTGTGGAAATGATGTAACCAGCTCTGTATTTCATTGACTTGGCTCTTTGTTGTCCCAATTTACCAGAAATGATACATTCAGCACCAATAGCACCATCAGCCATGATTTATTTCAAAACTGCATTAGCTGCTGTTCTGACAGGTACTTAAGCAAGTAATTTTGTTTTGAGTGATTCAGCTTAGGCTGGAGCACACAATCCCTTTGATTGAACTCTGGCGACGATCAATTGAAGAGCCTCTAGAGTACAAGATAGATTAAGAGAGAATACCTTTGGCATATCCGAATCTCTTTTGGATTAAGCTTGTGAGTTCTCTCAATTTTCTTCCCTCTGGTCCTGTGACTCCTGCAGTGTTGGCAGCCTTGATTTCAATATCTGTTTAGACTGGGGTTGTTCTGACAACAAATCCAGCATAGCCAGCGTCAGTCAAAGCTCTGCTTAAAAAGGAGTGTAATTCAGCTTAGAAGACACCATCGGCAACGAACTTCTTCTTTTTGTTCATTTATCTGACTTTGCTCATGATTTTGTTTTGATTTTCAAAAAAAATTTTAATAAAGATTTTAGTTTACAAATAGCAATGTATTTCTTTAACAAAATATACATTAATATATTTTCAAAAGAATTTAATGGAATTATAATAATACCTCCCACATATTCAATATATAAACTCTGTAGATCTTGAAAGGAATGCTATAAACAATGCTACTCTTATTGTGATTATATCTTAGTAACTCATTAAAATCCCTCATTCAAGAAAAGGGAGCGACTTCAAAAAAATTGATTTAACAGTTCTCAAAAGTACCATTATAAGATATTGAATTCACTTAATATATTTTTTCAAAGTAATTCAAATCTTACAGAACCTTAGTTGATAATTATATAAAAAAATTTATAACAATGAATTCTCTATTACTTAAATGGTTTATTTAAAATGGTTAATCTGATATGGGTTGTGGCTAGTGAAGAATCAAGCAAGATTAATCATATCTAATTAAAGATCATGAAAAATAGAAACAATTATTGCAAAAGATTTTTTGGGAACATATAAGAATATGAGCAGTTTCTTTAAAATTTATAAATTTAATAAACCCTAAAGTTACCAATCAACTTTGTAACTAATACTTTATTTTGAATCGTAAAATTAATTATTGTTGGTATATCATTACAAACTAAGATATGTGGGAAATGAATAAAGAGATATAATAAACATATGAATTTCTATTTTGGCTTAGGTATTTAATCAAAATTAATATTTAAATTAAATAGCTTAATAATACTTAGGCTAAATACAATTAATAGGAGGTATAGGAGAGACTAAAATAAGATAAAATATGTATATATAACGTCTTTTATTAAGTTAGCTTCTAATTGAATCATCAAGGCTATTGAGATTTTTTCAAAGAAATCAATCAATTTATCTAAGTTCTAACTTTTTAATAGAATATACCAAAGAGAGTTAATGAAAAAAGGAGAAATAATCAAATGATTATAATTCTTCATTAAAATTCAAGAGTATTATTTTAGTAATCAACTATTGCACTCTTTAATTAAATGTTTGGAATTTAATTCCCCCAGATGACCTACCTTGTCGCAGGATCATAAGGTCCATTGACCCTTATGCACTCATTTATAGAGCATTTCTCGTAGGTGTGTCCACTACTCAATAACACAGGTTCACACATAGCTTCTTGTGTTATGACACAGGTGTAGTACTCAACGGAATTAGGCACATAATGTTCCTTTGTTCCTGGATATGAGAGTTTATTTAAGTTGATTATTTTGCCATAGAATTTAGTTAGTTTCTCCTTCAAATTTAGGAATTCTGAAAATATAAGAATAAGACACCTTTATAATTTTCTGATTTTTCCAATTTGGCCTTTAGAATAAGTCCTTGCGAATAATTATAATTAATGCTTTCTTTTAGTTGAGGTTTTAAATCAATATGCTTTTAAGCTTGGTTATTTGATTATCTCTATACCTTAAATCAAGAAGTTAACACCTTCTTATGCTTAAATCAAACATTTATCTTGCTAACCTAAGATTAAATGAACAGTCCCCAAAATAAAGTAAGCTCGAACATTCTTATTGTCTAGTTATAATGCTTGGAGGGCATCTTTCTTGACATTTACATAATCCTCGATAGTTCGATAGGCAACAGCACGATTCGAATAGTATATAGATTCTTTATTATATAAATTCTATTTTCCATCAAATATAGTACTATAGCCTATGTATATGCAATGATAGCTTCTTTAAAAAGTTTTTACTGCATATATTGGTTACCTTCCTCCTTGTATTTCTATGATTATTCTTTTATTTCAGTTTCTGACAGACTCTGGGTTACCTAAGGCAGACTTTCGATTTTCGGAGGATTTTACTTTAAAGGAGTATCACAACAATTACCCATTTCTTTTTATAATAAATATCAATATTCAATTTTATGTTATTATAAATATTCTTTATTATAAAATTTACTCAAATATCTTTATCCAGAATCGCATAAGATAGTAACAAAAACCTTACATTCTGGGTACTTCTCAACGGCTTTCAGAACAGCCACACAATTCATAGCACTAGAAGCCCCTACAAACAGTCCCTCCTTTTCAATTAAAAATTCAGCCATCTGTATTGATTCTAAAATTATCACATAATATTACCCTTATCTTATATAGTAAACCCATAATCGATTTTTGCTTGCAAATAATTTTTGGTCAATCTATTCAACCCACACCCTTCTATCACAGTATCGAATGGATTCTTCAGTCTATGACCCTCGGCTTCTTAGTAAGTGTAACATACTCCACTATTGACATGAGTTTTCAAAGATGAGCCAGGAGGGTCTGCTAGTATAACTTTGATATTTTTATTTTTTCCCTTCAAATATTGAGAAATCCCAGCGATTGATCCTCCTGTTCCTGAAGACATAACAAAACAATCTATCAGACCATTTGTTTATTTGTAAATTTCCTTGCCTGTTTAAAAATGGGCTTATTAATTGGCCAAATTATGAAATTGATCAGCATAATATCCACCTTCAATGTATGCTTGTTTTTCTGCTTTCTTACAAAAATGCTCTGAATCAACAATTGAAACAGGTGGTACTTTTTCGATGATCGCACCGCATGTTTATAAAATGTTGTATTTCTCTTAAGCCAAATCATTTTGCAAATATAACTTGCACTTGCAACCTAAACTATTTCCAATCAGAGTTAGACTCACTCCTGTGCTTCCTGATGTCCCCTCATAAATAGTGTTATTTTTGACTCCCAAATGTCCATGCTGTATACCGTATTATATTAATGCCAAAGCAGTTCTATCCTTCATGCTACTTCCAGGATTCATAAATTCACACTTGGCCTAAATTCTAATGCTATAAAATACATATATCTCTCTCCCTGTCTACTCTGAGAGGCTCTTTAAATATATTAAAGGAGTGTTTCCAATGATGTCTGCTAATCGTTTCTTAGGAATCTATCTCCTCCTCAAATAGGAGTATGTTATGGCCACTGCCAAGATGGATGTGCCCATCAATGCTTTTAACCATAATTTTTTCATTAAATATTGATTTTTATAATATCATCATTTCTTTTATGTTCTGCAACAGGTTTCTTCTTGTTCTTAAATAATCTATCTATGATGAGTGTATCCTATTAATCAAATCTGACACACAGATATTCACCCAAAAATATGGTCAGAATACTTATAATAGTATTTAGAATCAGCCACATGTTATTGAATTCTGATGAACTCAACACGCAACAAATAATGAAATGCCATAATTACAAAGAGAATACAAAATCCAGAACCTTACTTCCTTTAACTACGATAAAGATCTACGATTATAATCACAATACCAATCCGCTTACAACTACCAAAATGTTGAATATGTTGCTCAATAGATTGACACTAAAGTAAGTATCATAAGTGAAGATCCCAAAGTCCCAAATTTATCCTAAATGAAACTAATCATTATTGATTCATTTAATACTTTACTTATAATCCAACAGCAAAATCCAAAAATAGACATACCACTATCAACCCACTGTAATAGGTGCATAATAGAGAAAACAATTGAATAAGAATCATCTTACTATTGAAATTGTCCTTCCTTTTAAAACGTTCTTTCATTAAATAAATAAAATAACTATCATTAAACAAACTAAATTGATTTGTAATTCTATTCCAACTGTTTTATAATTTCTGTTGACAAGGAGGAACTTGTATAAATTTACAATCATACTTAGAGATTTTGAATATGAGTGTGCAAGAATGTTCTCCTTTTAGAGATTGAATCTCTTTTAAGAATAAATCGAATCCATTATTTATTCCCTTGCAATCTCGTAAGTCTAAGGTGAATTTTTGGAGTTTTTGCTTGCTTATCAAGATGGCTACCCAAGTCAGAATGCTTGTGAGCAAACTAGAAATATCAATTAGCTTTTCTTATCTATACTAATAAATAATGTATACTTGTTAAATATTATTTGAGTCTAATTCAATGATTATAAATACTTCAACTCAGTTACAAGTTTCTTCGTTGATATTTATCTACTGCTTATGTAAAATTTTTAAAGATAAGCTGCCTTGTAATTTTTCAAAAAGAGTTACACATCATCAAACACAATTTGATTGCAATTTTTCAACTTTAAGATTTTCAAATGTTAAATTTTTGAGGAATAAATTAATTTTAACACTTCACCATTTATTTTTGTGTTTGATAAATTTATTGAAATGATATTAGTAATAAATTAGGATTATAGAAAATGTTTCATTCCGTATTGAGTGATATCCTGATTCTTTAAATTCAAATATTCAATATTCTGCAAACCTTGTGAATGAGCTATCCTTTTAAGAGTTTCATCTCTGATATAGGTATTCTCTTCCATGTCATTTTAAGACATGTAACCATATTTTTCTAAGCTTCTAATATTCTCAAACAGACTATTGGTCGTACGTATACAAATCTTAAAATCAATAATTTGCGACTCCCATAGCTTAGAAGTTGATTGCACCAATATCACTTTCTTACCTAGAGGCGTTTCTAAAAACTTCTTAATATCCTTCTCTGTTAATGAAGTCTTATTTAGATTCAATTGATTCAGATTGGGCAAATAGACAGGCGTGAATAATTTAAGGAGATTGGCATCAACCCACTTATTATTAGAGATATCTAATAGAGTTAATTTCTAAGCTTTGTCACAAATGATGAAATCTTCGAATTATTGACACTACTAGCATCCAGCCATCCTTAATTTGTGAAGCTTATTAAGATTGTCTGAATTTATCAAAGCAGTTACTGTTTAAATGGATAATTAAGTGTAGGACAAATCTAAATCCCTCACTTAAGTAACAGATTGACTCATCAAAATCAACTTAAGTTAGCTGTCCTTGATTAATGAATTATTGAAACTTAGCACTTCAATCTAGTAATGAGAATGAGATACATACCTGAGAAATCATGTCATCTGCAAATAGCCATTCCAATGTTTGAGAAGATAATGAAGTAGTCTATAGAATTAATTCACTCACATTTTATTTTTATTAGTTGAGACATTCTAGAACAATCTAGGATTCCAATAGATCAGACTATATTTCAATATCCTTGTGTTGGTTTTGACTGACCTTCTTCTTTTGCTTAACACAACAAGCAGTTGTAGATTTTGTTTAAACTACCTGAGATTAGATAAGCTTTCGATTCTGTACATCTTTTTATTACTTCTATTGCGTATCCTTTTAATTCTATCCATCAAATCTTATATATAAATAATTGTTATTCTTATCCTTGAGAAAAATCTATTTCTCAATAACGTATCTCCGAATTTCGAAATGAGTTATTTTGTTTCTAAGATTCTTAATAAATCTATTAATGATTAGACATATGATTTCAGTGTCATTCAAATCCAGCAAATCAATGACAGTAAAATCATACGGTTATTGATATCCAAAATATTTCTGAGTTGCTGTATCAAATTCGAATTTGTAATAAAACCTCCCTACTATGAAATCTTCTTCAGCCAATCTTTCACTTATATTAAGGAAAAACTAAGCCTCTAATCCATTGATAGTCGTCTTTGAATCTAATAAACCAAAATAAAATTGGGAGTTGATTGTCAATTAGTGTTCTTCGTGGTGATCATCTATTTTATTAATGAGTTTGCCATAATCAATATTGATTTCTTTGTAATTTAGGTCGCTCACTGTATTGTATAGATGCAATTCTCCTTTTCCATGAGGTAAATTATTCTGCCAATGTCCAGAATAAAGGATTTAAAGTTGATTTTAGACTAAACTTTATTTTGCACTGAGATTCTACTTAGATTCTTACAGTTAGGTAACTTAGCTGATATCGAAATCCTGCTCATCATCACAAATAGATTTCTTATCCTTCTTATGCCTTTGAATCTTAAATATTAAATCATTCTTGGGTGCCTTATACATAATACCATATCCATCTCTCTCTTACTTTTCCTTATTGTAAGAACCCTAATAAATTTGAGATTTCAAACTGTAGGCCAATTAGCAAGTGCCTTATTCTGATTTCCAGATTGCTGGCACAAACTATTAGGTGAATGAGGTTTAAATGGATGCACAAATCTGAGAATTAAATAGGGTGGCTAATTCAATGGTAGAGATCCTTGTGTCTTCGTGTTCATCTAGTAGCAACTTTAATAAAGGCTTGATTCTTTTCAATTTGTGATCGAATAGGAAGAACTTTTCAGAATAAAGATAGATTTCGTATTTTTCAATTAAAGTAGGTAAATTTTATTGTCTTTATTCATAAAAGAGACATTCGATTTGCTTTTTTAAATTAATTTTGTCGTTGTGAAGTAATAATTACAAAAGGACTAATCCTAGAGAGTAGATATCTGATTTAAATGGATTATGTTTAAAATTGTTGGAGATTGCATCAATGGTATGTGTAATGTGAATATCAAGTTATTATTTTTAATTGGTTGAGAGATAGTGTTCGAATTTTAATGGAGACATATATAATATTGTGCCAAATATTTAATTAATTTCAACTTAGTCTTGATCTTTTGGAACTTATCTGATTGCTCCAAAATCATGCAATATGAATTTACCATCTTGTATCAAAATGTTTTCAGGTTTGATATCATTGTGAGCTGATTCTAATAACTATTAAAGTAAATTGCTTACATCTTCCAATGTGCAGATTGTATAACTAATCAACAATATCTTTGATGATTTGTAAGATCTCATAATCCGTGAAATTCTCCTTCATGTGTTGCTTTCTCTCTATCAAATCTTCCAAAGTGTTCTGTGCCAATTCTTCTTCTATGATTAGGATGTCCTCCACTTCCAAGATCTGATACTGAAACAAATAGTTTCCCACAAAGTTTTCAGCCACATCCTAATTGATCTGTCTTTACATCAAAGCTGCATATAGATTTTCTTATGTGTTTTGAGATATTTTCACAGCCACCAAATGTTCTTGTTAATTCAGAGCTTTGAATGCTTGGGATTAGGCTCCAGATCCTACCTTTTTAATCTCTCTATAATGTAACAAGGCTAATAAATCAATGAAATCTCTGGTGGTTTTTAAATCACAAAACCTGTATTAATTTTCCAGAATTATTTAAGTATATTGTTTTTATTTGGACGTTACAGTGTTTCTGCTGTGTGTTCTGGTTTCTTCAATGCATGACATTTTTAGCAATTGGCTAAAAGTTGAAAGACTTCTTTTTTTTGATTGCTTCCTTTTCATCTCCATAGGTTTTGATTTAAAGAAGTCAAGTATGTGTGGATCATTATTCTTGTAATTCTATTTACTTTTGTGCACAAATCCAAAAGCCATGGGAATAATTCACTACTCTCATCTGGCATTTAAGTACTGAAGACATCCTATGCAAATTTTGATACTTCTTCAAGTTTATGTTCGACCATCCAAAACGTTTGCAAATTCTTATTATAGACCTTAAAACACATCGAATTTGTCGAATCTTCACTTTAGTCTAAATCTATCTCTACTTCAATATTATTTAATAAATAATCCATTAATTTATATAATCCATTACTCTAAACAAAGGATTTATATAATAGACAATTACTGTGATAATATTTATAACATAAAATCAATCAAGGATAAAATGAAGGGTAATACCTTATTGGAGGATTGGATATTATTGAACTTGATTCTCTCATTTATAAATTAATACCTCTAAACAATATTATTCTTTTCTACAGGAATCTACTCCTAGTAGTTACCCTTGTACAAATTTTGAGGCATTTTAACTCCAATGTCTCTTCTTGGTTCATACTGAGTCTGCGGCTGGTCTGGAATGATGTAGGCTAACATGCCATAGGATTCAGATCTCAACTCTAGAGTGAACTCGTCACCGTAAACAAACGAAAACTCCATTTTGGCATCATTGGAATATAATATTATACTCCAACGAAATCCTAGGAATTACATTGATCAATTACTAAATCTTTATTCAATTTCAGATTTTATAGTATCAGCTCTTTAGCTTAACAAATAGGGATCCTTAGTATCAGTGATAGAAAATAAGTGAACCAATTCATCTCTTAATTGATTGGTGACTTAATTGCCTTGTTTCATGACTTCAATTCTGTCCATTTCTACAATATTTGCGATTGATAATATTAATTAATAAATAAAATTGCAATAAAATCAAAGATCGTTAGATTTATTATATTATAACATATTATTTATTATGAATATGATATATATATTGAATGTGTAATAACGATATGTCTAAATAAATTAATGTCAAAATCTATAGGCAAATATGTATATGACGAAAAAAACTTAATTGGTTCTGGTGCTTTTGGGAAGGTTTACCGAGGGTTAGACACAGAAAAACAGATGGAAGTAGCAATTAAAGGTAATGAATACCAAAACGACATTAGTTTCTTCAATAAAAAATGTTAGAAAAGAGGTCTTGGCCATCATCGAGAATGAGATTTAAGTAATGAAAAGACTGGAGCACCCGAATTTGATTCAACTATACGATGTTTTTGAATAAAATGACGAGAAGATAGTTGTGATGGAGTTATGTAAGCGAGATTTAAAAGACTTACTCACCAAGAGGAATCTTCAAGAGAATGAAGTTTTACACATCGTACTTCAATTGGCAACTGGTTTGAAAGAATTGGTCAGATTGGGGTTACTTCATAGAGATGTAAAACCCGCAAACTGCTTTGAATGTGGAGGTATCTTTAAACTCGGCGATTTTGGATCTGTTGTTGAAGCAGACTACAGTGGAAAGAAATTAATGAAATAACAATTTGGTACTTTAGCTTATGAAGCACCTTAAATGATGATGAAAGATAAGTATAGTGTCAAATGCGATATTTGGTCTTTGGGAATACTCATTTATGAATCTCTTTTTGGATAGCTTCCTTGGCAATGTCAATCTGAAGGGTAGTATCTGAGGGCCATAAAAACATGGGGTGTTAGATTTCCGATGGGGAAGAGAATTTCAAATGAGTGTAAGGATTTCATTATAAGATGCTTGGTTATCCAAGAACATAATAGAATGGATTGGGATTAATTATTTGAGCATAGATGGCTTAATATCAAAGAGCACGAAAGAAAATTTGTAAACTTGATATTTATTATTAAAATAGAACAACTCATTAGTTTTTGAATAAATTGAGGATTAACTGTTAGATCATCTTAATGAAGTGGCTACATAATAGCATTTCCATCCACAAGAAACCTTCCAGAGATACGATTTCGATAACAAAGGAGTGTTGGACTATTTAAAATTCGAACGATTTTTGATATAATTTGATCCCCGACTAACCAAAAAAGAGATGATGGCCATTTTTGTACATTTGGACAAGCATAAAAAAAATGTAATAGATCTTTCTTAATTCTAATAAATATTTAGTAAATGAGATTTAATCTTATATTTAATATTTACAATTGATTTCTTTTTAAAATGATATAGATACCTAATTTATGATAGAATCAGTTTGGCAATAATTATAATTTCAATAGCAATTGAATTTGAATCAATAATCAAAAGGATATAATACTAACACCTAGGATTTGTTATATTACTCAAATTTCTAACATTAACATTAGTTTTAATTTTTAATTATGAGATAATTATGAATTTAGCAATTTTATTTAAATTCAAAATTATAAAATACTACATATGAATGATTTGACAAGTCTTTTGAATCTTAAAAGAGAATAGTTTTCTGTCCACATCAGGAAACAAAGAAATGAAAACTAATTTAAAGAATCAAGAAAACATTATATTTCATCACTCTTTTCTCAGCAAATATAGATGCAAGAAATAAGCGCCAAAATAAGAGACAAAATAGAAAGAGGGGAATAACTCAGTGGTGAATTGTTGATAATAATAGTGGAGAAGATTGAAGAAGTTTTGGAGAGAGAAAACAATCTTAAATTATTAGATGTAGTTCAATGTGATTATGTAGACTATTGATGCAGCTGTCTGGATGTTGAAGTCTGTAGATGTATAAACTTATGAAGATGAACTCAGTGATAATCATAAGATGCAAAGAATTATAGATATCATGATACCACTTTCTTAAGGATATTCTACCCACCATGAGCAAATGAACTAATAAATTATCATATATGCTGCAAAAGTATAATTTGTCTATCATGTAGTTTCTTAAATACTGGACAATGATGGATGACAAATCAATTTACAACTACTATGGTGAAGTGGCTGAAACAGTCTATTTCCTATTGAATAAATAAGAAGTCATCTTTATCAAGAGAGGAGTTGAAATTATGTTTAACCTCTTCTAATGTGATGATGGAAGATTGTTGTCCAAATTGCATGAACTGCTCATTTGTGGTCAAAATCTTGTTAAACCCATATGCATACTATTATAAACCTAGCAAAATCATGACATTTAAACAACACTTTAGAAGATAGTACTACAAACCTTCTTGATGCAAGAAAGAAATGGTATGGATCAATACTTAAATTACACAAATCAAGATACTACATTTTTTGATATTTTAATTGAACTAGTCTAAGAATCAGAAGAGAATAGTCGAAAACTCTTTCGTTATCAATTACATTTAATCCATCTAATACTGGATTACTCTTAGACTGAAAGAGAATTGCTGTATGATCATTTCAAATGGAAAATGAATTCCTCAGAATTTAAAATTAAAATGTAACAAAATTGGTTATTTCATCAATGGAGTTCCATTTAGAAAGTTGCAAATTAAATCCAAAATCACTTAGAGGAATGACCAAATGAATTCAATAACCAGTTTTGTTATTAGTTTTTATGATAAAATTGATTCCATTCTTCCCTTTGGTTGATTACATATCATAATCTAAAACAATTATTATTCACATCTTATTGATTCTAAGTATATAATTAAGTATGTTAATATCTAAGTCTCCAACTAAGATATATAGCTTCTGCATATTTATAAAATATCATTTTAATCATATATTAGGAATAAATTTTAGTATATTGAAATGATATTTTTAATAAAAACATTGCAATGTTTAAAAAAATCGGAATTATTCTCACTATTGTTTCAACTGTCCCAAAAGTTCTTAATTTTGTTCAAACTAAATTCTAATAATATTAACAATCATAAAAAGTACAATGTTTATATTAATCTGACGATGTAGAATAATCTACAGTATTCTAAGGTGATATAACATAAGAATAGAATAAACAAATAGTTTTTAAAAAAATGTATTCTTATTCATAATTTTTAGGGAAGAAGTTTAAATATAAATAATAGAGTTTCTTGATCAATATAATTTTTAGAAATTATATAATACGAAATAGATAAAACAACATTTTTATAATGAAAAGATGGATTTTTGTATGATAAATTTGTAAAAAATCGCAAAAGATTAATTTTCGATGTTCACAACTGAATTAGGAACAACAAATGAAGTTATATGGCTTAATGTAGCCATTACTAAAGTATACTACTTATTGATTATATATTATTAAGGCAAGTTTAAATAGATAAATAAAGATGATGAATTTCTATTATACTTTCCTGAAATTCTTGAGTTCATATAAAGTACTATATTAAAAAGGGCAAAATAATGCTTTCCTAAAACTTATGATAAATTGGAAAAACTTCTTGAATACTATTGTCAAGGTAGTATTCAAAAGAATAACTAACTGCATGATCTGAAATAATAATTTCAAAACAATTATAATGTTAAGCATTATTAAAAGAAAATATCAGAAATCTATAATAATATTATTGAGAATTATAATATGGAAGCATTGGAAAACATAAAAATTAAATATCTTTGTGAAGAAAACTTGGAAACCCGTAATAAATTCAAGATTTCTGATGTTCTGTTAAATGAAGGTCACAAAATTATAAGGAAGACAATAAAATTTGAAATCTTAAATAGTCTACAAAATTACAAGGAAAGAGATTTTAAAATTTTGAAGACAAAGGTGAGAAATATAATTTTGAAATAAATTCATGAGGACAGCTTTGTGGGGGGGATTGCAAATAAAGAAATCAATCAAAATCTTTAACTCATTATAGTTTCATAGTTTTGCAGACTTGTAAAAATTGATAATCCGATTATTGAGATTTTGATAAAAGAACTGGAAAAATAATATGAAATTAAGGACAGAATATAATGGTTCTCATTAATAGATCTCGAAGAGGATTAACCTGTAGACTTAAAAGAAAAAATCAAAAGTTTCCAGAACATGGTTGAAAAAGCACAAACATGGTATGAATAGAACGTTGATGAAGAAACTAATTTGTTAGTTATCTGCTAGCTTTACATGATATTGGCTAATTTTAAATTCAAAAACTAGAAGATATATTTTGGAGAATATGATTCAGAAGCTAGAAACTCACTATTTATTATTGTTGAATAGCTAAAGGACTTAGAATATGGTTATTTTAATCATGAGATATTGAAGCTGTGCGAAAGTTTGACTCATAAACTTCAAACAAAATTTTTTGAAGACATAGATAAAAAGATTTAGAAGGAATAACAAAATGGATATAATAGTGGGGAATTGTTTAAACAAAGAAGTGAAATACTTATTAACGATACACCCTATCATTTCCTACTACAGGATACGTCTGTTAGTATCTTAAAAAGTCCTACTGCTATAGGAAAAGAGTTTCATTAATAACATCAATTATTTGAATTAATTTTGAAATCAAAATAGCCTAATCTTGAAACCAATTAAGAAGAATAAGTACTAACAGTTCGTATTCAGTTCTTAGAAATTAAGAAGCTGATAATGAATTAAAAGAGACTGGGAAATTATAAATTTGTTTAAACTTTGGAGGAACCAAAATTATTTTATTTTTCACCACTCTCCACAGATGAAAACAATTCAAATGTTATTACTTTACTGATCTCTGGGTTTCTTAGTAAGAATAGCGATAAATAGGAGTTAGGAAAGCATTTATTAAAGAAATTGTCTGGCACAGTTATTGCATTGAATTGGGAAACAAAAGAGATAAAAGACTTAGTATTATAAATAACAAATTTGGGTGCAAAGTAGGATAAATTAGAAATTTTAGACCAGAGTTTATTTGAAAATCAATTTATTTAAGCAACTCAAGAAGGAACAGTAATTGGTAGATGTTTGGCTCATTTTTTGGATGGAGGAAATGTATTTGGAAATAGATAAATAAACATAATATGTCATTCTTTAGGTACTTAAATATTACTTGATTGCGTGCATGAATTGGACAGATTTTCTTCAAAGAAATGTATCAACGATATATTGCTATTTGGTGGAGTTGCTGATATAAATGAATTAGCACAAAGAAGATGGAATTCAGTTTCAGGTTCTATACATAATATGTATATTGAAGATGATAGAGTTCTTTAATATCTCTTCAAGGTTAACTATATCTTCAAATAGCCTTGTGGTAAGCATTATTTCATAAATAGGTTACAACCCTGTAAAATTTGGATATAAAAAGATTTACAACTATAATTTAACAGGAATAGTTGACGGACACTCCGGTTATTGGGACAAATTAGATATGATGATGAATATAAGCGATTTGAATAGTAATTACAAAGTTTTGGTTAAAGATGTTAAAAAAGTATTCTGATTATTAATAATATTCATATTCATTATTATCTATAATATAATATTATATATATTATGGAGGATATAGGATTGATAATACGAAGAATAAAGTGATCAGGGGAACCTCGGTTGAATCTATCTGCTAAATAAATGATCTGTAGAGTTTAAATTAAAGAATAATCCTTTGATATCCAAATTTTAAACATTAAATGGACGTTTTCATTAACCATAAGTAACTTAGATTTTGAAAAATTTATTTCAATTTAGTCCAGTATCTCAAATCAACTAAAACAGGAACAGCAAATAATTCCTGAAGGGTCCAATTAGACAAGTGTAAGACTTATACAGTGCCCTTACTTATTTTTTTCTAGATTTATTATATTAACTGAAAATAGTGTTGTTAACACTCTTTATAAAAATCAACTTAGTTGTTGAAACATACGAATCATGTTTTGGAAGTAGATGCTAATGAGTTTGAAGTCTATGAAATAATTTCCTAAGGTGGTTTTTCTATTGTGCATCGCGGATGTTTTAGAGGCACAGAAGTAAGCACATCAATGCAAATTAGATTGCAGTCAAAAAGATCTTTAATCCAAAATTACTTAATAATTACTTGATGAAATAAATAATGAATTGAAATGCTCTCTTTATTAAGACATCCAAAAATAATTCTATTAATGGCTCCATGGACTTTGTTGTCTAATAATTATTAAATAGATGATTGGGTTTAAATTATATTTAAAATAGAATTGCCATGCTGTGTATTGATTAATATATATTTTTTTAACATAATTATAGTTAATTAATTCAAATATGAAAACACTCAAAGAGAGGATGTTAAAGATAGACAAAGTATTATGCATACCTATACCAATAGATATGTCAAAAGCTCAATATCCCTGAATAAAGTAAGGGACTTTTCAAAAAGAGGAAAAACAATTCTTGCATTATGAAGGAACAAGACAAGAACATAAACAATGTAAGCATGATTAGTTCAAATGCAGGGTGTATCATTAGCAGAACTCAATTGAAAAAGCAATAATCAATCTAGATGTTATAATGTGATACAGTTAGAAGTTAAACATTATCCTTGAAATAATTAAAGATGATTCACGAACAAGACTAGATTCAATCCATGCAATCCTAAAAGGAGGAATTACAGAATTAGATTAACTAATTAGTGTAAATGAAAAAATAAATATAAGAACAAGAGGATAAAAAGAAAAAACAATTTATCACTTAAGACACTTCCCTATTGCCGCAAATGCTGAAATTGCAATAGGAGAAGTTGTCAATTGAAAATGAAATCACTTAGATTGATTCTAAGATTGAATAAGTCAGATACAGTAACATCAATAAAATACAAGTTCTACAAAAAAGAAATTGGAAGGAGGAGAAAAAGGTAACTTTGAGTAAGATTCATATTTATAGTCATTCGAATAAAAATGGTTGGACCTAGAATAAAACGAATCCAAAATGGATGACAAATTGTACAACCTCTTCATCCACGATTCTCCACCCTAAGAAGAACAAGTGGATTAATAGACTATAGATACCTTAACCAAAGAAGTAGAAGATCTATTATGTTTAAAATTGCCTGATGAATAGGATGATTCATTATTGGAACAAAGTCAAAGAAGCAAATTTAATTAGAACTATTAGTCTCCATTATAAATTATTGAGGAAGAACAATCCGTCGAATTGTCTTTTTAAAAATTATGAATACAATTTATTAAATAACTAATAATATCAATTAATTAAAATTTAAATGATATATAAAATTATTTATCAATTAAATACACAATAAGGAATACCTAATATTTAATAATCAAATTTATCATCCCGATATACTTTGTTTATTACCAATATTTGTATTTTCTTAAACACTAAGAATGCTTAAGTAAATTTTACGAGCTCTAACCAATTTGTTAGATTTTTTATCTAAATATAACAAAAAATAAATCTTAAACAATTTTAGCAATTTCACTTTGTGATAATGAATTCTTAATAATTATCGAAACTTAATCTATGTATGATAAAATGCATGTTAATTGATTAAAAACATAAATTCATTTCGTAATTTTCTTGATAAATTATTAAATTTTATATAATTGTAGAAACTAATGAGTGATTTAGGTGTTAAAATCGTTAAAGTCCTTAATGCAGGATCTGCGTAATAGTTATAGCTTAAATTATGAGTATTGTATTAGCTTTTGCAGGATTTTGGATAGCCATAAGTCAACTAATTAATGGCAATTTTACTATTGCTTCATTTTTTGGGCCATTCTTCTTTGTGTAAAATTTAATTTCTCAAAGATTAGATTTTTTGGATTCTTATTGGTAGCAAATGAAATAAAATTCGGACATGTTTTGAATGAATATGGATTTTTGAAGACGTTTCTCGGAAGAGGATTATTTTATATTTTGTAAGCTATTCCATAGGATTTTAATTTAGTTTGTCAGGAGTTGTGTGTTATGGATATTATTCAATAGCAGATAATTACGTGTAATTAATGGATCCAATTAAATTAGGGCTGGCAACATATACGGAACGGTCTTTTTCATCTTAGGAGTATTTTATTTGCTGATGAATTTTTATGTAATATTTTTAGAGATATCTTTAATAGCCAAAGGGATCATTGGGCAACCTTTCAAGAGTATTATATATATTCACTTAATTAGTCGTTACAGATTCAATGAACAATCATTAGACATATTTAAATTATAAGAATATTAATATCGTATAAATAATTTATGTAATTCCTTAAAAATGACAAAAGCTTGATTACGGAATCAAAATAAAAGTCAGAAGTGAGTTCTGAACTATTAAAGTGAATGTACAATTTTATTGATGTAGTGCTGTTGAGATAAAACCAAATGACATATTGATGTTCGATGTTTTGCAAAATTAAAAGAAGATCATTGCATAAGTTGATATTATAAATAAAACCTTACAAGATGTCATGTTCAGAGTTAAAACTACATCTCCAGACTTTTACGTTATTTCATATGAAAAAGAGAAGCCAATAGCTACTTAATCGTCTTACACAGTGTCAATTTATATGATGTGCGACGAATCAAGATTGCAGCACAGATTGAAAGATAAGTTTTAAATTGAAATAGTTGAGAAATAAAAGTATGATGCAGCAACAAATGAAGATTGCAAGTGGCAAAATTAAGCTAGAAAACATATTCTTGGAGTGAGTTTAATCAGAAAAGATATTTCTTCTCAAATCTAACAACCCAAGAGTCAGATATTGTATAGTAATATTAAGAGTCACTCAATTGGACAAACTCCACGTCTTGTGCAATCAAGATTGACCTAGGGATCAGCTGGACTGAATATGGCATTTCAATAGTAATATCAACGTCAAGACAGTTCTAATTCTATTTCGAATGATGAAAATAAGAATTTAAAATTGAAGTTAGAATCTTTAAAGCAGAAATATTAAGAGCAAGCCAAATTAATAGTAAAAAGTATTGAATATTCTAGGAATAATATAAATACGACATAAATGAACTTTAGAATGAGATTGATAGAAATGCCTTTATTTATGATTTGGAAAAGAAGTAAGAGGAATAGGACTAACCTGATCAAATTATAGCTTCTGCAATAAGGGATAAAACAGGAATTCCATTATGGGAGTTATTTGTTGCAGCAACAATATCGCTCATTTTAGGTGCATTACTGAATAATAAATGAGTAACACTAAATCATTTCAAACATTTTTATCTTTTTTATTGATAACACTAAGAGACATTCTCCTTATGTCTATCAACCATAAACTATAGGAATTCTAATCCTTTTTATATGACTTATTTGTTTAGTGATCCAGGAATTTCGTTGTGTTTTATGAGTTTAGGCATAATGTCTTTAATACTCTAAATTCTATTTATTGAGTTGGATTTTTGAATTTCTAAATTTTAATCAGTTTTCAAACGAGTTCTTTTCAACTGATTGTTTGTTTTACTTTATCGTTGTCTATCCGTTGAAGCATTCGTAGAATTGATTTCTTGGAGTGGTTGTAGCATTCTTTTGTTTTATTATTGACTATCTTTGCAAATAACAAATACTTTAATCTAATTTTAAACTATTCCTTTTTCTACTCAATGATTTATAAGACTTCTGGTTAAAATTTGGGATCATTCAAATTGAATATTCTGTGAGTATCATATTTATATTGTTCATTGTGTTATAGAAACTCCATCACTTTTTTTAATTCTTAAATTTTGTTTTAACTTGTCGGAACTCTTGGTGGTCTTAAAACTCAACTTTTGTTTCTGCTCTAATCAATTAAATCAGCAATAATAAAATTAAATACTTGATTTATTTGTGTCTTAATCTTATCTTCTTTAACATAGACTCACACTTCTTTTCTGTAATTGTTGTTTCCGATTAACTATCTCTATAATTTAATTATAAGTAAAATTGAATTACAATTCACTACTTGATGAATCTGAGGTGAGCCCTATTGATCGTATTCATGAATCCATCCTGAAATAGATAATTACTAGTGTGATTATTGCATTTATAATTTTATAATTAGTTGTTAATAATAATAGTTATATTCAAAAAACTCTATCAGTTTATGCAATTAATCAATTATATTAAAAATTTACTTGATCTTAAGTGAAATAGCCTTATTTTGCCTCTAACTCTTTTAGGCTGTCTTTTTATCGTTGTCCATTAAACTATTGGCAACAACTTTTGTGCTAATTGAAATCTATAAATTTCTCATTCTTCATTTGTATGTGAATAATCTAGTTATTCAATCCTCCTATTTGGTAATTTGATATAAATTTGAATCAATTGCGTGATCAAATCCTTGCGAGATTTTTGACTAATTAAATTAATAATTTAAATGTTCTATTATATCTTGGGGAAAGCAGTAATTTATTAGATTATGTGGGTTCCAATGAGTTTTTGGTTTTTTGAAACTAATCCAATTAATTGTTATATTATATCAATTATTTCTTGAATTAATTGTCATCCTTTCTTCTTTCACATAGTAATATTTTTTCTTCATATGACTATCCCTGAGATTACATCAAATGAGCTATCACAAGTGTACTGGATCTAGAAACCCCAGCCACGCAATGTACCTGTCAATGTCATAACTATTCTAACCCTTCATACTCAATAAATGTACCAATTTTCAAACCCTCCTATATGACTTCATTAACTTGCTTGAAATATTCTAATATACGAAAGGAAGCACTATCATCTATACTTAAAATCTATGATACCATTTAACAGTTATATAATGGATGAAATTCTCTAATTTTAGACTAATATTATTGGCTACTGTGATCTCAGTCTGGATATTATTTTGACTCAAAACCTAAGTACTCTTGGCTGCTTTCAAATTCCCTAACCAGAGATTGTTTCCAAAGAAGGAGTGCACTTTTTCCATATCATAGGATAAAATTGAGAATCTGCTTATAGATAAATTAATGCAAAATTTTGGATTCAATTTTGTATTTTATGGTCATTTGATAAGTATAAATCTCAATTAAACGAAAAGAGTTTGGGATACTTTAAGTGAATATTATGTTTATTTTGAAAAGTAGTTTTATTTAATATTAAATTTTTGTTTTTAATTTTTGAATTCAAAAGGATGGAGGAAATGAAATAAAATTATCTCGATAGGTATCAATATATTCTAAATATTCAGATTAAACAATCTTCATTAATTTCTCTATTGTGAATTACCATTAAAGTTGATGAATCACAATGAGGATGAAGTAAATTGAAATTAAATTTTAGACTTGTATCGATCTGTAAAATCGCCTGTATACATTAATAGAAACTGGATACATCAAGGAAACAGAATCATAGTTATAATAACTCATAGAGGAGAACTATAAATTGCATAACAAGGAGAATGATAAGTAATTGATCAATGGTCTTTCGACTTCAGAAGCAAGATATGTTAAATAAATAGCTGAGTTGTAACATCAGAGGGATCTTCTCCAGGATGAATTAGAAGAAAAAAACTTCATATTAAATTAGATTGAATCCAAAATGGAAAAGTTTGAATTATTATCAGATAACTTAATTAAGGCTGAATAAGCAATTAAAGAGCTGTCAGATGAGAACATGGAAATAAGCTAGCAATTACAATATGAATAAGAGATGAATTAACAATATAAAAACTAGATAGAGGAACTACAACAAGCAGTAATGACTAAGGAAGCATCCTAACGTAAGATTATCTCTCCTTCTCAACTCTATTAATTGCACGAGTAAGTGGGATCATTAAGAATTGAGTTATCAGGATTGTAGGCTGAAGTCAAGATAAGAGTACAAATTTTGGAATAATTCAGAACTCAATTGATGAGTGATTTGGTAAAGGGATTCCACACCATGTTATCAAAAACTAAATAGGAGTTGCAAGCTGAGACAATTGAAGTTAAGAAGCAGCATTAATAATTAAATGAAATGACTACTTAATAGATCAATAAACTAAGGAAAGATGTCTAATTTTATAAGGTCCTAGAGGAGGAATATTAAACTAAAATAAAAGAAGTTTTAAATTAGAAATCTGAGTTGGAATCCAGTATTAAGTTAAAGGATGAACAATTATCAGATATAGCAAGCAAATTAGATTTGATACAGTAAAATATTGAATAAACTGAATTAAACTTTCAAAATCAATTGATATAAGCAATCAATTCAAAGGAAAAATACAAAATACAATTAAACAATGCTAAGTAAGGACTACTAACATTGACTGAAAAAGTCTAATCTTTAGTGTCTTTTAATCAAAAATAAATGAAGTTTATAGAGGAGAACATCTAATTACTGGAATAAACGATTCGAGAAGAGAATCAGGAACTTATAGATGGGTTAAGCTAAGAATTAAATTAAAGCATAGAGACTATTAAAAAATAACATTCCAGTATAAAATAACTTGAACTATAATGTTTGAAATCTAATTTCTAAAAGGTAGACTAAACAAATAAAGGCATAGAATAATATAAGCAACCAGAAATTATGAACAGACATTTAGATTTAGAGTATTTAAAGAATGATTGTTCATTTATGGGGGAAAGAGTTGTTTACTAGAGAACAGGCAGATTAGATGAATAAAGAAAATATTTGGATGATTTAAAATAACTACATAGAACAACAAAATCCTAATTAAAATTGAATAGAAAGTATTGAAATTATGTAATTAATTCATATTGATTATTTAATCTATTTATATTAACAATTAATTTAAAGATACCTTAAAATATATCAATATTTGATATTGTACTATTCAAAAATCTTAAGCAACATTTCTATACTTAAACTTATATTTTGAACACATCTCAGCATTAGGTAATTCTTCCAAATACCTTTACACATTGGCTTCTAGTAATCCAAATCTATCTGTGCCACTAATTGTAACCTTAGATTTCTTGTGTTCCTATAGTTCATTGATTTTATTGTAAATGTGTACCTAGTTAATTCAACTAATTTATACCCAACAACCAGTACAACTATTCTTAATTATGGGATTATCAACATCCTCTTCACTAGTTACTTTGAATAAAGGCTTGCCATCACTTCCTTCTTAGATTTCACAAGTATATTGGCATCTCTTGCCTTTAGTGAACATACTTGCATGTGTTCTAATACTTTTATATCCTACTGGGAATAAGTTGTGTTCACTATGATAGGCAGGGCTAGGAATGATTTTACCAAGACTCACTAATTTGAGACTTGTGCTGACTTGATAAGGCAACTAGATTTCATTCACTCCTCCAGCAGAATTAGGTTTTATTTTCTTCTATTAATCATCTTTCAATTCTGGTTTTCTTTTTATATTAGTTTGATCTCTAATCTTCTTAAAAAATGAGCATAACTATTCAATTCTATTGAGTATTTATTCAGTAGGCATAATGGTGTTGATATTACTTAGAGTGATAGGCTAAAGTCCATTGAATCCAGTCTATGAAAGTGTTGTAATAATTTGAATGTCATGACTCTTTGGATCATATTCAGGAATATCAATGAACAATTCCTTTTCAACTTATTAGATATGTTATTAATAGAGTGCCTAATTTTAAGGCAATATATTCTTTCTAATGAAATGCAACATGTTTGTTTATTTACTAAACTTTTAACTGTCCTAATAGGAAATCTAGAATTCATCTCCTTATTCTTCTCTAATTTCTCCAATTGATGATGGTGGTTATTCAATTTCAAGGTCACTGGAATCACTTTCCAAGAATTCTCTCTCTTTATGTTTCATAAGCATCTATTCACATCTTGTTCTAATAGTTTAAACCATTTTTTCTAATTGATTCAAGTTTTTATCAAACTTATTGATCTTCAGTATCAATTTGTCTTTAAGTTCTTACCAATTTTGTCTGCCATCAACACCAATAGGTACACCATAATCACATAACAAATTAAATAAAGCTTGCTTTTCAGCAATTGACCATGATTTCTCCTCTTCATCATCGCTCTATGCCAAATTATCAAAATCATAAAACCCATCAAACTTCTAAATTATCTAAACTAGTTTCTTCACTCTCTTATTCAATGTCTCTGGAAATGGGAACTCTTAATAATTTTGAGCTAAAAGTTATAATACAATATATCATACATGTAGATAAATCCTTAAAACACAGATCAGTAGCCTCCTTAATTATTAGATGATTCGTATATCCATATTGATACACTCCTCTAATCAGATCACTATCATGTTTTCTTGTCCACCAAATAGAAGGTCTTTGTGAATAAAAGGAGCTACTCGGAATGAATCCCAAAAGATAGTCCCATTTTACTAATTTATCAGTATTCATTTTACATTACGATTTGTCTTTGATTCCTAAGTTTTTCAATTGGTGTTCCTTAAACTTTTTAATAAACTCTCTAATTTTGGCCAACATTAGAATTCTCTTACTTATGGATATTAACTTTTATTTTAGATTCTGCAACTCCCAATCCTCTATAATATTGTATTGAATTATACTTTGATTAGTCTCAATATACGGATCATCGGGATTCTCCTCTATTAAATTTACTATTCCAGCGCCTAAATCATAATTTACCAGTAGTTCGACGATTGATCTTAAAAGGGAATTAGCAAAAGCTTTAATCTCTTATTTACTCTTGTTAGCAAACTTTAGTTATAGCATTTTGTTCCACCTCCCATAACCAAATTATAGTATCAATTTCTTCAGCATCTCCTTCTCTTCCTGTGTCCATTTTGAATATAACGCCTTGTCATGAACTCTATTAAATTAGGTTTAAGCTGCTCGTTATGCTTCATATTTTAGTGGCTCTCTTAATGGAAGAATAAAAGTATAATAATGTTTGGTACGGCATTCCTTACATGGTATGTATATTCTGCTAAAATTATTCAAAATAGTTTCTTTTGTGACAATCTAGTTTTCAACCTATATCTCTGTGTGAGGAATGATTGAGAATTGATAGAGCTCTTCTTAAAGTTTCAATTCTCCAATTATCAATGGATTATTTGGACATTTCATCACTCTGATTCCTCTTGAGGAAGGAAAGTTGGAGAGCTAAGTAGGAAGTGTTTTAATTAGGAATTCTTCTCCTACATAGGATTGTAATTTAGCATACAACATTCAATTAATTTTAATATTATTTTGATTGGTGTAAATATATCATATTGATAATTACAATATACATTAAAATAAATAAATAAATTCTACGGTGAATTGCATTAAATAATTATAATTATCATGTCAAAAACAAACACTATGAGTTGTTTATGGAAAGAATCCAAAGATGCCAAACCATAGGTCATCAGTGTTCCCATTCCTACTGTTGAAGATGGTCAACTCTTAGTCAGAATGGATTATGCGCCAATCAATCCATCAGACATAAAATTTCTCTTAGGACAATCTTCATCGAATAAACAATTTCCTTGTGTTCCAGGATTTGAAGGATCTGGAACAGTCGTACTTACAGGTGGAGGGATGGCTAGTTGGGGCATGTCTGGCAAAAGAGTAGCATTTTACACAAATCACCAATTTGGAACATATGCAGAATATAGTATTGCAGACCCAAATTTGTGTATAGAATTGGATAATGATGTAAAATCAAATGAGGCTGCTTGTTCATTTGTGAATCCATTAACTGTTATAGGTATGTTGGACATTTGCAAGAAAAATAATGTAAAAGCAGTCATTAACAACCCAGGTGCTTCTCAATTAGGAAAAATGATGAATCGGTTATTTCAAGAAAAAAATATTAAAGTTATAAATGTAGTTAGAAGAGAAGAACAGATTTATGAATTACGATATGAATGTGGGGCTGAATTAAACATCAATCAAAATGATCCTGATTTCCTTAAAAAGTTGAAGGATTTATGTGAAACCACTTAGGCATCAATATATTTTGATGCAGTTGGTGGAGAATAGAGTGGATAGATTTTAAACATTATGCCTAAAGGATCCATATTGATGATGTATGGGACTCTTGATAGTTGGTAAATTGGAGGAATTTAGGCAAATGATTTATTTAGGGAATAGAAATCAATTTAAGGGTATTTAATAATCCTTCATTATAGATTTTTTCTGAACCTATGGTTATAAGAGTAAAATAAAATAGAATTAATTATGACATTAAAAATGTTACAAAAGTTTATTAAGTCTTCATTAAAAACTAAAATAGCCAAAGAAGTAATTCAATAAATAATATTTAGTTTACTTTAGAGGAATTCTAATAAGCACTTGATTATTATAAATCTCATATGACTGATGGAAAAACAGTAATATGTTTAAAAAAAGCTATTACATCAAAAAGAGAATATTCAGATTAACAAAAAAGCTAATCATAAAATGAATAATAATAATAATAATAATAATAATAATAATAATAATAATAATAATAATAATCTTCTAATGAAGCATAAGATTTTTAAGAAGATGATGACAGTTCTGATTCAGGATTTGGAGAAGGATTAAATGATGTATTGTCTAACTCAGAGTAAAAGTGAAATAATAAATCAGTCTAAAAATTTAGACTTATTTCGTTCTCCTTCTCTAAATGATTTAAATGAAAAACCTATTTTTAGTTTAGGAGCACTGAGTTTCTTTACAGAATAAAATTTACTCTGTGAAATATCAAAAATTGATTCATTTGTTAAGTTTTCTCTACTCTTAATAACTTTATTTTTCAGTTGCTTTATAATGATTTCCATAGAAGGCGCCTCATAATTTTATTAAGTCTTAAACAAACTTCCTTATAAACTCAAAAATTTTCTCATAGTTTTATTGCTTTTATTTTAGGAATGCAATTAAGTAGGAGATAATAATTATAGATCCTTTGAATTATTTTTATTTTCTGATTCTAAGTCCTCAAAGTAATTATTAGATAAGGAAACTTTGTACGCTTATCTTCCATCCTCTCTACTTTTAATATATTATTTATTATTAGAAGGAATCGGACTCTTGCTGACATTTTAAGTGGAGATCTCTGGTTTATTTAACCATTTCTTGCTAAACTTTTATTCGAAGTAGTCTCTAATCCAACCATCTCTTTCATTCAACCTCATGTTATCTATATATTATGATATCGAGAGGGCTAAAACGACAGTTTTCGCTCTTGCCTTAGCCTATGTTATTCTTGTAAGATATCTACATTTCATATTTGTTTGATAGACTTCATAATCCCCGAAAATCTATCCAGTAGAATACAACCCTACCACAATAATGTTTTTCTTCAAATAAATATCTCCTTCTTGTGTAACTGATTGTTATTTACCCCATTTCTCTATAAGTATTTCACCTTCTTTAATTATATATACTTAGTCTCCCTTCTATCCTCTTTTATAAATGAATGATCCAGCATCAAAACTCATTTCCTGGCAACTATGCAATAATACCAATTAACCAGATTAACTCCAATTTTTAAAGGGAGGTGTGCATTTAATGAATTGTAACTTTTCCTCTAAAATCTTTTCTTAATATTAGCCCAACACCTTCTAATATGATTCATAACTCAAAGTAGCAAAAACACATTCAGTTTTTGCTACTACTGAAGCTGTTCTTGGAATTCTCTGTTCAATTGCAATCTCCCCAAAAAAGTCATTTTTGCTTTTTATCGCAATTAATTTATATTGCGCATACTTGTGCTTCAATAAATCATCAAATTTTTTAACAACTGAGGATCCTTTAATTAGAACATAAATATACTTCTTTAGTGATGAGGATTATCATGATGCTGTGATTCTTACATAGGGATAAGTATGGCCACTTCTCCATCAATAATAAAGTACATTTTCCTTCCGATGTCGCCCATATTAAATACGACTTCGGCTGCATTAATCCTCTCTATTTATAAATCTTTAAAAATTCTAATGTAAAGATCATCTGGCAATTATCCTCGTATTTTACTAGTATTATATACAATCTTACGAAAAATATGCAAAATCTCTTTCAAAATACTTTTGAACGTATTTAGCTTACATGATAGACCTTTTTTCTGGTTCTATTGTTAAAATTTGTAAACATCTCTGTCTAATCATATCAGTATCTTCATTAATTGTTTTTTAGAAAGTGTTAGTAACTTTAAACAAAAGCTATATTAATTTTTCCATATTACGTTTGCTTCCTTTATTTCACGTAAATTCCCAATAACTGATGTGAAACGATTATTTGCTCTCATTATTTTTCTATAATATTATAAAAAATTTGTGAATATTATATTGATAATAATAAGACAAATATTATTATTTAATATTTAATTGCTTACTTAAAATTTTGAAAAATCAATACAAACTTATTTATAATGTTTACCCTTGAACTTTTTTCAATATAAGAATATTCGTCAATTAAGACGAGCCACTTTACTATAAAAATTAGATTAATTTTAATACGATAAAGATCTCTTAGAAATATTGAATTAATATAATCAATTTCATCTTAGATCTTAGAGGCTATTAACTATGAAGGTACATTAGATGAGCACTAAATAATTACTCTATGATGAGATATAGAAATAATCAACTTTGAAATTAATTCTCATTGTTCTATAGCCAAGCTAGTTATAATTAATAAAGTATTTTCTAAGATATCTGTTAATGCTCAATTTAGCAAGTCCACCTAATTAAGCCTTTTCCAAATTTAAAAAGTAAACAATTTTTTCAAAACTCGAAACTATTATCAGAGTTACTAAGGAAAAAATAGAATTTATCCTAGGACCAATAACTTAAATAAAGTTAATCTTCCCTTGAATATCATAGAGCATAATAAATTTCATATTTATTAATTTCTGTTAAGTTGTTTTTACTATCAACAGAAAATTAATCCATAATACTTGAAGTTATGAAAAATTTAGTTAATAGCAATCAAAGATTATATTTAATTGAACAAGAAATCAAGATTTTATTTATTGATGATAAAAGTTTTGATCGAAATATTCCAAAGATCAAATCACAGTTGCAAGTCTTTTTAAATAAACTTAGAATGGAATACAAGGATTTAAAGGGATAAGCTTACGAATTTGAAAATCACCTTTGAAGATACTTTTTCTTGAATTACTAAAATCTTCTTCAGTTTAATTATGGTTGAATTATGTCTCTTAAAACTTCAATCTCCTTCTTTAAATTATGATGAAATTTTATTAATTGCGATGTGTATTTTATTTTAGAATTATGGTTGAACTTTAAAATTCATGATATTTTTGTTAACCTTAATGAGATCTGTTTTATTAATATTTATTGAAATAAAGTATAAAATGTCATTAATGACATTTAAATTATTTTGAAAAGGTAAATTATCTCCATCTCCTCAAAACATAAAATTTTTAGATGAGCTCATGAATCTTCTACAATCATAGTCTTCAATGTAAAAATCAATATTCAACCCTTCTTAAAATTGATTATTGAAAAAAGGAGTCCTACTAATGATAGTTATTTTCTCAATATATGTTTATTTTAAAAGCCATTCAATTGTGTATGATATTGTAAATTATAAGAGTTGTAGATTTATTTGATTGTTTAATCAGTTAATACTCTATTGAGAAAAGAAAATTAAATTGTACAAAAATGTAATCAAATATATTTTTATTCTAAATTTATTTACTGATATTTAAGCAAATGAAATCATAGAGTTTCCTATGCTATCATGCTAATTGAATAACAAAAAATCTTATTTATTTTGTAATTAAATTAATTGGATGAGAATTTTTATCCTTTCCAAAAATTAATGATACCATACAGAATATTAATTTTTACTTTTACAAAACAAATAATCTTAAAATCTTAAACATATTTTATTATTTTTAAATATTCAAAAATTTCTAAATTTCAATTTCAATAAAGATTCAAATTGCATGCTTTCTAAGTAATAAATACTCTTAGCGTCCATAAAATAATTCTCTTAATTTGCTAATTCAAATATATATTCTAAAGTCCTCAAAGGAAAGGAAGATCGATCAAATATTTAAAATTGACCTATTAATCCAATTTTACAAGACTTGTTGATTTTCAGTATCATTTTAATAACTACAAAAAAGCTATAAAAAAGATAGCAAAATTATAAAGAATTGTTGATTCCTAATAAGAGTTTTGTTGAACATCCATATTTAAGAGTTCAATTTAAAAAACTGTCTTTATAATTTAGTAATCGCCTACGTATTTTATGCTCTTTTCTAGTCCTAGCTTAAAGAATCAAATTTTCAATCAGGGTTTGATCAATCTATTCTTAATATATAAATAACTTGTGATTAAAATTGATCTATATAAAAATTAAGTGTTATCATTATTAACAACTTCAAGAATTAATTAATTAATATATTATGATTTCTACTGAAATCAATTCAAACGATTCTATTGTTAGATTTGATTAAATTGTCGGTTAACAGGGGGATTAAGAATATAGAGTAAGTGATATCAGTAAGTAGAGTCCTCAAGATGTTGTAATCGTATAGGATTAAAATCAACCACAAAATAGCTAAATTCTTGAGATTGGTCAGCAAATTTTGGATCCTGAGTAATTGAAATTAAAAGAGAAAGAAAGAATGGAGAGGATTATTAAGTAAATATGATAGATGAATATCATAAGTATTCCAAACACTATCAAAAGGTCATTGTCAACAATTAATGAAGTCCCTGATCAATCCATAAGTATTTCTCCTCCAGCAGTTCATTATAATCGAAAAGATGTAATATTTTAAAAATTAAATGAGTTTGAAGATGAAATGGAAGAATAGCATCAAAAATAAGGTTCACAAGAATTGAATTAGTAACGAAAATTAAAGAAAAGGTCTAAAAAGAAGAAGAAAAAGTAATAACAAACCAGTGATTTTCACTAGTATTTTTCTATCAAAGGATTGGAGTATTAATAAAATATGAATATTACTCTTTATTTTAGAGACCCAAGGGTTGATTGTAACTGGAAATTACTCTTTAGTTACTTTACTTTAATAATATTGAGTAATATCATTTTACAAACTTTGGAGGTCATTAGATATTCCTAAAGTATTTGTAAATTGGAAGGGTTGGATAATTTATTTGTGTATCTAAATCAATTGCTTTATGTATTTGGTAAAATAGGTATTCTTAGTTTGAATTACTAAGAATTTACAAATACTTCATCAACCAAACCTAAGATACCATTATTAAATAGCACCCTTTTTAGTTCTATATTTATAGTTCTTTAATTGCCATTATATGTGTTTGATTTCGTTTTGTGTTAATCTCGTAGCGATCTATTTACACTAAACTAGAGTTTATTCCTTTTAAATTGTCTGGATTGGTTCATAATATCTGTTATGAGTGTTATAATCCTTTTGCATTCTATTATCAAGATAACCTTAAAACCTAAAACTTGGAAAAAATTAAAGTACTAATCCATTCATAAAAAATAGGAAATTACTATAGTATCTCTATTATATATTATTATTCCTTGTTTAGATTTTATAGTTGTTAGTAACCTTCACTTAATCAACTTCAACCTTTTTACCAGCCATGATTATGGAGAACTTCTATATCTTTTTTTCATTACTGACTAGTGTATACTTATCAATAAGAAAATTCTATTTTCACAAAGACCCTTTTTTAATTAGACATGAATTACTCAATAATGAACCTACTTGTGTGAATTAAGATGAAAATTTTCACAATTAAGAGAAGAGCGAAAAGCTTTTATACAACTGTTCATTCAATATAAAAAAAAGAATCAAACACAGTCCACTCTCTTCATTTTCTAGTATCTAATTGACAAAAACAAATACTATTTCAAGAAAAGAATGATCACTTTTCTATTTTTATAATATTTGAGTTTGATTTTTAAAATCTAATTATAAATTCTTAAAGAATTTAATAAATTCTTAATTTATTTAATTAATAGTATAATCAAAATATATAAAAAAAGGGTTGTCAACACGAGGACTTCCCAAGCGGTCCCCCACCTTAGTACTAACCTCGCCTTAAGCCGCTTAACTTCGGAGTTCGAATGGGATCCGGTGCTTTAGGCTTAGTATGGCCGACAACGATATTTACATCACTCTCTCGCTTTTATAAGGGAGGCTTATAATTAAAAGTCAAAGAGATTATTAAAATATATATTGAATATTAAAAATGAGGAAAAATGGTGGCTATTATATTTCAAATCAAAGCTAATTTTTATCTTAAATTTTCAATAAACTTTTAGTTCTCCTCCTCTTCTAATATTTATGATTTATTTAGTATAAGTTTTTTTTCTTTTTCCTTACATTTTTGTTCTAATTGCATAATAGAATTCAAGACATTTTAATATTTTTCTTCAAAATAGATGGGTTTAATTTCATGTAAAGACGATGGAAAGTTTGCAGAATTTAATCCAGACTTTAAGACTTTTCTCTTTGATATTAAATTTTTATGATCTGTTGTATATGGTTTTTCGATGTTATCAATTTTATTGTTTTGTTTAATTTCAATTAATGAATTTTGACCTCTTTGTCTAATGTCGTTCACACTTCTTCTTTCAGGCAATATTAAGATTTTATCTACTTTTCTTTCTTCCAATAGGCTTTATAATTTCTTTATGTTTTATTTGGCGATTTCTAATTGAGATTTTTAAGTGCTGTTTTACTCTTATGTTTGCTTAATAGGTGAAATGGAATGTCTGGGAATGTCCTTAAGAAAGCTATCCTTTACAGATTCTCCATATCTTAATTATTTTTATTTCAACAATTTCTTTTGTTCAGAGGCTTATTATTGAGATAGTTTTAATTTAGCTTGTTCCTCTTCAAGACGAACTAATGCTTAACTTTTAGGAAACTTAATCAATTTCATTTTGAATTCTTCATCTAGTTCTTGCTTTTATTATTGCCTCTATTTCAATTTTTGAAATTTTTCCTCTTCATATCTCTTTTGATGTTCAGTCAAGGCATCCAACCTAATTGGTTAACTTAGTTCTCTCCTCTATGCCAAGATGATCTTATTTATCAATATATATTTTACCTTCTTTTTCTCTAATTCAGAAAGATTCAAAGCTTCATCCTTCAATTTGAACACTTATTCTTTTAGTTTTATTCTTTTCTAGATTTGTTTAATAAGCTTATTTCCATCAGAATTTATTTTCTGCTACTCTTCTCTATATAATTTGTCTTCCATCATTCTTTAAATTATTTGCTCCCTTTTATTTTATTAATTTTGAGTTAAATCATTCTGAGTGGAAAAATCTGAGTTAGATTCCTTTTGGGAACTTTATAAATTTAATGATTGAATTCTATTCCTACCTACTCTAAAAGACTATTGATCATTAACTGTTTTGGATTTGATTTTTTAATTCATTGTCGGCACTTCCACAACGTTTGTTTCTAATCCGTCAAATAAATCAAATAAAATTTTATTCTTCTTGTCTCTGAGTTCAAAATCATATGGTAACTTTAGTTTATTGTTTAAATTACTTTTAAATTTTCTTAGACAAGCTTATACAGCAATTATAAAGATGGTTATGCTAAAACAATCTTAATCTTCTATTTGTTGTGATACACAATAATAATCATTTCTTAATATATAAATAAAGGCAATAAAATTTGAGAAATGAATAATTCTTGTTAGAATATCAACATATAAAATCATTAAACTAGTAATAAAATCTTATCAAAATATTTGGTAACACTAAAATTGACCAATTTAGTATATTCAAATTGTCTAAATAATATTCTAATTAAATTAAGTTATCAAATGATTAACCAATTACATCTTAAGCATGATAATATGAATTTTTAAAATGCACATGGATACCATTTTTAGGTTGTATTTTATATTAGTAAATTAATTATATAACAATTTTTCAGTTCTATTCTTATAGATTATATCCCCATTTACTTTAAGTATTAATCATGTTAATTTACATATTATTATCTAAATAACTAATAAACAATTTTAATTTTATTATTGTATCGATCATTCTAATTTTAATAGAAATCAAAAAACTATTTACATTCTGCCCTTTTTATTTATTTTTTAATAGAAATCGAAATAATTTTTTTTACAAATGAACCAGACACCTTAGATTTTGGACTCTATTGTAAAGTTTCAATTATTTATAGCAGACTGAATAAGATGCATTACATAAAGCCTAAAATAAAATTTTAGATGAAAATACAAAGAATGAGGAATAAATTTAGTCGTAAGTACCAATAATGTAACCAACCAACATTTAAGCTTAAAACAACTAATTTAAGCAGCCTCAATTTATGGTAAAATTGGATTAATTTCAGTTTGCTCAACGAATGCCATCAGGAATGTAATAAGGAATGCCATAGGGAATACCATAAGGAATGCCTTAAGGAATGCCTTAAGGAATGCCATAAGGAATGCCATAAGGAATGCCTTAAGGTATGCCATAAGGAATGCCATAAGGAATGCCTTAAGGTATGCCATAAGGAATGCCATAAGGAATGCCTTAAGGTATGCCATAAGGAATGCCATAAGGAATGCCTTAAGGAATGCCATAAGGAATGCCATAAGGAATGCCATAAGGAATACTATAAGGAATGCCATAAGGAATGCCATAAGGAATGCCTCAGGTTATGCCACCTGGAATGCCACTTGGAATAACGCCATAAGGAATGCCTTAGGTTATGCCACCTGGAATGCCTCAGGTTATGCCACCTGGAATGCAGCCATAAGGAATGCCACCATCAGGAATGCCTCAGGTTATGGCACCTGGAATGTTTGGAATGCAATCTGGATTGCCTGGGCTTCCACCAGGAGCACCATATTCAATTACAGTCGGACCACCAGGAATTACTCCTTAAAATATGCCTTTTAACTTTATACCTTAAAACAATCAGATGTAATTTCCTTCAGTATCATTGAACCATATTAAGCCTTCTGATGATAACCAGATACTATTAAAGAAAGAAGTAGAAAAATTAAAAAATGAAATGGCTACTATTGAAGAGGAAAAGTCAAAAATGGAAAATGATTTAAAAAAAAAAATCCACCAATTAAATGAACAGATAAATAATTTAAAAAGAGAATTCGATGAGTAAAAATTCGAACTACAAAGTGAATATTAAAAAAAAGAGTAAGAAAATAAAGAGAATTAAGAGAAATAACACAAAGAATAAATAAAAAGTTATTAATTAAAGATTAGCGAATAGGAAATGGAATTAAAAGAACGAGAGAAAAAAAGCATAGCAGATACAAAAAGATTTAAGACAGAAATTGAAGCCTTAAAAAGCTAAATCCAGCAATTATAAGAAGCCAGTAATAATATTTCAACATTTTAAAATTAACTCAAACGATGAATTGCAAAAATTAAAAAAATAAAATTAAGACAACTTAGCTCAAATGAAATAAAAAGATTAAGAGATTGCATAAAAAAATCTATTGATCTAAAATTTAAATTAACTCAAGTCGAATGACTAAAATAAAGAGTAATAGGATAAAATTGCAAGGTTGTAAAAAGAATTGTATGAAAAAACTGAAATTATTCATCAAATAACCTAAGAGAATAAGCATTTTAATGGTTTAAGAAATGATATAGAAAATGAAAACAAAAACCTATTAACAGAATTAGAAATTATGCAAATGGAAATTAAAAAGTATAAAAATACAGAAGAATATCTATAACAATAATTAGAAGAATAAAGTAAAACAATATTTGAATTATGCAAAAAAAACTAAATTGATAATGCAAAAGAATTAGAAAATTAATTGAAGGAGATTAAAGAAAATAGAGAATAGAAAAATAAAAATGAATAGGAAAAGTTCAGCATTGAAAAAGAAAGAATATTATAAAGGCAACAATAAGAGAAATAATAATAGTAATAACTAAATCAGCAAGGCAAACAAAAAATGAATGAGTTAGTAAGAAAAGCTGGTTAAATTTAATGTTGCTTCGTAATAGATTTATTTAAGTAATTTTTATTTCTATATATAGATCAAATGAAAAAGTAGGGAATGCTATAATAAAAGCTACAGAAACATGTTGCTCTTTAATTAAAAAAACGACAAACAGAAATTCGTTTTGGGGTGCAGTTTTATATGGTTATTAAAAGAAGGGGTTAGATATTTAAACTCAAAAATTTGCATAATCTGCTGATGTGTTATCAGGGTTTTTAAAAAAATAAAAATATATAAAAGATCCTAAAGATTAGCCAGAAGATTTAAAGTCTGCTTTGAAAGAGATGTTAAAATTAGACTGGAGTGAGAAATATAGACTTGCCATTTTAATAGCAAACTCTCCCTGTCATGGAAAAAAATTCCATAATCCTAAAAAATATTCTAAATTTTTCGGTTTATGGTCTGTTGAATATGATACAAAATCAGATGACGATATTGAGCAAGTTATTAAAGAAGTAGTTAAAAAAGACATCGTTGTATTAGTAATTAGGTTTAATGAAGACACGAAAGTAATGTGCAGCGAATTAGATAAAGTGTATACCAACCTTGGTTATCCTTAACTATTTCATACGCTTTCAATAAAGGGGCTTGATTAAAAAAATTCTGATTGTGAACTTGCAATGCAAATTTAGAAAATGGCTGCCTTTATAATAGGAACAGATAATAAAATGACAAAAACAAAAATCAATCAATAAGTTAGATTGTAAAATTTTGAAGAGGGTTAAAATGATATGAAAAATTTAAAAGTGGAAGTTGTTGAGATAAATAACGATATTCAAAAAGAGATCTCAAACAAAGGAGAGGGAAAACAAAAAGATATTTAATAAGTTTCAGTCTAAAATGCAATCGAAGATTAAAAACAATATGAAGCACTTATTGAAGAAGCAAAAAATTAATAATATGGTGCTTTGTAAGCTCTAACTAGAAAAGGAGATATTACTAAATTCGAAGAAAAAGCAGATTGTGAGGTATTTCGTTGCAAAGTTTATAAAGTTGATCTTAAATAGGAATCATTTTAAAAAAAAATAGAAAATATTGATTAAATTAGATATGACTAAAATGATTTTGAGTTAATTTAAGAAAATGAATGGGACTGTATTAGAACTAAATCTCCTTTTGCCTTTGGAATGATGAAGGCAGTGTATTTAATGAAAAAAAGAAATAATACAACAGAAATTTATGTTGTAAAAGTCCCAATTGTGAATGGGATTTATAAATCAAAAGGATAGGCTGTTGATGATTGCCGATCACATTTAATTGCTAAAAATTTAATGAAAGAATTTATAAATAAAATCAGAAGTAAAAATAATGGAATAAAAGAAGTTTAATACACAGACTTTTTATTGCTGGAAGAAAATGAAAGTATATTTAATTATAATTTAGATAAATATTGGATTGCTGAAAGATTCTTTTCTGGTACTTTTGAAAAGTATAATAACAATGATGGTTTCATAAATGATGTTGATAGTTAATTGAACTCCATCTCTTAGGCTTTCTCATTTTTTACTTATTAGAGAAGTTAATACAACTACATTGTTAATGATATTTAAGGTGTTGACGTTTACTTTACCGATCCAGCCATTAACACAACTAAAGGTAAGAAAAAAAGTAATTTTAGGAAACTTTGATGAAACTGATGTTGGAGAGGAAGGAATATCAAATTTTTTGTCAACATTATAATTGAAAAAGCATTTATGTGAAAAATTGCTACAATCAATTGATATTGAAATTGATTGACACTAAGATTCGATTGAAATTAATTATTATACAACATAACCTAAATATGAGTAATGCTTAATAAATCAAATCATTTTTCTGTAAGTTCTCTAAATCCCTTCCAATCATAAGGGGCTCTACCTCCAGATGAATGTATAACTTCTAACAATGTATTAGATGGGCCATCCTTGTGTTCTGGTATCATAGTCTAAATTATATTATATATTTACTAATGTTTTCATGAAAATCTTTTGAGCCTCATCCCATTCCCCACGGATATAAGAATTAAACCCTGAAACCCAAGTGTCATAAAATTCCTATTAAAAATGACAATGATACTTAATGATATGGTTCTCTTGCAGTCATCAAGTCCTCATCTTTTTCAAAAAGTTCTGCAATTTGTATTTTATCATTTTCCACACTCTTGATTAAAAGGTTCCTTTTGTATCGATTTATAACTCTAAATTGTTTTTATTCCCTAGGATTCATTCTACTAATATCAAAGATATCTCTGGGTTCCTTATATTTATTTAAGAGACTTTTGATAGATAAGTCTACAGTATATAGCTCAACAGGCTCAATACTTCCCTTAACTGTTACAATATCAATTAATCTAATATGATTCTAACAAGCTTATGTCAAGTTTCTCTTTAATATTCCACTAATTAAGATATTCGTACCAAATTATTTAGTTGCTGCTTCTAATCTGGAAGCCATATTAACATTTGGACTTAAGTAAGAAGCATCAATTTTAAAAGAAGATCCTATTGCTCCTTCTATACCCCAACCCAAATGTAAACCAAATCCCATTCGTACAGAATAATCTTTAATTCTTGCATTGAGTCCTTCATGCTTTTTATATTTTTCCAACTTTTTTGATAGGGAGACTGAAATTATGATTTTTAAGAATGATAATACTGCCATATCTCCTATTTGTTTTACATTATTATCATCATGTAAAACTAACTTTTTTGTTTATGGATCTGCATGAAATTTCATATCAGGATACTTCCAAACTAAGAGAAATGCATCCCCAATATTTTTATTCGCTGATCCCCCATAACTATCAACTGTAAAATGTACAATTTCTGCAATTTCATTAACAAAAACCATAACATCTTCCTGTAACACTTCAGTGGCATCTGTGAAATTACGAATGTCACAAAAACCAAAAATCGCAAGCACTTTCTTTCCAGGTACCATTGGATCTACACTTCCACCTTTTTTGATATTTTCTGCTATGATCTCGGAGCCTGCCTCTCCAAAACCAACAGCTAATAATGCTCCTATTTTCATTATGAGCTTTTGTAAATAATATGTTTCAGACATCTACTCAATTTGTCTCTATCTGATTTTTTTAAAGTCATTATTCTTTTCTAACTCCTAAGTGATTAGATCTTCTTATTCTTCAATATTTACAGCCTCTAGTGGATTACTTGCAATCAATTCTATCTTTTGAATCATAGTTTCAATAGGTTCTATTATTAATTCTGTAACATCCTTATTAAATAAAACAGCACTTAATGCCAATACTATACAAACAAAAACTGTTTGAAAAATTGATAATATAGCATTAATTTTATTATAATCGACCAAATCTGAAACAGAATATGTGATCAATTAATTAGTAGTATCAGTAGTTACAAAGTATTATTAATCTGAAAATCTATATTGGCTTTTGAGCAATTCTGTTTATTAAAACCAATCAGGGTTTGTAGTGTAGTTATATTCAGTATATTTCTTATTTAAATCATCTTGAAGTACTTAGACAGATTGGATAGGATAGATTTCACTATTATGAAATTAGACATATTGTTAAATTAACATATCAGTAATTGGCTAATTCTTTCTAAATTGACTAATTCTAAATATCCCAGAGTCATAACTATTAATAATTTCAGAATAAGTATCCAAAGTAAGAATTGGTATACTTATTAAAATGGCAATAATAATTGTTATGACCCTTCTCATCACTAGATCTTATAATTAAGACCCAACATGAGATTCTTTAATTTAATCACCCTATGAAAGATTAGAGTATTTTAATTATTGCTATTCGTTATTAGAACTGTTTTGATCATGTTGGGATTGTGATCTAGAATGTTAACCTTTATTAATATAAGGTAGTTATTCTTCTGATTTAACTTTCTTTTATCGATTCTATTATAAAATAGAAATTCTAATTAAATAATGTTATTTTTATTTGTTCTGTTGTTATTACTATTATGTAGAATTCTGTTTTTAATCATCTTTCAATAACAAATCTTATAGTATTTTTTTTTCCTTTTCTTTTTCCAATTGCAATCTTGCATGTTTATACAATTTTATCAATCTAACTAGCCTTATAATTCTTATGACTCTTGCTGCTTTTCTTGCTGTTCTTGATGCTTTGCCTAAGGCTTTAAGTGTAGCAGCATTTTAAATATCTCCCTCATCTCCATACCAATGATCTGTAATCCAACCTATGTCTAGAATCATTGTAGCAGTAGAAATTAAATCAAGCCAAAAATAAAACTATGGTTATCAAAAGCTGAATACATTAAAAAGATAATTTGGATTGGCAATGCAAGTTAATACAATCTCGACTCTGCAAAACATACTATGCAAATTGTTGTTAAAATAAAGAAAATATCATCACCATCTTTATTGACAGACAATATTCTAATATCATCTCCAAATAATGCATAGAGTGTCACAAATCCCATCAATAGAGAAAAACCCCATCCATCGATAAATTGTTACAATTGTCTTTACCTTAATTGGTTTTTTGTAAAAATTTAGGGTTTGGATAGACGTGCTCTAATTTTTTCAACTGCCTTAGTTCTATGTGGTTATTGACTTCGCACACTTTTAGGTGTTTGCAAAGAGATGGCTTCATGACTTGAAGGACTTCTCATTTTTCTGGCTTCTTCATCCTCTAATTCAATTATTTCTTTCTTAACAAGGGGTGTGCATTTGGGTTTTTCGGTAAACTGAATAATATATTTTAAGGTTATTTGTTACAAGTGGTGCATGGCTGTAATAATTCCCAGTGTCAGAGGATCTACTCTAATTCTCAACTGAACAATCTGGTTTTTTAGCATAGGATAAAAATATAAAAATACTGGTTATGGCTCATTGTGAAGTGAATTGTAATTTCTGATAACCTAACCTGGCATACGATAGTCATCACTTTCCAAATCCCAAGGATTATAATTTTCATCCAATTATGCCATACTATGTATAAATATAAATATATAAAATTACTAAAGTGTCATTTTACTATATTTGAAGATAGCATTTGTCTTGTCTAATATAGAAACAGATATCTGATTAGGAGAAGTGAAGAGAAAAGGAGTCCAATTAAAGGAGATAGCTTGTAGTAGAACATTTGTCATCATAAAGTACTCTAATTTGAAATTTAGTTCAAGTTTATTATAATTGATATGGTGAATATGGATTGATGTCAGTTTTTAACAATTATGTTAGAGATACTATATTTGAAAAGAAGAGATTCGAATGGATCACAGAATAATTATTATAGAGTTGCCATCTATAGAATTAATACTGCCAAAGTTTAGGTTAGATTTTAAATAGCTTGATATGATAAAATATTAGATCTGATTGAAAGAATTAAAACCCAAGGTTTCAGATATTCAGATTAATTAATTAAGTGTTGGGCTTTTTGTTAAAATATTGCTGCCCTAAATTCTGATACAAGTTAGCAAATGATTATAATTTATCGTGCTCTTATTAATGGATAAACTTATTGGGCCAAGCATCCTAAAGATGTCAGGAGTACTGTTGATCTTGCAGTCTTACTGGCTAGAAGATATATAAGAAATTGCATATTTAGGAGTGGGATTACTGAAAGAATCTTTAGGAACTATAGATAACTCAACTCTTAATAGTATAATATAGCTACCCTTTCAAAAATAAGAGCAGCATGCAATAAACGCATTCTCATAGCTGCTCCATTAATGTACCAGGAGGATCCTAATCACCTCAACGATTTTGCTATGAAAACTCATGCATAAGAATATGATTTGGTTTTTTTGGATATGAACGAAGGTAAAAACATCAACTTTGGCATTCCAGCAATTCCACACTTAATTAATATCTGTAAATGAAATCCAATATGTATTGAAAAATGGAGTTTCGTAACTGCTGATAATATCTCTTTCCTATTGAGGAAAGCTTTAGTTCATTTTGGAAACAAAGACGAGGACACCATTACATCTGAGAAGAGAGGTTGGAATTATTGAACATGAAAAACATTGTGTGATACAATATTAGTCAAAGAAATCTCTGATCTTTAGGATAACTGAGAAATGATTGATTTAAAATCTGATCTAGGTGTTAATAAAATTATTTAATCATTTTTCTTCCTCAATTCCATTTAGTGTTTTTTCAACCTATTCTTTTACTCTTCTATAATATTCCGCTCTGTCAGACATATATAACTATTTTACAGAATTTGTATTACCTTTGCAGCTTCTGGATTTGCAGGTGAGTTTGGGTTTGGATCACACAATAGTGATCTGATAGAAGTTAAAATAGCCCAAACATCTAAAATTGGAGTCCATTGTTCCTTTAAAATATCTAAGCATATTCTTCCATCTGGATAGACATTTGGATGATAAATTGGTGGGGCAAATCGAACTTCAGGTGGCTTAGTTGGATAATCATTCGAGAAAGCCAATTTTAATTCAAAACATCCTCCTTCCCATGGAGTTTATTCTGGTCTTAAATATTTATTTTGATTCAAATACCCAAAAATCACTGCTTCCCAATGAAAAATATCATTTTCTTATGGAGAGGCCATAAAGTCTTCCTAATTTTCTTGTTAAATTTTCTTAAAATCCATCAATAATCTCTTTTAAGCAAGTCCTTATTACATTATTTTTTAATTAAATATATATGTATATATTTCACTCTCTCTAATTTTGTTTCTTTTTTTTAATTTTTTTATTTTCACAATAACTGGGAAGTCTAAATCGCTCAATTTTACTGTTTCTTGATTATTAATTTCTTTCTTAATCAACTACTCATCTTCAACCTTTTGTTCTACTTTTGGTTATTGCTAACCCCATGTTTATTAAAAGGGATTCACTTTAATTACAGAGCATTCTTAATTTAAACTAGGAAATTAAGATTCTAAATCAAAATTAATCTCCTCTTGTCTATTTTATTGTTATTGTTATTATTATTGTTATTATTATTATTATTATTATTATTATTATTATTATTATTATTATTATTATTATTATTATTATTATTAAGGCTAGTTTTAATCAATTTCTCTTTTATTTTCTTACTCATCTTATTATTAGCTTATATTTCTAACACCTGGTAACTCTGGGAAATCTTATTCATCAAATTAAAATTCATCTATTTATGAATTTGAATATTAGTAATCATATCCATTTTCGATTGGATATTATTATTTTTAAATTTATTAAGCTTATAACTAATTATATTTTTCCTCTTATCTTAATCTTTCTTTTCTTTATCTTTCTCTATAATCTTAAATCTAAATATTAAAAATGTTGTACTTCGTGTAAATATTCCTTTAAATGGTCCTGATTTAAAATGTTTTTTAAATCGATCTCGTAAAAGTATATTTCAGTATGTAATGGAATATGAGAAAGAAACCTGATGATATAATTATACTCATACTTGTATCTAGCCAGTGTATGGTCATTCTATGTAAATTAATCTTTTTATATTAAAAAGGATTCAATTTACTATGGTAGATGATCATTACCATATTACAGAATGATATACTTATTACATAATGGATGAAGAAAACCTAGAAGTCCATTTGAGTCTTAGTAAAACTTATAAGATGTTTGATTTGGTTTTGGAACATATGATTTGAGGGCAATGTCAGGTTAAAGGTTAAGGTTACTTTTTGGCAACTTATCTTATCTTTCTAAGAGAAATTATATAGATTGTTGCACTGGTTCCTAAATTTCTGTTTCACAAATCTCTAAATAGCTGAAATAGATATTGTGATTTACCTCTAAAGCTAAATAATCTCTTCCTCAAAAATCTTCAGGATATAAGACTCATTTGCAATTAAGGTTCTAGCATAGACAACTGATTCCTTTCCATTAACATATAATTCTGTTTCGTTTTTATATTTTAAAATCTGATTTAAAAGTACAGTGTCTCCAGAGCTCTTGATTTTGTGTTTAATGATTTTAACTGATTTCAATTCACTCATAACTGCCAATTCTCCACAAAGAGGGCACTTTTAATTAAATTTCGCTAAATTATTAAAGAATTATGATTTTACATTGAAGCTTGTGTCTTTGGTAGCAGGGAAGACAATAAATGTGGCCACATGGTGTAATGTAAGGGATTATGATGTCATGATCACTTATGCAAATAGGACATGTGATATCTTGAGTTGTCGTGTAAATTACTTAATACACTTCATCCCACCTAACTTCTTCTTTGATAATATAGAATGTCTCTTTTTACTGCTAGGTTGTGAAAGTAAGACGAATTAAAATTTGGATTTCATGTATAATTGTTGTCGATGTTATACTTGCAATGATGTCAATTACAAAGGTTTTCTTCTTTGAGGTTCTGGCTCTATTTCAGTGATATCCTTTGCAACCTGAAACCCAGCGAATTAGTGTAATTAGTGAAATTAAATCTTCTGGACCTATTACTTCTTTAACTTTTTTTTTAATTATTAATCCATTAATAATAAATTAATATTATTACAAAAATTTTCAATTCAATTTATTATTAATAAATAAATATCCAAAAAAGCATATGAATCATCAAGGGTTCTTTGGAACAGCAATCAAGCGAAATTCTAAACAGATGAATTCAAAAAGAGGGGAAGAGTATTTCAATAATAAGTTATTTGCAAATGAGAATCTTAGAAAAATCTAATTACCAAAATAACTTACATAGCAATATTGTTTCTCATTAGAATAAGGAGTATATGGCACAAGGTTGGAAAATAAATCGCCCTCAAAATAAATTAAAGAATCCAACAATTCCAAATAGAACATTGAAAATACAGCATTTTAACCTGAAACTTTAAAGTTTTCTTACAATCAACACTTTTTAGCTCATGATTTATAACCCTTGATAAAAATAAGGAGATGTTAAATGGATAAAAATAGTTAGAATAAATAATAAGTAACTTTAAATTAGTAGTGTTTCAATCTTATAACTAATAAAAGAATACGAGCATAATCATTTGCTGAAGAAAGATGCTTCTCTCCAGATTAAAATAAGAAAAGAACAAGGCTCAATTCAATAAATTACAAGAATTTCCATTGTGAATCCTTTAGATTATAGGAAAATTAATCTGAAAATTACTGATTGATAATAGTTGAATTATTTTATAATTAAATTTAAACTTACTTCAATATCAACATAATCATTTCTTTTTTCTTCTTCTTTTGTTTAATAAAAAATAAATTAAAAATAATCTTAAAACTAGGTTGTATTCCATTAATTCATCCATTTTTTAATTCTGGTCTATCAATGCTGCATAATGATTATTATAAAAATATATTTTTCTCAATTATCTGCTTTGATAGATATGAATTTTTGAAATATCACTTTTCAATTGAGAATACACCTTCACATATCAACCAATCTACTTTATTAATCAATGTGGAAGATAAAAACTTGTATGATATTATTTTTTATACCACTAAAATTATTAATGCATCGTCTCTCGAGATTTTGGAAAGTTTTATAGAGATCAATCTATTAGAAGTTAATTAATAAATAGTTACTTAAGCAGCTATCACATATTCAATTCATAATAGCCTATAAATACTAACAATCTAAGTCTATGCGAAATGCTTTACAAATAAAAAAATGTAAAGTTATTTTTTAAAATGCAACCAATGCTAGTCCTAAAACGAATAAGAATTTTTCCATTTATGCTATCCGACTATCAATTATATAGTTTATACTGCAAGATTTTGATTGTTTAAATAAAAATGGATATTATTGCAAATTATTTTTGACTAGTTAATTTTTTAAACCTCACCATTCTTTTATGTATAATTAATACATCTAATACTGAATTTAACAATCTATTAAGTAAAATAAGGAAAATTATATTATCTATTGTTATCTAATAAAGTATAGCAAAATTTGACTATGAGCCAGTTCAAATTAAATTATTAGAAATTATATAGCGAGATGGTTGAATATACAAATTTAATTATTCTGATAACATAATTTTCAATCTTAAGCAATTTTTAGGATGGTTGTTGGAGTTAATAAAAAATAAACTAAAATACATTTTTGAAATAAATCTCATTTTTTTTTTGATAGATTTCTTTAATTTTACTGGAATTTCGCTAAATACTTCCAATTTAAAACGCTGATTTCATCTTTGTACTAAAGGTAGCCGTATATCATTTTTTATTGATAATTTCACAAAATCATTCAAGATTAGGATAAAAATATTATGTCCATCTTCTCTTTTCTACCTTGTCTTATTTAGAAAATAATAACAACAATCTGATTGGTTTGAAAAGTAAATATTTACTTTTATCTTTTTTATGCTTTTCAAATTCAAAATTCAAAAAATTTGATAAAGTTTGCTCAAACAAAAATGAAAATAAATAAAAGATATTCAAATAACACAATATTTCAAGCTTGTCTAGTCTAAATATGCAGCAATAAAACAACAATATTATTTTTCTAAAGTATAAATTCTAGAAGTGAAAAAAGAATGATAAGATATTCTAAAAGAACATAGCTAACTTACTAAGTCAAGAAAGTAAGGTCAAATTTAATATTACCAGTATTTTCTTAATTTGTTGTCCTTTAGTCAGATTTTTCTTTCAAAAATTGCTTTACTTTCTTTCAGGTAAAAAGTAGATACGAAATGTAGATCAACACTAGGTTCGATATTTTTTTTGATTAAAAGCTATTTCAAAATCTCAATAAGTTTATAATTATAAGGTTCTATTTTTATAAAGTGTTTGAATTGATTTTTATTCTCAACAAATATCTTAAACTCCTATAATTTAACATAAAATCCTTCATTCCAATATTGAAAATTGGAAATATCCTTTATCAACTACTGATATATTTTCATATAATTAATTCTCAAACCTAAGTTTTCATCATAATGAAAAACAAAGGCACTTTTTAAATAATATGTAGACACATTCAACTATTTTAAGAAATTCAGTCAAATCTTTATTAATAACATTGTAGATTTTATGTAATGCATTTTGATGTCTTTAAAAAAATACTTTCCTTGATTTTACATATAGCTAAACTCAAAGGAAATGGATCTTTGCCTTCAATAATCAAATATAAATTTTAAATATATAGAAATCCTAGGCTAGGGATAAAGATTAGTACTCTCTATCAATTTGATATTGCCTTACAAAACTGTAAATCTAAAGCTCTATCATGTTTTGAAGCCAAAACCTTTTTATCAAACAATTCTATTATAGTGGGAGTCAATTTAAAATGAATGAGAGTGTAAAATTTATTATTTAGTTGTGATAAATTTAGATTGCATAAAGATAAAAAATATTTTATTAATTGATTTAAAATAATGAATTATAGAGCAGTGACTTATGTGCCAGTAAATTTAAGACCAAGTTTGGCAAGAATGAATTAAGATCTGTAGAGATGTAAGTTTGAAGCTATTTAATATGCCATTTGTGCAAGCTCTAAAGGATATGAAGTGAAGGAGAAGTAATGCTAAGCGGAATTTGAAATATATAGTTCTTGTTTGAAAAAATAATGATTAAATATAAATAAATATTATTTTTTATGGAAGCAATTACACAACTCAAAAAATTTATGTAATTCCTTTTTTAGTATATATATAAGTGGTCATCATTTTAATGTGAAGAGCTTTCATAGGTATATGATTAACAATGACATCTCGGATGTTGAAACATTGATCAAATTTTGTTAATTGGATAATACTGGATAGAGATTTAATTTATGGAGATTGTTTTTTAAGTATTATGTGGATTCTACATAGCATTTACTCCATAGAAGACACAGTATTTGAGAAAATAGGTAAGTTATCCAAAACAAGAGAAACCTATAAATAATTAGAGCAAAAGTATTCAAGATCTTAAGAAGCTTCATCAACAACTAAGATTGAGGATTAACCTAAAAAAGGTCCTTTAGGAGGTCCATTAGGCGGACCTTTAGGTGGCCCATTAGGAGGAGGATCTAAAATAAAGACAGCTACCCAAAATCCAATGGAAGATGCTGAACTAAGAAATGAAATAAGAAAGGATGTTGAAAGAACATATCAAGAGATTTAGTTTTTTGCTAATAAGAAAGTGTTGCAGATACTTACTAGTGTATTGTTTATATGGAGCAAAGAAAATAGTGAAATTTCATATAGACAAGGGATGAATGAAGTAGCTGCCTCCTTAATTCACGTGTACTTTCAAGAAGCACTTTATTAAGATGAAATTGACAAAATACAAGGAGTATGCATTATTATATGATGAAGGCATCAGAGGACGACAAGTAAATCTTATTACAGTTTAATTCATGGGAGCATGCTGAGGCTGACATCTACACACTCTTTTAGAAATTGATGAATGATGCACAACACATGGAAATGTTCAGACCAAACTATACAGAAGCATAAAAGATTAAATTATAAAGTAAAAAGCCAAGTGCAATCTTAACAAGAGTCTCTAAAATTTAAGATATCCTTTTAAAACAAGTTGAAATGCCTTTATTTAGACATCTCAAATTATTACAAGTGGAATTCCAAATATTTTTATTAAAATGGATAAGGTATTAAAATATAATAAATTGAATAGATGTATGTTTACTAGAGAATTACATTTAATAGAATCTTTTAAAGCATGGGATGCAGTCTTCTATGATTTTTATGAATAAAAAACAGAAACATTATTCTTTGTTGATTGCATAGCAATTGCAATGATATTGTATGTTAAATAGCCAAGTATTTATTAATATTTAGTAATAGTAATGGAAATGGAAGATTCCAGTTAATGTTATCAAAGATTCCTCAAATATCCTCCAGTTTCTAATTTACCAGCTCTACTTGAGTCTGCTATCAATGTGAGAGCCATTTTATTGAACTAAAAATCTGCTACTACTTTGGATGAATAAAATGAATCTAATCAACCAGCAATTTATTCAGATAAACAATTCAATCCTGTTTTTTTTGCTTAGCCTACAGACAAAGTGGAAGGAATGGATGCTAAGTTTGTGAAGATTACTTCTGAAAAGCCATAATTTAGAATGAAAGGCGATGTAGATTTAGTCTACAAAGATGAAACTTCTCCAGATAAATCAAATCAAAATTAGCAATAATTTATTAATCCCTTACAACCGAGATCAGTACCTCAATAATAAAAGCCTTAGTAATAACCACAATATTATTAAGCTTAATAACAAATATAATAGTCATATTCAACTTCTTAAGCTACTCAAAGTGGCAATTAATCATCAATTACAACAAACTTTTTCGATTCTAGTTTATCAAGTACAAATAGTAAAACCATCAAAACCTAATTTTAAGTAGAGGAACAATCATAACAAGTAAAAAAAGCTTAAGCTCCATCGAAAAATTCTATTTAAATTCCTATTCAATAGGCTGAAGATATGTTTGGAACTTTGGAAGAAACTCTAAAGTTCATGAAATCATTTAAAGATCAGTACTATTAAATCATTATTATAGTTCAAACTATTAGGATCTCTTAATGAATTTGACAGAAATGAAAGATTATTTTGAATCTTAGATTAAGTAAAATTGTAAATTAATTAATTAGTGAAAATTCATAACCAGAAAAGTAATAAAATCAATAAGATGATAATAGTATATCTAGCAAAGTGATAAGCTTCCTAAAGAAAAAACCATGATATTATATGTCTTATAATTTAAATTCGGTTATATTTAATAATTGTTATTCTGAAAGAAATTTGAGGATTCTCAAAATAAAGAGATATAGACTAATGAGAATTTGAATACAAATGATAAATTTCTTCATTATTTAAACTTGAATGGTTAAAATTACATAGGTAGATTAATCACAGTTTCTGTGTCTGTAACATTTGAAATTGAATTTGTATCTTAAAAAATTTCGTTTTTTTGAAATTTAAACTTCCCAAATGAAATTTCATAAGAAGTATTGAACATTAATGAGTTTCTATTGTTTTGAGAGCACTATTAGGATTTCTGCAATAGATTAGGCACTGTTCTTCTACTTTGTCCTTGATTTTAATCTGCGTGTGCTTGTTCAGGTAATTATATTGATTATATTGAGTTGTTTTCTTTTGTAATCGGTTCTAAATCGTAATTTCTTTTAACCTTTCTTTCAGACAATTATTTTTGCAATGATTATCTATATTAATAAAATTGATTATCATCTTGCTAAGTATTTGAAGGAAGTTTTGATACAGCCTTGGATTCTTGCTCGGAGAGAGTTAGCAAACTTAACATCATATTGTTAGAAACGTAAAGTTCATGAACTGAGGCAGTATTAGTTTCTGGAGGTTTTGTAGTGATGATACTAGCAGATTTATTTTTTTGATGCTGAATCTCTCTAGTTTTTGCATAGGTTCTTGAAACGCAATAGATCATTCAATGGTATTTTTTATAATGAAAAAAATTAAATATAATTGAATATAAAGTATTGGTATCTTATTATTGGTATCTTTTAATTACTGTTTTCGAAAAAGCTAGGTCCAAATAATTTTGGCTTTAAGAGTTAGTCTATCATCAGATATTTATCTTAACATAAGAAAAAAGAAGATTTGTTGTAACAATATATTTGAGTTCTGATTTTTTTCTTATTCTTCTAGTTATTCTTTAACTGATGGTAACTATTAATTTTGAACTCAATGTTTTCCTTATGGAACTAATAAATATTTTGGAGGAGTACTGTTCAATGAAGTTTAAAATTCTCTCTCTGAAGAGTTTTTATTTTTGTTAGATTTTAATTTCGGCAATGTAAGAATCAAAATGTATGCTTGTGCTTGATTCCTGCTTGGCATAAAATATCTTGATAAATACAAATTAAGTATGATTATGGTAAATCAAAAGTTGATTAATAATATTTCAAATAGTATAAATACATATTTCATCAATAGGCAATTAAAAATGGTGGGATTCAATGTTTTTTAAAGGAAAAAGCCCCAATGTTGTTAAACTAGATATTAATTTCGTCGTTTGCAATAAGATCTAAATTATCAAATGACCCATAGATTTAATTGACCCCTTCGATTTATTAGTCTTTAACAGTTTTGCCAGCTTGTTTACAAAAAGTAGTGATTTTGAAGACTTGATTTTCTGTCATGACAGAAAAACTCTTAAGATCTTTTCTCGATTTCTTGATATTAAGAAAAGGTGTATGATTCTGATTGTCTCCATCGTTTTCGTCTTCTTCAATTTAACTAAGGTCATAATTCATCAACCTAGTAGTCCCTGCACTACCTCTACTTAGGTACTGAATGATTAATTATAAAATACCCCTCTGCTTTTTCTTTCAAGCCCTGATTGTTTGTCTGGAGATTAACTGTCTAGATCAGGCACATGGAGAAAGGAAACCTGACTTTTTTGTTGAGTTTGTTATATTATTTATAAAGAAGGTTGTTAATTCTATTGTTTGTGTTCTTGAACTATTGATTGTTCTTTAGAAATGGAAATCTTAGGTTTTTTTTCATTTGTCTTTTTTTGTGAATTAGATCTTCTTGATTTCTTAGATTTCAATTCAGGTAGTTTCTCCCAATCAAACGAGATGTTGTCTATGTACTCTTAGTCATCCAATGCTTTTGAAAATTACTCTTTAATGTATGTATAATTAGGTTATTCAGTATATTCTCTAGATTTGGCATGTTACAATAACAAATAATAACATTTAGGTAGATTATCACAGAGTTTTTCATGAGAGATTTATTGTTTATATTCAAGTATTTTGTTATATTTAATTGATTTATCTTGGATTGGCATATTCATCCAAGGCAATTTCCCTTTATTCAGATAAATGAGTACATAAGCCAAAGATTCCAAGTCATCTCTTCTAGATTACTCTCTACCTAAAATTACATTAAAATTAATCACCTAAATGTGCTCCAATACTAGCATATCTGGCAGTTCCTATGATTCCCTTCTTCTCTATCATTGGAATGTGAACTCCTTGATTATCCTTGTAACATTTGGATAATCCAAAATCAATCAAATAAATAACATCGATATCCTACCATCCTATTACCAAATTTTCTGGTTTCAAATCTCTATGAATCAAATTCTTCTGATGCATTTATTCCAGTCTATCCAGTAATTGTAATCCTATTCTGAGACAATTGATTTGTGAGAACCTTTTTGTTTTTCTAATCAAGTGTTCCAAATTCTAACCCAAATATGTTATCATAAAGAAATTGTAATTTTCATCTCTCCCATAATGCAAAATCTAAGGAAAGCCTTGCATAATGGATTTAAATACCTGGGATCCCTTTCAACACTAATAAAATTTTTATTTCTCTAACTAGCAAACTCACACTATTCTTTGCTGACTCTCTCCTTTCAAATTTAGAGGCACATATTTCACCTGTCTCTATATTTTCAGTCTTAAAAATCGATCCAAAACTACCTTGTCCGACTTTCTCAATTAATTTGAATCTCCCTGCTACAATCTATCCCGGATATAACAATTTCTATTGAAATTTATCCTATTGAGAAGAGGGATTGTGAGTTTAATGTTTCTTTTCTTTTCGAACAGGCGATTTCATAAAGTTTAATAAATTTTATATTAATTTATATTAATTTCTATATAATTAAATTTATTCACTTTCTATCCTTCTCCAATCCTTGAACTTCTTGCACAATACTTTAGTAAACTTAATTAGTAAGTTTTAACAAATATCCTAACGCACAGATTCCCCCAAAGAAAATGATCATCTATACCTACAAAGGCATTATGTCAGATGACTTTCCCGTCTCTATAAAGGTCTTTACATTCTTTGCCTAAACTCCGACATGAACCCAAAATCCAGTCCACATGAAATTACTTATTGATGTCACCACCAAGTATTAAGGTGTACTCACAGCAAACACTCCAACCACATAAGTCTTAAATGCTGTTGGGAGTGTTATCAATTGCAAAATTGCTAAAATCTTTATTGGATTTATCTGAGCCGCAACATAGAAGGTCTTGAAAAAAATATTTCCTTTAAATGCTTAATAAATTTCTTCTTTAAAACAGTATTTTACAAGGGCAAAACACAAAAATCTACAATTCTTATTATATTTACTTTCCAGCCATTTTAGTTGCAAATAGCAAAGTCAAGGCTGTTAAATATGGTCGAATGAAAAATCCAAACAAAATGTCCATCAAAAATATGTCAAAACCTGTTATTATCAGGACTAACTCAAAAGCACCGATATATAGCAACCCATAAACATCTTTAGGATAATCAACGTAAAAATTACCATTCTCATAGTTGTCACTAAAAAAATCAAACAGGAACTGTCTGAAATGCTGCGAGGTTCCCAATGCTATAAAAAATGCAATCACTACTATCAAATAAAAAATAATTATGAGAAGTAGTAATCTAATTATATTGCTGAATCTGTTTACATATCAGACAAATGAGACTACTTTTCCTTTGAAATGACCTCGTGGATTTCAGATGAAGTAGGATATTCAGGCATGCTCAATGCAACCCCTGGTTATTCTAGAGGCTCATATTAATTGAGCATATTTATTTCTTATCAAAATTATGAACTCACCCGTTTTAATAATAATTATTCTAATAATAATATATATTCAATGGCGTCTTTTTCTGTCCTCTGCGGTAGTGTTGTAAGTTCTCTTTTTTGCATTCAGTCCTAGCTATTCTTCATATGTTTTCTATTAAATTTCCTTAGTTGTTTGTTTCTTCTGTGACCCTTAGCTCAACAACTTTTCCAATTACTTTTTGCCCTTTTCTTCCTTCTCATTTTGTTTGGGCTGAATTTATTTTGTTTGATTTTGTTTCCACTATGGTCTATAGCCTTTTTCGAAATCCAACTCAAGTATTGAAGGATCAACATCAATCTTTTTGTTGATTACTTTAGTCTATGTAGCCCTATAATTATTTTCATTTCTAGGTTCTTGGCGAGTATAAGTATTGCTTTAATCAAATGATTAATGATTTTTCTTCTTCTTTTCCTTCAATTTTTCACACTCTTAAATAAATTCCTGATAGCTAATTTCTCCTCCTTTTTCAAATTACTAAATTAATTTTATTTGTTAAGAAATTTTCTACAAGTATTATTTGTAAAAGGAAACTATATCATGTTCAAATTTATGGTCTTGAGTCAATTGTCTAATTCTAAAAATGTTGTAATTATTGTTTTTAATCTCCTCTAAATTCATGATCACTTTATCTAAGATTTAAATAGAACTTTATCTCTAAAAGCCATAACAGCTGATTTTCGGGCTCAAAGTCAGAATGTCACTGTGATCCAGTGATATAATCAAAAACAATTTCTGGAATAAATATAAAAATTATGTGAAGGCAGAATCTGCTAAATTTTTCATTTCAAAAACAAAACAACCTCCATCCTCAAGTCTTTTGTACATCATGGTAACAAAGTACCAAAATTATTCGCCAGCATTCTATTTTTCATTCACTTTCATATAAAGAATCTATACTGTCTCCTCTTCACCCAAATTCTAGATTACCTTAACATTATTAAACCTACCCTTAAAATCATAATTGGAGTCATCATTAATTAGTTTATAACAAACACGAATCATATTTGGAAGATAACACTTTTCAATAATACTCGAAATGCTCTTGAGATTCTTTAAATTTTTGAACTATCCAAAGACTGTAATTGGTTGAACATAATTAGGCTAGTGCAAAAAAGGATTGATTCCTCGTTATAAATGAAATTCTAATTAATATTCTTTATCTAATTCTTCAAATACTTTGTCAAACTCTTTGGGGTATTTGAGTTATCTATTACTTCTGTCTGAAATTTTAGTTGCCTTAAATTTTTTGACATCGCCTAACGAATCGAATTCTCTTTGAGAATCCTGTGTATTATAGACTGCAAGCATGCTATCATTAAATTTATCACGCCCAGTTGTAATGTAATCTTATTCATTCCTCTTAAGGATGCATGAGATGGGTTACAAATTTCCCCAGTTGATAATTCTGTTCTATGATTAGTTATATGAACTAAGGCGACTGAACACCGGTTCGAAAGGAGGCATAGACATAGCCTACCTGTAATAAGGATTATTGTCATCAAAGAGATCCATTTATTAAAATTTTTTAATATAAAAATACTATTTATGTTATTTCTTTTTTATCATTAAAGATTTGAGAATGCTATAAATTATTATCAAGCTGATTAATTATTTAACTATTTTTACTTAATGAATTCTCATATTTACCTGACAACCCACTAACTACATGAGATGTTTGTAGATCCTACTTAAGTATTGGTCTCCCCTTCATTTGTTGAACCAACTACTCCTCCATCAAAGGAGGTATTCAATTTTCAATGCAATATTTTAGAAAAGATATTTCTTTCAAGAGGATGTTACAAGTCCTTCAAAGAAAGATGACAAATCAACTGAAAATTATTCGAACAGAAAAATCAGTTAGAATTCTATTTTTGATTCCAAAGTAGAATTGAAACTAAGTATTCCTAGAATTTTGATAGTTTAGCAAATAAAGATTTATGCATTAAGAATTTATAGGAACAATAGAATAAAAGTAAGGAGGGACAAATAATTATCAAATTGTAATAGGAACTCTAACAATAATCTTAAATTATTTTAAGTTTGCAAAGTAAAGTTTGACATCATTTAGATTAAATATAAATTTTGAAAGGATCAAACTAGAAATATCACTCTAGTGTTTCATAATTGCTCAGTCAAATCAAAAAGTTAGAGCAAGAAAATCAATCCTTTTAAGATTAACTTCTAAAAACAAGATTGGGTTTCTAAGATTAAATTAAATAACAATAATAAATAAAAATAGATATGGAAAATGCAAAAATCAAAATATTAAATAAGGATCAAATGATTGAATCTTTAAATTAGCAATTATCCTCCTTTCGTCAAGAGTTAAGCAAAACCAGAATTGCTATAAGTCCAAATAGAGTAATAGAGTAAACACACTACCCTCCTTCCGTCTCATATATCAATTATAGGATAGCTCAATAAAGATCAAATTCTAATAATTTGAAGAATTTTTGAACTAATCATTCTTATGATTATTTAATATTAAATTTCACAATTTATAAAATTAAAGGGCTTTTGTGCTTGTCTTTTCTTCAACTTCATCAAAAATCTTTCTCTTTTAATGTCCAGAACTTGTGAACATACTTTTAGTAATTTGAATTTGCTCTTCATGAAGACTCTTGCTTTATTGATGATGACTGAAATGTCTCACACTGACACTTTACAATTTACAAAACGATAGTTTTTTGGGTATTTGTATGTTTTGAGGTTTTTAGTTCTTTGACTATTTCTCTTTCAATATTTACTTATTTTTACATCAATTTGTTTAAATCTGTGATTTCCTACTCCAATTAATAAACATATTTTTATAACTCTACACATTATTGACACTATTCAAACTAATTTTCAATTGGTAAACTTCCATCTGAATTAATAAAAGACTAATAAATAGTGTCCTCTTTCTCATTCATCTTAAATAATTAAAATAATATTAATAAATAACAATAAATATTATGATCATTTATTCGCTGCATATTTAAGAAGTAGATTTGCTAATATTTCAATAACACAAACCAACTATATATTCTATTTAGTTTTCTAATTATCTAACCTATTTCGGTTATTCTAAATGCTATCTATATAATTCTATGTAAAATACTTAACTTTAATATAAATCAAATCAAATAATTAATCTTCCTTTCTAAATAGATAAGGAATATAATTAATCTTCATCACAAAAGACTTTAATTAAATAGATAGAATTCTAAAATACAAAATATGTTTTATATGTAATCTGATCGTGAAGTAGTAAAACTTTATTTCCAACAATATATTTAAGATTGCTTTATGGTTAAGTAGGCATTTGAAATTTGGAAAAGGTTATCTTATGCACCAACCTAAATAATAATATTAGTGGAAGAAACTCAAAGTATATACTTTCAACCAAAAATTAAAGCAATTATATTTAACCTTTCAATTTTTCATATTTTTTAAATTAAAAAATAAATTTAGACCTCTCAATAATCAATTTTAGGGATCAAACGAATAAAAGAAAACAATAAATCAATCTAAAATTATTAAAATAGCGAGAATTTAGACCTTATTAGTTTCATTTTATCTAAATTCTTAATATTGTTGCAAATAATCCTTTATACAAATTAATACTTTAGAATATGATATGTGTTTTATATATGATATTTGTGAATTAATTATTCTTTCATTTTAGATAAATGATTATGATTGTCATATTGTCACAACCAACTCCAGCTATAAATTATATCTTTTCGAATACATGATATGCCTGGAGCAATCAAATGATCCAGCAAATCCTCTGCAACTCTCCCTAATAACTGAGGAGTAACTGGTTGATTACCAAGTTTATTATTGATAAATTAAAGTAACTCTAAATGACTCAATTAGTCGAAAATGCCATCACATCCCATCAATAAAAATCTAAAATGAAGACTATAAATACTTGTCTTTTTATGTTAATTCTATTTTTTCAATATCTGGAAATGCGATTACTAATTGTTCAGTCTTATTTAAGCTGGAGTTTTACTTATATTGTCGATCCCCCAATGCACGAGATAGATTTAGGTTTCCTATAATATTATGTAAAATAAACCATTAATCCTTCCTTCATCTACAAATCCTCCAGCACTTTCAATCCTCTATTTTTCTTTTAAAATAACAGGCTTATGATCATTGCTCAAATCACAATTAGTATTATTTCGACATAATACAGATCTTGAATCGCCTACATTAGCAACATAGAGAGTGTTCTTAAAAAATAGAGCAACATTAGCTGTACATCCTGTTTGATAGGCTCCTTTAATATTATTAATAAATTAATACCTTCTTCTGTTGTGTTCTTTATTTATTAAAGTTCTAATTAACCTTCCTCAGCAAACATTAACTCATCCATCTTCAAAAAGGTCTCTTACAAGGCATCTTCAAAGTTTTGATCTTTAAAATTATTATTCCTTAAAAGTTCTTCAGTAAAGTGTCTCTACACAAATATGGCAACATCAGCACCACCATGTCCATCAAAAATACCAAATAACGAGACATTTGGTACTAAATCACATACAAAAATGTGAGTATCCTCCATGGATCTTCTCCATCCTATTTCATAATATTATACAATTTTACCTTGTACTGCCGAGGCTGCATAAATAAAGGTTTTATTTTCATCGATTGTCGTATTTTTACTCCTATTAGGACTAGATAGATAAACACCTCCCATTGTAATATATTAAATTTAGAATTGGTTAGATCCTATTCAGACTTATAATTATCACGAATTCGATAATTATAATAAAAGACTTGATTATTATAATATCCTGGTGTTACTTACCTGTTAAAAGTTAAATTTAAATTCAAACTAGCAAATACACCCAACCAAAAATGTTATTATTGGTTAAATTTCTTATGTAATTGTAATGAGTTGATCGAATTCCTGTTTCTTTCTTTATTATTGATAATCTAAAACATTACCAAAGGGTTTTTGTAATATTTGTTCAATTTTTCTTAATTTTAAAACATCTTGAAAAGTAATAATAACAATAAAAAATTAACTTATAAAATTGATAAAGATTTAATCTTCAGCTTATTAGTTTAATAATTTATAATATTAATAAATCAAAGATCTCAAAGTATCAACCCAACAATAATCGACAACCATTTTTTGGCAATATACAAATTATAAAATTAATTAAGAATATTAAACTACTTTTCTATATTATCTTCATCTGGTTTACCTTGATCGAATATTAATACTTTAATAAGTAATAAGGAGAATATATTTAAATAATTTTTGATAAGATTAACTTGAATATTTAAGGATTAAGAAATTAATAAGCATGTAAGAAGAGAGTTGTATTTTATTAAAGGATTTTAGTTAGCAACGTTTTTTTCAAATAATATCGGAAGTTATTAGTCAATTTGTTAAGAGACCTATTGGAATAATTCAAACTGGAACATTCAATAAGATAGTTTGTATTATTAAAAGTTGTGATTAATTATTTACTAAATGTATTTTTTATATTTCAAGTTTATTAAAACTTATGGAATTGTTGATGAAATAGTTTTGTATATAGATTAAACAAAATTTAAGATGTCATGGTTTTCTTAATTCAATTTGTTGGGTTTAGACATTGTTGTAAGTTTGGGTCTGATGATTCGAGATTTTGTTGCCCTCCTACCAAATCAGTTAACAGAAGGATTGTTGTTAACCTAGGTTTTGATCGTTTTTTTATCGTTCCTCATTGTATCTCTTCAATTTATCAAAATCAATAGGGATGCATTGAAAGGCTCCACTTCTTTTGAGCTTTGATTTAGAATGACAAATTCCCATTTTAGATTATTTTATATTAATTGTTTAATAAATTGATGTAATAATAAAGCAGTTCTTATTGTCATAAGTTATAGGATTTTGCCAAAATTCCGAAAATTAGAAACTCAATTTTAATATTATACAGATCATCTGAATAATATACCTAACAAGTCTGTGTTTCTAAAAATGAGAAGTTCTTATCCATTTATATTGACTTTTTGTCCACCGAAATCGGGCAGTAAAACTGTGTCTCCCACTTTAACTCAAATTTTAACAAACTCACCTTTGTGGTCGTGATTGCCTTATCCAGCCTTATATTTTAATATTAATTGAGATACTTCGATGACTACTCCTGCTAGATTCTTTGCTTGTTCAGTATTGAGTTGTATGGCACTTGATGTTTTAAATGAAACTTCTATTTTCTTAGATAAGTACTGTGTTCATGAGTGGGAGTAATCTTTTGAATTGCTACATCAATTAATTTTAATTAATTAAAATATTATTATGGATCCTAACCAATTTGTATGCTACTTATTCAATATATGATAGGGTATTGAGATAGCCAAGAAATTCCAACAATTCTTTGCTCATATGAACAAGTTTTGTTAACAATTTTTGAAAGACTAGAATGTGACAGAGATTCAAGTTCCTGAGAAGAAGAAGGAACGAGATCCAAATGCACCCAAGAAGCCTTTGACACCGTTCTTTTTATTTAATTAGAAGTACAGAGAGAAAGTGGTTGACAGAAATCCAGGTATTTATTTGTTTGTGAAATACTATAAGAGATTAAGCTTACTCAAATATCATAAATGGCGGGAAATAAATGGTCATCTATGTCCGAATAAGAGAAGAAGGTATGACTTTTCAATCAATTTGCATAGCCTTACGTCGACCAATACAATGCAGCCAAGGAAAAGTATGAGTAAGAGTTGAAAGATTACAATGAGAAAAATGGAATCGAAACAAATGATAAGAAGCGCAAGAAGTCAGAGAAAGTACATGAGATCCTTATAATAATAGGTTGATGATAAATCAATGAAATCAGCTTTGGATCATAATATCGATGATTTCGAGTCTGAATCTGTTCAACCAGCAGCTAAACATCAATAATAAATTAAACAATAATAGCAAAAACAAAGCAATAATGATGAGTAGGTCAAATAGCAACCAGCAAAATAGAGCAAGCAATAAACATAACAAAAATAAATACCAGTTTAAACTAAGAAGGCTAAACATGTAGAGATAGATGATGATATCTAAAAAGATATTGATTAAGCAATGAGCAATCCAAAATAAACATAAAAAAAATCCAAGAAATGAAAACCATAAAAACAACCATTAAGATCAAAATTATTTTATAATATTTGTTATGTACTTAAATCGTTCAATTCGAGTCAAATATTGCCAATGTATCCATCTGCATTAAGCAACTCATTGAACATATGACTTCCTTAAGTGAATCTGGCGACTTGCTTCTTGTGCAATTCACAAGGACCATCCATCAATCGAAGTCCTCTGCATGCCTAAAAAGCAATTTACAATATATAATCTGTAGTGATGGCTTGAGCTCCAAATAATTGAATGCATTCATCAGCAATGCATTAACATTTATATGGTACAAATGCTTTGGTTTCACTGACAGTTTTAAGTGATTGCATGTGTCTTCCACCTAAAGAATCTAATACCATGGCAGCATTAAGAATCATAGTCTTACAAATTTAGTAATCGCATTCCATTCTTCCAATTTTCTCTTAGAATGCTGAGTCCTCTTTTTATTTTTTACCTCTGTGAACTCTTCTCTATCCTCTTTCCAATAGCACATCCATAGCTCTGCGCACTAATCCTAACAATCTGACACTGTGATGTAATCTACCTCCCAAGAGTCTTCCTTGTGACATAGCAAAGGCAGTTCCTTCTTTACCTAACATGTTTTCTTTGGGAACATAAACATTATCGAATTCAACCTCAATAAGTCCATGAGGTGCTTCATCATAACCAAAAACAGCTAAGGGATGCTTGAGTTTAATGTTTGGATGAGGAGTATCAACTAAGAACATAGTTTATTCTGTGAAAGGTGATTTAGGGTTGACTGTTGTTTTGCCCATGACAATTCCAAACTTGCATCTTTCATCTTGAATTCCTGAGACCATCCATTTACTACCTTTGATAACATATCCATCTCCTTGTTTTGTGATAATAGTCTCAAAGTTGGTTGGATCAGATGAAGCCACATTTCTTTCAGACATAGCAAAGAATGTTTTGCATTCTCCTTCCAAGAGTGGTTTGAGATACTTTTCTTTTTGATAATCAGTGGCAGCCATAATCAACAATTTGATGTTTCCAGTTTCTGGGGCATAGCAATTAAAGATTTCATGGCCAAAGAATGAAGTTCCCATCAATTCTGATAAGAATGTGTACTCCAAATTATTTAATCCCTTTCCATAGACTGGGTCTCCAATGAATAGATTCCATAATCCCATAGATTTAGCTCTTCTTTACAAATGCTCAATGCCTGGCAATCCCTTCCAATGATTGTCCTTGTTAAAAGAGTAGACAATATCAAATTGCGATTATTCCATTGGGAACACTTCGTCTCTTAAGAAATCCCTCACTCTATAATAGTAGCTCTTGCATCTTTGACTGACTGGATACTTAGCCCATAATAATTAATCGGTTTCAGCTCTCAATTTAATTTAGAATGGATCATCATTTGTTAATTCCAATACGATATTCCAAGCAGATCTAGAGATGATTTCTAATTCCTATTAGAAGACATTGCTTCTCTCAGGATCGACCTTGGTTTTGATACATTGTTATTTGAAGATGGCTTTTTGCAACAAGACGATGATTGTATTGTAATTGAGATATTTGATTGTGTCTAATTTCCTGTCAATGCAATATTGATTAATGAGTTCTTATTTGCTTGGTAATCCCAAGAGATGATCAATCTTTTGTAATCCATAGTTGGTCACATTTTTCTCATATGGGATGTCATAATTAGATAGGAATCTAGCCAACTCCAAAAAGGGGTTTCCGATTGTAACAGAATTCCATTGTTATACATTTATGAGTTTAATTTCTTATTAATCGAAAATAAAATTATTTAGTTCGACATTGCCTAAACAGAGAGATTCCTAGATGGTCAATTCTGGGACATTCATTGGCAACCAATATAGCAAATCTTCAATATTTGTTTAAATTCTTGTTTCATGGGTTTTGTATTAGATTCTTGAACTTTCAATTATTGCCTAATAATTGAAAACACTTTGATTCTGGCTCAAATTGTGGACACGACATAAGAAGCTGACGATTTCCTTGAAAATAAGTCTTCTCTCATTGATAGCCAAACTTTGAATGTTCAATTAGTTGAATATTCTTCCATTTGTGTGTCCCTTGACATAGAATCCCGATCCTAGTAGCTTTGAATCTTCGCAAATATGAATCACTTCCTATTAATGTTTCAATAATTCATTTTAAAGTCTCAAATCGTCGTGGATGGAGGCAATCTAGAAATAATTATAATAAAATTATGTTACTCCTAATTTCCCAAATATTGGTGATGATCTCAATGTCAATTATTTTTAAGGGTTACTAATGATATATTGATTTTATACTTGGATGACCCGATAAGAACTTCCCCAGTGGGTAAAAATGTTACATGTTCAGTTTTCACTAATTCATTTTATCTGTAATTCAAGATGCTTGATTGATTATTAAGATAAGAAATTAATTCAGGGGTTTGCACTTAGAGGCTCATTTATAAATTTTCTGGAGAAAAATTTTTAAAAACTTTGATAAGATTTTTAGAAATTTGAAGGCAGGCATATCATAATCATAATACGTAATCGAGATTTATAATACTTAAATTAAAATATTAATAAAAACAATTATATTAAAAAAATAATAAGTGTTCTTATTTCTCTTCCTATCTTAACTATTCATTATTATAAAGAAATTCATAATTATTTTCTTAATAATAATTATAATAATGAATTAATCATTTAACTAACTCAATTCCATTCTTATCCAAAAGTCTCTCCAAGGAACTTTACATCGTTTCCATCACTGATACTCTTTCTATGTTCAATTGTAAAACTATGAAGAAAATTGCAAAACAATCATTTATCATCTCCCCACTATACTCCAAAAAGTGGGCCATCCTCTCATTTTAACCATCAGTGGGTATCACTCCACCATATACAAATAATTTCAAAAAGGACATTATGAATGCTAAGATAATTATGCAAGATTCATAAAATCTATATTTATACATTAACGATTCCTTATCTTATTAAAAGATAAACAGGAAATCAGTTAACGTAAGCAATAATTACACACTATATTCAATCCAATGAGATGTTTCCTCAAAGAACTCAGGATCAAAAGTGAATAAAATTAATGCTACTAAAGTCCCTCCAATATTCACTATGATTAAATAGATCTTTATTGAATCCATTGTAACTATTCCTGTTAAGATTAAAACGCATCCTTCGCTTAAAGCAAAGAAAAAAGATCCGTAGAAATCCAACATATGGAAAGGTAAATAATAGTTTTCTTCAATTACATCCTAGGGGTGACAATTGGCCACTAACAATGCCAAGTTACAAAAAAAGTTAATCACAATCACTAAAGTAAAGAATATGAGTATATTTTATTTGAATTTATGATCATTGTAAATATGAGTATAGATTAAGTTCTTATTCTAATCATTAAATATATGGCTTTTTGAAGAAGATATCTATGATGTCCTTTCTGTAGGAGTTTAGATATCCAAAGAATCCAATTTTTGGTTCATTTCTATTTCTTAAATTTTTAATTAATGAATCACCATAAATTATGATTTATTAATGAATCACCATAATTCAATATATTACTAATAATATTACCATTTAAATTTTATATATTTAATCACTTTTCCAAAAAAGTTATCCTAACTTAACAAAACTATGGCTTTGTTAAAACTCAGTTCGTTCCTTTATTCTTAAGTCATACTCTTGATAATTTTTGAATTGAAATTTAAATTAATAATAGATAGAAATAACTTAAACTATTTTACTAAATTGATGACTATTATAACTATTAAATAACATTAATTAAATTATTAAGATTCTATTTATAAGTCAGAGTTATTTCTTTGAATATTTGAAAATACCTTCTATGTGGGGTTCCAGCAAATTGACAAATATTATTTTATACAGATTAAAGATGAATTACTTTGATTCTAAAAAGATTAATTTCAAAAACTCATTGAGGTAAAATAGATCATACTGATGCCCAATAATTAATTACAAAAATAAATTAACAGTTTATTTCACTATATGATTAAATAATAAATGGTAATCTAATTGAATTAAAATTATTAACTAAAATCTGAATGTATATAAACAATATTAAAATAAGCTAATGAACATTTTGAATTGTATCGAATTTCTATTTATTCAGATTGAGAATATTCTTAAATTATTTACATTATATATAGGATTTATAATTATAATGAGCTAAACTATGTTAATTCTTTAAAAATCTTAGCATCTTCTTTGTAGAATTCTCAAGTTCAATTACTATTAACTATTAATAGGGAGGTGTATGATATGAATTTCGATTATTCATCAAAATATGACAGTCTTTTATTTTTGATTCTATACAGAATATGAGTTCTAAAAGTTTCATATTACTAAAGTAATGATGTAATTAATTAATTCATGATTTATTTGTTGCTTTGCATGGCCCTAGCTTTCGGGGCTGAAATAGATGTTAATACGTTTAGTAATTACATAGAAGTGAGCCAAGAGCAAGTCCATATTGAATGGCTACTTGATTTGGATGAGCAATACATAAACGCTACAAGTTAATCAATTTTCAGGGTTACTACCAATAAATTAAAGAAAGTAATGAATTCTCTTTATGATTAAGATTGACTTGGATATATATCAATTAAGTATAATAGCTGTGTATTTGTCTTCTTCAGGAAATGTTTTATAACATGAAATAATTAAAAAAGGAGATCAATCCCTTTTGTAAGGAGATGTCCTCTCAATACAATTAGATAGAGTCTATACTAGAGGAGAATATATTAAATTAAACATAAAATATAATTTGGATTCAAAGGGAGCAAGAGCACTAGGATTTTTAACCAAAGAATAGACCTATAGCAAATCAGTTCCCTATCTATTTTCACAATGTGAAGATAATAATTGTAGGTCAATAATTCCTTTATAAGATACACCAAGTATCAAAGTGTTCTTTACAGCAACTGTTTTGGTGAAGGATCCTCGTATCAATGTATTTATGACAGGGAATAAATTGTATAATACGAAATTCAAATTGCTCAATAATTATGAAAATTTGTAAGCTTTAACACTCTATCAATTTGAATTGGATATCAAGATTCCAGCATACTTGATTGGAATTATAGCAGGTGAAGTGGTTGAAAAATCTACAGGAAATGGTACATATGTGATAGCAGAGCCTCATTTCATTGATGAATATGCTTAAGAGTTGTCTGATTTGCCAGTGTACATGAAGAAAATGTAAGAATATATTGGACCATACATTTGGGGAGATTATAAAATTGTGATTTTGCCAGCCTCATTCCCATTTGGAGGTATGGAACATCCTTTATTAACCTTCGCAAGTCCAACTATTATAGTAGGTGATAAGAGTGGAGTAGGTACTGCCATTCATGAAATTGCTCATTCTTGGGTTGGAAATACAGTTACAGGAAGAAATTGGGCAAACTTTTGGATTAATGAAGGATTTTGTGTATTTTTAGAAAGAAAGATCTTATCGAGATTAAATGGATTGGATTCTGTTAAATTAGATGCAATTAATGGTAATTCTAGCGCATACACATCAATGCTAACATTTGGTTTAGATAACTCATTCTCTAGTATGCATCCAAATACTACAAACAGAAATCCTGATGAAGCAACTAGTCGTGTTCCATATGAGAAAGGTTATTAATTATTAACATATTTGGAAAGTTTAATTAAAGAAGATCCATTTTAATAATTCTTAAGGGATTACATTGAGAATTTCAAATTTTAGAGTATTGATGAAGATTAACTATATCAATTTTTATTGAGTTGGGTTAGGAAAAACAAATAAGAAGAAGCTTAAAAGATCGTGGAAGAAATTTAGAAAGTATGGAAAAAATGGGTTTATACACCAGGTCTAGCACCAATCACAATTGATGTATCAACTCCATTGTTCACTGATGCAAATAACTTAGCTAAAGCATGGATTGATGGAAAAGGATAAGCTCCATAAAAGGCAAATGATTTTCAATAATACAAGCCAAATCAAAAGAGCGTGTTCCTCCAATATTTAATTGATAACTATAAGGATGTTGAGGCTGCAGTGATGACTAAAATGGATGAATAATACAAACTCACCTTTTATAAGGATTAGAAGACTGTATATAAATGGTATAGACTTGTTTTATTGGTGAAATACGATCAAGCTCTTGAAGGAGTTCATGATTTCGTATCTAAGGTTGGAGTATCAAGTTACTTAAAAGTATTGTATGATTTGTTGGGTTAGAATTATAAGTAAATATCAATTTATATAAAAGTAAACAAGCATATGATTGGTTTGATGAGAACAAGTCCTTTTATCACCCAGTTGTGGTCTAAGCCATTGAAAAGATATTATAAAAATACCCCAAGAAACTTATAATTGAGTGAATATATTTACAATAGTATTTCAGATTTAATTAAATTGCTTTATATATATATGATTTCATATAATGCATAATTTGTTGAAAATATAATTAAGATTTACACATCATAATCAAAATGATTAAGCGATTAAGTGATTAACAAATGAAAACTAATCATCAGTCTAGGTCCCTCTAAATGATTGATGAGGGTATAAGAAACAGATTGAATTAAGGAAATCTTAAAGTGCAAAATTATAATGACATCTTATATAGGATAGGTTATTAATCGATATTTAAAAAAGTAAATGACCAGAATTCGAAAGGAATCAGATGAATTCAAATTAAATCATTAAAAACGTCCAAAAAAATTATATAAATTAGTGCAGTTAATTCGATGCTTAATATTTAAGTTATCATTATTATTTTTACTTAAATAATGGGTTGTTCCATTTAGAAAATAGAAAAAGGAAGCTAAAGTCAATAGATAAAGCAACAATAAGTAGGAGGTTAGGAAACTTTAATACAATCCTAATCACCGAAAAATGAAAATTTAATTGGCGAAACTCCCTCTTAGATTAATCTGAGAGCACAGAGACTGAAACACGTCAGAGACATAATATTGAGTGGATACTCCAATTCTCCAAAAAATATACATAGTAGAAAACAATCTACCCAAAACTTGTGGGGTTGAGTACAATAGAATTTGATTACTTAAATCTTCTTCATTTGTTTATTAATACTTATAATCACCATAGTAGTTTGTATTTTCACATCAGTTTATTCTTTTATTAATTATTATATTCACCATTTCTTCTATAAATAGAGTCAAAATAATGACATCATTTGATAATAATAATAAATCACTTCATCAATGGAGTAATAATATAAGTAATGAAGACACGAATATAAAATTCGGAAGTTCAATTTAATTTTGACGACAATTAAAGTGAAATTAAAATTCATATAATACAAATAAGCAACCCTCATTCAAATAAAGAAACTCGCATTCACAAATTTATAAGTATTCATATATTTTAATCTGGTTTTTATATTCTCTTTTTATTTGATCTCCAGAAATATAAGAAATGCCCTCTTTTTTTTTAAATATAAATTCATTTACTTAATTATGTATAAAGGATATATAGAAAGGATGTTCAAAGAATTTTAAGTCCAGCCAATTTATTTGCCTTTTGAATTCTAGTAGAACGGAGGCGAGGGCAACATCATTATGGATATGGATTTAGTCAGATAGGTAAGAATATGATTTTGAATAAAGTTAGACTAATTCATCAAGTAAAACATGAACTAAAATAACGAACATACAATCCAATAATTTATACGCATGTTTTCAGTTCAATTACTCTTACCTTTACATGTGGTTGATGAATTATTAAGCACCATTCAAGAAATACCAGACTAGTAATTTGATGAAGAAGTGATTGAATCATGTCAAAGACAATCCATCAATAGAATTAAAGAACAGACTCAATTAGAAGAGATGAAATTCATAACCTAATTGGAATTGTAGAGTGAATAAAAACATGAATAACAAATATTTATTGATGAAATGAAAGAAGCTAAATTGATTGTCCCTTTGGCAAATTTAAAATAATATCCATTGGGCAGAACCTCAATCACAATCAGAGCAAAACTATTTAATAAACCAATAATAGAAAGAGAACAATTATAAATCATTGGAGATTATTGTCTCTAATTCAGAGACGAAAGTGGAATGTGCTAAGTATTCTTCACCAAGAATCGAATAAAAGAGAAGTTTTAACTGTACTATGAGAATCTCTAAGTCTAAACTGTTTATGACATAAGCGAAATGGAAATACATCAATTTAAATAGACATATGAGATCAAAGTCACTTCAAATACATAATTTAAATTATACACTAAAGTACCTGTCTTAGAACAATTGCCAAGTGCATTAAGTTACAATTTAAAGAATGGAGAGGAGATTATCGTTGCTGGCATGGTTGCAGAAATAGGCGAATTGAGATAATAAAATAAGAAGTTAACTCTATACACTCTGCCTATTGATACCAACACGTAATACTATAAGATACCCTTAATCTTATGGGACCAATATAAATTGATGAATTTTAAGGTAGGCGATGTTTATGTTTTTGAGGGTGTATTATTAAAAATATACACTGATGTAATTGAGTTAAAATCATTGAGAACTAGGTTTAAAGTTTATACTGAAGGAGATGAGAAGTACCAGGATATTATAAAGCAAATCATAGATAAAAAACACAATTGGCTCTAAAAGGATAATGCAGAGATTCAAATTGAATAGGTAGTGCAATAGCCGGTTTTTTTGAGTGACATTCATTAGTCTATCAATTGTGCTTATTTCAATACAGTTGTTAAAATACTGAAGGATATGCCAGCAATATTTTAGATGAAAATATAAAAGTGTGTTAGACAATTAATAGTTACTAGCGATAATAATAATAGTCAAATAATTGAATTGGTAGGGGATCGATTATGTTAAAAGATTTATCTTGCTGAGGAGGCTATCATCTTTATTAGTTATTTACAAATAATCAATAATAAAGTTGTGGCCAATGAGCATAACACTTAAATCAGAGTGTTGCCAGATGATGACATTGATTTTGCTGAGCAAATCTCATTGTTAAAATAACCATTCTCTAAACCCTTATAGTTATCACAAAATGAATTAGAACAAGATGTATTGATTAATGCATAGAAAAGGAGTTCAATCAAAATCAAAATTAACCAAAAACAGTCAGGGAATTAAAATTAATTACAAATACCTTCTGACAGTCTTAAAAAAGGAATTGATAGAAATGAATTGATGAATGATATTGTATCCTTGTTGGAAGGCAAGACTCATAAGAGCAGATTCAATATATTGGTTCAGATAGACGAATTGTTTGAAGTCAGACATTAAAAGGGGAATGTCAAACTATAGGACCTCAGAATATCGGATGAATCAGATTCAGGAAAAATAACCTTATGGAATAATCAGATTTGCGATTATAAAATTGGACAAGCAATCAGGATAGATCAAGTCATTTATGATACGAGTAAGCAAGAATTCAAGACTACATTTCAGAGCAAAGTGAATACTAATGTTCCTAATAAGAATCTACCTGGGAAACAGAGAAAATAGAATTAAAAGTAATTAGTGATTGATGGAGTTGAGTATCAGAATTTTACATACAATCAAGAACTTAAATTGATTACAGACATAATCAAATTATAATACAGTGTATCAGAAGAATTACCTTATTAATATTGCAGAGCAATGATATCAGAAATAATGATAGCCAGACTCTCTCAATAGTGTCCATAATGCACTTTTACTAAATTGGTGTAAAACAACGATGTTTATGAATGTTCTGGATAGAATGGAATTAAACATATTGTTACACTCCCGAAGATATTTTGTTATCTGAAATGTAAACTAACAGACTTTACTGCATCTATTGAAGTTGTGTTTGGAGATGAGATCTGTTAGTAATACATCCCTCAAAATATTCTTAATGAATTATATAAAAATCAAATGTCAGTGGTACCATACTTTGATTGCTTGATGTACAAAGAGTTTACATTCAAATTGTGGTTATAAAAATAGAAGGATTAGAGCAAGAAGATTAAAATCATGAAACTATTCTAAACAAATTACTTAAAAATTATAGATTCATATTTGTGAAATCTATAAAAATTATCTAATATCAATCATCATCATCATTTCTATTTTTTTTCAAGTTTAATTTAACCATAGCTTTGCCAACTGCTCCAATCCAACCCTCCTTATCTTAATTATTGCTCGCTTAGAGGAAAAATGTTTAATCGGGAGTGTCAATTTTCTGAAATATATAGTTTGATCAATATTTACAAATGTATTTTCCTTATTCGTTTCTTCTTAACAACTCTTGATTGTACTGACTGTTGACAACTAAATAATTTCTGTGGGATTCGAATATTGCTTTTCTACCTTAAATGAATAGAGGGTTGTAGTTGTTAATACAAACCATCGCCTAAGATAGAGGTGGAATCATACCTTCTCCATGATTTAAACACTCTGGACTCCTTTTCCAACCATCCTTCTTTCATTATGTTTTTTAGATCTTCTAACATCGGATTCTACATGTTTGAATTATTTTTTATTTTAAATTATCATTTAGAAATTTTCAAAATAGTTTATAAATGCTCACTTCTTTTGAATGAGTTTAATACTAACTCTGATCATATCAATCGATCCAGAGAAATTAATGAAAAAAAGTAAAATAAAATAATTAATTTGTGATGTAAAAGACAATGTATTAAAATCTACACATAATAGCAATCCAATTGTGAAGTGGGCTTAAAGAAAAGACAACATATTCTTGACAGTCGAAGTCAGAGACCTAAAGGAAGAGAAAGTCGAATTGACATCAACATCCTTGAAATTTAGTGCTAATGCTGAAGGCGTGAATTATGCATTTGAAATCAATTTCTATGCCGAAGTCGTCGTTGAAGTATCAAATTACATAACACCAAGGACAGTAAATGGACTAATTATGGAGTCAATGTAAGATTCATTTTGAGCAAAAAAGACTAATCTGCCTCCTATTGGACTAGATTGATCAAAGAAACACATAAATTGTAGTACATCCAAGTATCCCAATCCCTCTAATTCTAATAGGTTGACTGGACCAAATATATCGATGAAGATGATGAAGCTGAAGAAGGAGGAAAAGGATTGGATGATTGGAATGGCAATAATTTCTAAGGATTTGATGGATAGGGTTAGCCAGATGAGGATGATGAAGAAGAATAAGAATAAGAATAAGAATAAACATAAGAAGAATAATAAGAATAATAATAATAATAAGAAGAAGCATAAAATTAATGAGTTATTTATTAAGTAAATAGTAATCGTTTTTATTAATTTGATGAATTAACTTATTTTGATAAGTGTATTAGCTATAACTCTAGTATAAGCTGATCTTCCTGTTCATTGCCTAAGACATTAGATTGTAGGCAAATGGAAAATGGAAGTCTCCGATGTCTAATTGAGAGGCGTGGGTGCAGTCCCATGTGGACATCATGTTCCTGACACATAACATTCTTCATATAAGGCTGGATGGGAAGACTTTCGTGCTTCAGATTCATTTGAATTAACATTGGGAAATGATTATACAGTCACAGACAAAGACAGAAAACAAAGTGGATCATGGACTATGGTATATGATGAAGGATTTGAAGTTGAACACAATGGTGTTAAATATTTTGCATTTTCTAAATATGAACCAAATGGTGTTGATTATAAATCATTATGTGGAGAAACATTGATTGGTTGGTATAATAATTAAAAGACTGGTGAAAAGGGATGTTATAGAGCCAAGAAGGCTGATGGAAATGTTGATGCAACAGATTCTTATAAACTTATTAGTGTAGTCCAACCAGAGTTCATTTAAAAGAGTACAAGACATGGGGATAGAGTTAAATTGACAAAAGACTTTACTAATCATAAAGAAGCTGTAGATAAATTGAACAGTATTCCAAAATTATGGAAGGCTAAAGCTTACGATCACTTTGAAGGTAAGAGTTTGTTGGAATTGAATAAAATGGCTGGAAGGAGAAGACATTATCAAGGCAAAACTATAAAGAGAGCTTCATTTACTTAATTAAAATCTAATGATGTGTCAGATTTACCAAAAACATATACTTTAGAAAGATATTTAGATCCTCCCAGATAATAAAAGCAATGTGGATCATGCTATGCCATTTCAACTATGGAAATGCTATCAGCTAGATTGAAAATGAAAGGAGAGAAGATCACACTATCACCTCAATATTCAGTGGATTGCAATTACTATAATTAAGGATGTGATGGTGGATATCCATTCTTGGTTGAGAAATTCGCATCTGAATAATATTTAGTGACAGAAGAACAATATCCATACAAGGGAGATGTGGGAACATGCAAGAAGATAGATTTCTCTTCCTCTTCTAAAGTGTACGGAGCTAAGAATTATAAATATATCGGAGGTGGCTATGGAATGAGTAATGAAAGAGACATCATGTTGGAATTGTTTAACAATGGTCCTGTTATTATGAATTTTGAACCAGGATAAGACTTTATGTATTATTCAAGTGGCATCTATCATTCAGTTGCTTAACATGATTGGTCTAGTTCTGATCGTCCAGAATGGGTATAGTAATATCACATATCCTTAGGAAAAAGTCGATCATTCTGTTTTGTGTTATGGTTGGGGAGAAGAGAATGGAGTCAAGTTTTGGTTACTTTAGAATAGTTGGGGAGAATAATGGGGAGAACAGGGAAATTTCAGGTAATTATTAAATTGAATTATAAATAGAATGAAGAGAGGTACTGACGAGTCTGCTATTGAGAGCATGGCTGAGGCTGCAGATCCAGTGATATATTCTAAGTCATCAGGATAGTTTATTGAAATAAGCTAGACTAATTTAAGAAAGTAATGACAAAATATATATAATAAATTGAATCATTTGTTTTTTTATTTTTTAAGGATTGAAAAGAGAATGATTTCATCTCCTACGTTTTCGGCTTTATATTTTATATCCAATCTTGGATTTATTTTTGATTGATCAATAGTCATAGTGCAATTGGATAACGTGTCCTTTATTTATACTACTTCTTCGTTTGGATCAAAAACACAAACTGTAATAAAATTGTCAAACTGAATTCCATATCCAGTTCCTTATTTAATTTAGCGTCCTTTTGCATCAAATCGATCTTCTCTCATTACTTTATATTTGATTTTCTTCTTCTGAACTATTATTGTATCAAAATCTTCAGGTTCCTCAGGTATGTCTTCTGTGTCATCTACCTGGGCTCTACTAAGTATTAATTTTGGTCCCAAAGCAGAATTTCGCATATTTCTCAGTGAATAATTAATAGTTTATTATATTCATTTATCATCTTATCCTCCTTGTATGTGAAATTTGAAAAATTTTGATACTTCCCAAATTCATTAACAGGAGTATCCTGAATTGTGCTTTTCCTAACTAAATTTTGATCAAAAAATTGAAAAGGCTTATCATTATAAAAAGGGGGCTTGATTTCTCTCCTTTCCAATTTCACAAAATCTATATCTTTGAAAAACTCATGTTCTTATATCTCTGCTCCATCCCTAATCGCTCCCAATCTTTCCTGAGGATTCTTCTTAAGTAATTTTTAAACCAAATCTTGAGCTTCTTCAGAGAGATCATTTGGAATTTCAAATTGTTCCATCAAAATTGATTTCATCATCTCTTTCTTGCTGTCATTCTAAAATGGCAATCTGCCAGTTAGCATTACGTACAATAAAACACCGTAAGTCCACCAATCACACACTTTAGAATACATATCGCCAGAAATGACCTCTGGAGCTAAGTATTCTAAAGTACCACAAAAACTCTTTGCATAATTATCACCTTATGTACATAATTTACACAATCCAAAATCACATATCTTTATGTGACCTTCATTATCTAACAATATGTTCTCAGGTTTTAAATCTCTATAGATAATGTTTTCCTTATGCAAATAATCCAACCCAAGCAAAATTTCTGCAGCATAAAATCTCACCCTTTTCTCTGACATCTTACCATTCATTTTTAGATGATAAAACAATTCTCCTCCTGAGACATAATCTATTATAAAATATAATTTAGTCTGAGTTTGAAAAGCATAATGTAATTTGGTGATAAAACTACAATCAGATATCTCTAAAATCTTTCTTTCAGTTTTAATATATTTCTTCTATGTAAGACTTTGCACTTTGTTTTTACATACTACCTTCATTGCATACTGTTTCTAAGTTGGCTAATGTTACACTAGCATAACCTTGCCGTTTGTTCCTCTTCCTAAGTGCTAGGCATCATCACTATAAATACCCTCAGAATTGTGAATTCATTTAGTTATTGTCTCCCTTTATCATTATCCTCTTCAGGAAACAGTTACTATGAATCCTTTATCTCATTTTTCTCCATAGCATCTCCAGCCTCTTCGGTTTATTGTTTAGATTCTTTTATACAAACCTATCCCATATAAATTATGAATATATTTTATTAAAAAAATTTAATTTAACCTTTGAAATCATACTCTAAGGAAGGAAAAGAAGTTAAGGTTCATCAAATGAGGTTGTATTCTTTATTATGTTTTCTGAAAATTAGTAATCCAATTTTTCAGTAGCTACTATATATGACATTATTTTTAAATTAATTTCTAAAAATAAGTGAATTTAATTGTGTTTTTAAATAAATTAATAGATATTATATATTTATTTATGAAGTAAATAAATAATATTCTTAGCATACCTTTTGTAAAGCTTGGTGTGTAATGACGATAATTGTGTATATTTATTACATATATAGTTGGAAGTTAGCTAATTAAAGTATTGCTTAGTTATAAATGAAGTCGAAGTATCATATCCATATGAAATATGTATTTGAAAAAGTTCCTTATTCTAAGTCATTTAAGAAAAAAGGTTTCACTGCATTAGTGCTTTGATATTCTATAACCTTCTTCATAATACTTCCAGAAATGTATTCTTCAAAGTTCTATTGATTTAAAAAAAATTCATAACTATCTAAAGCCTACAGACCTTCTTTTGAATTGTATTCAGAAGTTAATCAGTTTTGGTTAATTTTTATGCTTATATTGGCTGATCTTCATCTGAATATAGAGTTTTTAACACTTTGATCTCTCTCTATTCCTTATAATATGAATGTTTTATTTATCTAGCAAAAATATCTTAATCAAATTGGATATTATTTATGTTTTCTTATAGACTTCTCTGAAATTACTTGATTATTATTCTACATCTTCTTATTTTGATTCAAATAATAAAACACTATATCTATCTATATTTAAGCAAATCCTACTATTATTCTTTATAGTTTATGAGTCAAGGTGTCATATTAAATGCAGATTTATTTTCTTATATACTTTTAAGTTTAATTGTATTTTTTATTCTAAATATTATAGAATTAAATAACTGTTGAAATTCTATCATATAAATATATAATTTTTTTTTTGAGTATTCCAGTAAATATTCAAGAACAGTTCCTAAGTCTAGCCATAAAAGACTTTTACTCAATTTTGCTTGTACTAATGGTTTTAAGGTGAATATGCTTAAAAACCAGTTTTAAACAAAAAAATAATTCCATAAAATTTACTAGTTATTTGAATTTTTTTCTTAATTCTATTATTTCAATATGTGGTATTTCAACATTAAAAAACCAACTATTGTCATCGACAATGGATCATATGAATTAAAGGCAGGATTTTAAGGACATTATGCTCCTTCATGCCGTATACCTACTGTTGTAGGAAGACCAAAACTTGAAAATTCGGACGAAGATTTTGAAGATCAATATTTTGGAGAAGAGGCTATGGCTAAAGCAAATGCCTTGTCACTTAAATACCCAATTCAACGAGGTATTATAAATGATTGGGATGGTATAATATATATAAATATGATATTGATATGGAATCAATTTGGAATCATGTGTTATATCATAAGTTGAAATAAGAAGAATCTGAGCACCCAATTCTTTTGACTGAAGTTCCAATTAATCCAAATGCGAACAGAGAAAAGACAATGTAGATCCTATTTGAAACATTCCAAGCACCGTTAATCTCACTTGTTAATAAAGCTGTGCTACCACTTTATGCTGTAGGAAAGTTAACTGGTGTTGTTGTAGATTCTGGATAGGATGACACAAACATAGTTCCAGTCTATGAAGGTTATTACCTTTAACATGCTGTTCTCAGAAGAGATTATGCAGGAAATGCTTGCACTTAAGAGTTTCTTTAAATCTTGAATAAATCAGGATATTATTTTTATAAACACTATTATCGATCTCTTATCATTGAGATGAAAGAGAAATTATGTTATGTTGCTTAAGACTATGATAAGGAAATAAAGAAATACAAGGAAAGTGGTGCCGAAGACACCAAATATGAATTACCAGATGGAGATTTTATAACCATTAAAAATGAAAAATTCAGGTGTTCTGAATTACTCTTCAAGCCTTATTAAGAAGTGGAAGTTGGAATTCATGAGTTAGTATATAATTCATTAAAAAAGTGCGATCCTTCACTCTAATTATACCTGTAAGATTATAATTTATTTTTTTAGCTATTTAAACATTATACTCTCAGGAGGTAATACTCTGTTAAAAGGATTCAGACAAAGATTGTAGAAAGAATTAAAATCTATGCCTCCTGAATCAATAAAACCTAAGAGCCTACTTCGCTACTTTGATATTGAAGACACATCTGAACATAATTTCATATCATGGAAAGGAGGAGAAATCTTAGCATCATTAGATTCATTCCTATTTACATGCTTCGAAAGAAAAGAATACGATGAGTAAGGCCCATCCATTGTTCACAGATGGATGTATAAATGAGATTGATTTAATAATAATAATTATAAATTTCCTGGCATTTTTAATTTTACAATTTCAATCTTTCATTAATAAAAACCTTTATAGAAATTTAGAGAAATTATTTAAGAGATCATAAATTAGCTTGATTTATAAAGAAACAAAGCATTAATATACTTTATTAAGCATTCAATAAATAATAATGCCTAGTTCACCAATAACTCTAAAGTTATATTTTTGTATAACTTACAAGTTAAACTTGGAAATTTAAAAGACAGTTTCAGATTTGAAGAGATGTATTATTTAAGCAGATATAAAATTAAAACTATTTATCCTGTTACGCATATACCCATCAGTTAAATCAATTCGTAGTATTACTTTGATTGTAAATAACATCAACTGGTGCTCCTTCTCGTAAATTAGATTTTCTGTACAATTCATCTAGATTTAATGGTCCTGACTTAAGCTCTTATTATGCAATTGGGGTTTCTTCTATTTATCTTTTGATGGAATATTCTTTAGTAAGGGATTGTCTTTTTCCCTTTTCTCCCAAACATTCTTGAGATTTCTAATTTGAATAACAACATGCAAATCCCCAACCCAAGACTTCATTCCAGTAACTGCCCCAAATTTAAGTATGCTAGCCAATATATTTATCCTCTTCATATTTAGATTTCGGTGTTTATTTTGTGACTTAAACCACGATTTCTTATTCTTTTTTTTACAATTTCAATTCTTTTTTATCTTTTGAATTCATTTTATCGGATTAGGTAGATAATTTAACAGTAGCCGGTACTTTTTTAGTTCTCTCATAACAAAACTTGGCTATGTGATCTTTACCTCCACAATTACTACACTTTTATGAATTGGCCATTTATAATAATAATAATTTATTTAATTAATATTATTCATCCTTTCCCAAGTACATCATCTCTTAAGGATTCACAAACTTCTACTACTTCAGCCACAATATCTTCTGGAAGTGCTAAATTTACAAGAGTGTCGCTTAAGTGTTTCACAACAAGATTAAAATGAGTATCATCTATTCCTAATCCTCTATGTGCTTCTAACATATCCCTTCCTGTGTAATTCGAAGGTCTAACTTATATAATAGTCGTACCCTCCAAAAAGCATAGTTAGAAAAGCCTACATCTAAGAATTGAGCTTCTTCATATCTGTTTTTACAAAGAAGCTCTTTAATTTTGGGTCATTCTACAACTTTTATAACAGTTTATCAACTGTAAAATCAATAGCCATACTTTATCCCAATCTTTCATAGATAGTTTTTTTCTAATTAATCATATAATAAATTAGATACTTAAATAACAACCCTGGGATTGAATACTGTTTCAATAGGAGCCTAATTTTTTTAACTTGTATTATTAGGGATTGATAATTTAATTTCACTATCCCCCCAAGAGATTCTTTTTGATTTATTCTTATTGTTTGTTAAATTATTCATTTCCCATTAGATTTCTTGCAATTTATTCAGTTTAATCTATGTCATTATCTGGATTCTAAACTCTTTAAAATTTATTTTCCATAATCTTAGATTCTACAACCTATTTATCTTACACTTTTTCATCTAAACTAATAAATATTGAATTATACTAATTTAAATAGTAATGGGAGGTTGATTTTCATCAGCATCATATTAATTAGCATTAACTTGGATGGTGATTTTACCATTATTAAACGTATTAGTTTTTTATCCATTAATAGCCAAACACCAGTCATATTGATAATCCCAATCATATCCATGTTTCTAAAAGAGTTCTTTGAACATCTTTCTGAGAAAACTGTAATCTGGTTTATCTTCAAATCTTAATGATCGACAATAATTTAGATAGGTTGAAAATTCAACTAAGAATATGATATTTGAATTTACTTGGCAAGGTCTTACATAAGACTTCAACTGGGGTAGTCATTTTCTTTTCCATAATCTTATGATATTTTTCTTATTTATTATTTGCCTTGATTCCTTACCAAGGTAAGTAACTCCTTAGTAAGTAGACCATCACGTAACCAATAGCCTCTAAATCGTCTCTCCTAGATTACTCTATACCAAGATGTGCATTAATGCTGGCATATCTTGCTGTTCCTGTAAGATTTTTATTTTCTCTGTATGGGATATGTTAATGAGTTTTAGCATCCCTATATTTCTTACTCAAACCAAAATCGAGAATGTACTAAACTTACTAATATGAATATGTACCACAGTATTGGACTTCCTGCCCAATCCTATAAGAAAGTTGTCTGGTTTAATATCTCTATGTATGAAGCTCTTGGAATGCATATACTCAACCCTTTGAATCATTTGATCTGCTAACATTATGACTGTCTTTAATGAAAATTTCCTTTGACACAAGTTAAATAAGTCTTCCAAATTTGGACCCAGTAAATCAATAATCATTACGTTCAATCCTGCCTCTTATCCAAAATAGTGCAATGTTGGAATGCCAACTAATTTTATTTATTACAAAAACTACTTCCTCCTGCTAATGCTTTGGTCACCTTTGCTTCAAATACTAATTGAGGATGCTTTGATTTGGCTTCTTCCTAAATATTTTCAAAATCAAATAATTACAAATTTAGCAGCCAATATTTCATTTGATTAACTTATGACCAAATAGATCTCACCAAAAGAACCACTACCCAGCCTTTATTAGGTGGTGTACTTTCCAGAATTTAATGGGATATTTTTAATCTCAGTCTGCATTCAATTTTTAAAATATATATTAAATTTTTCAGCTTTCATTTATTCATTAATTAGATTATCATTATATATCACATCATCGCATGAAAAATCAACAACACCCTTAACCCACTTAAATATCACCAAAAACTGCTTTTCAACCAACAATCCATCAGAAAAAATAACAATTTAATCAATTTTTTACAGAATTGTTGCAAAAGAACTAAAGTTTAGTTTAAATATTCGAGCAATAAAGTTAAAGAACTTATGAGTATCCACAAGTCAATGTTGAAAAGCTTAGATCCAATTCCTCATTTAGATAGTTCACTACTCGTGATTCTAATTCGAATTCCAATAATTCAAAAAATGTCAATCCCATTGATGTAATTAAGTTAAAAGACATACTAAATGCAAACGGAAAACCAAAAAAGGAAATCAAAATCGACCCTCAATTATCTTAAAAGGCATCACCAAAATATAATGCTACCCATCTAACTGACTTGTTGTCTGTTAATAACTAATAGTTATAGTAAAAACTTACAGTAAAGCCATCCCCTAAAATCTAATTATATAATCAATGCCAAGTACAAGAAAAAAATCTTCAACTAACAAACAAACTTATCAAAGAATTATAGAAAGAAAATAAGAATTTAGATATCGAGACCCCAAGATTTTATGGTATGACTTGATAGGGACCATTCAAATGATAAATATTTTACTTGTTTATAAATTATATATCAGTCAATATTATTGATAACTAAAAATAGGGCCAATTTAAAATTGTTGTTTCTCATTTTATGAATATTTTTTATTTTCTACAATTTAATCATTTATCTCAATAATTATATAAACATTAATACTATCAAGGTTTTTGTTCAATATCATAAATTTTTGATATACTACTCTATTTATAAGAAAGACAGAATATTTTCAAAACATAATCAATTTTATTTTATCTTCAACATTTCTTTCTTTAGGCTGATAAATCAAAACTATTTAATTATTTCATTGTTATGCTGAGACATGTAGAATATTTTACTTATCCTCTACATTCTTATAAATGTTTCTTCCGGTTCTTAATAATAAATATACAACTTTTAATTTAATCTAAATTTTAAAGTTATTATCCACAAATTCAACCTTCAACTGAATAATTTTTAATGAAAATTATAATATATTAGATGGATAAATTAGTGTTTAAATCTTCTTAAAAAATTCCCATAAATATTGAATTACTTTAAAATTCATTTTTGATTCATTATTAAATAATTTAGTACTGTTAATATATATATTTTATTATAGTCTTTCCATTAATCAATCAAATCAACCAAATACTTAGATAGTCTTCCTTACATTGTCTTCCACATTATGAAATTTATTATTCTCTAAATTATTTAATAAAGAAATATTAAGGAAACTATAGTTACTTTATTGATGTTCTCTCCACACAAACTTCTGAAGCAGACTATTCATTTAGAGTAATTATCATATTGATTGCTTTGAAACAAATAAAATATTGTTGACTTCTTCAAAAAAAAATATATTCTATTGCTATTATTTTTCTTTTTGTCAGCAGATTAGTCATTAAATTTCAAGAAATGTTGATGAGCTTGGTTGAAGAAGATGTATATTTCATTAAGATCCTTTTTTTTTCTAATATTCTTTCATAATCTGATATAAAAGTACACATATACTTTCCTATTCATTTAGAGTTTTTACAAATTAATACATTGTATTTTAGGGTCAACCATTTGTAAATTCAATTAAAAATAAAATAGTTAAAAAAATAAATCAATTTCATTTTCTTTGCATTATGTAATGGATTCCCATATATTGATCTTAGCAATACAAGATAATTTGGGAAGATTTCTAATTGTTTTAGAAGCAAATCATAGAATATTCTCCAGTAATTTCTTGTATTTAAACAAATTAATTATTTGAACCTTTTTAATGGATTCTCACTTATTTATCTAAAAGAACAATTAATAATTTGTTCTCTTCATAATACTTAATTTATAGCAAAGATTTTTTTATTAAATTACTTGTACAAACTTACTCAAAAATATGTCTGTTTTTCTGTTCATAGATATATATATTTCCGACATTTGATCCGATATAAATTTACTTGTTCGCCGTAGTTATACAAGTTGCTTACTAATTTTCTAAAGATATCTATTATAATTAAGAAAAAAAGTCTTTGGAATTACTTAAAATATGTAACTTGCCATCTCCAATAACATACAATTAATCGCATTCTTTATTTATTTATATATCAATTATTTTATGAATTGAATCTATTTCTTTACGTGATGGCATTATTCCGTCTTAATACTGAAAGCATTTAATACTATCATATCCCCCTACTGAAATTATCTATGTGTGAATTTAATTTACAATCAAAAAATTGATCCTACCATAGTGTGCGTTGCAGTGATCCTTTTTATTCCAAATGTTTTTGGTATATTAATAAGTCGATATGTTCCCATTTTCATATCCGACAAATAGTAAGCTATTTGATTCATTGAATGCTAATGCAGTAGCTTATTCTTAAGAATTTTCATCTATTTCTTGTTAAACTTATTGACTTTTAATCTCAAAATTTTACTCTATTGATTTGATTTCCAAATTCGAACAGTTGTATGGATATTATCCTTAAATTAGAGTATTCCCATTTTAATTGAAAATTGCAGCAGATACTAAACTGGTTTTAAATTCATTTTTTTTTACATACGATAAACTATTGTTTCCAATTATTATTGATTTTTACACTGATGTCTATTATAAAGGTGGTTAAACTACAGAAGGGTTAGAGGAGAAACCAGTCCCTTTTATCAATTTAATTATCATTTCGAAAAGTAAAACCATTTGATTTTTCCAATTTTATTCGAAATCGCGTGCCAATTTAGTGGCTTTAACAAGAGGACTTTCCTCTGGTTCACCATTATAAATAAAATTTGATATAATCTCTAAATCATCTTATGTAAACTCATTATAGTTTTTTCGATAGTTAAGATATTTCTCTAATTAGGTTAACTCAAATTCACTTTAATCAATTGTTCCTTCAATAGAAGTTAAAGCTTTGTCGATTATATTATTAATCTCTGACTTAAGAACTTATATTCTGTTTCTAAATTTGGAATAAGTTTGATGAATGGGTAAAAAGATCACTTACAAGGTATCCAAAATCTGATAAATTTAAAATAACGATGTTCCTTCGCCTGCACATTTATAACATAAACCTCTTTTTGAAGAATTTATTTTTTTCTATTTTATTATTCTATTAATTGGCAACTAATGCTCTGAGCATAGAATATGATTAAAATGATCTTGATCCATTATTTTTTCGATACAAATATATAAATAATAAATTATTAATTCATTAGTTCACTTATCCAAATATTATATGTATTAATTCAATAATAAAATTATTTTCCTTAATAATAGAATTGATTCTCAAGGAAATATACTTCTTAGGTGATTTATCTTATTACAATCTGATTATTTTTTTAAAGATCTCTTCTCAACATTCACTTCCATTTGTCCTCAATTACAAAATTTTGTTATTAAAGTCTGTTTTATTAGATATTATTATGTTTCTAAGTTGATAAATAAAATTTATCTAAATTTTGTATTAGTATGGAGTATAATTGATAAATAATTTTCTATTCTTATTGTAGAATAGATGCAATTTTAATTTTAACTCTTTAATAAAACTCTCACTATAAATTGGAATAGAAAGTCATGAATTATAGTAAATTCTTAAAATTTATGTTAGTTTTTATCAATGATTTAAACTAAACTAAGAATTTAAACTCTGGAATAAATTTATTTATTCATAACTTTTTCAAAATTAGCGACAGAATCTTATTTAAATAGAGAAATAATATTAATTAGATACCATAAATTGTGATATTCATCAATTATTCTTCTTCTCTAGGATATTTTAATAAAATTATAAGAATAATATAGACAGCAAATTGATAATCTTGAAAAATGGATCCAATTAATGTATTTTACATCAAAAAATAAATAAAAGATCTTATCGAATCAACTAAATTATATTATTATTTCATAGTTTTAGATAGCTACAATTGAGATCAAATAGAAAAGTTGTGTCTTAAATTGTACCATGTATCATTAAATTTAATATTTTTCTTTAAAAGGAAGATACTAAAGTTTCTTATCTGATTAGAAAGTCTATTAAATCCACTTATAAAAGAAGGCTAAGAAATTTATTAGGATTAGAACAAACTTTGGGATTCCATTCGAAAACTGCCAATCGAGAAGGGCTAATTAATGAAATTTATTGTTTTTCTTCCAAATTAAAATTAACAAGATTATAAATTTTAAGATCTAAGGACAAAATAGATGTTTTTGTCACAATCAATTTCTGAATAATTTACTAAATCAAAGTCAAATGTAACAAAACTTTAATATAAGAATAATTTATAATGATTTATTTTGTAAAATTGTATTGGTCTTATAAATATTTTCAAAATAACTTAAATGTATCATAATAATCTTTGAAAAACTTTACTGAAATATCTTTTTTCTATTATTTTGATAATTTATTATAACTTGAACTTGAACTCATCAAATTATACAACAATCGTAATGGGATCAAAGTCTAAAAGTGATAATTGAAGTGTACTTACTTTCGATTTTTAGATATATTAATCAATCTCCTCATATTATTAGGAATTGAAGACTTTCAAGTATTCTAATTACATAATAGTGATCTTTGGATTAAGCACGACTTCCTTACTATTCTTCTAACTCGATTCTATTGATTAACAACATGTAGTATATTCGAAAACCATTTGATCTCTACCTATTGAATTTAACTATTATTAATTCAAGCATATTACTTTTTTAATTTTTCCGTAGGTTTCCAATAATATATTCAAACAGTGTTCTGCTAAAAACGAAAAAATATCCTTTTGAGCATTTGGTGGTATTACACCTCCTCCTATGCTTTTCAATCTTTCTTTTTAATCAATAATAAATTATATCAATCTATCCAAATAAATACTATTATTTTCATTGTGTAGATCTTTGAGATCCCACCTTTATTATGGCACATATTATACAATTCCATCGATCTTTATATAGGTTTACACAAAATTTCTATAAATGAATTCTTTATATTGATTATAGACTTCTTTAAAAATATCAAAGTTTTATGATGTTATTCCAATCAGAGAGAATACAGTTTTAGTTTAAGAAAGTAGATATGCTAAGGATTCCGAAGCTATTGCTCTTTCTGCAATATCAACAAATTATCTTTTCTCTTTGGATTAAAATATATCTAGCTCTTTAGAATCAATTCCTTCTTTGCTAAACCTCTATACAAATCTTTTGAAATAACAAAATCGCTCTTATAGAACTAAACAATCACTAAATGAATCATAAGTTTAAACAAAGAATTCAGTTTCTTTGCTTTCATCAAACTTTATTATTTGTGCAAAATTTTCTAACAATTATTTTTACTAATGTATCCCCACCAATTAATTATACGAAACAAACATATAGAGTTCAAGCAATTGAAGGAAGTTACTTACGATTTGTTATTGGCATGAAGGGTGATAGAAGGAGAGCAATGCATATTATGGTAACAATTCCAAGATTCTTATGCTGGATGATGATAAAACTGATTCAATTTAATTCAAAACTCCTGTGGATTAAGTGGTATACTTCTTAATCCAAATTGCTTTGATAATTAGATCGAACTCTTCCTATTACAGTACAAAAGGATTTTGATATTCAAATAAATAAAACAATTGCATCTCCTTATCATTATTTATTAAATCTTAAAAATCAACTGTTTTCTTTGCTTCTTGTTGGTAGTTTTCTTCTCTTTTTTCAATCAAATATTCAAACAGCTTTTTATTAACTTAATTCAAAATTTTTAGCTATTCTAATTATGCATTTAATTTTGAATCTTTTGTTAAAGGCAATCTTTGGTACAATTCATTCTGTAAGTACGTACTTATAGATTTTAGATTTGCTTTATGAAACTATTAAACAAAGCTCGTATAGATATCGATTATGCATTTAGTCAAACTAAATATATTTATATGCATACTTTTGGGAATCAGAATGACTAAAGTCTTCGGCTCTTTTAATTAATAAGCAATTATAGCCTAAGAAGTAGATTAATTGTTCAATAACAAGCGATTTAATATTGATTAAATGAGCAGTGATGATTTTCGCAAGTTTCTTTTAAATTTATTGCCAAATTAGCTATCTCATTTCTAAATATGATTGTCTAATCTATTCAGTATACTCTTCGAATTTACTATTGCTTTACTCTTCTTCTATTGTAAAATCGTTTTCTTAATGGAATCTATTGCAATAGTGGAAATTTAGCATTTATTCTACTAATTCACTATATAACAATTTGTAGAATTAGAGTAAGTCTTCATCTTAACAATTTTGATAGATCTTGTTAGGAATATAGGATTATTCAAATAACTTTATGGCATTTTTGAAGGTTAAGCTAATACTCTTTTTTGCCAAACCCCAAATTTAAGTTAAGTAGGATTGCATTTGATAATGTTTTTCAATGAAATAATAACTTTTCAAAAGAGAACAATATTTCTTTTCATCAAACTTCATAAAATTAGCTAGAATGCCTTATTTAATTCTTTCTTTTAAGGATTCTATTTTATTTTCAAAAAAATTATCGCTAATGCAGGATAATTTCAATTCATTCAATTTATATTTATTAATATTAACTTGTGTCTCTTTCATAATTGGTATGATTTCATATGCATTATCATCGTATTTATTCATTGCTTAAGCCAATTAACCAAAGGTCTATTTTAGTATCATCAGTTTTTCTAATGTATACTTAATTCTTTAGATGGATTTGTATTTTTCGACAATTTACAATTATTGTTTTAATGATGAAGTTCTACTTTATTACAATAACTATCTAGTTTAGGTTACTGTCTAATGTAGAGTTGTACTTTTATCACACCATACATTAATTTAATCTATGCCTTGAATAAACTGAGGAGCTTTTAGAATACATTATTACGCATATTGGGATTCAATAATTTACTCTGTTTAGTTTAGATTGGCAAGGTAGTTTGAAGTTTCCTTTAATCCATCACCATTTTAACGAATAGTAGCTTTGTATAATCGGTAGATGTGCTAAAGTTATTATTTGATTAAATCAGTTTATGATATGTCAACGTTAAACTAATTGATGTCTATAGGATACTAGTCTATTGATAAAAGTTAATTCTTTGATTTTATGGATTACTAAAATGATGATATAGATTAATATATTTACTAAGCTGGATTGCAGTTAGTTCAACAAAAGATTGCCAAATTCGGTTTAAGAATTGATGAGGAAATCTGAATTGGTTGTCTGTAGTTTTTAATTGGATAATGATGAATTAATAATTGCTCTATTTCGCATATGTCATTTTACCTAAATATTCTATCTTCATCCTTTTGGGATTCCAGAATTCTCTGCACAGATTCAACTGTCAATGTATTTGAAGAATCACCAACAAGTTTGCGTAATATATAATTTTTTACATTCATAATTAATTATTTATTTATTCTCAATATGGATCAAAGAAATAAAAGAGTATTCAAACTGACACTTTTTAAGAAACTAAGAAATATTTAATGTAGAAGTAGATGATAAAAATACATTCAGCTAAATTTCAATTATTTTAAAAGAGAATTTAATTATTTTTTTTGTGATTTCTAATTTTGTAGTTTTAAATTGTTAATATAAAATAATAAAGTTTTTGGGTTTTTGAAATATAAATAAAACAAAGAGAACTTTTAGAAAAAATAATAGTTTGATTAAATAAAATAATAAAATTGAGATTATTTTGTAAAATTTGAAATATCTAGAGGTTTATTGAATTATAATTATAAATTGCTTCCCTTTACCTACAAATTATTAGTTGATTGTGAATCAATCAATTTAGTTTATTCTTATAAGAGTTATGATATGTAGTTTTACTGTTAAATTAGAAGTTAATATAATTTTGGATGATTTTATTAGATCAATATTATCCGTAGGGGACTTATCTATTTTAAGAAACATCGTTTAGACCACTCTATTGAGGATTTTACAATGAACCAGCTAGAATTTATAAAAGGATTACCAACTTAAGATTGATTTCCTCTGTAAGAATTAATTGCTACAATAACACCCACCTAGAGATAGATTTGATTGAAATACTTTCAATAAGACATTTACAATGCTGATGAAAATAACGAAGACGTGAAGACCGTGCAAGTGTCCCCAGACAGGATTGTTTTTCTCAGTTGCCGTCCAAATGGATCCAACTGATAGGAGCCAAATTAAGTCCACCAGAATGAGGATTCCGTTCAAAACCATTAACTAGATTATGCAGATAAGGATTGATTTACCATTAAAGAATTGGCCTTGTCATCTCTTGATATCCATAAATAATAGCAGAAAAAGGCAAATGGGAAATTAAAATCTGTTCTTATTAAACAGGCCATCACTGATAACCACTTTATCATATAAGGTTATTATTCTTACAGCAATGGACAGAAAAATCAGTTCAATTATTTTACTCAGCTTTTTTGATTCCATCTTTTTTATTTTAGTAATGTATTTAATTATTATTCAATTAAATGAGATCTGTATTAAATGATTAATTAAAATAATGGGATAGTTGTAATGCACTCAAGTAGAAAAACAGCCTAGTATTATAAATAGACTAGAATTGGATTGTGAAAAACAAGTAAATAATAAGCAAGATGACAGAGCGAATTCTTTTTCTTATGTTCATGCTATTGGGCTCTATTTAAATGTTGGAAATAATCCTAAACTGGATGAAATATGGGAAAATAAACTTAATTCATTTAAAGTGTATGATGAACCTCCTAGAACCTAATCCAGTTACAGAAATTCTCTTACCAAACCTAGGAATATCGAATAGTTTTTTGCGGAATGTCCATTAATAACCTAGGATTTTGAATATTATATGTTCGTATTTTTCATCTAGGAGAAATAAGAATTTAAGTGCTATGGATTGATTGGTCTTCCACAAAAGTACAGATGGGCATATTGGAAGGTTATCACATTATAAAAGGATATCATGCACAAAAAGATGGATAATCAAATAACTAATGCATTATATCATATATAGAAAGACATAAATAGAACATTAATTAGCGAATTGTTCAAAGAAGGTTCTGTAATAGAGAAATTGGATTATGTTCTCACCAATTTAGCTCGTTTATGTCCTCAAGTAGGATATTGTTAGGGCATGAACTACATAGCAGGTATTTGATTCATTACTATATAAAATAGCTTTGTTTTTGATGGTCTCAGGTGCCAAAGAATAAGAAACTGTTTGCGTTTTTGGTTAACTACTTGATTCTTCTTTCTACATGTTCAATCTACTATTTAAGGAGGATCTCCCATTGCTCTTCATTATAGAAGAAATCATTATGAAATTGATGTAAAAGTAAATGCCGAAGGTGTATAACCATTTTACAACTTGTAATATTTCCCCTTCGATTTGGATCAGTAAGATTTTGTTGAGTGGATTTGTATACCTGTTTGATTTATTGGACTGTGTTTTGTTGTGGGATTACATTTTTATCAAGGGCACTGTTCTAGGATACACAGATCTGATATTGGCAATGGTTACTATCTTTTAAGATCAGTTATTGACTAAAGATGAGGCAGAACTTTCAATATTTTTTAATTTTCAGGATTAAAAAGTAAAATGTGCAGAGAAGATCATTAAACAAGCCTTAAAAAAACCAATTTAAGAGAAGGAAATCAGAGAGATCATGAAAAAAACAAATAAAAAATTAGAATTAGTTGAATTATTTAAGTTGTTTGGCAAAGATGAATTTGAGCAACAGTATAAGAAATACTCCAAAGTGATTAAAAAGTGAATTAAGTTTATATATATATAGTTTTGTTAATTGTCTTAGAATAAAATAATAATTAAATTTATGTAATATAAATAATATAAAGAATGTAGATTATGTTAGAGTTCTTTATCGTAATTCTAAATTGATTATTTAAAAAAGAAGTATGGAATTTAAGAATAAATAGGTATTATAATGCCTTTCATTTCTATTTCGCCAAACCGATATCAGAAATATTGGCCAATTTGCAAATTGATCATGTTATTTTATTTAAGGATTTGTTGTACTTCAATGATGATAACGACTATTTAACAAAATGTTACGATAAATTGGACTAGAAATAAATAATGAGCAAACTTTAATTCAAGGTACTATAGCGTATAATCAATCAATTGTGTCTCAGATTCCAATACCCAATTTGTTAATCGTGACAGCACATCAAATTCTATAGAAGCGAAACAATAAACTGCAAAAATTACAAAAATAACCTGTTCACAATGTGGCAGCCACCAATAAATATCAAATTTTATTCAATACCACTTAAAATATTGAGTATTTCTGTTATTTTTAATAGTTTATCATCTGAAATTGAAGAATATGAAAATAGATTAATAAGTTGGGAAACTTCAGAGCATAATATTTACTCTACTTCTAACGTGTCTAATAATTAGATTAAACCAATTACACAAAGACTATAGAGTATTCTTAATAAATCCAATTCCGTTCATTAGTTACATTATTAATAAAATGATAAGGATATTTCTATGGTATTCAGAGATATTAACAAATTCACTAATCGATAACTAATGAAAATATCACCTAAACAGATGGTTAATAAAAAGAGTGTTAAAAATAATGGAAAATCCAAAAATTAATCTAAAAATACAAATGTGATCGTTCCTAAACTAAGAATTCCCAAAATCATTGATAACAAAGTCAATTTTCAATAACTGTTGAACCAATATGATTAGATTATGTAATAGAGATATTGTTAAACTGAAAGACAATCGAAAAGTGACAAATAATAAACAAATAAAGGGCAATTATATGTATGTTATTTTTATTTAACCCTTTTATAGAACAAATAGTAATAATCAATTTATTCTGTACCAAGTTCTTCTAATTTTCCAGGAAAAGGATTAAGTACATGTTCTGCTTCACTCTTATTGAAGTCACTGTCAAAAATGTCTATGGACAAGTCCCCAATGACATCAAGAAGATTAGAAATAAAGTAGAATCTTACAAATTTGATAAAATAACAGGAAAGAGATATGGGATTTTATACCTAAAGATGACAATAATTTATTTAACTTAGTTTCTTTATATAAATTTGTTGTGATGATGATATTATTGTAAAAATCATAATGGATTTGAAATTTGACCGTACTCTTTCATTATAATTAAATCTCTAGTATTTATCCAATCTTTTCTTATTTATATAGCATTTGACATCATATTAATTTTCTAAATTTATAACACTCCGATCTTTCATCATTTCCTGTTTTAAAAGTATTTACTTATCTTAAACTATCCATTTGTCTTTTTTTCAGTCATGCCCTCTTTCTCTTTCTTGTTAAATCCATCCTATCATCACTATATTCCTCAATATATATTCTTTAAATGACTTGAATACTACTGCAGTCCAACGTGAATATCATGAAATGTAATAATATCTCTATTGAATCCCTTAAAATTTGGTTAAATTTGTACTATTTTAATATTTGATGATTATTTATTAATTATCAAGATAGTAATTACCACATAATATATTATTTATATAAATATTGAGATGTTTAGTATGTTTAGTAGAAATATGGCATATATCTATGACATTAATCTATTCAAAAATATCGTTAATATTCGTTTTTCAAAATAAAATATTCATAATCTCATTTGCAAAGTTTTAAAATATTCCACTAACTTCATCAGCTAGTTCTTCAACATAAGATACGTAATCGTTGGAAAGTTGGAATGTTGGATAATAGAAGGATTTGCCACAAGTGACAAATGCACTAATAGGTTTACTGCAATCACAAGTTCTAGCTTTCATGGCTTAAGTAAAGCATGTTCTGACTTCAGCTATGTAAAATTTACCAGTTGATGCTTGATTCTAGTAATAAATAATTACAATCTTTTTGACAAGTATAAGTCATAGCTGTTGAAATGCCTAAGGTTTTAGTGAAGGGAGCTCTGAATTCAGCATCAGTCAATTCTCTGCTATTGTCAGGGTAGATTCCAGCGGATGCCAATATTTTGTAGTAATTATATTGATTATTTAAATTGCCTACTTTTGACATATATCCATTCTAGGTTAAATTATCTGGATGACATGTACCATGCTTTTCCCATTCATGTCTAGAATTATTGAAATGAATACTTTCTGAATGTGAGGGTATCAGAATACATTCCGTTCCAAGTAACATCTATCAATGTCTTGGTTGCTACTGTTAATTTAGATTCGTCATATGTTTCATCTCTGCAATTAGAGATAAATCCGCATGATGTGGCTAGCATGGTGTTGGGCCACAGACCGTGTGTGTTCCATCTTGCATTGTCGTAGTTACCCATGTAGGTTTTGGTACACTTTTAAAATTTGCATATTGATCCAGGCCATTCTTATGCAAATACATACATGTATCCCTTAATATCTTCAGTCTCCTGTGAGTGAACCATGAGGAGATGACTTAAAAATATGAGCACAAGCAACTTCATATAATTGTTAATTTTGATAATAAATTGTAAGACAATTACTGAGGTTATAAATGTGAATATGACATCATATGAGATCTTATTATTTTAAAGTGTTTGGCTAATATTTTATATATATATATTAGAACTCATATAATTGAAATGCATTAATAATTATTTATGTATTATTAATCATGCTGTTGCTTTTTTAATGAAGGTACGTTGTGCAGCTCTCCTTATTTTTCCTGCATATCTTCCTGCAACAGTATCTGCATCCTTTACATCGGCCTTATCAAATTGATCGACTTTTGCTTCTTTTCTATCAACAACATCTAACAAGTTGATTTCGCAAGTGTTATCTCTATAATTTATGAATAATTATCTTACGGGTTGACAAACACATATCCTCCCAAATGCAAGAAATCTCCTGTTACTCCTTTGACATCCTAAGTGAATTTAATTTTCAATGGTCCAGGGGGTAAAATATATACTGCAGCTGGAGTACGATTTTGTATGATAAGAGCAGCCTAAATGTGAGAGAGAGAGTACTTCATTGGTCTTTGCTACAATTCTAGAGAAACCATCAAACTTGTCAATGATAGTTTTATATGGAGTTCTGACTGTCAATTCCATTTTAGCCTTTTTGGCTGCACTAAAGAAGAAGGAGTTTTTAAATGCCAATCCGATCACACCATTGGTAATACGATTCATAATTAATTTAATTGGATTTTATATATATGTTCAATAATATTAGAAAGCATAAGGAAAATATTAGGAATGAATTAAGGACTCATTTGTTTGGCAAGCAAGGACTAAGAATCAGAAGATCAGTGGACATTGAGAATGTAATTGTCTAATAGGAATAAGTGCAATCGGCTGTAAGATTTAAGGATGCCTATGTATTACAGGAATAGATAGGTATTACTTATAAAATAAGTATAGGCGAAGGGGCACATTCGGTTGTTAGAAAATGCTACAAAATACCTAAACAGCGAAGTACAAAATCATTGATGCCTAAATCCATTCAAGTTTTTGCTGTTAAATGTTTCAGAACTGATGATCCAGAGATTGTCAATACTATAATACAGACATTCAATCTACAAAGATAATTACATGACATCCCTTATGTATGCAGAACATATGATTTATTCATTGATCAATAAACAAAGCATCATTATCAAGTGATAGAATATTGTGATACTCCTAATTTGGAATAAGTGTACCGTAGCCTCACTCTCAGATAGAAACAAGACACTATTAAATAGTTGGCTTAGATTATCGCCTAAATTCATGCCAGAGGAATCTCACACAGAGATTTAAAGCCAGAAAACATTTTGATTTAAACTGAACCAAACCTCCAAATCAAATTAATCGATTTTGGAGTGTCCAAACGATTCAAATACAGAGACGCCTTTACTGAAATGTGGACTGCTACTGGCACTATCCTTTATTAGGCTCCAGAAGTCTTTCTGGGAGGAGGCTATGACGAAAAAGGTAACTTATATCTTAATAATCCAGTCGACATCTGGTCCATAGGGATCATACTCTATCAGTTGTTATGTTCAACTCTGCCCTTTTATGCTGAGACCATCAGTGAAACTATAGAGTAAATTACTTCCCCAGACCCCTAATTTCAATATTCCAAAGAATTTTTAAAGTTGAATCCCATCCAAAGAGACCTAATTAAGAGACTGCTGAAACTACATCCTCATTAGAGATTATCTGCAGAAGGTATTAATGCTATTTATTAGAAATACCATTACATCCATGGTTTGAATAGGAGAATTATGTCGATGTAAGTTCTGATGACATGATTCTAGCCTAGGATATGATGATAGGAGAAAGAACTATGTCCAACTAAATTGGGACTGAAATCACAGAACAGCAATTCCAAAATCTGATGGACAGTCTTGAATGGGGTAGAAGAATTCATTTTATCTAATGAAAATCTGTATATAATGTGTTTTTATTATTTATTATATATATAATATCATATGGGCAATCAGGAAGGAATGTGTTGTCTATCCAGAGACAAGGAATATCATGTGCTGAACAATGAATTAGTTATATTTCGAGAATATTTGAATGTCAAAATAACTGTAAAATTAGGCGATATCTCGAAAGAATCGGGAGAGAGTGTAAGTAATTAATTTAGATCTTATTTGAGTTTGCTTATATACGAATCCCGAGAAAATACCTTTGCAAGCATCTTATACACAACAAGTTTATGACAATTTATGTAAAAGTACTATGATCACAGTACCTTTATAGTTGGTTACGAGAATGTGTACACTTAAAACCTGGAAATGAGCAACTACAAATGCATAGCGTATTATCGAGTGAGAGCATTCGAGGTATTAAATATTGGTATTTGAATAGTCAGAAAAAGATTTGTTTTAATATTATAATGGATTCAAAGAGTGGTATTGCAATATTCATAATAATAGTTTGACACAATTAAATGATGATCAGTACAAGGACATCTTAATTTGCGATTGTCCTATTAAGTAAAGTAGATCCTTCAGTTCTGAAGTGCTCGTCAGATCAGTTATTGAGTAAGATAATATGAGATGATGATAGTTTCATTGAGGAATCCAATAATCGACTACACATTAAGAGCATTACCATTATGAATTGTGATAAAAAGAGTGTAATATGCCATAATTTAATAAAGAGTCTCGTTTCCTCAAATATGATCTAATCAAACAAATCGAAGAGTCTAAACAACCAGCCCTCAGGAAAGATAGACAAAATAAGTTCATGAAGTTCATAACCTCAACTAAGAGTGTCACTTCAGAAATGGGAAGACAAAACAAATGTGATTTTAGTTTGAAGGATTTTGATCTGGGAGATGAATCTAAATTAATGAATATGAAAGAAGAATAATGAAAGATGAATTATTTAATCAATAATAAAATATATTTATAATTGCAATATGAATAAAAAGAAAAATACAATTTCAGCTCCTACTTTACCTTAAAATAAATTATTTGCTTCCTAACTAGTCCCCCCTCCACAATAATTAAGTCCCACCAACTCAAGTTCATCCTTTATACCACCAGAGCCTAAATTTGACCCAAACGATTACATTACTGCCACAACTACAAAGAGGGATATTATTTTATATAAAGAAATCTTTGATTTTCTAGATTCAAATAACAATGGGGTCATATAACCCATGGATCTCAGAAAGGCCTTTGCTATGGTTGGCAAATATCAACCAAAAAAACAGATCCTTTATCAAATGATTGCAGATTTCGATTCTGATCAAAGTGGTATTATTGAATTTAGGGAATTTGTAAGAATGATGTCCACACATCCTGGAGAAAAAGATACTGATGAAGATTATGCAAATGTATTCTATTAGATTGATCAGGACTATAAGGGTAATCTCGCTTTGAATTTACTTAGGCTACATCACCATTGATGACTTAAGAGAATTGGCTTCAGAGTGCAATGAAAATCTGAATGATGAATCATTGTAAAGTATCATTTAAAGTTGTGATCCTGAAGGCAATGGAACCATTCGAGAAAAGCAATTTGTGAGATACATGAAATCATTGCAAAGAAGATGATTATTATCATTATAAATTAAAATGCAAAAAACACATTATAGTTCATTTAGCATTACTTCTAATTCAATTGATACTTCATAAAACAATGCCTCCTTGAAAGGTAAGATCTCATCTTTAGAATCACTCATGTATGAAGTGGCTGATTCTGTTGAAATTCACAGAAAGGAATATCAATCATTAAAATAACTTAAAGATGAATTTGAAGCAATTTTATCCAACAAAACCGAAGATATGCTCAAAACACTTTAGAATGAATTAATGTAATATCATTTATATCTATAAGACATTTAGATGATGAAATGAAGAGAGAAGTTGGATATCAATTAGCAGAAAATTCCAGAATACAAACTCAATTAACACATCTCAAAGGTGAAAAAACTGCTCTGGCCATTAAATTAAATGAACTACAATTAAGAATCTGTAATCTAGAAGCACAAGTAGGCAATCATGAATAAAATTGATTATTTTTATTAATTTTCAATTATCTAAGTGATTAATATCACCCTCTAATTTATACACATTTTTAAATGCACTAGTTAGAAAAGGGATATAATTTAGACTCTATACTGTAATGATTAGTTAATTTGGGTAAAATAGACAGAATTGATTTGATTAATTGAGAGTGGCTTATTATTCGAGAACTTTATTGTCTAAAGTATTTCAATTTATCCATTTCGACATATACATCAATACTTTAATTCATTAACAATAGTTTTTCAATCAAAATTCTAAGTATATTCTATTATTTATTGTAAATCTATTATTAATTTATAATATATAATAAAGGATGAGAATTGTTGCACAATCTCTATGCACTATAATACTTCAATATTCATAATTTCCAACAGTAGATCAATCAACAAACTACTAATTGTGTTAGATTTAAGATAAATACGAATGACCTCTTATATCTTAAATGAATATTATATCATAATATAATTGCTATTTATTGTAAATAGATAATATATAATAGGTTCAGATATATCAAGAGAGTTTAATCCTATGAACTTAAGTAATTGAATGACTATAGAAGTATTTTATGATTACCTAATTTTGTAATAATTGTTTCTCAATTTTCAAAATGAATGGAGAGATATTGCTAAAAAAGCTGTAATAACGGCAAAAGTTAAAAATAAAAAATGTCAGATAAATACTAGATCTATTTCAATAATTGTAATCAACAGATTAATGGGTTATGTTGTTCTTTTTCAGAAAAATATTTCAGATTGATATAGTTTAATATATATATTATAAAAATGATGAGAAAAACACGTTTAAGTTAGTTGATGATAAATAAAACAATAATATAATGACTTATAATTGAATTTAAACTTTTATGACTCTCTTTTTTATTTAAGTTTTCATTTAAATTCTTAAAGTTTCGATAACTATATTATTTCTATCATTTTGATTTCGTTA